AGATTATAAATATAATTGAAGTTGTTAAGTTATGGTAATTCCAAATTTAATCATGAAATTGCCATTTCTAATTCATTAATATTAGTTCTAAACTACACTATAATTAATGCTTATAAAAAATAATATAAAAAAAAATTAATTATTAGTTAGTCCTATTGGCATATATATTCAAGCATCGAGTCTATTTGGTAAAATTAATTATTTTAATAAGTGTTAACTGTTTTAGTAACATTTAATTATTTAAAAAATTACTTAAAAAGCTAACGCGGAATATAAATACGAAATAATGTTGAAAACAAACCATATTTTAATTTTTTAATTTTAATTTTTTTAAAAAATATTTTAATTTTTTTTATCACACCCTATAGACATTTAAATAATTAAAATTCATAAGGTAGTAAGTCAATAACATGATGTTTACCTTCCAACATCCCTTTTATTATATATATATAGGTGCTTTGGCCGTGATCTCATTTTTATATTGTTTTCGTGGAAGAAATTATTGTTAAATGCTATTTATGTTTCATAATACTCGTAACATTTAGAATTTCACGTCTATTAAGAAAATTATTAAATTTGTCTAAATTACAATAAATTATTAAATAAATTGACTATATTACCCTTAATTTAATACTAATTCTCTGAAAAATTAATTAACATTTAAAATTATTAAATTTGTCTAAATTACAATAAATTATTAAATAAATTGACTATATTACCCTTAATTTAATACTAATTCTCTAAGAAAATTATTAATTAAATTGAAGTAATAATTATTGGTCATGTAAAAAGCGTAAACATGGAAAAAAAAGATTTATTACTCCTTGAAACCACAAATATAATAAGTATTTTGAAACAAACTATTTTTTTAAATGTGATAAGTATTATGGAATGAATGTAATATTTGTAAGCGATGTTAATTTTTAGAAAGGTGAAAACATAAGTTCAATTCCAGAGAGAGCAATTTGCTGGGAGAGCCAAAACTTCACATTCTACAATCCTGTGAATTAAATCTCCTATATATTATATATATATATAATATTATATATATATATATATATATATATATATATATATATAATATGTATTAAGGATAAATTAATGAAAGTTGATTGATTTTAATATTGAATTAATTAAAAGGGAAATGAGTATCACCAAGTTGAAATTGTATGAATAAAAAATGAAAGTATGAATTATTTATTTATTTCAATTAAACTATTTTAAAATCAGAAGATGGTGATCACGGATGTATAAATCAATATAAAAACTATAAAAATTAAAAATAAAATAAAATAAAATGTTAGGTTAGTTCAGTCGTCCTTCTCATATTAATATATGCAATAAGACCTAATTGTTTTTAAAAATTACCTTTATAAAATTAACCTTATATATATATTATATATATATAGTATAATATATTATAAGAACCAAAGGGTTAATAATGGTGAATTTTAAATCAAAGATATTATAAGAAACCAAAGGGTTAATATGGTGAATTTTAAATCAGATGATCTGTATTTGAGTCCGCTCTCCACCATTATTAAATTAATATTAATTTAATTAGCCAAAGATGTACAGCCTACACTAAAGTTTTAGGTAATATATAGTAAATAGTAATAAATAGAATTAGTAAATATAATTTTTAATATTTAATAACATAAAAAATACAAAATATATATTATCTACTGTTTATTCTGACGGACGAGAAAAATCTATTTGGTAAGGAAATTCTAATAATATTAGAATCCGATAACTCAATCCGTACCAATTTATCAATAGAATGTCCATATCAATTTATCAATTTACCAATTTACTCTATTCGATAATAGTGAATTTTGCTTTTTACAATTATGACCTCTACATTTGCTGAATTAACGGAGATAAATTTTCAATTATTATAAAAAGAAATAGAAAAATTTAGAGTAAAGATGAAAAGTCAAAACAAAATCAATAAATGGAAGTAGAAAGAAGTTTCTGAAGGAAGTTCCTTAAAATTGTGCCATCATAATCATGATTATCATGTGTACCATTAAGCTAATGGGAAATGTTAGAAACACAGTCCTTTTTATTTTTATTGTACTCACAGGACTTGGTTGGGTTGGCTGCTTTGTGTATGACTAAGGAATATTTGACTTTTAATTTTTAAATCCCACCATTGGATTGGCTAGTTGGCAACTATGAATCACACTTTCACACATCACTAGATTTCCTTCAAATGATCGATGCGTGGGACCCTCAACTGGCAGGATGGACTTTTATTTTTTGTTTTTTTTTTTTATAAAATGAAAGTGACAGACCAATCAATGCCAACATCCAAAATGATAATTAACAGCTGTGACTGTGAGTCACAGACTTATTAAATTTATGTATTATGTTATTTAGAATTAGATTAATATCTAATTATCTATCATGAACATATAATTTGCCCATATCTTCCCTTGTGTCATAACTGAGATTTAATTGAGTGAAAATCACTTAATTGACAAGCAACTAGTAATTATGCATCAATTCTTGTATAATAAGAGTGGGCAATGGGACCCAGTAACTTGCCATGTCAGCAGGGTTTATTTTGATGACGTGTGAATAAGTTGGGAATGTACACTTGGCATCAAGAATATGGAGAGATGGAAAATGCATACGTGTTTCTAAGGGATGACTTATTTGTTAAGAAAATAGTTATTCTTACAACCAATAATGCTCAATTTAAGTATTAAAAATTTATAATTTATTTTCCATCTATATTTTTTTATCTCCATATTTTCTTCATTTCCAAACGAGTAAAAGAAAGAAAATTGATTTTCTTTGTTCATATTTTTCATCAAATCAATCCAAACGCAGTATAAATGTTTTGATTAGATCAAAACAATATATTTATTATTTATAATTTTTAATGACGAAGCATTTAAATTAATATTTAAAGTTTGAAAAAGCATATCATAAAATATTTGTACTTTTAATATTTGATAAAATTTTAATAAAATAATTAATAACTATTAAAACAATTAACAACTATTAAAATAGCTAATTTCATGGAATAGAACATTTAACGATTTATACGAAAGATTGATCAAAATTATTAAATAATTTATATGCAATATGTGGAAGTGAATTATATTTTAAGTGAATTTTAGGGTTTTAAAACAATAAATTGCGACTTATAAATTCTAAAAAATTTATATATTGAAGTACATCTATTATTTTTAACTAATTTTTGGCTTTAATCGAAGAAAAGTGGGAGACAAAGGACTTGGTGGTAAATAAAAACCTAACAACTTTGTATGCCAATGGGAACTCTACTGTCCCTATACCTAGGACTAAACAACTTTGATGGACCCCACTATGCTCAAAAAAGGAAAAGGATAACTGGCAGAAAAAGTCACCTATAGACCCACTTGTCAAATATTGAGAAGTCACTCTCTTCGACGTGGAGGAATGTGCCAGCGTGGACGAGTATTGCGTGACAGCTGGAATATTGAGAAATTATTGAGACCTTTTTATTTATTTTTATGAAAAAAAAAAGAAAGAAATAACAAAAAAAAAACATCACAGGCTGGAAGGGCGAGAGGGAATATTAGTGTCACGGCAGGGTCACATGGATGGTTCAGTCAAGAAATTGGTTATTGGGACAAACAACTGGCTTTTTGGCCTTTGCACAATAGGACACACCCTTCTTTCTTCTGGATATACAAGAGCAGTCTTTCATTTTCCTTTTCAATTCTCTCTTCTGTCTTTCAATAATTCTAAGTCTTTGAATTCAAATTTTGAACTCCTCTCCCTTTTTCCCATTTTTATATTTCCAAATATATGGATAAATAATATTTTTTTTTTTTAGTCTACACGTGTGTCTCAAGTTCAAGTCATTATCGCCTTGCGACAATAATGATTTTAAGTTTTAAATTCTGATCTTATACGTAAAATTCGTTTGGAATATAATCCATTTTTGCTGATATATCATTTTTGCTAATCCATTATAAAATGGAGGGAATTTTATTTTTTTTTAATCATACAATTAGTTCTTTTTGAAAAAAAAAAACTGCCAATATGAAAATATTAAGTCAAATAATTTTTCAGTAAAAAATAAAAGTTAAATATAAGTAGAATATATATAAAAAACCAAAAAAAAAAGATGAAAAATTCAAACTAATCTAATATTAAAATTATTATTAGCTAAATAATCAAAATTATTTTGACTAGATAGAGTAATTAAAACATAGTAAAAGTAATTTATCTATATTAACATATGTTCATAAATATGATACAAATAATAGTCCAAAAAAAAAAAAAAAAACTTTTTTATAGCTAAATAATCAATTATTTTTGACTAGATAGAGTAATTAAACATAGTAAAAGTAATTTATCTATAATTAACATATGTTCATAAATATGATACAAATATATAGTCCCAAAAAAAAAAAAAATAATTAAAAAAAAAAAAAAAAAAAACTTTTTTACTTTTAATTTTGGCAAAGACATGATGAAGCTTGAGAATTCATAAGTTCAATTATTGGATAGTTGTTTGATTTCTATTTAAGGTACATTGCATTAAATTAAAATCTAAATTATTTTAGTACCTAACATGGACTTAACAATCAAAACAAAGGTATTGATACACTTATCACTAAAATCTCGTGATTAATATTTTTTTATTTCATAATAATAATAATGATTTAGAGTAATTTTTACACGAAAATTAAAAATTTTTATATAATTTTTGCTAATTTATTAGTGGAGCTTCTGAGGGAGAGTCTCGTCTAAATATTATCTCTAGCTCGATTATGGATACCATATTATGCAAGCTATCGGAAAAAGAAAAAAAAAATGACAATTAATTTTTAAGTTTTAATTAAAATAAAAAATAAATATTTAATTTAGGACAATTCAAGTTAATAATATAAATTATTGTTTTGATAAGGAAAATAGCAGTAAAGTTTACTTAAATAATTTCCAGTTAGATGTTAACAAGCATCTTTAAATAATCCCATCGAAACCGTCCAAAACACACATACCATTTCTTCTACATTCCTCCCCCAACGCGTATAGACTTCGCGCTCCCGCCGCCCATTTCTTCTGTATTTTCGGTCTGTCCGTGTGTCTGTATCAGACATTGTGTTCTTGTAAGCATCTCTCTGCAAAACAACAAAGCTAAAACCCACAAAAAAAAAGGGAAGAAAAGTCTCTCTTCTTTAAGAGAAGCAAAGGAGTTTTTCTAGTTTAATGGCAAAATCAAAGAACAATGCAAAGAAAGTTTCATATATTTCTGTTCCATCACAAGTAATTAACACTTTATCTTCTTCTTCGCTGCAAACTCTGCTTCTCTCACCAAAGAAACCGTCAAGGAACAAGTTTTTTAGCTGGAGTTCATATAGGAGTCCAAGATTTTGGTTCTTTGCTCTATTTTTCTTTGGTTTTCTGGGTATGCTGAATTTATGGTTTGATCTTGACCCTTTAGTCCCTTTCTATCCATACCCATGTGTCACAAGTCAAACTCGGGAGAACTCGTTCTCAAATGGGTACTCAAGGTCACAACTTTTTTTCCCTTCACATGGTGGAACAGATATTAAAGATCAAGAGGGTGGGTCTGAAAATGATGAAGGGACAAAATCTGAGGCGGGTTTGGGTCCAAAAAATGAAGTAAGCAGTGAAAAAGGTGTAAAAGATGAAATTTTGAAAAACATTGTTCAATCTAAGCACACAGTATCAAATAACCATGAGAAATCGAATGGAGATGGAGAGGGGAGTGAGTTTTGGAAGCAGCCTGATGGATTGGGCTATAAACCATGTTTAGATTTCAGTGCAGAGTATAGGAGAGGAAGTGAGATGATTGTGAAGGATAGGAGAAAGTATTTGCTAGTGGTAGTTTCTGGTGGCATGAATCAGCAGAGGAATCAAATAGTAGATGCTGTGGTGATTGCAAGAATCCTTGGCGCTGCTTTGGTCGTTCCCATCTTGCAAGTCAATGTCATATGGGGAGATGAAAGGTAAAATAACTACAAGGGTATAAAACTGAGCTAATGTATCTATCTTCTTCTAAGAAAAATTGCTTCTTTTCTCACCTCATGAGTTGCATTTATGTTTTCATACAAAAAAAAAAAACAAAAAAAACAAAAAAAAGAAAGAAAATTTCAACCAAAACTTGTCTTCAAGTTCTTGTTTGATACTTAGGTGCAGAAAAAGAAAGAAAAACTGAGAAACTGATATTTCTTTTCCTGGGAAAGCATTTCTTGGTTAGTTTGGGGCTTTGGGCTATTTCAAATCAATGTTAGAATACATAAACTTTTCTATATTGGGTGACATTATTCTTGATTTTTCTTTTTATGGCATTTTAATTTTGTCTTGATTAAGAAAGTTTTCTACTTTGGTTGATATTTGGTTTTCCCAAAGTAAAATTTTCCCATTTTAATTAATTTCTGGCATATTGATATAGGTTTTGCAAACTAAATTCATTTTCTTTTCTACCTAGAAATGGTTTTTGCTGCATTCTGTATTCTTGCATTTCAGAGAAGATTAATCTCTCTGTATTTTTTTTTTTTTTTTTTTTTAATCTCTCTGTTTTTTTTTTTATTTTTTTTTGGACAGCGATTATCTCTGTATTTTTTTGAAATGCAGTGAATTTTCTGACATATTTTGTTTGGGCATTTCGGTTCTGAATGTGTGGGATGTTTTCATATGCTCCACTTTGCAGGCCAGTAGAGGAGAAAAGAACTCCTCATACATGTTTCCTCATGGCTCACGTGCACGCTTATCATCAGCGAAGTAAGAAATCTGTATTGATGAATTTCAGCTTTTAAGTAAACCGGTTTAGGCTTTCTTTCTAATGCTATGTTTACTTTAAAACCCTGCTGTAAATTTTTGGGTCCTTCCAGTCACCTTTTCAGTTCTCCACATGTTCTTGTTAATTTTAGAACTGTGCTCTTTGTTCTTTTGAGTACTACTTGTTTTGTTTTATGAATCTGGCATAAAAGGGCGACAGCTGTTGGTATTTTTTTTTTTTTTTTTTTTGACAGCAAGATTAATCTCTGTATTTTTTTGAATGCAGTGAATTTTCTGACATATTTGATTTGGAGCATTTCAAAAGAGTTCTAGCAAATGATGTGAGGATAGTTTCATCATTGCCATCCACACATATAATGACAAGGCCAGTAGAGGAGAAAAGAACTCCTCTACATGTTTCCCCTCAATGGATCCGTGCACGCTATCTCAAGCGAGTAAGAAATTGTTTGTGAATTTCAGCTTTTAAGTAACCGGTTTAGCTTCTTTCTATTGCTTGTTACTTTAAAACTCCTGCTGTAAATTTTGTCCTTCAGTCACCTTTTTCAGTTCTCAATGTTCCTTGTTAATTTAGAACTGCTGCTCAATTTGTTCTTTTGAGTAACTACTTGTTTGTTTATGGATATGGCATAGAAAGGGCGACAGCTGTTGGTTTTATAGCTAGGCAAAACAGGCCCACAGTTTGTTAAGTATTACTGAGTATGATGGATGCTTTATGGTTTAATGGTCTTAACTTTGTTTTCCTTTTGAGAGTTTGTCATGGTAGTTAAAGAAGTTTCCTAATCTCTAATTGATTGTCAGGATGTTACATTTATCTTACCAAGTTAGTTGCATATGGTACGGAGACGAAAGAAAAAAGAATAGACAAAAATAACGGTTCCATAATTTGTAGGGACCTATAGTGTTTGAAGTCATCCGTTTTGATTAATTGGCCAGAATATCATATTGTTACCTGATAACTTTTTGTTCTTGGACAGTTTTGAAACATATTATCAACATATACATGATGACCAATTCCATTCCCATTTTATCTATTTTTTTTGTTAGCATGCCTGGTCGGTTACATAGTAGTTAGTTCTCGTCGCTTCAAAAAAGACAAAATACTATGGTGGTTTGTTGACACAGTTCATCTTATTGCTTATTCTATTGAATTCTGCAGCTTAATCGAGAAGGGGTTTTGCTTTTGCGTGGTTTGGATTCAAGGCTCTCGAAAGATCTTCCTTCTGATCTTCAGAAACTTCGATGCAAGGTATTGCAGGATTCTTATGTAGCTTTTTCTGTTTTTGCATTCAATTTAATTATCTGAAGTGCTTGAATGTGCAGTTCTGCACTAGTCCTCTTGCCTCGAAGGTCCATGTTGCTTGGGACTTCATTTTTCCATTTAATCTTGTTCAGTTAAAGTAAGGTTCTTAATTACTATATCCGGCTCTCATTTCTTATTTGTTTGACTTTAGGTGGCATTTCATGCATTGAGGTTTTCTCCATCAGTTTTGGAGCTTGGCAACAGGCTTGCAGAGAGGATGCGCAGAAAGGGACCTTACCTTGCTCTTCATTTACGAATGGAGAAGGATGTATGGGTGAGGACTGGGTGCCTTCCTGGATTGAGTCCTGAATATGATGAGGTGATCAACAATGAAAGAAAAAGACGGCCTGAACTTCTTACTGGAAGATCAAATATGACTTACCATGACAGAAAACTAGCTGGTCTCTGCCCCTTGAATGCCTTGGATGTGGCAAGGTTAGAATTTGAACCTGATAGGATATGCGCCATCAAATAGTAAAACTTGATAACTTCAATCTCTATATCGATCTATACTTCTCTAATGGACTGTTCTGTTTTTTGTTGTATGTTTTAGGTTGCTTAAAGCTCTTGGAGCTCCAAAGGATGCAAGAATATATTGGGCTGGAGGGCAACCATTTGGCGGTGAAGAAGCATTGCTACCCTTAACAAGAGAATTTTCTCATTTCTACAATAAGGAAGATCTCGCCTTGCCTGGTGAATTAAAACCATTTGCAGATAAAGCTTCCTTGATGGCTGCCATTGACTATATTGTCTCGGAAAAGAGTGATGTTTTCATGCCATCTCATGGCGGAAATATGGGTCATGCTATCCAGGTATAGTCTACCATAACCATATCAATGACCAATTAGAATGTCTTTATTACAACACTTTCAGCAATCAACTAATCATAGTTATTAGGACCAGTCCAGATGCAAAATATACTATTTGTCTAAACAGAAGTTTGTGCTTGATACAGGGACACCGGGCATACGCAGGGCACAAGAAATATATTACCCCAAATAAAAGACACATGCTACCTTATTTTCTAAATTCTTCTCTTCCTGAAGCAGAGTTCAACACAATAATAAAGGACTTGCACCGCGAATCCTTAGGGCAACCGGAACTGAGGAATAGCAAAGCTGGAAGAGATGTCACAAAGTATCCAGTTCCTGAATGCATGTGTAATGATTCACGTACTCATTCCTCTTTGTGATTGAGTGCCGAAGATTGGCAACATAAAGATCAGAATGCAAGTTACAGAAATCTGATAAAGTGGCATTTAATCGACAAATCCCTTGAATCTGAGCCCTTAAGAGAACATGAGATTCATAGTATTCTGGGGAATGATGGCTCCAAGAAGTTACATTTCTGAATAGCAGAAGCAGCAAAGACACTTTCTTGGAAGTAAACTCAATATTTATGCACTTGTGTGTATGTACTGTAAATTAGAGGCAAGATATGTATATTTAGGCAAGAATGATATATTATACGAGAGTCAATTTTAAATTCTTTATAGTTTATAGGCAATTTTTCTCCTGATTAGGATAGATTTTTTTTATTATTTAAATTCATTCTTTATACTTGTATATGTATAATAAATAATCTAAATTCATAGTTTATCAAATGGAAAGCTCATTTAATGTTGTTAATGGAGCTCTGTTGCAATGTTAGCCTTTACTTATCAGGACAACTGTGATCTGATGAGAAATAGAAACTGGTGAAAGTTTATCCACTTTAGGTGGCAATTGATTATGTTATGCACATAACTATGTTGCTCAAATCACCAAGCAACAAAAAAGAAAGCATCTTGACCATAATATCTTCTGGCTTTTGTCACAAAGCTGGAAACCTTTCATTGAAAAACTTGGACCATAGCAAAGGTTTTTTGCCCTTCCCATAAAGTGGGTTTAGCAAAGGAATCAAATTTGTATTTTCCCCATTTACTGGAATTGAGATCGCTTACTATCCAAATTAACGGCTTGTTGGTAAGTGACACAGGATTTTATTAGACTGTAGTTTCTTTCTAGACCAGAATTTCCAAGCCAGGACACTTCTAAATCACACGTCCTAGCGTAAATGCCATCCTAAAACGCATTGTCTTAAAACACGCCAGCTTCTCTAGACGACGCGTGACACGCCATCTTATAATTGCTAGAAGCGCGAATTAAATAAACGACCGATCTTAAACGACAAGTCCTTTCTAAACCACACATTTTAAGTGACACGTCAGTTTCTGAAATCCGGACCGTCTATTATTTGATATAAAATCATCTTCTAGATGGAGGGTTTCGTTTGGCTTCTCATCGTCCTGGTAGATAAAGATCAGAGGGCTCTCTCCGGGTAGAACGAGCGGCTAGGTTAATTTTGCCTTCTTGCTATCGCCTACTCTGCATCTGCCATAGGTGAGAGATATGGAAGAGTCGGCAGAGAACGAGAGGCCGAGGCCTCTCTTTAGAGATATAAGACGCTATATCTGTGATTATTGTGGAATTTGCAGATCTAATTCCAATTGTCATCGAATTTTCACTATTTATCAGATAAGAGGTTTTTTTTTCTTCTTTTTTTGTAATTTTCTTTTTTCATATTGTTTAGGAAGAGATGAATGTGGAAAAGGTCGATGAAAATGGGAAAACAGAGGGATTAAAGTCCAATACTTGCCAAGAATGCGGCGTTAGCTTCAAAAAGCCTGCATATTTGAAACAACATATGCAAAGTCACTCGTTTGAGGTATTGACCATGGTTACTGACTGTTTTTGTTGCTTCTATTTTAGGTATGGAAAATCAAATTACAGAGCTTAAATGGAAGAATATTTTGGGTTTCCTACAATTGTAGCTCGTAATAATTAGAAAATAATAATAATAAAAAAGTTTCTCTAAGTTTATAAATTGATGGTTACACCTATTCAGTATGATATGGAGATTGTTTCATGGACAATGATTTGATCCTTTGATGAGAAATGCGTGCATCCAGGAAATTTATTTTTACATACGAGTTTCAATTTGGCCATGATATCTTTGAATTGAGTGTTTTTTTGTTGCTTTGTTCTTTTAGAATTACTTACTGTTTACAGGTTTGAGAATCTTGTTAATGAAATTTTAATTAGCATTTGCAACTATTGAAATTTTAAAATTTTGCAGGTTCATTTTATAACTGAAAACACCTAGGTGTTACAGGCGTGAAGCATTGGATCCCAACAAAGAACTCCAATATGCAAGAGGCTGCAAGTTTGGACTTGACTGGACCAGTATCAGGTTGGGAGACCTCCTGAGAAGCTCCATCAAGTGGGCCTCAATCACGCGCTTGATGAATTTGAGGTCCAAGAGATTGTTTATGCGTGCACTAATTTATGTTTGTTAAGTGTAATTATGTAATTGTTGCTTCTGATGCTTATCTTGTATTTATGACTTTGTAGAGGCCATATGTGTGTTCGGTTAATGATTGCCATAAAAGCTATCGAAGGAAGGACCACCTAACTCGCCATCGTCTCCAGCATGATGGAAAACTATTCAAGTGTCCGATTGAGACTTGCAACCGGGAATTCGTTTTCCAAGGCAACGTCAAGAGGCATGTCGAAGAACTTCACAGTAAAAATTTCTCCTCCGTGAATGTTGATCAGAAACAACATATGTGCCAGGAACCTGGGTGTGGGAAGGTGTTTAGATATCCATCAAGACTGCGAAAACATGAAGATTCTCATGGCAAGTTGACTTGCTATCCAATTTTTGCTTTTTTTCCCTTCCCTTATCAAATGTGTTCGTAATTCTATCTATACTTATTTCCTAAAAACCTCTTATGCTTGACTTGACAGTTAAGCTTGAATCAGTTGAGGCAATCTGTGCAGAACCAGGATGTATGCAGCATTTTTCAAATATACAATGCCTTACGGCCCACATTCATTCTTTTCACAGATACATTACTTGTGAGATTTGTGGGACAAAGCAGCTGAAAAAGAACATCAAGAGACATCTCCGTACCCATGAAGCCACTGGTGTTTTAAAGAAGAGAATTAAATGTCATTTCAAAGATTGTGACCGCACATTTTCTAATGTGAGACACTGGGAGTTGTGCTTCATTTTTCAATTGTATTTGTGCTTAAGAAGTTTTTTTTGTTATTCTAAGATGGCATCCAGCAATCATATTTTTCTCTTTAATTGTGCAGAAAACCAATCTTAATCAGCATGTGAAGGCTGCGCACCTTGAAATCAGAACTTTTGCTTGTGGGTTTCCTGGTTGTGACATGAGATTCTCATACAAGCATGTTAGAGATAGACATGAAAAATCTGGATGCCATGTCTATACTCCTGTAAGTTATCAGATATTTCAAGAATAAATTCTGTTTTATCATTTTAGCAGACTTCCTTGAATGATGTGAAACTTTGAATTGATATTTTCTGTTTGATGATGTTCAGGGTGATTTCAATGAGACTGATGAGCAATTCAGGTTGAGACCAAGAGGTGGGATGAAGAGGAAATGCCCTAATGTGGAAACATTGATACGCAAGAGGGTTATTCCGCCACGTGATTTGGATGATTACCGCTGTTGGCTTCACCTTGGAGAGTGAGAATTAATCTCATCCTTGGCAGACCCAAATATGCAAGGGATCAATCTTTGCTCCTGTATCTAGAAGTTAGCTTGGTATGTGAAGTGTATAGTTCCCACAGTATAACCTTTTGTTGTTGGTCTTTGAAGCTATTTAGATTTTAACACACATATATGTTCTTCCAGTACTGATTTGTTGTTCTGCAAATATTTGATGTAAAACATGGTATGAAGCTTTTCAACCTGAAATGTTGTCCTTCTACAATTGTTTTCTGCTGATTGTAGTTCTCGTCAGGTGAATATAGCTTGATACTACATACAAAATTGCATTAGCTAAGATGCTTCTTGCTAAGGTAGGCACTGTAAAAATGGAACTTCTGCTTTTATTATTATTATTATTATTATTATTATTATGTAAAGAAACTTTTGGAGCAAGGCATTCTTGCATCAGAAGGGCATTCGAAAACAGTACAGTGAGAGCATATTCTTTTATTCTTCTTCAATACAGCTCCAAGAGCAAAAACAGTACAGTGAGAGCATATTCTGTTATTCTTCTTCAATTGCGCTAACAGCTCCATAGCAAAGGCCGGTGGTAATGCAATTAACAAAATAAAATAAAAATTAAAAGTTGATCATCATTAAATATATACCGAGGAACAATTGAAAAATGTACACAATAAGGACGGCTCTCCTATTAAAAGCAGTTCGCTTAATGACTCCATTCATGGTCGCTCGTCTGCTCAAGTTTTATTTTCCACAATTAATAGAGCTTATTAGCATCTACGTATGTACATAGAAAAAGTTACTGAAAAACTAAAATTAGATAGAAATACTATTAGGAACTCCCTTTCCAGTGGCTTCAAGAGCTCATACGGTACAACTCCAGCTCCAGCTCTATTAGTATTCTTCAAATTATTATTTCTCTCATCAATAGTAGCTTCAAGCTCCTTCAATGTTGCCCAAAACCTTTCATATGCAACCTTAATTACAGGATTTGGTTCCCAAGATGGCTCCAGTGTGTTTCCTATATACTCCTCATCAGGTGAATGGCTTGAAGGAACATCCAAAATAACCGTCACTTTAGTTGCCTGTTTTTGTGAAGGAAAGCATTGTAATGGAAAAACTTCGGGTTTTTTCAAGAAACGCTCAAATTCTTGCTGTGATGGCTCCTCAGTTGGCATATTAGTTCTTGCTATTGTTGGCCTATTAGGGAAATACCCAGCAAAAGGATATTGACCAAAGTTGACTGCTGCATGGAGGCCTGAAGTCACCCAAATAATAGTTGTCAAAACTTGGAATAAATCTGCTTGAGTTTTCAAAACAGGCCACCATGGTTCATCTTTCTTGTCTGCATGACCTTTAGTTCTAACTTCTTCCCACCATCCTTGAAGTTCACAATCAGATGCTACTTGGCTTGCTTCTGAGAAGTAATGGTTCACATAATCTGAAACCCAGTGCTTAATTGCATCGCAAAGCATTAAACCATCTTTTGCAAATGGGTAGTCTTCAATTGCTAGTTCCAAACCATGCTCTGCTGTTGGATCCTCCTCTGCCATTCCCCTGAAAATTTTATCAATAAAATGATTAAAATGGAAATTTTTTGAAACAGAATAACTTGTTTGGTTCAGTTCAGTTCAATTCTACCTTTTGATCAAGAATTTAAATATGAGTAGTACAAACTATTGTGTACATGGTTGTGGAAATGTAAAAATGAGAAAGAAAGAATCATACTATCAAACAATTCAGGAAGCTGAAACCGCAAAATGACTTCTCCAAATTCTGCCATATGTTTGACAAACATTAATACTTCATTAAGGCACGATATTTTGGTGTCATTTGGCAATTGAATTCCTTCTTTAAACAGTTTATCAATGGCGGTGAAATTTGGGAATCCACAATTGTTATCATCAGTAATTATATTGGGAAGCAATGTGTATAATAAAGCATATAATGCATTGAACTCAACTCTGAAAATGCCTCATCTCTTGGTACATATATAAACGTTTCAACTTCAATTTTGTAAATTTTTTCAGTCGTTTAAACATTTCAAATAAGTGAGAAAGAACTAAAACATTAAACAATAACTCTGTATTGGTTCTATTCCACTCCAAATCCAATAGTATTTGAGTTGTTTACAAATCTTTAGGCTATCCATATTAACTAAAAGTTAGAAAAAAAAGATTATGATCATTAAGTTATGCTGAGAAACAATTGAAAAAGACAAACCAATATGTAATTTTTATTTTTCCATTTCTAATTTATTGTTAAATTACACAGCTGGGATAACTTTCTCGTACAGAATTTCGAAATAAACTACTCAAAGCACTTTACTTAATGACTCCATTCATGCTCACTTCTATACTTGCTTGTAATAAGCAAGTTTATTTTTCATTTATATTGAAGAAATTACAAGAAAAATAAAATTAGATAGAAATACTATTAGGAACTCCCTTTCCAGTGACTCCAGACTCAGACACTGGCTTCAAGAGCTCATATGGAACAACACCAGCTCCAGCTCTATTACTATTTTTCAAATCATTATTTCTCTCATCAATAGTAGCTTCAAGCTCCTTCAATCTTGCATTAAACCTTTCATAGGCAGACTTAATTGCAGGATTTGCTTCCCAAGATGGTTCCAATGTGTGTCCAATATACTCCTCATCAGGTGAATGGCTCGAAAGCACATCCAAAATAGCCATCACTTTAGTTGCTTGTTGTTGTGAAGGGAAGCATTGTAATAATGCAGCTTCTGGTTTCTTCAAAAACAGCTCAAAATCTTCCTCTGATGGCTCCTCAGTTGGCATATTTGTTCTTGCTACTGTGGGCCTATTAGGGAAATATCCAGCAAACACATATTGACCAAAGTTGACTGCTGCATGGTGACCTGAAGTTACCCAAGTAATTGTTGTCAAAACTTGGATTAAATCTTCTTGGGTTTTCAAAACAGGCCACCATGGTTCATCTTTCTTGTCTGCATGGCCTTTAGTTCTCACTTCTTCCCACCATGCCTGAAGTTCAGTATCAGATGCTACTTTGCTTGCTTCTGGGTAGTAGTGGTTCACATAGTCTGTAGCCCATTGCTTAATTGCATCCCAAAGCATTAGACCATCATTTGCAAATGGGTAGTCATCAATTGCCAGTTTCAAGCCATGCTTTGCTGTTGGATCCTCCTCTGCCATTCCCCTGAAAATTTTATCATGAAAACGATTAATTTGACAGCTATATGACAGTTATTAGTTTTGCAGTTTGGTTTGGTTCAATTATACCTTTTGATCAAGTCAGCTGGCAATGCTTCAGTGTCAAAACGCCATAGTTTGTCATAAGCAACAGAACTGAGTTCAATGGAGTACTTTCCAGGAGAGAAAGTGCTTTCAATGATTCCATCCGCATTGATGAGTTTGTCTCTAGCAAGAGCATTGATTTCCATTGTGTAGCGGAAATGGGGATGTAAGAATCTATATATAGGATGCATTTCACTAAGTTGTCTATTTGCTGCAATTATGTATGGCTCCACACAGGCGTGTGTCCTCAGCCTGAAACGAAAAGAAAAAAAAAGAACCCAATCTTAAAATTGCAAAAGAACTAATTCAATTCAATTCAATTATTCATTACAAGTACTTACCAATGAGAAACAAGTTGGTGAATGCCAGAATCATGAGCAATAACATGTGCTTTTGCAAGCCTCCACAGCCAACAACCTGTAGCATCATGGCCAGGTGTGAACACCTGCTTCCATTGTGGCTTGTCGCCAATAGGTGGGCGAGTGAGTTCAATAGCAACAGGCATTAAATTGCTCTCATTAACAAGGAAGAACAATGTCCTGGAACCATATAATGTAGTCCCTTCAAGCTCTCTCACTTTCTCCACATATGGTAATAGTATATCATGGTAATCCAACATAAATAATCTCTTTTGCTTTACAGCCTGCAAAAATTGGAAAAACAATTAAGCACTTGCTTAATTTTATGCCAAAACAAGAAATATTTCTTTTAGTCTGTTAAATTTACCTCTTCTACTGTCATAAAGCCTCTGATTTCTTTCTCCACTATTTCTTTTGTGATTGCTGATTCAGCCGGTCCGTAGATTTCAGGGTCGAGTTCACTCTTTAGTGGCCATTCCTGCATAAAAAGAATAAGGTGATGTTTTTTTTAAATACATAAAAGCTCAATGGACCAGAAGAACATAATTATAGATTTATCTTACTGTAACTAATTGTATGCCGAATGGGTTAAGACCGGCAAGAGTTTGACGAGAAAATTCTTCATCTCTGAACCAAGAAAATTTGTCTCCTGCAATAGAAAGTTTCAAGATTTAGATTTGGGTCATAAAAATATCATATATGACAGTGGAAATGTATAAATAAGAGCGACAAAATCATACTATCGAACAATTGAGGAGTCTCGAAGAGCAAAATGTCATCTTTAGTTTCTTTAGCAGCTTTGACAGTTCTTGGTAATAGTGTCTGAAGGTACCAAGGCTTTTCAACATCTTTTGGCAATTCAATTCCTTCGTTAAATAGTTTATCAATGGCAGTGAAATATGGGAATCCAAGATTGCCATCAACAATTGCAGTCTCTATACTGGGTACCAATGCATGTAACAAAGATTTTACTGTATTGATACCAAATGTCGCTTCCTTCAATTCTGAAAATGCCTCATCTCTCGGTACATATATATCCCCGCTGCTTCTTGATTCTGATAATGGATCTGCAAAAATCAGGAGAACATTTACCATTAACGAACAATATCATTTCCTACTTCATCAAAAAGATATACAATAAAGGGATAAATTACCCTTTTTGGTACGTGGGCGTCCTGTTCTACAACGCCTAGGATATGGGTACTCCTTTGTACCAAGAACAGGTCTTGCAAGATCTTGGTCTTTATCAGGATCTCCAAGGTCATTGTACGTATCATAATCATAAATCCTTTCAAATGACTTTCTTTCTCCTTGTCCATTGCCTCTCAAATTTTCCAACTCCTCTTCTCTCAATCTTTTCAATCCACTTGGTGTCTCGGCTGGCAAGTAAGACTGGTTTATGAACCACAAACATCAATAACTCAGTGTAAGATATTAAAATACAAAAACCAGAAAGTTGAAGAAGAAGAAGAAGATGACCTTGTTAGTGAAGAAAATTCTTTTCTTGGGGTTATCATGCTTGGAATGAGCCCAAGAATTACAAGAAACAGTGACAGGTCCATTGGGGAAGCCATCAAGAACAATACTCTCAATAAAAACTTCCTTATGATGTTCATTTTCTATAAGCACAGCTCCAACCTCACCAAATCCTGCTGGTACATTGAACTTTGCCTCTAATTTCCCCTTTCCAGGCTTATTTGTCCCTAGTTGAATATGTGCATATGACTTCACTGTTTCCTTCTCCAGTCCAGTGTCTGTCCAAGATTCAAGCCATTGTCAGGATTCAGAATATATGTATAGTTATTTCCAATATTCTAATAACACTAGCTCCAAACCGCTCACCAAATCCTGCTGGTACATTGAACTTTGCCTCTAATTTCCCCTTTCAGGCTTATTTGTCCCCTAGTTGAATAATGTGCATATGACTTCACTGTTTTCCTTCTCCAGTCCAGTGTCTGTCCAAGATTTCAAGCCATTGTCAGGATTCAGAATATATGTATAGTTTATTTCCAATATATATATATATATTATATAATATATATATATTATATAGTATATTATAATTTATATTTAATAATTTAAAAATTTAGGGGGGTTTTTTGTTAGGCTGAGGTCATCGTGACATATATATATATAGGGTTTGTTAGGCTGAGGTCATCGTGACATATTATTCCATTATTTTGGTTGGAGAGCGGAGAGCTACTTATGTCTCAATTGAAAAATACATAAACCACTATATCAAGCATAATAATAAGTTATATGCACCATTCTGTACCCATCCTTTTCAGTTTTTTATAAAATATAAACCACTTCTAATGTTGATCTAGATTACAAAAAATCACAGAAAAAAAAAATATTTTTATTATAATTTGTTACAAAATTATGTCATCTCACTAAAATAAATGAGATCAATATGGTGAAAAATAAAATACTATCTCTCTTCCATAATACTTTTCATATTTAGAATTTCACGTCTCTTAATAAAATCATTAAATTTGTTTAAGTTACAATAAATTATTAAATAAATTGACTATATTATGCTTAATTTAATGCTAATTTTCTAAGAAAATCATTAATTTAAAGTAATAATTATTGATCATATATAAAACGTACATATCAAAAAAAAATATTTATTACTCATAAATGTGACAAATAAATTATTTTCTAAATACATGGAACGGAGATAGTATACTTTAAGATTTTTGTCTAACAACAAAAATTGAGCCAATAATTTATATGGGGTGGTAAATCTCAATCGAAATCTCTCGATCTTACCAATTTAGCAAGTAAAAGGAAGAGTTACTCATGTTTTGCGGCCACCATATTTTCTCGACTAATTGAGTCTTCCAACCAATAAAAAAACAATAAAAATTGAAATTTCTATTTTTTTTCACACCCAGCCTAAAATTCATAATGTCAAGTAAAAAGACCTGGTTAAATGCATCAGAAAGAAATAAGATCACTTGAAAAAGCTAGAAAATCTCTCCAAATAGTAGTACTAGCATATAATATGAAAGCCCTTGCAGGGAATGAGCAACCATAGTTCCTATACTTCTTGTTTATATATATAGTAATACTTACTTGGATCAAGTTCTGCACTAACAAGCTCCAACAGCAAGCTTTTACCAATAACATCAGTCAGCTCATCAAGAGGCTGTGTAAGACCAATACTGGAAATAATTCCACCAATTGTTACTTGGACAGTAACAGTTGCTTTCACTGAAACAGCTTCACTCTTATGTGTAACAGCTGATATAGCCTTATCAAGGAGATTAGCACGTATGCTCAAGTTTGTGTTTTTTCGAGTGAAACTTTTCTGTTGCTTATGAGTAGAGAAGGATGTCTTTCCATGGCTAGAAAGAGAAGGTTTTGGTAGTAAAAGAGAGAAGGATTTTGTAGAATTTATCTTCTGAATCTGAGAACCTAACATTTTTTTGAGATTTGAAGTTGATAAAGGAAAGGTATATAACTGGTTATAGAGCTTGTGTGGCTACTTCAATGGAGGTTTACAATAGAGAAGATGAGTATTTATAGTGTAAAGGAGCGGGACATGATGTTTGTTTCTTGGATAGTTAGACCTTATTGTAAACGTGTATATTTCAATTCGTATGTTCACCAAGTTTTATTATTATTTTATATAATCCTCATCCTTTCTTTAAAATAGATCACACAAATCGAGACGTGTTAATCACTACCCTCGATGAATCCGGCCACTGATCAGATATTGACGTTCCAATTTAAGACACCCTATAGGACGCACGACTCTCCGAACACTGATGAGAGACGCTGCCCCCTTCCTATAAGATCGTATTTGTGGTCTTCAGCCCAGACAGTAGAATCTGGCCTAAGGCAGCCCACAAAGTGGATGGTAGCTCTTAAGCAGTAGAGTTAGTATTTAGACATCATGCTTAACGAAGTACTATCATGAAGGATCGAACTTGGATCAAGCACGCGGATGATCAACATTTTTATCAAATTTTATCTACCTTAATTAATAACATTAATACTTTTACGGTACTTCTTACAAAATAATAATAATAATAATAATAATAATAATAATAATAATAATAATAATAACAATTTTACAATATATCTATATAAGCATATTCGTATACTAAACCAATCAAAAATAATAAAGTGTACATAGGTATATATCATTTGCTCAAATTCAAGCTTAGTCATAAAAATTGAATAATAATAGAAAAAATTTAATGAATTATATAATTAAATTCTAAAAATAATGAATCTTGATTAATGTATTTAAGTGTAATTATGAACTAAAATAGTATCTATTCTTTTAAAACGTTTTTGTACACTTTGGAATCAGCATGAAATGATATGTTACTATTTTCCATCTCTTGCTTATTTTTACCATTTCTTTCCTCTCTTATTCTCTTTAATTTCATTTTAATCCAAATATTACTAAACTAAAAATCTAAAAGAGCATACGAAGGATTGAGGGATTCACAAGGTCATTGATTTGAACTCTTTTCAGCGTAAAATCTCCACGAATCAACTTTTATATTTTTTAGAGTAAACGAGAAAAGAAGAGAATTACCCCCTTGAATCTCCTAATAAATAGAAAAAAAGAAATTAAATTAAAATTATATATACTAGAATTAACTTTAAAACATCATTTTAGTTTTTCATACTATAGATTTAGATTTTTTATTTTTTAACAAAAAAAAAAAAAAAGTCGTAATTATTATTCATTCTCCTTGGATAGTGAGGAAGACAGCTATTTGGGGCATAATTACGAGTTTTGTCCTTTCTTATTCATGCTATAGACGAATCACCATTGACAGAAGGACTAAAGAAAGGGTGCTAGGGTTGTGCCCATCCCTTTAACTTTTGAACGAACAAAATGAAAATTAAGGGATTCACCAACTTGCAGTGATGAGGTTGTCCCTGGATGCCAAAATTAATTATATAATATTTGATTTATTTATAAAGTGCTTATCTTTTTTTTATTTAATATTTATTGCATATTTTGTCTAACTTTCATAATGATTGAAGCTAAATTATTAGTCTTTACGTAATCTTCTTGTCGATTGCTCTTACATTTTTATTTTTCACACTTCTAATTTTTATTACCATAAGTGACTTTAGTTACATAATTGCTAGATATATAATTGAATATAATATTGAAGACTTGATATTCAATAATAACTCGGTCGGTTAACCCGAACGAAATAATTCAGTTGCAAAGAGCATTTACAACTCATGATTATTCTCATGGAAGGTCTAACAAACTAAAAAAATATTGTGAGTTGCACAACAGAAAGCAGTTCTCTTTGAATAATATTTATCAAATCGATGATAACTTTGTGGTAGAGAAAACTTGAACTTAAAATCTCTTATCGCCTACATCTGCTATGAAAGATATGAAGACCAATCAGACCACACCTGGTTTGCAGGTTATTTTAATTTTAAATATGTTGAATTATCTTTATACATTTCAAAATATTTATTAGATTAAGAACAAGTTAATATTCATTTCTCTCTCACACATCACAATCACAGCTACTTCAGAATTATTTCACCCAAATGTCTAATAAAAGGAATGTGAATGAGATGACCCCATACCTTTTCTAATTCAATGCATCAGCTGAACTTCATCTTTTATTTCTTTTTTCTTTTAATTTGGAAGCACATACTTCAAAAATATGTAACTCGTGCTTATATATATAACTAATATATATATATATTATATATATATATATAAATATATATATATATGTATATATATATATATATAGCAATAGTTGAATTAATTAATTATATAACCATATTCGTAAATTATCCTTCATATATATGGCAATAGTTGAATTAATAATTATATAAACCATATCGTAAATTATCCTTCATTAAAAAAAATGTAATGCCAAACAAAACATTGGTATTTTTTTTTAAAATTCAGTTTATTTTTGTTGATTTAACCGTGCACGTTTAATAAAATTTTATAAAATTCTTGTTAAAAAAATAAAAATTAAAAAGAAAAGAAGAAAGGAAGTCGCCGTCCCTATGAGAAAACGTGAAAGTTGATTTTTTGTTGGTTGTCCCAAAATGTCTAAGTCTCACAACTGTAGCAGCGATGGCCGGTTTTGATTGTCTTGTTACGAACAATGAACCAAAGCCCATGCTGCAGAAAATAAAAAGAAACAATAAATTCTAGTGCATGTTGATCCAATTTTAAATTAATTAAAATTGAAAGGAAAATTCATTTATAATTCAAGGATTTTCATGCTGATTTATAAATCAGAATATTTATTTACCATTTATACAGGACAAAATAAAATATAAATAATTTTTAAAAAATTTATATTTTCATATCATGGACCTGTTCATTAATTATTGGATTCTACGCATTTATCATAAAAAGACAAATAAATAAACACAGTGGAGATATCTTATCAGGATCACTGTGGCTATCGTATGCAGATAAGAAAGATTTCATGATCATAACCTATTTAATGATATCTGTAATTTCCATTTAATTATAATATATTTGCATGTGTTTTTCCTTTGTCTTTACTTTCTCAATGATAGGACCCAAATTATTCCTTTCTGGTTTTTAGCCTATTCTAAATTATTACAATTATTATTAATAGAGAAACTGAGTTCTGAAATGTAAATTCAGAAATCTTAAAAATACTAGTTAATAAAAATTGAGTTGAATTAATCCTCAGATTTGTGTTTCTTTCTTTTATAATTTTATTTTGTGTTAGCTTGTACTTGGAACTCATTAGCTTTAAAGGCAGTTTTTACTAATTTGGATAGAATTTAAGAGAAGTATGAAACAAATTGTGCTTGTCATTTAATCAAGAATGGAACATAGGAAATCTGGAAAATATTATCTATTCAAGGAATATAATCTTAACACCTTCAAGTTACCAAAAGAATTACAACATCAATGCTGGGTTGAATTTGAAAATGCATAACATGTTACAAAAATTTGATAATCGTATAATGCTGATGCTATCCTTTCAGAAAAATTTAATCTCAAGAAAGTTAGAACAAATTGCTAGCGTTTTCCAGATAAATGCACACGCAGAGGCCGAAAACCTTTCTCTCTTCTTGAATGAGAGATCCTCTGAACTTCATAGCTCAACTGGTCCGATCAAGCATGCGATGATAATCTTGCATGCTATCTAATGTTGCATCCATAATAAGTTGTTACTTCCTGCAGAAACTAGCAGCTAATCCCTGAATCGCAACAAATGACCCAAGCAGCATAATGTTGCTGTACATGTGCAACTAAGTTTTCTGTACAACCTCCACCAAATATGATGCTTCTTTTGAAGAATGTGGCCAGAATGGAGAAAGTGCAACTACCTTCCCAATTATGATCAGTGTGGGTGATATTAACTCAGCTGAAGCAATTTCATCTGCAAGATCCTTTAGTTCTGCAAAAACCTGGATGATTGCAGATGCAACTGTTATCAGTTGATGCCATCAAACTTTAAATAAGCATGGTGCTTGCACATATGTGTCTCTAAATGTATCCAGTCAAACATCATAATGCATATTAAATTAGAGTAAAAGACATGCCAAAATCCTCTAGGGGTTGGGAATTGGGATAGGAAGGAAGATTTTTTCTTTTCCGAGCACTAAAAGGAACGAAAACTGAAAGTTGATTCTGCATCACTTCACTGTTCTGCATGGCAGTTGAATAATCTACAAGGAATGCATTTTTGACAACCAATCCGATGAAACAGTTTGATATTCTTTAAGTCCATTACGTGAGCTTCAGATTTCACCCATAGATCTCATAAAAATTTGAAGATGAATGCATTCACATTATTTATTCAAGTTTGAAAAAAGAGCCAGACAAAAATACAAAAACCAACGTGTGAGCTTAAATGGAATGTACTGATAGAACCATTTTTACAACATGCACACATCTGCAGAAATAGAAGAAAATTCAGACAACAATTTCACTGAACTGGGAAAAAGAACCAGTTTTCTTTTTTTTTTTTTTTTCTGTCAGCCAAATAATTAATTAACAGAAGTACCTTATCTAAGACTGTTGCAATGGTGTCACTATGTAATGATGGGTCTCAACATGCATAATTTTAAAACAGAATGATGGGTCTCAACATGCATAATTTTAAAACAGATGTGGCCCTGCAGTCTACTTCACATATATGATAAGGATCAAACTTACCACGCGCTGCTGGGGTGTGGTCCCTCGCTCCACTGCAGCAGCTGGCGTATTGGCTGGGAGACCATGATGCATCAACTTTGATGCAAGAAAAGGGAGGGTTGCCAAGCCCATATAAACTACCAAGGTTGAATCAGGATCAGCTGCATTTTCTGCTACAAAGAGTGGGTCTGTTCCTCCTTTCCTTGAATGTCCTGTTAGAAACCTAACACTATTTGCAACACCTCGATGAGTTAATGGAATTCCTAACTCTGCTGTAATTCCTGAAGCAGCAGTGATACCTGCACAACAATCAATGAAATAATATTAATGTCCATACTTATGTGATTTTTCATATCCACAAGTAGAAGATCGGTTATATATGGTATTCAAACACATTGAGGCAGAAGATGGAAAGAAGTGGAATTAGTGTGGTGCAGAAATGCAGATGAACTTCACCAAGGCAGAATGTATTGTTTGAAAAATTTTCAGCCCTCTAAAGAGCTCAACAGGCATTATTGGAGTGCTGCATGGTGACATGTGAAAGAGATCACTAGCATGGGGAGAAACAGAACCAATGAAAATGGTATACACTGCAAGCAATGAACATTTGATTGCTATTATTAAAGAATACGGGAAGGCAATCACTTCCTAAGACATATTTAACTTTCTTTTCCATGTTAAAAAGTTAATGTTCAACTTGATTTTGGAAATAAAATTGTGACAATTGGCAAAGTTCAGTAAATTCCCCACGGCAACAAATGCCTATACTGCAATCCTGTTAGAACATATAAGTTGAATACACACCAACCTCAAATGAACTTACCCTAGAGCAAATTGGGGAAAAAAAATACATCACAATGGCATACCTAAGATAATATATTTCCTATCGATAAAGAGATGAACCTACAACAGGAGGATCACATTCACATAATGTAATAGCATCAAAGAAGAATGCTAGCAGTTTATACCAAAAGTTTAAAGAATTAATTTTCTCCTAGTAGATAAATTCAAATTCCATGCTCACTTTCCAATGCAGCTGCTATTTTTCACATAGCTTCCATCACTAGACACATCAGAAGTATCAAAACTTGATAATGTGATGCTGGAGACAAGTGTACAGAATCATACCGGGAATAACTTTCACTTGGATTCCCTGCAGTTGTAGAAAATCCATCTCCTCTCCTCCCCTTCCAAATACCTTAAAACCCAATGACAAGTGTCACCAAAAGCTCTAGCAGATAAACATAACATTGAATTTGTAAGGTTACTCCCGTAACAGAAACTCACCAGTGGATCCCCTCCTTTAAGTCTCACAACAGTAGCCCCTGCTTCAGCAAAACTCAAAAGCAACTCATGTATCTCCTCCTGCAAAAGACACTAGTAATCTCAATCTCATTTCAACACAATCCAATGACAAGAGCTAAGAAGAATGATTACAATCTTTACCGAATAGTCACTAACATTGTACATCCAGGTACAACTCAAAAAGTCAAAATATTTGAAACTTATCAATTCTTAATTGACCTATGTCACTATCACAGCTAACAATCAAAATCAAATACCCAGGTAATAAAATACACAAAATGAAACTTATGTCATATACTCAAAGATGTAATCTTTGGATAAAAATATGAGAGGAAAAGAAAACAAAGCTGCAAAATCCATAGAAACACCATAACCCCTATTCCAAACTTGCTTAAAAAATATCATTAAGCAGAGAGCCGTTTTCTTCATTTACCTGAGTTCTGCTATGGTAGCCAGCAGTCTTTCCCACATAGAGCAACCTAGCATCAGGACCAACCAAATCAAGAACATCATTGGAGACCAATCTATCATACAACAAAAGATCTGCTTTTTGTATCACTTTCACTGCCTTCAATGTTAAAAGCTCTGGGTCACCAGGCCCTGTCCCCACCAAGTACACATTTCCTGGTCCGCATTTCTCTCCATCTTTACCAAAAGTTCCTCTCTTCTCTTTAAGCACTTGAAGCAGCTTCTTAAGCTCCGGTAGCTGCAAAGCGATGTCGTTTTCCCTAATAGATTCTTTATCAAATGGAAGAGAGCAAGAACAAGAAGAAGATTCTAGCTGATTCTTATAAAGCCAGTGGTCTCTTTGGTATCTCTCAATTGAATGTTTCTCTGTAAAAGGTGAGCTTTTGCATTGCAAAGAACAAATGGGTCTTGGGTTTAATGAGAAATGATTGTAACTTTGTCCAGATAAAGAAGAAGTAGATGAAGAAAGAGATGAAAGCTTATACACAGCAGCCATGGATCAGTCTGTCAATTAGAAGGTGAGCTTTGCAGTTAAATTAAAGAGACATATATATAGAGTAATGCAATAAAATATACAAAAGGAGAGAAAAAGTTTTATTCTTTAAGAGTTAATAGAGACCATCTATGTGTTTGTATACAGAGAGGAAAAAAAAAAAAAAGAAGAGTTTGGTTTTGATTAGGAGTTCTGATTCTGTGGTTCTTTGGTGGATTGGGAAGGCAAAAGTGCCCTTTTCGGCAGAGACAGAGACGCAAGCGGAGCTCCCTTAGAGACCTTGAAAGGTGTTGGCAATTTACTAAAATGTCCACTTGAAGTAAGTGTTGGTCAAATGGGGCCAAAGGGCAAGACAGTCGAATTGTGGCGGCTGAGTGTTTGAGATAGGAGGTGCGTGTTGCAGTTTCAGGTGGAACAAATTTAAAAAAAAAAAAAAAAGAAAAAAGCAACGGAAACGATGTCGTTTATTGTCTGGGTGGACCAGGGACATGTGGAGGGATTGGGCTCAATCATATTGGGCCAAAACCTAATGAAAAAGGCCTAGAAAGAGAGAGAAGAGTACCTACTGTTTGATATTATTTTATTTTCTATTTTCTATTTTTTTTTCACATTTTTTAGAAATTGAGTTGATAAAACATACAAAACTTACTTTTCATAATTTTTTTTATTGTGAAAAATAAATTTTACGCTTTGAGGTATTAGATTTTTTTTAGAAATAAATATTATAGATTTTTAAGATAATAAAAAATTATAAGAAATTAAAACTTTTTTTATTTTTACATTTTGAGATATTAAATAATAAATATTGGTCTGCACAAAACATCTCATATTTATGAATATTTAAATAGTAAAAATTTTTGATAATAAAATTTTCTTTTACATTAAAAAAATAAAAATAAAACACTAAAAAAAATTCAATTTTTAAAAAACGCAATTTCTTGAGACGGTAAATAAATATTTACACTATCTAGTCGGACGAAAATTTGTGTGTCAAAATTTATGAGGAAGACACACATATAATAAAGAAAATCCATTTCATTATAGCAAATTGCTAATAAGAGGATTTATATTGTGACATGTTGCCGTTTCACATGAAATGAGCTTCTTTTTTTTTTGTCGATACATAGGGGAGCAAGAGCTCAAAGCAAAACGAAAGCAAAGCTGCAAAACGAAAACAAAGCTATACAGCTATGCTGACTCGTTGAGTCGCGTTGCTACAAATTTCATAGTCTATCCAAATCGATAAACCAGGAGGAGGAGACTGCAAATTAGTTTAATGATACCTTCAAATTGCAGGCCAAGAAAGTAGGAGGATCATCAGAAAAACATGAAATACAAAAAAAGACACGTGTAATAATTTATTACAGAGAAGAACACCAATGTTCAATAAATTCTTGTACTAGTAGAAATCAAATAACTACTACAAAAGGGAGAGGTATGAATTGGTAGGGAAGTGAGGAGCCATAATTGTGGAAGCTGATGATGATTTTGATTTTCTTTTGGGTAGTTTGACAGGTTTAGGTACTTTCATGGTGGAGATAGTTACATCATCAGAAACTCGAGAGGATGGAGAAGAAGAATGGAAGCAACTAAACAAATATTTGACGGTTTAGGTACTTCGATGGTGTGTAGTAGTTACATGCATCAGAAAAAAAAAAAAAAAAAATCTCGAGAGATGGAGAAGAAGAGATGAAGCAACTAGAACAAAGACTGAGAAGATTAGTATGAGATGTGCGATTTTTTTTTTTTTTTTTTTTTGGTGTGTGTTTTTGGATTGGAGCTTGGAAGGAATAACATATTAATTTATAGTGAAAGATGAGAAAGGAAATTAAAACTTGTTTGTTTATGGATGCTAGTAAAAAAAATACTGGACTTCCAACATTTGTGTCCGGTTAAGTGAAGTTCGATATTTTAGGTTAATTCAATTCAAAGCCTAAAAAGTTGGGTTAAAAGATAAATAAACTAATTATAAATATCTCTAATAGTTTTACTAATTACTCGACTTGACTGTTGACGGGTCTCTTTATATGTGTTATCTGAAAAGATGAGGATTCAATAATTATTCCTTCGCAAAAACCAGAAGTCAAACTTTTGATAGATAGACCGGTTGTTGCGAAAATAAGAAATTTTTATGTTCTGTTGTTAGGAAAAGGTCATACTTTTCAATTACTATGAAGTAGAAATGTGTCTACGTCAGGTGACCACTTTGCAATTACTATGAAGTAGAAATATTGTTTTTGGCTACAAAATGTGACTTTCAGTAGTTTGGTCCTAGTTTATTGGTGGTGAAGTTCGCTTCTTATCCAAAGGGAACATTTATATATATAATTTTTAATAAATATATATAATATAAAACATCTAAAATAGTCAAATATATTTTTTTGGAAGTTGCTTTGTTGCTTGTTTGATTTTTTACATTTTAATATTTGAACAGAAAAAAATAACTAAAATAATTAAATTTGTTTTCTTAGTTCTTACACGCCATATGCATTTAAAAATTAAAATCATGATGTTTACCTTCCAACCTCATTCAATATGTGCGTGCTGTGCTTTGATCAAGATCTAATTTTTATAATTTTTTTTTATATTTAGACGAGGTATCCAGGTCCGTATCCGTTTTAATAGTTCACAAACCTGATTAATCTCCCTCGTCCTCGGAAGCAAAAAAAAAAAAACTTGCATTGCAGAGAATCGAATACATGATCTAATTTTTATAATATTGTTTTCAAACGTTAATTAAAAAAATGCTTGTTAAGCATTTGTATTAGGGATAAATGATAATTGATTCATTTTAATGTTAAATTAAAAGGATGAGGAGTATCACAAATTGAAAAACACAATTAAAATAAAATTATATGTAGATTATCTTTATTCTCCGATAACTGTAATCAATCATCAATCATACTATTGAAAATTGATATATGTTCGAATCACATACTTAAAAAAAATTTAAAAAAAAAACTGAAAAAAAGGTATAATACAAATCATGGTGTTAGAGTCAATCTCTAAAACTGAAATTTGTTGAATTCAAAACAAGAATCATAATCAATAACAAATTTCTAGTATATAAAAAAAATTAAAGAAGAAACCATTAATGAATATAAAATAACTCAAAATTTTCTAATTCATAAAAATCGCAAGAGATTATATAAAAAAAATTAAAGAAGAAACCATTAATGAATATAAAATAACTCAAAATTTTCTAATTCATAAAAATCGCAAGAGATTAATACACTCACATGAATGAAATTATTCCTAACTCTTCAAAATTGCATGATTAATTAAGATTAGTCATGCTCTCTCTCAAAAAAAAATAATAATAATAATAATGCAAAAGAACAAAATTAAATACCCGCTACATTGAGAAAAAAAAAAAAAAACTACAGCCTCGGAGCACAAAAATTAAAAGGAAAATGAGGAACAAGAATTGGAGATTTTGATTTGCTCATCAATCTCTCAGACTTGTTAGACCTTTTTGCATCAGAAAACTGCTTTTCGTCGAAGACCTTTGAATTAGCAAAAATGGTGGAGCAGAAAATTGCTGAAAAGCATCCCATTGTTTTCTGTTTCTATTAATTTCTCTTGATTACCTACAAGAGACCTATTTATAGTGTGATTACCAACAAAAGAGACATATTTATCCGGCTTGGGACTTTAGGTTAATTAGTTAATTTGGTGTTATTACGGTATAAAGAGTTAGCACTATTTCGCAGGGAGACTTTTTGTTACAAAAGCTAAAATATAGCAATCATTTTCAAATAAATATCTCGACTCTTTAGATATCAGCATCTCCTCTCTAAAACCGGTAAACAAATCTCTACACAATTTATAAATTCTTTCTCAATAAGGCTCAAACTTAAATTTATTTTATTTATAAATACCAAAAATATAATTTTTCTCATTAATTGCATTTAGAAAAACAGCGTTCCGATATTTTGGCACTCAAGCCGACTTATTCGCCTCTCGTTATTAATGATACTATAAACATTATCTCGTCTTTGAGGTTATAATAAGCTTACCTCACTCTTGAACGTGGCAAGATATTTGCTATTTGTGTGATAATTGAGAAACAAAGAAATTTACCTTACCTCTGGGAATGATGGCAAAAAGGATAGGTCATCTTTTTTTTGTTCATATGGAACACAAATCTAAATTAGCATAGGAAAGATAACTTTCTCTATATCATTTTTCCGACCTCTCCAGTCAAGGCAAAGAATTTACTACTGTCTTAGCTCACGTGTCTCAGTTGAAAAAGGCGCAAAGAAAGAGGTCCAATAGCCACCACTTCAACCACTCACATTCTTCTTTTTTCTCTTTCTTTTTTCTTATTTTTTCTATTAGCTGTAACATGAGGCGAAAGATAACTTGAGAGAAACACAAAAATTTTGAAAACACAAAACATCATTCTAATTGCTGAAACAACACTCAACAACTTAATTACATTACATATAAAAACAATAAAATAATGCATATAACAAATGAAAAAAAAATCAAAATTACTCTTCAAACGTTCTTTATAATGGATTATGGAGACTGATATTGATTCCCTCTATTCCCTCCCAATAACTATCCCACAAAATCAGCCAGAAAAAATAGAACAAATTATAACCTCTGACGATATATGAGTCGAATGGTGACAGTAGACACACCTACCAATAGGAGGCACCTTGAAGAAATGAACTCTGATCTTGCCTTCTCTGCGGTTTCTTCCTACAATTAGATCCTCTCTGATGTTGCGCAGTACCTTCCCTGCACCTCATCATGCAGAACCCTAGAAGATGAAGACGATGAAGCCCGAACAAACATCGAACATGGCTGAGAATTACACCTTTCGCTTCTGATTTCTTACTTGGTGTGAGTTGTATTAGTACCTATGTTTTGAAACTTGATGAGGATCAAAAGTGAAAACAACCAGGCTATTTATAGATGAAGACACAGAGAAGTCGAACGTTAGAGCTAATATGTATATTCATGTAGCAAGAAAGGAATTCCAAGTTTCAAGGCGAAATTCCTACCATTAATTTGACACAGCAGAACGAACCCAAAACAAATGAACCACAGTTGACCAAATTAATATCAGCAAGATGAAGAAGAGAAGTCGAAGTTGGTATATAGTCTTCATGTGCAAGGAAAGGAATTCCAAGTTTCCAGGAGAATTCTCCTACCTTAATTTGACCAAAACAAATGAACCACGTGACTATAATATAAGCAGGAAGTTTCCACTTGACTAGTTGAGAAAAGTCAACACTCTCAGAACGCTTTTAAGGTTAATCAAAACTCTAGCCAGCCGCCCCACACACAGGAAAAAGTTATATACTGGAGATCTGTTCAGCAACGGCTACTCAAGTGGCTTTTAGCGTTTTTACTACTTTTCATAGTGTTTGATAATACAACGTTAAATTAGCTTTTAGAGATTACGGTGACAGCTTTTTATGAAAATGTTAACTCATCTAATATTTAGTTTTTAGCTTTTCATAAAAAACTATTAAAACAACTACCAACTAATCACTGTAAAATAGCTAATAGCTATCAAAACAACTAATTTTTCCATTTACACAATAAAGTCAATTAAAAATAATTTCTTGATGTAAGAAAGTAGTTCTGACTATTAATTAAAAAAAAATAGGTAAAACTAACTTAGTGTATGGATAGACTTATACATCTGAGTGTGGTAAGTCTTATATATATTTATTTTATACGTTATAATTTTTTATTGTTTATATATTTTTTAGAATGCAAAAATCTACGAGGAAGACACACATATGATAAAGAAAATCCATTTCATTATAACAAAATTGCTAATAAGAGGATTTATATTGTGACATGTTGCTGTTTCACATGAAATGAGCTTCTTTTTCTTTGTCGATACCTTGGGGAGCAAGAGCTCAAAGCAAAACGAAAACAAAGCTATACAGCTATGCTGACTCGCTGAGTCGCGTTGCTACAAATTTCATAGTCTATCCAAATCGATAAACCGGGAGGAGGAGACTGCAAATTCGTTTAATGATACCTTCAAATTGCAGGCCAAGAAAGTAGGAGGATCATCAGAAAAACATGAAATACAAAAAAAGACGCGTGTAATAATTTATTACAGAGAAGAACACCAATGTTCGCTAAATTCTTGTGCTAGTAGAAATCAAATAACTACTACAAAAGGGAGAGGTATGAATTGGTAGGGAAGTGAGGAACCATAATTGTGGAAGCTGATGATGATTTTGATTTTCTTTTGGGTAGTTTGACAGGTTTAGGTACTTTCATGGTGGAGATAGTTACATCATCAGAAACTCGAGAGGATGGAGAAGAAGAATGGAAGCAACTAAACAAAGGTTTAGGTATCTTCACATGGTGGAGAGATAGTATACATTACATCAGAAACCTCGAAGAGCGAATGAGAGAAGCAGAGCCAATGAGAAAGCACCACCTAAACAAAAGATGGAGACAGATAGATGTCACTTTTTTTTTAAATTTTTTTTTTGTGTTTTCTTTTTTTTTTTTTTTTTTTTTTTTTGTGTGTTCTTGGATTGGAGCTTGGAAGGAAAACATATTAATTTATAGTGAAAGATGAGAAAGGAAATTAAAACTTGTTTGTTTATAGATGCTAGTAAAAAAAAAAAAAATACTAGACTTCCAACATTTGTGTCCGGTCAAGTGAAGTTCGATATTTTAGGTTTATTCAATTCAATGCCTAAAAAGGTCTGTTAAGCGCCTCGTGCTTATGTCATAATAGATCCGAACATGTCCTGGATCGACTTTCTGATCATAATTACTCTAATAAATAACTAAAGAAACTAGATAAATGGGAGATAAAAGAGAAATAAAATAATTATAAATATCTCTTATAGGTTCACTAATTATTTAACTTGACTGTTGATGGACCTCTTTATATGTGTTATCTGAAAGATGAGGACTCGATGATTATTCGTTTGCCGAAGTCAAAATTTTGATAGATAAATCGGTTATTAGGAGAATAAAATATTTTTATGTTCGTTGTTAGGTAAAGGTCATACTTTTTAATTTAAAAAAAAAAAAAAAAAAAAAAAAAAAAAAAGGTCATACTATATTATATTAAATAACAAAAAAAAAAAAAAAAAAAAACAAAAAAAGAGGAGAAAAAAATAGTGCTCTACGAACTTCGGCTGACGACCTTTTGCATAATTATATCAAATAGACACATTGTTTTTTGGCCTACAAAATTGTGACTTCAGATTAGAATGTCTTAGTTCATTGTGGTGAAGATTGCTTCAATATCCAAAAAGGGAAACTACTCAATATATAATTACCGTATATAGTATATATAATATATATATATATATATATATAAAACATCTAAAATGGTCAAATATATTTTTTTGGAAGTTGCTTTGTTGCTTGTTTGATTTTTTACATTTTAATATTTGAACAGAAAAAATTAACTAAAATAATTAAATTTGTTTTCTTAGTTCTTACACGCCATATACATTTAAAAATTAAAATCATGATGTTTACCTTCCAACCTAATATTCAATATATATGTGCGTGCTGTGCTTTGATCAAGATCTAATTTTTATAGTTTTTTTTTTATATTTAGACGAGATATCTAGGTCCGTATCCGTTTTAATAGTTTACAAACCTGGCTGATCTTCCTCGTCCTCGGAGGCAAAAAAAGCTTGCATTGCATAGAATCGAACACATGATCTAATTTTTATAATATTGTTTTCAAACATTAATTAAAAAAATGCTTGTTAAGCATTTGTATTAGGGATAAATGATAATTGGTTCATTTTAATGTTAAATTAAAAGGGTGAGGAGTATCACAAATTGAAAAACACAATTTTAATGTAAAAAATTAAAGGAGCTGAGGAGTATCACCAAATTTGAATAAACACATTAAATTAAACTTATATGTAGATATTCTTTATCTCCGCACTAACCCCTATATCAAACTCATCAATGTACTATGAAAATGAATATCATAGTATGAAATCACCTTTTCAAAAATGATATACGATATGAATCAACCATTTCACTTAAAAAAAAAAACCTCGAAAAAAAAGAGGTATTACATAACAAATCATGGTGTTAAGAGTCATCTCATAACAACTGAAATTTGATTGAATTCAAAAAACAGAATCAAAAACAATCCAATAAACAATTCTATACATATAAATAAAAAAAATCTTAAAAGAAGAAACCATTTAATAGATTAAAAATAACTCAAAATTTCTAATTCATTTAAAAATTCGCAATGAGATCAATACACCTCACTAACCATGAAATGAAAAATTATTCCTAACTTCCATATACAAATTCATGCATGATTTAATTAGATTAGTTCATGCCTCTCATCTCCAAAAAACAATCAATACACTCCAATTAATAATGCAAAAGAACAAAATTAACATACCCGCTACATTGAGCAAAAAAAAAAAAAAAAACAGCAGCTCGGAGCACCAACAAATCTAAAAAGGAACACTGAGGAACAGAATTGGAGATTTTGATGTTGCTCATCAATCTCTTCAGACTTGTTAGACCTTTTTGCACATCAGAAAACTGCTTCGTCGAAGACCTTTGAAATTAGCAAAACGAAAATGGTGGAGCAGAACATCGCTGAAAGCATCCCATTGTTTTCTGTTCTATTATTTCTCTTGAATTACCTACAAGAGACCATATTCATAGTGGACCTTTAGAAAACTGCTTTTCGTCGAAGACCTTTGAATTAGCAAAAATGGTGGAGCAGAAAATTGCTGAAAAGCATCCCATTGTTTTCTGTTTCTATTAATTTCTCTTGATTACCTACAAGAGACCTATTTATAGTGGGACTTTAGGTTAATTAGGTTAATGGTGTTTTAGGTAAAGAGTTGCCTATTTGCAGGGAGACTTTTTTTTGTTACAAAGTAATTAGCATCATTTCAAATTTAAATATCTCAGACTCTAGATATCAGCATTCTCTCTAAAACGGTAAAAATCTCTAATTTATAAATTCTTTTTATAGCTAAATAAATTTATTTTATTATAAATTACCAAAAATATAATTTTATCAATTGATTAGAAACAGCGTTCGTGTTTGACTTATCAGCCGTATTGTCCTTTTATTTATGATATATAAAATTAATTTCGTTTTGAGGTTTATAGTTACCTACTCTAAATGATGGCAAGATATTTATTTGTGTGATAATTGAGAAACAGGAAATTTTACCTACTCTGAATGATGGCAAGATATTATTTTTTTATTCTATGGATACAATCTAATTAACTGAAAGATACTTTCTCCTGTCATTTTCCGACTCTCCAATCAAGCAAGAAATTTATCAGCCGTATTGTCCTTTTATTTATATATGATATATAAAACTAATCTCGTTTTGAGGTTTGTAGCTACCCTTTTAAATGATTTTTTTCCCCGAATTTAATTATTATAATAATCCTTTCCTAAATTTAAATGTGTCTTACTACTTGAAACACTCACAGTGAAGTGTTTTTATTTATTTGTTTGATAATTGAGAAACAGGAAATTCGACCTACTCTAAATGATGGCAAGACCAAATTAATTAATTACCTATTATTTTTTGTTCAATGGACACAGTCTAACTAGCTAGAAAGATACTTTCTACTGTCATTTTCCGACTCTCCAATCAAGCAAGAAATTTATACTGTCTTAATTAGTAGTTCATTGAACAAGGCTAAAAGAAAGAAGGTCAATAGCCACCACTTCTACATCAATTCTTCTTTTTTCCTTTTTTTTTTTTTTTTTTTTCTTTTTTGCCCTTTTGCTGTAAATTGAGGGAGATAATTGAGAGAAAAAAAAAAATTGAAAAACAAAAATATTTTATATTGCTGAACAAATCAACATTAGATTAATTAACATCATAAAACATCAACGATTTTTACTACTAAATCAAATAAAAAAAATACCAAAATACATCTTCCGTTCTTTATAATGGACTCAGGATATATGTTCCCTCTTCTCCAAAGTATTCCTCAAAATCGCCATGAACAACCTATAACCTTGACATATATGCAGTATAGATGGCGCGAAGTAAAGAACACGTACAATAGGAAGCACTTGAACGATGGCTTTGAGAATTGCCTTTCTGAAGGTTTTCTGTACATTAGATCCTAATTGGATGTTGATGATACTACCTTCTGCATCAATCTGAAAACCTAGATAGATGCAGACGATGAAGTAAGAAACTACAATAGGAGCACTTGAAGATGACTTTGATTTGCTTTTGGGTTTCTGTACATTAGATCCTTTGATGTTGGATACTTCTGCATCATCTGAAACCCTAGAAGATGAAGACGATGAAGGAACAAAGCAACTGAACATGGCTGAGAAATTAACCATTTTTCCTTCTGATTTCTTCTTGTTGTGGAGTTGTATTACTATATGTTGTGATATTGATGAGGATCAAAGTGAAAAAACCAGGCTATTTATAGATGAAGAAGAGAAGTCGAAGTTGGTATATAATCTTCATGAGCAAGGAAAGGAATTCCAAGTTTCCAGGAGAATTCTCCTACCTTAATTTGACCAAAACAAATGAACCACATGACTATAATATAATCAGGAAGTTTCCACTTGACTAGTTAAGAAAAGTTTACACTCTCAGAACGCTTTTAAGGTTAATCAAAACTCTAGCCAGCCGCCACACACACAGGAAAAAGTTATATGCTGGACCCGTGTTCGGCAACCGCTATTAAAATAGTTTGTAGCGTTTTTGATACTTTCTTAGTAATACAGTAGATGAACTAGCTTTTAGAGTTTACTGTGACAGCATTTTATGAAAACATTAACTCATTTAATATTTAGTTTTAGCATTTCATAAAAAACTATTAAAATAACGACCAACTAAACGTTATAAAATAATTAATAACTATCAAAACAACTAATTTCACAGAACATGATTCATTTACACAACAAAGTCAATTATAAATTTTTTTTTTTGATGTAAGAAAGTACTTCTGACTATTAATTAAAAAAAAAAAAAATAGGTAAAACTAACTTAGTGTATGGACAATCTGGTGCATCGAGTGTGGTAAGTCTTATATATCTTTATTTTATACATTATATATTTTTTAGAATGCAAAAATTTTTAAAAGGTATTAATACTTCAAGCAATGAAAGGCCATTTGTTGCTTTGGACTAATTATCACAATCTAGTCAATTTGTTGATCAATATTTTAATGGGAGATTACCTAAACCACCGACTTTTGTAAATTTTGTTTTATTTCAAATCAAATTGCATACCAGTCAAATTAACAATATTAAAATAAAAATTATTAAAATAAAAATTATATACACATCATCTAGTTAACTAACAATTAATTAATTAATTAAAGGGAGAAAATTAGATTATAAATCAAGAGGAAGATGAAATCTGAGTTTCATAAACCTGCCAAGTTCTCAATTTTTAGTTTTTTTTTTATATTTTTTTTCTTTTTATCAAACTCAAAACACAATACGACAAACAACAACAACTTTCCAATATAAAAAATTCAAGGAAAAAACATTTAATAGAATAAAATAATTCAAAATTACTAATTCATCGAAATTGCAGTGATCAAGTACACTCAAGTTAATGAAATTATTCCCAACTCTTTGAATACTTAATGAAATTATTCCCAACTCTTTGAATACCTACTACACAAGCAGGAAAAATATATTACTACAGTATCGACGGACACGAATTATCTGGAAAATGAGGAACAAAAATTGGAGCTTCTGATTTGCTCTTCAACTTCTCAGGCTTGTTACACCCTTTTCCATCTGACAGATTTTCATCGAAGACCTTTGAATTAGCAACAATGGCAGAGCAGAAAATTGCTGCAAAAGAAGAAAAAATTGCTGAAAAGTAACCCATTGTTTTTGTTTTCATTGCTTTCTCTTAATCAGCTATTAAGAGGCCTGTTTATAATGAGATTTTAGGGTTAATTGTGTTGGTAATTAAGGACTTGCCAATTTGTTGTAAGAAAATAAGATTTGTATTGACCATTAGCTTGCAAGGGAAGATTTTTTTTTTAATTACTAGTAAGCAATTAAAGTGACTTAAATATATTTATATATTTGGAAACGGTAAAAACTTGTCTATTTTCGGTGTATGAGAATTGATGATAACACTTGCTTGCACTTAGTTTATAAGATCACCTATACATTCAAATATTGTTATTGTTTTATCTTTTATTTTTCTAATAATTAGTCATGAACGCTCTAGTGTAAGTAAAAAATTATTTTCATTATGGGTGGAGGCCATGAATCAGGTATAAATGAGTCCTTTTTGAAAATTGATATATAAAATTAAGGTGGAAATAATTTTTAACAAATTTCTATTTCTATCCGTTTATGGCCATAGACCGAATCTAAACAGATCTAATACTAGTGTATCTTCCCGTCTATTCATGAATATATATTGGTAGGATTACGAGATATCCTTCCAATATGTGAAGACTAATCCCCTTCTACCTAAATTTTTAGTCTTCTCAAGGTCCAATAATTATTTTTTTGGGACGTTGAACTTGTAATTTTTTTTTGCTAATAGTGGAAGAAGTTTGAAATTATGGCAAGAATTGGAGCACAAAAAAAAATAATAATAAAAGGAAAATGAGGAACAAGAATTGGAGATTTTGATTTGCTCATCAATTTCGCAGACTTGTTAGACCTTTTTGCATCTGAAAACTGCTTTTCGTCGAAGACCTTTGAATTAGCAAAAATGGTGGAGCAGAAAATTGCTGAAAAGCATCCCATTGTTTTCTGTTTCTATTAATTTCTCCTGATTACCTACAAGAGACCTATTTATAGTGGGACTTTAGGTTAATTAGGTTAATGGTGTTTTAGGTAAAGAGTTGCCAATTTGCAGGGAGACTTTTTTTTGTTACAAAGTAATTAGCATCATTTCAAATTTAAATATCTCAGACTCTAGATATCAGCATCCTCTCTAAAACGGTAAAACTCTCCAATTTATAAATTCTTTTTATAGCTAAATAAATTTATTTAATTTATAAATTCTTTTTATAGCTAAATAAATTTATTTTATTATAAATTACCAAAAAATATAATTTTATTAATTGATTAGAAACAGCGTCCGTATTTTGGCTTATCAACCGTATTGTCCTTTTATTTATGATATATAAAATTAATCTCATTTTGAGGTTTATAGTTACCTACTCTGAATGATGGCAAGATATTTATTTGTGCGATAATTGAGAAACAGGAAATTTTACCTACTCTAAATGATGGCAAGATATTATTTTTTTGTTCTATGGACACAATCTAATTAGCTAGAAAGATACTTTCTCCTATCATTTTCCGACTCTCCAATCAAGCAAGAAATTTATACTGTTAGTTAGTAGTTCATTGAAAAAGGCCAAAAGAAAGAAGGTCAATAGCCACCACTTTCAAATCAATTCTTCTTTTTTCTTTTTTCTTTTTTTTCTTTTTTTTCTTTTGCTGTAAATGAGGGAGATAATTGAGGAGAAAAAAAAATTGAAAAACAAAATATTTTTATTGCTGAAAAATCAAATTAATTAATTGGATATAAAACATAAATATGTATAATCAAATAAAAAAAATACAAAATACATCTTCATGTTCTTTATAATGGATCAGGATATATGTTCACTCTTCTCCAATATTCCTCAAAATCGCCATGAACGAACTATAACCTTGACATATATGAGTTGATGGGGAGTTTGATGGGGAAGTAAGAAACTACAATAGGAGCACTCAAATAAAAAAAATACAAAATACATCTTCATGTTCTTTATAATGGATCAGGATATATGTTCACTCTTCTCCAATATTCCTCAAAATCGCCATGAACGAACTATAACCTTGACATATATGAGTTGATGGGGAAGTAAGAAACTACAATAGGAGCACTTGAAGATGACTTTGATTTGCTTTTGGGTTTCTGTACATTAGATCCTTTGATGTTGGATACTTCTGCATCATCTGAAACCCTAGAAGATGAAGACGATGAAGGAACAAAGCAACTGAACATGGCTGAGAAATTAACCATTTTTCCTTCTGATTTCTTCTTGTTGTGGAGTCGTATTACAATATGTTGTGATATTGATGAGGATCAAAGTGAAAAAACCAGGCTATTTATAGATGAAGAAGAGAAGTCGAAGTTGGTATATAGTCTTCATGTGCAAGGAAAGGAATTCCAAGTTTCCAGGAGAAATCTCCTACCTTAATTTGACCAAAACAAATGAACCACATGACTATAATATAAGCAGGAAGTTTCCACTTGACTAGTTGAGAAAAGTCAACACTCTCAGAACGCTTTTAAGGTTAATCAAAACTCTAGCCAGCCGCCACACACACAGGAAAAAGTTATATGCTGGAGCTGTGTTCGGCGAGGGCTGTTCAAGTAGCTTGTAGCGTTTTTGCTACTTTTCATAGTGTTAGTAACACAATGGTTGAACTAGCTTTTAGAGATTACGGTGACAGCATTTTATGAAAAAGTTAACTGATCTAATATTTAGTTTTTAGCATTTCATAAAAAGCTATTAAAACAACTACCAACTAAATGTTATAAAATAGCTAATAGCTATCAAAATAACTAATTTTGCAGATCAGTATCCATTTACACAACAAAGTCAATTAAAAATAATTTTTTGATTTAAGAGAGTACTTCTGAATGTTAATTAAAAAAAAAAATGGGTAAAACTAATTTAGTGTATGGATAGTCTCGTACATCGAGTGTGGTAAGTCTTATATATCTTTATTTTATTCATTATATTTTTTTATTGTTTATATATTTTTTAGAATGCAAAAATTTTTAAAAGTTATTAATACTTCAAGCAATGAAAGGCCATTTGTTGCTTTGGACTAATTATCACAATCTAGTCAATTTGTTGATCAATATTTTAATGGGAGATTACCTAAACCACCGACTTTTGTAAATTTTGTTTTATTTCAAATCAAATTGCATACCAGTCAAATTAACAATATTAAAATAAAAATTATTACACATCATCTAGTTATCTAACAATTAATTAATTAATTAAAGGGAGAAAATTAGATTATAAATCAAGATGAAGATGAAATTTGAGTGTCATAAAGCTGCCAAGTTCTCAATTTTTAGTTTTTTTATATTTTTTTCTTTTTAATATTTTATTTTTTCTTTTATCAAACTCAAAACACAATACGACAAACAACAACAACTTCCCAATATAAAAAATTCAATGGAAAAAAAATTTAACGGAATAAAATAATTCAAAATTACTAATTCATCGAAGTTGCCGGTGATCAAGTACACTCAAATTAATGAAATTATTCCCAACTCTTTGAATACCTACTACACAAGCAGGAAAAATATATTACTACAGTATCGACGGACACGAATTATCTGGAAAATGAGGAACAAAAATTGGAGCATCTGATTTGCTCTTCAACTTCTCAGGCTTGTTACACCCTTTTCCATCTGACAGATTTTCATCGAAGACCTTTGAATTAGCAACAATGGCAGAGCAGAAAATTGCTGCAAAAGAAGAAAAATTGCTGAAAAGTAACCCATTCTTTTTGTTTTCATTGCTTTCTCTTAATTACCTATTAAGAGGCCTGTTTATAATGAGATTTTAGGGTTAATTGTGTTGGTAATTAAGGACTTGCCAATTTGTTGTAAGAAAATAAGATTTGTATTGACCATTAGCTTGCAAGGGAAGATTTTTTTTTTAATTACTAGTAAGCAATTAAAGTCACTTAAATATATTTATATATTTGGAAACGGTAAAGACCTATCTATTTTCGGTGTATGAGAATTGACGATAACACTTGCTTACACACGGTGTATAAGATCACCTATACATTCAAATATTGTTATTGTTTTTTCTTTTATTTTTCTAATAATTAGTCATGAACGCTTTCGTGTAAGTAAAAAATTATTTTCATTATGGGTGGAAGCCATGAATCAGATATAAATAAGTCCTTTTCGAAAATTGATATATAACATTAAAGCGGAAATTTTTAACAAATTCCTATTTCTATCCGTTTATGGCCATAGACCGGGTCTAAACAGATCTAATACTAGTGTATCTTCCCATCTATACACCAATATATATTGGTAGGATTACGAGGTATCCTTCCAATATGTGAAGGCTAACCCCTTCGACCTAAATTTTTAGTCTTCTCAAGGTCCGATAATTATTTTTTTCGGATGTTGAACTTGTGTTTTTTTCTGCTAATAGTGGAAGAAGTTTGAAATTATGGCGAGAACAGATATTATTTGTTTGTACTGTTGAGAAAGTTACCATTTCCCCTTATTTTCTTGGTGTTGTGAAGTTGTATTACCATATATTGAGCTGTTGAGGAGGTTTGAAGTGACACATAATCTTCATGTGCAAGGAAAGGAATTTCAAGTTTCCAGGAGGATTTTACCACCTGGAAATTTCTTACCTACCTTAATTTGACTAAAACAAATAACCCACTTAACTATAATAAAAGACTAGGAAATTTCTATATGACTACCTAAGACAAGTCTACAACACTTTGTCTTTGCCTTGTTCAATCACCCACTAGCAACAATATATATTTTGAGGGTTGAAACCCTTTTTATTTTATTTTATTTTTCATATTACTCTTAAAAAATTTTCAAAAAATCCTTAGTTTTTATAAGTTTTTGAAACAAATTCATGTATCATGTATTAGTAAGAAATTGATTTTCACTAATTCTAATTATCAATTTTTAAAAAGGAAAACAAAATTGTCCTTGCTCATGATACTAGAGTACTATTATATGTATTAGAAATTAAAAGGGTTTTTTTTTTTTTTATATATATAAGGAAATTAAGGGGTTGCCTCTTATTGCCAGATGTCTCTTTGTTAGAGATTGAAGAAGGGAAGAGGAAGGTGTTGTTGACTTTTCTTTAGAATATACACGTAGAGTTATGTGGGTCATGTTCTGGTCAAATAAAGGTAGTAGGACACTTGAAATTTCTTGCCTTGCACATCAAGATTATATTTCAGACCAAAATGAAACTTCCTTTTCTCTTCTATCTTATGGTTTCTCTCTATAAATAGACTGATTTTCCGCTTTAAACCCATAAAATCAATCTCCCATTAGTTTCTCCTTCTTGAGCTCAATATAAGAAAACGTACATATATGAGCTTACTTCCCAATCCCAAGACCAAGAAATCAAGGAAAATGATTAATTTCTCATCAGCCATCTTCAGTTGCTTTCTTCCTTCTTCATCTTCATCTTCTAACGTTTCAGATGATGCAGAAATATCCAACATGAAAGGACCTGATGCAGAGAAACCCAAAAGCAAATCAAAATCATCATCGTCATCATCATCAAGTGCTCCTATTGTAGTTTCTTACTTCCCTGTCAACCCATCTAGGTCACTGTTATAGTTGCATTACGTTTTTTCGGAGCTCTATTTTTATTGGTATAGCCAGGAGGTTTAATCCATCGAGCAAGCCGTAGAGCGAAAAGATTTTTTGCTCTCCCTGCAAAGTGTGGTTCCTATGAGAATTGAGATCATTTAGCAGCCGAACCAACAACTTGATTCGAGGAGTTCTATTTAATTAATTGGATAGATCAGAAAAGGAACATGTAATTGATGATTTGTTATTAATTTTCACTATTTTGCAGCAATAAAAAGATTTTCTTTTCTCAATTTCTTTTTATCCGTGAATGCAAGAAATGTTAATGGTATAAGGTTAATACTAAGTTTAATTTTTGTTTCTTCATTTTACTCATAATATTATCACATCATTTCTCCATCTGTGAGCTCAAGTGAACAAGATTCTTAAATTATAGTTAGCACGTTGCTATTTATTTGTCTGCCAATTCTGGAATATTGTTTTGTTTTTATGAGAATGCTAAATAGGCCAAAATAACATTGACTTATAGACAGGGATATCCTTTCTCTTAATTCATGAAACCGATGAAATCTCTTATACTTTGTTTGGATAGGACGAGGGAAGGGTAATTAATAGAAAGGTAAGAGAGGTTAAAGAGGGAAGGGTAAGACGATCATAATAATAAAAATGTCGTGTTTGGAAAGAGGTAAATTAATGTAAAAATAAGGAATGTTAATGTACTTTCTTTATATTTGGAAAGAGGTGAAGGAAGAGAGATAAGACTTATTATTAGTTGTAAATTAATTTAAATCTTACTTCTCTTTTAATTTTACGTGTAAAAAAAAATTGAGGATTGAGGGAAAAGAATTGACTCACTTCTTTTTAAACCGGGTATACACGTAGCATTCCCCTTCTAACTTTTATTTACTTCTCCATCACCTCAATCCGAACAGAGTGTTAGTGGTCGAGAAGACTCAAATCTCAAACCTTTTTTTTTTCAATATTAGTAAAAAAAAATAACCAAATCAAATATAATTGGTTTGAAATTTATTTTATCAATACTGAAATATAATAATTTTTTTATGCATTTTACCTAAATTTGATTATGTTTATTTATCAGATCAAACAAGTCAAAATGATATTATAGACTTTAGTAAAAATAGTTTTTCATTTTAATTTTTTCTCACTAAATTAATAAAAATTTATGTGAATATAAAAATTCAAATTAAGGAAGTATCATGAATTAATTGTATATTTACTATAAGGTATTTCCTGAAAAAAAAAAAAAACAAGGTATTGGGAAATGGAATAAGAGATAAGAAGTTAGCATATCATGTTATGTCCTTATATATTTATTTAATATTCTTATCTATCTCAAAATGGAATCTAAATAAATGAAAAAGGATATAAGCTTTTTAAGATTTTTATTTGGGTAGCTACCAGGTCATAAAGAAATTTAAAAAAAAAAAAAAGCCAAACATTTATCCCATGTCTGGAATAACAAAATTCTATACAATTTTATAAAATTTATTTATAAATTTAAATTTTTTGTGTTTAGTAAGAAAAAAAATTAGATAATTAAATGTTATGAAATTGAATATAAATAAATTGAATTCTACTAAAAAATTATAATTCATGGAGGATATTTTTGACATTCCGGCACCCAGATCTATTCTATAAATCGCGTCGGCTACGTCTTCTGAATTTGTTCTTCTGCTGCAACAACAATTTTCTTCTCTATACCAAATCTGTCCTTTGAGAAACGGAGAAAATGCCTCTCAAGTTGGTGGATGCGACTGTATCAAACTTTGACAGTGTCTTTGAGATGTTCAGATCGGAAGCACCCAAGAACAAGGCCAATTTAATCCTCTTCTTGGCTGATAAAGACCCATCTACCAATCTCAGTTGGTGCCCTGGTATGTTTCTCTCTCTCTCTCTCTTTAAATTTAGTTTTTAGTTCATGGTGAATAGAAACGAGTACCCATTTTGCAGTTCTTCCGAAAGTTATGATCTTTTGCATTTGGTTTTCTTTTGGAAGTTTTGTTTTTTTAGTTCATGGAGACTGGGGAACCATTATATAATCTTTGAAAGTTATGGTCTTTTGCAAATTTTTCATATGGGTTTTCAGTTTTGTGCTGTGATTTATTTGCTATAATCATACTTAGCTTCCACTGTGCTCGTGTGTGTATTTATTGCATTCTGGTTTTTGTTGAATTGAGTTTGAAGAATTGACGATTTTTTATATATTGGTTTCTAAATTTTTAACTTTGAGCTTGAAGAGAAAGGAATTGAGATTGGCAAATTTTGCAAGAACTTAGAAAATGAATCAACCTAGTAGAGTTCAGTTTGATATTTTCAGTTCAGCTGTTCCAAAAACATTCTTCAATCTTAAGGACTGTCCCACCTCTCTCTTCCCAAGTGATATTTGCGATCATTGAAGAAGAATATAACTAATTTTAATGGATGACCTTTTTATACCAGTTATTTATACTATAACCTAGACAACAGGTTTTAAGGGAATGGAGTATCATATTGTGGAAGATGGGAAAGTCTAGTGATTGGAAGATTAATTTGAAAAATTAAGAGCTAGACACTGTTTTGATATTTTAATATAGTTCCACTTGCTGCAAAGTCTACTATATTTGACTCCATTTTTTCAAGTTAATGGTTAACATTTGTTGTTTATTAACATATATACAGACTGTGTGCGAGCTGAACCTGTAATATACAAGAAGCTGGAAGCATCATCAGATGACATTGCCCTTCTGCGAGCTTATGTCGGAGATAGACCAACATGGAGGAATCCCCAGCATCCATGGAGAGTCGACTCCAGGTTCAAGCTGACTGGAGTTCCAACATTAGTCAGCTGGGAGAATGATGTGATCAAAGGTCGCCTTGAGGATCATGAAGCTCACCTTGAACACAAAATTGATGCCCTTGTTTCTGGGGAATAAGTCCGTTTTTTCTCCTCCATTAGACGGTTGAGATATTAATAATGTTTGATAACGTTGAACTTGGAACTTTGAGGATCTATACCATGTTAATGATACGGTACTGCTAATAGAAATTATTTGCTCCAACTGAGAAATCCAAGAATGTTGTCCCTGTGGTAATGATGCAAGTTGATTCAGTATCAGTCCTTATGAACTGAAAACTAGATACTCAATGGAGCTCCCCAATTTAAGCCAAAATTTACTTATCATACACCAAACACCAAAAAGCATAGTAAAGAAACTGATTAATATATAAACTGCCAAATGATTCACCTACCTCCTGACTGCTAACTATACAAGTAGAAATGAGGATCAGAAAATTTTACAAGGTGCCTCTGGTAGTTGAATCAAACTATGACAAGAAATTACAAAAAGTGAGGGCAATCACTGACTTTCTAATTACAATAAGTTAAAGCCACCTCATGGTTTACATGCTCATACCATTACTATAATAGAGGCTGATGCTCACAAAAGTTCCATATTCAAGTTGTTGTTGCTGTACATTGGGTGGCTTCTCAGCTTTCTTTTTGAATCTTTTTACTTGGCAACGATCTGCAAGGCATAACACACCTTCTGTGCCCAGGTCCGGATCCTCAAACTGCTCTGCATAACCTAACCTACATTACCAATGACCACTGAGTTTCAGCAACAAAGAACAGGCAGACTGCTATATTAAAAGCATACAACACACTAGCAAATAACGCAAACATTATAATTATTGCTAGCAAACTTGAACATAAGATTATTTTCAAAAGACATATAATTGATAGTTTCTTTTTATTCCTCATCAAGGGTTTTATAGCAAAAATTACAGTTTAAGTTCTATAATTGCTTTAATTACAACTGGCAGAAGAGTCCAACATCTAAACACATCTATACATTGCAAATCACTTGCATGTATACCAAGATATTCAAACTTTGATCACCCTTAATATAGACAACCATTGCAATAATGGTTGAGATTTCTAAAACATTTTGGCAAATTTCCTTGTCAAATAACAACAGTAAATTATTCATATTTTAATTTTAAGAAATATTGTCACAAGCTTAAACAGCAATGATAAATTACTCATTTTAAGTAATATTGACAGAAACTCAAGCTTCAAGATGGTGTTTAGCATCATACCTATAAATAGAAAGGCCAGCGTATTCATTGAATAGACTTATAAGATAATTATATTTGGGCCTTTGTGAGAGTAGAAGTCAACTTTAAAATAATATCACCATAAGGTTGCTCTTGCTCTACATCAATCAGTCCACAACTCTTCAAAACCTGCAGTCACCGTCAAGAATCACTACAATAATCATTACAAAAAAAAAAAAAAAAAAAAAAAAAAAAAAAAAAAAAACATAAGGATAATTATATTTGGCCTTTGTGAGAGTAGAAGTCAACTTTAAAAATATATCACCATAAGGTTGCTCTTGCTTTCTACCATCAATCAGCCACAACTCTTCAAAACCTGCAGTCAACCGTCAGAGAAATCACTAACAATTAATCATTACAAAAAAAAAAAAAAAAAAAAAAAAAAAAAAAAAAAAAAAAAAAAAAAAAAAAAAAAAAAAAAAAAAAAAAAAAGGAAGAAAGAAAAACAGGTTGCATTAAGCTTACATAATTTCATTGATATGAAAGTTGTGCTAAAGTTGCAAATCATGATTCAAAAAAATTTCAAATTTTATGAATCAAGACAAGATTTAGTACAATAATTAGAACCTATTATAAATGAGAAGCACAGATATGAAACAAAAACAGTGTTTCAAAGAGCTTAAAATGTTACCAATGTTTCAAAGAACATCCGAGCACATAACTTTCTTGTTTTTCCCTCTAAGATCTTGTTGAGACTCAGATCTCTAGACTGGTCTTCTGATAATGGGGTACTGAGAGAATGTCTTTTTAAATATTGAGCCACAGCCCTAAATGCAAAGAGAAAACAAATGATTTCAAATAAATTAAAAAAATTACTAGAAATAAAGCTCCCTCTACTGATAAAAAACAGAAAGCAGTACCTTGATCTCACAGACAGTGAATCAATGCTTTGCGTGCCTTGGGATCCTGTCATAAGCATAATCCTTCACATATAAGCATAAACAACAGAAGTCAAAATTGAATATTTAAAATCACTTCAACTTCTTAAATGAATCAGGAAAAATCCACTTACCAGCTGGGGTGTTGTCTGCTTCCAGAAAATGAAGGTCCTACAGCAATATGATCCATGGGGTAAAATGTAAGAAGCATGATTCACTTGGCGAATATCTTGGAAGATAAGGGTTCAAGTGCAAGTGATCAACAAGGAATGACATTGAGACACGAATTTATGCCTTAATTTTCTAAAACAAGAACATGATTACAGGAACAATAGCATATAAGGACATATGGATATGTTAACGAGCACATCAAGCATACACTATGATTTGTGGTACAGCATAAAAAAATTTAGTTCTATTAGTGGTTCAGGATGTGAGCGAGTTGCCAAACAGTTGAAGGAAGAACAATTACAAAACAATTAAAACGAATACAAAAAACAGTTGAAGGAAGAAGCAAAGTGATCAACAAGGAATGACATTGAGACACGAATTTATGCCTTAATTTTCTAAAACAAGAACATGATTACAGGAACAATAGCATATAAGGACATATGGATATGTTAACGAGCACATCAAGCATACACTATGATTTGTGGTACAGCATAAAAAAATTTAGTTCTATTAGTGGTTCAGGATGTGAGCGAGTTGCCAAACAGTTGAAGGAAGAACAATTACAAAACAATTAAAACGAATACAAAATATTTGACACGAGTATCTATGTGCGCACACACATAAAAAAGGGCCAAATAATTACCTCTGTTTCTGCAATAGATTCAGGAATATCTGAACGACCAGTGTGCCCTGGATCAAACTGATCCTCCAAAAATGTCCTTGGCGTTTCTGGCTCAGTAGTGCAAGTGCCAGGAGATGCTGAAATACCTGGTGTAGGCATCACTTCAGTTTCAATACTAGTTTGAGCCCAAGGTACTGACCCTGATCCTAAATTTTTTTCTGTGTTGGGAGTAAAATCATCTCTTCTAAAAGGAGAAGATACAAATCTTCCTGGAGAAGGCATAAATCTGGCTGGAGAATCAGGCAACAGACGATTGCCATCTTGGCCTTCATGATGCCGAAGACGTTCAATTTCTGGATCAGGTTCAGCTTCTGATACAGGAGATTGTGCACTTGTAGGCTCTGGAATTTCTTCAGTTATTGGAGGAGGAGAAGCTCTATCCCTAGCCTCAATTACCACTTCCGTTGCAGGGGCAGGTGAATTTGCATCCCTAGCTTCTGCAATTGCTTCAGTTGAAGGAGCAGGAGATGTCACAACCCTAGGCTCTGGAGTAGCTTCCCTTTCAAGAGTTAAATGAGATTTTGTAATTATATAGTCCCTCTTAAAAAGATTGCATATGTTGGCAGAATATCCTGTAAATAAACAAATATAACAGCATATTAATAATCAACCTTGAAGTTCAAGATGAAGAACTTATTCATCAACAGCCACCTAAAGAAGTTGAAGACAGACAGAATCAGCACTCACCAGTTAATGAAGGCTCGTACAAAACTTGTTCCCTTCTTAACTTGTTGTTTAACTTCCATATGCCCAAAGCAGTGGAAGGGATTTCCCTCCTCCTCCTTAATATATCACCAGAATTTTCTAATGCCTTCTTCATAAACCTATCAAGTTCTCATAATAGTATCAAGTACTAAAACCAAAAGTAAAAAGTTCTTTTTCATGAATTAAACACAGATCGTACTTATTAGTTAACACTGTGGACTCATCAAAGAAATGCTTTCTCTTTCTCTGCCTCGGTCTTGGCTGTTGAACAGGTGGGGTTGAACGTATGGCAAGTTCAGGTGATGTATTCCCTGAAACACAATGGACAAGCTCATTCAAAGTAAAAACAGAATAGGGCATGCCACCCTCACATCCTGCTCACATCACATAGAAAAGATGGAATTATGCACTTACCAAACGAAATATCTGTAATAAACTTTTCGGGTGCCTCCGAATGCCGCTGAAATGGTGAAGGCTGCCCTCCAGAAGGCAACGCATCTTCCTTAAATGGAGAAGGTATTTCCTTCTCATTCAAACCTTGGTCAAAAGATGTGGTAGGTTGAAAGGCATCATTTTGGTGATCTGGAAAACCTGAAGGAAGTTTTTCTGGACTAAAACCCTGGACAGGATCACGCATGATTTCAATTTCTGGTGGGGAATTGTCATCATTAAGCATTGAATTAATAACCTCAGTCTGATTGCTGGGGCCAGGATCTCGAAAATCTGGACTACCAGTTTGCAGTTCTGTCTGGTTGTTAGGACCCAAATCTTGAATCTCAGCAGTGTCCATAGGCACTGTCGTCTGAGTACTTGGAAGATCAACAATTCCTGTAGGGACTTCCATCTGGTTAATAGGACTGGCAAGTGGAGCACCCATATCTGTAACAACTTCTAATGGAGCAAGGATGCTGTGATTGAAAAGAATGGAAATATTAGATTATTTCTCAAATTAATGAAAATATATATATATCTATTAACAGTACATCTAAGAGCAATTAGGGGCATACTCCTCCTCCATTGACCTGATCCCAGCATCAGTATCATGTTCATGTTTTGATGGTAATGCATCCATCATGATATCCTGCACACGAATGCGTCCATTAATGCAATTCCAGAACATCTATAAAAGATCATACAGGGAAAATCCAATATATACATATAATGGCTGACCTCATCAAAAGATATAACAACATAAGGATCTCTGTCAGTAGGAATTTGATCTTGAAGAGTTATTTCTTCCTGACTCTTCGTATGATCATCTGGGGACCTAATACAAAAGTCGTGTGAAAATAAGTTGTGGAACAAAACATGGTAGTTCAAAAGTTAAATATCAGGAAAAACATAAGTTAATTCATTCTAATTTTACCCATCAGGATATGTATCAAACTCCACATTCAACGCATCAAGGTCAAATGTTTGGGGCAAAGTAACAGATTCAAATTTTGCTGTTGTGGCATTCTCTGGCAAATTAACTTCTATGGAAGCAAAAGCTTTTCTTAATCCAATAAGAAACACATTGCAATCATGGTAAAGATAATCAACTTTCTTTGAATATATCCGAACAACACCTAGCAAAAGGTGGCCTGACATTCTCAGCGCAATGGGAACTTCTGGGAACATGATACGATCTAAAAATACATCCAAATCAAATAGACAAATAAACGTTAGTCATTTTTCATCTGTGCTCATTTCTTTGGGAGTACACGTAAAAAAACAAGCTATTTCAGCCAAAAAAGAAAAAAAAATGCAATGAATACAAACTTATATATATGTATTCGGGAAAAACAGACCCCTTTCACCAGAAAAATATATTCTTCAGTAGCATAATAAAATCCATATAAACTTAACAGTCAACCGAAGCGACACAACCTAATAGAAGTGATCTAATTCCCTAAAGAGCATAGAAGCAACTCCATCGAAATTTGAACCAAAAAATTTATTCGTTCAAGAAAAAGGACACATCATTACTCATCCCATGCATCATTTTTCTTAAGGATTAAACAGAAACTCCAAAATACAAGAAGACTTTGATATCGATCCAATGAGCTGACTCATGCAACTTGATCTTAGGATTTAAAACGTTAAAGTTTTTATCTTATCAAAAAATAAAAATGTTACACCACCAAAAGATTACCACTTTAAATTAATTTTAAAAAATACATAAAAATATCCAGGAACCATAAATTTGATTTTCTAAAATGTAAATCAGATAAGAAAACACAACAAAAAAAAATGGCAAAATGCAAACAAATGAGTGAACACGTCTATTGAAACCCACACAGTTCCTAGAACTAAACACCAAAAAACAAAAAAAAAAAAAAAAAAAAAAAAAAAAAAAAAAAAAATATCCAGGAAAGGCCATAAATTTGATTTTTCTAAAATGTAAATCAGATAAGAAAACACAACAAAAAAAAATGGCAAATGCAAACAATAATTGAGTGAACACGTCCCTATTGAAACCACACAGTTTCCCTAGAACTAAACACCAACAAAAAAAAAAAAAAAAAAAAAAAAAAAAAAAAAAAAAAAAAAAAAAAAAAAAAAAAAAAAAAAAAAAAAAAAAAAAACCGTGCTTTCATAAGTACAATAACCAACCCAAAAAAAAGTTAAGTGCCAATAATCCAAAACCTGAAATTTTACACCAAAAGATTAGGAGAATAGAGAAAAACCGACTGACCGACGGTGGAGGAGATATCGGTGGAGGTGTAATGAGACTTCTTGAGGCGGTGCTGTAGATGAGCTGCGCACCACACAGTCCCTAATGGACCTTTTCGAGCCAGAAATGTCTGCGAGTAGAACATCTTCTTCGAATTTCTGTATGGTATATGCAATGTGATTACAGGGAGAGACACGAAGTGGAGAGAGTGCGCGTAATTAGGGTTTAATTAGACGGGAATTGAACAGACTGCCAAATTGGACGAGTTGCCGAATTGGCGCGGGAAACGATAGAGGCGCCAAACTGCAGATTAAATTCGGGCTATTGGAAACGACCCCTTTACAGTTATTTACAATTCTACCATGTCAACCACAACTGACAAAAACGTAGCCCAATAAGCACTAATTGACAAGCCCAAGAAGCCCAATCAGTAATGACAAGCCCAATCAGTAATTTCCCGAGCCCACAACTTTTTTTCTGATTTAGGGTTTCTATGGTTTCTTCTCATATATGTATGCTATGGCCGCGTAAACTTCATATCCTTTGAGCTTTGAGTTTCATTTGTGGGGAGTGAGAACCTAAACCCTTAGCTATGGCTCCCAAAACTCCCAGGGTTAGCAGGAACCCAGATCTTGTGAGGGGAATCGCAAAGTATTCTAGGTCTAAAATGTACCACAAGAGGGGATTGTGGGCAATCAAGGCGAAACACGGCGGAGTTTTCCCGAAACATGACCCTAAACCCAAGCCCGCTGCTCCCGCCGAGAAGCCGGTGAAATTCTATCCGGCCGATGATGTTAAGAAGCCTCTGCTTAACAAGCGCAAGCCCAAACCCACGAAGCTCAGGTCCTTTCCATTATCTATGTAGCTACATTCATTTTTGGATCTTGTATGTCATTATGACTATTTCTGGTTTTTTTTTTTTTTTTTTTTTTTTTTGGTTTTTTTTTTTTTTTTTTGTTTTGAAAAAGTATAAATCTTTACGTTTTAGGTTAAGTTCGGGTATATTTCTCCATTTCTTTGCATCCCTCTAGATTTATATGAGTTTTTTTTTGTTTTAATATTATTGTGAACCTTAGCTGTTTGGATTTGAGTGAATCTTAGCGTACTTTGATATGTTTGGATATGAAGAAACTACTTGAAACTGAGAGAAATACATTTTTTTTGTTTAATGTCTCTATCAGAAACGTTTATAACTTATTGATGGCTAAATATGTGTAGAATATGTGCATTACGTTGCTGTTGGAAAGTGCTGTAATTGTCTTTTTGTGGTGTTCATGTCTGTAGGGCTAGCATTACCCCAGGTACGGTGTTAATCATTCTTGCTGGAAGGTTCAAAGGCAAGAGGGTCGTGTTCTTGAAGCAGCTTTCTTCTGGATTGCTTTTGGTCACTGGTGAGAATGATTTGATCTTGCTTCTTTGGTTGTGTAATGATTGGTGTGGACAATCTGTAAAATGTTCTATATACACTCAGAGCATTTTATGAGTTGTGTGTTATATTGGATTGTTGCTAGTTGCTACTTTAACTGACTTAAAAGTTTAGGTTGGTTCCTCTTTGCTTGTAGTGACACAGTACTTTCACGTGATTTCTTCACTTGTGGATACGTTTGTGCCATCTTATAATTTGCCAAAATAATATTTGGAAAATCTATTTGAATAGCAGTTAACCTTTTGTCAATAAACAACCTGAACAAAGCAGCGAAACTTTATTATTTGAAACATTGAACAATCTGGTTTGTTTTGTTGTTTCCGTATTTATTTGCCCATTCTATTCAAGCTGACTGAAAATCATTGACTCCTTGTGCTCTTTGCTGCAGGACCATTTAAGATTAATGGAGTCCCTCTAAGGAGAGTTAACCAATCTTATGTCATTGCAACTTCTACCAAGGTTGATATTGCTGGAGTTAATGTTGACAAGTTTGATGACAAATACTTCGCCAAGCAAGCGGAGAAGAAGAAAAAGAAGGGGGAGGGCGAGTTCTTTGAATCTGAGAAAGAGGTTGGTTTTCTCACTTCTCTATCATTTTACAAGTGACTGTTAGATTTGTTGTTTTGTTTACTCTGTTCTAACATTGGCTTTCACTTGAAATATTCAGGAGCAAAATGTGCTTCCACAGGAGAAGAAAGATGATCAAAAGACTGTTGATGCAGCATTGATTAAATCAATTGAGGGTGTTCCAGACTTGAAGGCTTATTTAGCTGCTAGATTCTCTCTCAAGGCAGGAATGAAGCCCCATGAACTTGTCTTTTAGATGAAAAAATTTTAGGAGGATTTGCATGACTTCTTATTGGATTTTGTTTGAATTTATTTTTAGCGGTTGTACTGTTCTGTCTTTGGCAATAGACAGCTATATGAACATCGTATATTGTGAGAATTTTGCAGAAATTTTTCCTTTTCCCAATTTCTATTTGTGGCATGACATTTTACATACTCTAATATATGTGTGCTTATGCCTTGAGATAAAGAGACTACTAACGAGCCAACTTGGTATTTTGGCGATATAACCACAAAGAAGAGTTTGGAATTTTCGCTTTATGTATCGTCATGGTAGTACTTGTCTTTAGTTTGATAATTTTTGCTGTTACAATTATTGATATGATGGTCAAAAGATTTTCTTTCTTTATGGAACTAGTGTACTCTTGATTTGTTGGAATTCTTTGTAGGAATTCTTTGTAATCAATTTAGAATAGGTCGTGTCACTTGAGTCCAAAATATTTCTGTTTAGAGGTTAATTTACTGGATTCAAATTGTAGAATATTGCGAGGAGTTTGTGATTAAATGCAATTAGGCTCTAGTGCCCTTGTATTCTGTCAAAGCATTTGTGAAACATCTTATTAAATGAGACCACATATTCCGTTAAAGCATGTCAGAATTGATTACAAGATGGTTCTGCTGTGAATGCAATTGCGAGTCTCTACATATATATTGAAGACAAGTGCAGAACGATTGTTTAGAAATACAGATAATTTATTTTTCAAGCTATAAACTGGTTAGATAAACTGAAAATGTCAATTCAACAAACTAGAAAGCATTTTATAATAAGCTGTCTGTTTTAGCTGGCAACCTTCTGAAGAAATTGCTGGGTACAGATGGAAGTTTGCTTCGAAACCGAGGGTGCCGCAGATAATACAGACCAGCAACCAGAGCCACCACTCTAAATGGAGTCACATAGAGAACAACAGCTGCACAAAGACAAAACATAACAAAAAGACTAGTTGCTCTGGGGTCTCTCCAGCTAAGCAGAGACCCGAACCTCTCCCCTTGTGTGGCAATGTCCCCTACTACTGTTTGTATCCTGCCTGCAACACTTCTAAGCCTGTCATACCTCATTCGAACTATATCGTGGGGTTTGGAAGTTGGAAATGTGTCGAATTCTTCATCAAGTTCATCCGGGTGCACTGCTTCTGCCCAAGATAGTTTTGTATCCATATGAGGTGGATGTCTCGGCCGGAATCTATAGTTCCATAGGCCAATAAGGAACATGTAGAGAAAAATAGTTGGGAGTATCAGTTCTGGATACCATATCAGTATCAGAAACAGGATATGAACCAGAACTGATGTGATTGGGTTCCTCCATTGGCAAATATCACCAAACCATCTGTTCATTGAGATCATACCCGAGAAAAGTGACATGATTCTAAAGAAGTTGGCTTTGCTTCTTCTCATACTCCACATGTGGGAATCCACATCTAACATGTACTCCACCACCTCTTTTCTCAGTGGTGGTTCAGCTCGACCAAGCCTTACTGCTACAATACTCATGGCTTGATATCTTAAACTATCTACTTGATTTACTGTGAATGGATGCCAATAATGCATTTTTGGCAGCAAAGGATGACCATACACATATATCATGTTAGCTAAAGACAGTGTAGTGAATCGAACTGCGAGTTGCAGTTCACCCATTTTCTTCACTCCATTTTGGTGTAGAACAAGCAGTGGATAGGAATGTGTGTAAATTCGAAAAGCTTCTAAGGTTGATAATCGAATTCTGACCTTTCCGATTCGTCCATCTCTTGCTGCACTTGGTGCATTTGGTTTCTCACCACCTCCTAAATGGCAGTTGTCAAAAACTCCCAATGTTATGACCGTGCAGGGGTCGTAGACTTCCCATGTGTACTGCTCATTCCATTTCGGATTGAAAGTGTCGAGAATGGTTCTTGTTCGAACCCACTTCTGGCCATACTTAGCTACACAATAAGCATCTGTGCTACCTCTGCCATCCTTCATTTTCATTGGGAGAAGGCCTTTTGCACTCAAAATACCTACTTCCAATATCCCAACAGGCTGTTTCCACAGTTGTCTTGCTGTTGGCCTTTGATCACTGATGTACATTGTTGATTCATCGAGGACATGGTACCCACCTTCGAGACAAGCTCTCAGGTGAATCCTGCTTGCAAATCTAAGCTCTTTTCTCCTGTCAACTTCAAGGACACCAAATCCATACTTCTCTAGATTGAACCAGCGAGAATGAACAGGCCTGTGATCTAACCTTTTCTCAAAACTGTTGATTGGTAGGCTTATTTTCCCCAATACATCATCTCTTGCAGGGTGAACTTTATCCTCAACAGTAATCAGCAGCTGCTCTTCAAAAGGTTCAGCTACCACAAACACCAAATCTTCATTCCAAAGTGGATTAGACGTTCGAGTAGGACTTACTTTGGTCTTTAGCACTTGACTTCCAACCTGAACTTTTACATATACTTCTGGTATGCGGCTTCTATCATTTGGAACAATATCTTGAGCTTCGATCACATTCACCCTTAGATACCACAATTTTGGTGATACATAGACTTTTGATCTAATGCTAAGAACACCTTCTCCATAAACTGAAGAAGCATCTGCATGCCATGCTTCCGGGAAGGCCTCATCAGCTTGTGTTCCCATCCAAACTGCAACCATAATCTCTCCCCTTACTTTCCCTTCTCCACGTCGATCCTCTAGTCTATACCATTGAGGAGCTAGAGGACTATCAGGAGGAACTCTAGTTGGGATCTCATTCAAGTCAAAAACTACTCTTCCAAGATAATCATCTCTTCCCAACATTTCTTTGTCTTTGACAAAAACTTCTAATGTTGATGACTGAATTCGGTCTTTCGAGAAAGAAAAGACCTGATTCCATTCTGGATTCATTCTCTTCTCAAAATGCCTTGTTCTCCCTTTGTAATTTCCTAGCTTCACTTCCACGTAAGGATCACAGCTTCCAGTAATGGAACTAGGAGGAAGATCTTTCGCCTTGACAACGCGAACATAGAGATAAGACATCTGCTCGACGAGATCATAAGTACTTGCATATCTTTCACTATTCATCCATCCTCTGCCTCCAAATGCTCCACCAGCAGGCCATCGTTCCCCGAGTTGAGGATTAGTGTCCTTCAAACTATAGTCATCTTGTTCACTAGGATGATCTGGTTGATTGACAGAGTGCATTGTGTATAATACACCTTGAGGTTGCTGTAGAACTTGATGCTTATAAATTCTCCCGCCGTTTAGCTCTTTCTCAGAAGCAACTCCTCTAGATTCAATAAATGAAGTAGAATTTACTATCACTGGAAGCGTAGAAATTTCTTTTTCAGGTTGTGCTTTAGTACCTTTAGTAGTACTAATTGCAGAAACTTCTGCTTTTGGAACAGCAGCTAGTGTTTTGCAGCCAAGATTATTGCTTTCTGAAAGGTTATTACTTTCTGGTGGTTTTGGTGGAGAGAAGAGAGGAGGAGGAGGAGGAGATTTTGTTTTGGATTCTGGTGAGATACAAATTTTGAGGCCAATGTCACCCTTAACAGGAGAAAAAAACCGCTTACTTTCCAATTGGAAAGTTTGATAAACTTCCTCACCTTTCTTGACAATGTGAGAACAAGGAATTCTAACTCTACCAAGGAAGTTTCGACCGTCAATAATTCTTCTTTCGTTATAAACAGAGACCTCTATGGATTGGTTATGGATGTTTTCGCTTTCCGTTAGATCAAAGACAAGTTTTTGGTTCCACGCAGGATTAAGGTTTTTAGGAATGGTTTTAGTTTTGCTTAGTTGGTTTTGGAAATCAACTTCTACAAATGAACTAGCTGACCCTTCACCGTCTTTAGGCATAAGATCATGAGCATCTATCACTTCTACAATTAGTATCATTGTCCTTTTTTTTTTGGGCTGCAACCTGAAACTCAAAGTGGAAGCAAAGAAGTTATACTCACCAAAGAGAGTATTAAAGGAAGGAATAATTTTTAAGGTTCTTTTTATCTCAAAATGGTAGCTTTGAGATGTTTTTGTTAAGAAAGGAATGTTTTGATGAAGAAGCTGCCCTTGAGTTATGTAGAAGAACAAGGAAGGTTAAGCAGAAAATGGAGGGAAAGCATAAACTTTATTTAAAGAGGAGAATTGAAGCTTAGACCATTCTTTTAGTTTTATGAGTATATAGAAAATTATAACTTATTAGAGCTTCAATAAGCTGATAATAAACTTTACTGATTTTGCAATTGACGAACAATTGCATGTTTGCTGTGTAATCTTTCTTTTTTCCCCTTTTATTTTCCTTTCCTTTCTTTTCCACCATCCAAGGCTTAACATCTTTGTCAAGAAAGGAACAAGTTCTATTTCTGCCTTAATACTATTACAATGGCCGATATTTTCTTTTATTTTATCATTTTTAAGCCTAAATTATCTTCTTAATCACTTCTTCATGTAAATTCTTCATGATTTTCAATGACAATGACCAGTTTCTGAAGGGTATAATGGTCATTGACTAATTGGAAAAATTTGATGTTCTTGACTAAAATTTATGGACATCCCTTACTTCTGTGGTCAGCAAGGGCTACCTGAAAAAAACTAAAGGGGAGGGAAAAAAAATATAGGTAAAGTCATTATTAGAGCTAAAAGAAAGCAAAAGGAAAAAACCAAATGCTTGAGCTCTTGTGTTGTGATCTTGGCCAGAAAAGCTTTTTCTGTGCTTTATTCTCATTCGTGTTTTAAACCTGGTTTTTCATTTTCTTTTCTTTCTTCTACCTAAGCCCTGGTTAGCCATTTCTTGAATTTTTGGAACGAGTTTCACAGGGAGGCTGTAATCCAGATTAATATTCCATAGAACAATAAGCACTTTGCAGTAAAATGAGCTAAACCACAATCAAGATGAAGAGAGGTAACTAAAAAGTTTAATCTTGTGTGTGAAAGTATATAAAATAAGCTTAAGAGGCATCAGAGTAGCACTTTTGGTGAGCTAAAATAAACAATCTCACACAAGTTCTCTTTTGGTATAAAGATTGAAATGATTGCTAATCCTGAATTTGCTGGATCATTTCCTTGTATTGAGCTCAGGAAACGTAGAAAAAAAAAAAGTGTAGCATTTACTAAAATAATATTAATTAAGCAAAAACCTTTACTACCTTGCATCTATTTATTTTAATCATGTATTTCACCCTTTTTTTTATACTTGCACGAAGCCCGTATCCATTTTAACGCTCCACAGATCTGACTAATTCTCCCTCATAGGTAAAAAGTTTGGCTAGAGGACCTGCAAGTGCTTTTTGCCACTGAAATACCATATTAAGATGAACTAATATATTTCACCTTTTATAAATATTAAATATTTTATTTTTATTGAATTTCTAGTCCAAGAAATGAAATAATATGGAGAGGTTATTACATGAAACTAAAGTTATATTCTATTATAGCATACAAACTTTAAAAATATTTTTATTAGCTGCTGAAATTTGGGGACTGATAGTGGTAGTTGAAAACTCATGATTATGGTTAATTTAACAAGATAAATAAGATATTGTAATCCTAAACGGAAAAAACTTTTGAATTTTTTATTTTTATATTCCCATATCAAAGAAATTTTTGATTTTTGAAATTGAGTTTTATTTATTTTTTATTTCCAAATAAATTAAGAAGTCCTTAAAGAAAGGGAAAAGTAGTGAACAAGAAAAAAAAAAAATAAAAAAATAAAAAAATAAAAAAATTATTAGCCAAGTAATGTACACGTATAACTGGAAACACACACCACTATAAAAAACCCGAAAAAGTATCTTCTGGCTCCAATAAGGTTGGCTGTCTATAGGTCTCTCTCTCTCTCTCTCTCTCTGTCATACGACCAGAAGCTTCCAATCTCTAACAAAATATTAGGGGTTTTCTAGGGTTTAAAGCTTAATCCTCAGAACACCTAACTTACCAGCTCAAAGAACCGACCTTTCTATTATTATTATTATTATTATTTATAAACAGTAAAATCACACGAAAACCCTAAAACACACTCTCCAATGGTTCGCTCTCATGGTGTCAAGCTTGTTTCTTGGCTGGCTACCCGCTGTTCCTCTTCCAGCCTTTTTGAAGATTCAGCCAATTCCGTAGGATCCAGTCCTGAATTTCGATTGTTTTTTCCCTCAAATCTGTTAATATGTGCAACTTCTTAATTAATGTGTGAGTGTTTTGAATTTGTGTAATATGGCTAATTGCAGGTTTCTAAGAGTCTGTTAAATGGGAATTGTAGGAGATTCAGTAGTGGGATTAGAAACCCTGTAAAGGTTATTGGCAATTGTTCTCCCAAAAAAGGTACTCATGTTTGCTCTCTTTCTGTCTTGTTTATTGAGAAAGCTGGGGAATGCATTAGAAGTACGGGAACTTTGACCTTTGATGAATTGGGCATTGAGGAGACAAATTTGAGTTATTCATTAATATTAAGCTAGATATACTTGTTTGATCCCTTTTTTTATTTATATAAACTTGTTAGCTACTGAACAAAGCATTTTGGATGGTTTCATCTATGTTGGAAGTTTGTTAATGTGCAGTTAACAACAAAAACTGGTTGTTCCTGGGATATTTGAATGCCAATTTTGGTGCAGCGAGGTCAATTCATGCTTCTGGTATTTTAAAGATTACTCCTTGTTCAGTTTTATTTTATTTCCAGCTCCCCAATTTATGTGCTTTATGAGAACTTTTGTCATGGAATTGTATCATACGTTATAAAATCATGTACATGTTTTCATGTTGTTTCTGTTCAGCTTATATGTCAAGAGATTATTATGACGTACTTGGTGTTAGCAAGAATGCAAGTTCATCTGAAATAAAAAAAGCCTATTATGCGGTAAGTTTCTTGCTTATCATTCTTTTTTAACCTGGGTTGGTGTCTGCTTTACTGTTGTTGCTTTTGTAATTTGCTAGGGTTGCAGCTTCAACTTCCTGATTTAGATTTTACTTTTAATTTCTTGTATTCTGATTTTACTTATACTCTATTCTGCAGCTGGCCAAGAAACTACATCCTGATACAAACAAAGATGATCCTGAAGCTGAAAAGAAGTTTCAAGAAGTATCAAAGGCGTATGAGGTATTTTTTTGCAGATTTGAAGTCTTGTTTCTTTATCTAACCGTCTTACTTATCATATTTACTTATCATATTAAAGGACGCTTCTTTGTTTGTTCAATTCTTGTAGGTTTTAAAAGATGACGAAAAGCGGGCACAATATGATGAGGTACTTTATTTATTTTTGTTACACTATTTATTATAGGTTAAGTGAATGCCTCTGCTGAATTGCTTTTGTCTTAAGATGATCTTTGGCAAGGAAACATCTTCAATCATGCTCTTTTCAAGGAAACTACTTATTTTTTAAAATTATCATTTACTTATTAATATGACAGCAAGAGTTCAGAATAATTTCGAAGTCCTTTGGTTGGTTATGTTCATCATATTGTAGCACGTTCAGTTGGGGTTATTATGTTGTAGTTTATTTTTAGGAGTCTGGTCCTGTTCAATTAGGATTTGATGTTAACACCTTATTCTGCAGGATTTTAGGCTATAAACAGGGTTGTATTGTTCAATTTTAGAACCAGACTTCTGAGAAATATGTACTAGTTTGCTAGTACTTTCATGCTTGAGAAAAGTCAATTTGAGAGAACGAATGAGAGAATGAAAAAGAAAGGAACATCTAGATATAATAAAAGAAATTTTCATTTTAGGCTTTTCCGCTGAAGGAATGAGTTATTATAAGTTCATGCTGATTGGTGAAGTAGTGCATTGAGATATGTCATATATCATAAGGCCAAGCCATGCATCCATGCTTCTTTTGTATTCGTCTGTATGATTATTCATGAATACCTCTTTGTCTCTCTCATCTCATTTCTTTTCCAAAGTTGCCATGCATTAGATGCCAGGTAAGCAGAATATTAATTTTTTGTGTTATACAACTGAAATTTGCAGTATTTTGGTTGCGGCTGTTTTTGTTTTTATATAATGTGATTATAGCGATTCTCTATCTGGCTCGTGCTGATGTTGCCTGTGTACTCAATCTTTTAGGTTGGCCATGATGTATATGAACAGAATCTCAATGGTGATTTTCATCCTGGCGGTGCAGGATTTGATAATCCATTTGATAGCTTCTTCAGAATGGATGATGTAATAAGTTCTTCTTCTTCAGCTTCTATATCTTTGATTGTATTCTTTTAACTCACAGGTTCTTGTCAATAGTTAGTTATAATTTAATGCATCTGAAGTAAAACTTGTTAAGGTCCTGAACTTTTTATTTTCTTTCTTCTCTCTGCCCCTCTCTTGTTTGCTGGCTGGGGGCTGAGAGATCACATTCTGGTGTCCTGCACACTCTTGGCATTGAGAGTATCGCGGGGGGGAGAGACTATCAATATTAAAGCTGGGTACCGCTGAGCAATCATATAGTGAATGCAACTAGAACTAGTTCCTTTTTATCCCTTTATAAAAATTGTCTGTTTTTTCCTTTCTTATAAATTTTTTATCGAGAAGGATTTTTTATGGACACTGGTATCCTCAAGATATATATTTGGAAACAATGAAAAAATTTGAACGGTTTAAAATCACTCAATGCAGGAGTGAAAGAGATATTCCATCTGTATGTATGTATGACATGATTTTTGGCTCCTTTCTTATTGGGTTGTCTTTTCTTTCCCTTGATATTTGATTTTCTCTTTCTATAAAGTTTAAATATGCTTTTATGTGCATAATGACACGTTTTGTATGATGGAGATCAGATATTCAGCAATATCTTCAAGCAGAAGCTTGGCGGCCAAGATGTCAAGGTTTTCTCCACTTGCATGTTGTTTTTTATTTCTTTGGAATCTGGAATGAGTGTTTACTCAACTTTCCTTCTTTTACATCTTGCATAGGTTGCGGTTGAACTATCCTTTATGGAAGCTGTTCAGGGATGCACCAAAAATATTACATTTCAAACAGACGTCCCTTGTGAAACTTGTCGTATGTTTTTTTTCTGCACTTGCTATTATTTGCGAACTTCCTGATTTGGAATTTGTCACATGTGGGATTTTGTTTTTCACATGTTGCTAGCTTTCGAATTACTTTTTGAATCATAAGAGAGATTTCAAGAAATGGCAGAAGAGCCATTTTCTTTTTCAAATAGTGTCCGATCGATTATGGTCCAAGATTGATCCTGAAAATTTTTACAATAAAATTAGGTAGGTCTAAGGGGGTATCCCATCCTGTTTAACCTTTGGTTCCTTAATTTTGCAGGTGGAGAAGGTGTTCCTCCTGGGGTAAAACCTGAACTATGCAAGCGCTGTAAAGGCACAGGCATGGTTAGTTTTTGCAAAATAAATACTTGTGGACTGCACAGAAAGTTTTCTTTCTTCAGCTGACACTTTGATTTACTAATGTACAGGTGTTTACTCAAAAGGGCTTTATTAGCCTTCAACATACTTGTAATCAATGTGGTGGAGCTGGGCAAACTGTATCGGTATGTTGCAGAATGACAGTTATTTACATCTTGTCTTCTTTATTTCAAACTCTTTCTGATTTCTCATCATCCATAGAGTGATCTAAAAGGCTATTAACCATATGTGTATTAGGATAGACTTGTATTCTTATTATACTAGGACTATGCTATATGTAGCTATAAATATCAGCTTCTACATTTTCAGTTGGGTAATACCATAAATTAATCCTCTTGCTTGTGGCTAATACCCATATGCAGTCATGTCTTTGGCTTAATGATGCATTTGATGTTTAACATGCAATCTCTAGAATATTAGTAAAGAATTTGAAGCTTGATATCCATCAGTCTTGAGAGTTTAGTGTTTTCACCCTTTTTTGCCTCTTAGGATATTTGACCATATCTTTATGAACCATTAGTTATTCTTTTGACATTTTCTGTTAAAAGTAGACATGAATTCTGGATCTTATTTCTCTTAAAATTTCCTATCCACATTCCCATCCTAGTTCTAGAAACATTTCATTGCAATCGCACCGTTCTGGATGGTTTCACTAGATTGTGGAAATCTGCTTGCAACTCAGCTACATTTATTACATTAGATTTCTACTCGCGTTTTTAGAAACAACCATCCTATTGAAAATATATTGATATTTTAGAGGTTGGGTTTACCTTTAGATGATTACTTATTGCTTCTTATCAAATTGATCAAACAACTAGTGAAAATATTTTTCTAGTTTATCTTTTAATATTATTGCTGAATTTTTCTAATACTACTTTTGGTATCAGAGTTTTTGCAGGTCATGCAATGGACGTAAAGTTGTGAAAGGAACAAAGTCAGTTAAATTGGATATTGTGCCAGGTATGTTTGTAGAACTTGAATCCTATTAAAATTCCTTGTCTGTTTCATACAAGTACATGTGCTGTATACTTATCATTCATCTTGCATTCACATTCCAGAGTAAGCATCTTGCAACTAAAGTATTAATTTATGTTGTTCTGTTTTCTAAGATTGCTTACTTCTTTTCCCAACAAAACGTTTGTGAGTAACTTCTTATATTTGGTATGTGGCTGAAGTCCCTTCACCTCTAAAGGGATTTTAACCCTATAAACTAACCCACTTGAATATGAACAAAAAGAACGGTTGACGCCCAGGAAAATTCTTTTTTTATTGGAAAATAAACATGCTGACTTGTTTGACCAGCTTATGAATATTGTTAGAAAATGTTTCCTTTGTGTGAAAGTTGGCTATTTCTCCTAACCTTGGTTGCAAATAAGTTCTTAAAATTGTTGTAATTTTCACATCTCAGTATATATCTTTCATCAGGTATGATGACTCAATCAATGAGCAGTGGAGATACCTTTCTATAGTTTGTTGTTTCTTGTCTATCGTTGTGATGGATATCTGTTGGGTTTTGGACTTGATGTGTTGCTCTGTGCTATCTGTAGGAGTGGATGACAATGAAACCATAAAGGTCCCTAGAAGTGGTGGAGCAGACCCGGATAGAAACCAACCTGGCGATCTTTTTGTAACTATCAGGGTAAAATTGACATTCTTGATGCATTATAGTGCTTTATATTATGTTTTTCGTTATTCCTTACTTGATTGTGAAAGATGAGTATGTGCTATGGAGCAAAGCATGCATTGGATCCTGGCTAGGAATTAGGAAAGTGAAATTGTTTTGTAGGTTGAAAAATAAGCAACGCGATTTCGTTGCAGGATGATTTGGTTGGGTACTTCTTCTGATTATGTTTGCTTTTGTTTGGTATGCATGGATGGCATCTTTATAATGTATTCATTTAGCATAAAATTTGGTGTACAGGAGGACAGTTCTAAGTTGCAGCCATCTGTTTAATGAACAAACTGTAGATCATTTACTATCGCATAGCTGAGTCATTGGGAAGTATGCTGTTTGCCCTGATGGGACAAGCTAATAGCCTTAAATGATTGCTTGTGAACTGGAGGGTCCAAAAGATGAAAGGAGTGATATGGAGGATCATCTACTGTATCAATATCAGATGTAATTAACGGAGGGGAGGGGAGGGGAATGGAGGTCCCATTGCATGAGTCTACATTTTGAGAAAAAACTGCTCATGGCTGTTTTTTTTTTTTTTTTTTTTGTAGAGTCCAGTGGGCAGGACAGGTTTCTAGAGTTGTAGGCCATCTGTTATAATGAACAAACTGGTAGATCATGTGTACCTGAGTCTGTCTATCACGCGTGGAGTGCCATTGGGAAGGTTCAAGCTAGGCACTGTGAGGTGTTGCACTGAATTGGGAGGACAGGAAGCTAGGATAGAGCGCGGCTTGGTGAGTAGTGATATGAGTGATGTGTGAGTGCTGGAGGGGGAGTCCAAAGATAAGATAAGAGAGTGGAAGGTATGGAGGATTGATGCCAGTAACGTGGTATCTAATATACAGGAATGAGTATATTAATACGAGGAGGGGAGGGAGGGGAATGGGAGGTCCCATTTGCAATGAGTCTACATTTTGAAGAGAAAACTGCTCATCGGTGGGTTTTTTTTTTTTTTTTTTTTCTCTATTTCTTTTTCATGAATGTTTTAATATTATGTTTTCATTTTCTCCTTTTCTTTCTCATTTTCTGTTTTTTTCTTTGTTTCAATTTTACTACCTGTGGCGATTGTTTTCTCTATTTGGCTGATTATGCTTTTTTTTTTTTTTTTTTTTCTCTATTTCTTTTTTCATAATGTTTTAATATTATGTTTCAATTTTCTTTTCTTTCATTTCTGTTTTTCTTTGTTTCAATTTTACTCCTTGGATTGTTTCTTTTTGCTGATCATAAACTATTAAGTCAAGCTATATTTCTATTTTTTGTCCTATGTTACTGAACATTGTTATCACTTTCTTTCTTTTGCCCCCAGGTTCGGGAAGATCCTGTTTTCCGAAGAGAAGGCTCTAACATTCATGTAGATTCTGTTCTTAGTGTCACTCAGGTAAAATTTCTTTGTTATGTTTTCAATTCTTAAAAGCAGCATGGAAATTCTAAAAGCATCAATGTCTTTATTGGCGCACTCAATAGTCGGTACAATAGTGATTAGACATCATAGTTTTCAACTTTCAATATATTAGAATAAGTCATTGGTTTTGGCAATAAGTGAGGTCCGGTGCTGTTTTCAAGTCTTTCTTTGTAGAAACTTGTAAACAGCTCCATGCTGCTTTATTTGCAGTGCCTATTGCAACCCACAAATCCCCTTGAATGTATCTGTTTGTGATGTTCATTGAATTGCTCTTTCGCAGGCAATCTTGGGGGGAACTATCCAGGTCCCTACTCTCACAGGAGATGTTGTATTGAAGGTATGCTGAAACCATTTTACACAATTAATTTTTGCTCAAAAATTAAGCTGGTCATCATGCAGCCAAACTTGTTTATATTTTCAGGTTCGCCCTGGCACTCAGCCTGGCCAGAAGGTGGTTCTGAAGAAAAAGGGTGAGGACACTAATACTTGATGTCGTATTGTATTAGTTCCATGCATCTTTTTGTGATGTTAAAACTTCAATTAGTGTGTACTTGGCCACTGGCTGTTCAAATTTCATGGGTTCAGTTGAGTGGTAGCTTGTGTTGATAGCATTTGTTTGTTGTGTGCTGTTGCTTTATAAGTTTTGAGCCATTTGATCTTCGTAGGTGATTACTTATAAAATTTTGGGACTGAGCTTTCTTAGGATTTCGAATATATGACTCTAGAAAGAATTTGTTTGGAAGCTTATCTTTTAAACTGGTTTTAGGTAGAATGCTCATGCTTTTGTTATCCTTCTTGACCTATTTTTGGACTTGCATTCAGTTAGAATTTTGTGTTAATTTGTTGATTTGGTGCCTGGTTGATTTGTTGGTAGGCTAGGTTATTCATTCATTGATTTGGTGTCTGTTGACAGGGATTAAAGCACGAGGCTCTTATTCATTTGGTGACCAATTTGTGCACTTCACAGTCAGCATTCCAGCGTAGGTTTTCTACTTTCAGTATACTGATTTTACAATGTTTACTCTTCTTTATATATGCTGGTGTTGTCTGGTATCCAGTTACGACAAATGGGTAATAAAATGTCAAGTTACATGGATCTTTTGGGGATTATGGGCAATATGCAATCATCATTACACATCCATCTTTTAATGAATAATTTGCTGATGCCATTTCTGCAAGAAAACAAAATGCCTGATAGTCAAGTAATTTTTCTACAGGAACTTGACTCCAAGACAACGCGAATTGATTGAAGAGTTTGCCAAAGAAGAACAAGGTGAGTATGAAAAACGTGCTGCGGGAGCCTCTGGGTGAAAGACAAGTGCAAAATTTTGCCTGCGAATAACAATTCCATGGTTTGCAAGAGAGAAGCAAAAAGATAAAGAATAGGAAGAAAAGTCGTATTAATACCTGACCTGTATTGGAAGTTTTGTAGGAGAATTTATCTGAGTCTATATTCAAACTTTTGTTTATTTTGTAAGGAATGTAACATTTTTCCTCTTAGAGAGCACAATTATACTAATATTATTTGAGGTCCGAAACATAGATCCCTTCATTCAAATACAATGATCTTGTACATATATTTTACATTGAATGTTACCATAAATGTGGAGTGGATGCCCACATGCAGTATATTGAGACTGAAATTTTGGTTCCCAACGCTTGTGAGGTATTTTGATTGGTGATTTCTGGTTGCTTTAGTAGGCATTTGCAAGATGATAATCCATTCGACCTTGAGAAATTCTTATTGTGCAGAAATAGCTTAGGTTGCTTGAGTGGGTACCTAAAAGTTATATCAAGGCTCGGGTTGGAATGAACTTTATTTCACTAATCTTTAATTTCTCCCTTTATTTTTTTTTTTTAAGTTATATTTTATGCCCAATGAAATTATGCCTGCTTGTTTCTTAAACTCTTATTTTGAGTTTGGGAATAGAATGTTAGAGAAGATGATAACAAAGATCATTTCAGAACTCCAAAAGGAGCAAACATTTTTTTCTTAAAAAAAACAGAGGAAATATTGAAGGGATCAAGAATGACATTTACTCTTATTATTTGAAGTATATTTGATTACTGTTGATATATACTCCCTCCATAGTCCACTTTCTTTCACAAATTAGTAAATGGAAGTTATTATAGTCAGTGGATAATATTATTATTATAATTTTCCTATAATATCCATTTTAAATAACACGAGTAATTCTTTTCAAAAAAAAAAAAAAAAATTTTATTTTTTCATGCACCAAAGTGAATAGTATGCCTGCAATCTGGCATTGGTTCTTGAAACACTCACTCTCATATATTTGGTTATTTGCGTGTAAAAGGGAATGTTAAGAGGGAAGGATGAGCTAAACAAAGATCATTTGTCATCGAACCTCCAAAAAATGGGAAGCCAAGACATGTTTTTCACGTTTACATAAAAGTATACAGACAGAGGCTACTTCAAAAGAGGTAATCAAAGAATTGCACATTTCTACTTCTTATATAATCTTGAAAGATGATAATTGGATTACTGTTGGATCAATATCTATCTCTTCACTTCCAATTTCTTTTCACAACTATAAGGTTAAAAGTTGGCAAGTTATTTAGATACACAATGTCTAGGTAGGTAATAGAGATTGATTATTCAATAAACATATTATAACACTTATATAAATTAAATCTCCATTTTAATACAATATAGAATAGAGCTTCTTTTCAAAAGAGAAAATAAAAAAAAAATAACAACGAGTAATTAGTTAATAATTGGGAAATTAATAGTAAAATCCTATATTAGGAATAATATACAATGGAAAATTTACAAATTCGGCAAGTTAAATGATATGATATTTTTAAAAGGAAAAAAAAATGGAACAAATAAGCTATTTAAATTAAATAAAATTATGAATTGGAAGTTAAATTGCATTATAGGAAAAAGGATGTGATATTATGAGGATGAGTATGAATATAAGATAAAACTTGATAAGAGCTAATTAGATAAGACGACTCCAAATATTTAGTTAACTATAGATGTAAAAGAAAAAAATTTAAATTGAATAATTGGACCTATCTCAATTTATTTTGATAAACAGGACAAACTGAAATAATATTGATCTGTGATATTAGAAAATGGTCGGCCTGAACGAATTCCATTACTTCAAAAAAAAAAAAAAAAAATAACACGAGTAATTATTATATTGAAATAATAATAATCATATTGATAATATACAATGGAAAATACAAATTGCAGTTAATGAGATGTTTAAAAGGAAAAAAAAATGGAACAATAAAGCTATTTATTAAATAACATATGAATTTGAAGTTAAATTGATTTAGGAAAAGGAATGAATTAATGAGGATATATGAAAATAAGATAAAACTTGATAAGAGCATGATAGACGATCCAAATATTAACTATAATGTAAAAAAAAAAAAATAATAATAAGTGGACTATATTTTGAAACAGACCAAAACTGAAAAATGATCTGATATTGAAAATCGGTGAACGATTCCATTACAAAACAAAGGTAACAGTACCAGCCACCATCGAGAAGGTTGTCTAACTTAAAACGGTGAACAGATCAAAGGATGTAACAACTATAACAAAATCAAGCAAAAACAAGTACAAGAATACTGATCCACTGACAACTTCGTCAATTTGTATTCTGTACCTAATTAGACTACTTTGAAAATCTATTCTGCAGTTCATGCTAAACCAAGGATGCTCGTTGAACCTACAAGCCTATTTATTGAGGAAAAAATAGAATGCAAATGACGTATCTTTTGGCAACTCTCATTGTTCTTCAACCTCCAAATATCATTTTATGGCTGTTGATAACTCACATACTAATTAGAACTTGCTACTTTCACGTAAAAAATAAGCCTTGCTGCTACCCGATCAAAATCAATGCCCAGAATTTCAAGCTGCAGCTTTTGGTTTTGCTTTCTGTTTCTTGGTATCCAAAGATGCTAAGCCCTTGCCCAATCCAACAGGAGCCTGATCTTCTTCTGCTGGTACTTGGTCTTTTGGTGCATCTACAGGCTCATTAGACGGTTGACCATTGGCTTCCTTCTTCACACCATTTGACTCCTCATTGTCAACTGCATCAGGGGTCATCCCTGAATTAATGATGTTGAGGAGATGTGTAAGTGGTGGCAAAGCTTGAACAGGAACACCATGTGGTCGAATCAAGAGGCCCCTAGCTGCTGCTTTCTTCCTAACTTCTGCTGCTGCACGAGCAGCCCTTTCATCTACTCCTCTGCCCCGAGGTAGATTCTCACCAATTATTGCTGCATTAAGGGATTTGTTGATGGAAGCATTCGAACTCCCAGATCCTCCTGCAGCAGCAGCTTGGAATGCCTGTATCAGGTCAGGATGGGCCTGCCACACAGATCCTAGAATCACTATCTTCAACAGAAACATATTAAGCATAGAGTGTATCACAGAAACAGTTGGTTGACTTTGGTGGTGGTGTTTATATTCTATTGCAACAGCAATTTCTATGCAAAATAATGAGCTCCAGTAGAATGCATGTGCAGTGGCTAAGTTCTATTTAACCTTATGCATTCAATCAGAGACACAAGGGCTGTACAAAGCTGACAGAACCCTGAATCTTGAATCAGCTAAAACCAAGAATGGTTAATTGTGCACAAACAGTCACATGTAACCATCTTATAACCCCAAAATTTGATTAAAATAAATAACAGAAAAGGGAGAACACCTTCAAGATATCAATTGCCTTCTGAGCAGAAGCTGCATTCAGAGCCTGGCCTTTCTGCTTTTGAGCATTCAACTGTCAAATAAAAAATCTAGAAGTTGAGGTAAATTGATAGAGAAACTGAAAACTAAGCATATTTTACAACTGCACATCAACCTGAAGTTCACGCATCTTAAATGTCTTCATCCAGTTATGGGAATCTCGCGTTCTCGAGTCCTCTTCACCAAGTTGCTTAACAAGTATATCATAAGTTTTTTTCTCATGCTGTGCAAAATAAAAGCTATAGTCAATTATATGTCGTTAGCTTTATCTTTAAAATAGCACAAGAAAATTTTGTGATAAGAGATAACATGCCTGGTGTGAGAGCTTGAATGCCCCCATGCAGTTAAATGCAATAGCAAGAGCATGATAGCATACAGCAGTCTGGATATGCTCTTCTCCTAGAAGCCTTTCATTCTTTTTCAAAGCCTCTTGCAGATAGCGAAGAGCTGTGTTCATCTTCCCAACAAAAATATCACAGATTAGAACATGATAAACAAAGAGATTAAGTACTTAAAAAATATACTGTGTTCTCCTCCAAGTACTCAAGCATTAAGTGTATTGTGTTCTCCCCTTTTTGTCATCATAAAAGAGGGTTAGTAAATTAGAACAAAATGGAAACAAAAATAAATAGAGCTAGGAAAATTCTAAACAGAGTACAATAAAAAAGACTACAAACACAAATAGAAAATATAGTAAAAATAAAAAAATATTCACAAAACAAAATAGAAACACAGTCAGAATAGATTAGAAAGAAATCAAAGAGATTTAGAATCAGTTCTGAGTCTTTTAGAACTCCTGAGATTCTGAGCAGGTGAAGTCTCAGCTGGATTCTCAGAGCTTTTAGAAGAAGGATGCAGAGGAGGTTTTCTTCCAGTTAAACCATATAGCTTCCGCATCAAGTTATTATTTCCATGTAATTTATTACCTTTTTCATATAAAAAAACCCTTCTTTGGATAGCGATTAATGAAATAAATTAATCAAAGGGAGAAACTCTGTCTAGAAGCATTAAATTCAATATAAATTATACTTTGAATAAAGAAAAGCAAATCTAATATTACAAATTGGAATAGAAATTAAGCTACATCAAATCCCTAGTATGAGAGTTTAGTTCAACATAGTAATGAAATAAAACTCAATTAAATCTGTAAATAATCCCATAAAGAATAATAAACAAAAAGTATAAGAGTGAATTTATGCATTTCACTATTTATTTTGATCACAAAATGAATGTGATCCCTAGGCTTCATCCCATGGAATTTGGTTGGTAACCAAAGCACTCTAGTGCTGACATAAATCCTATCTCAACGTAAGGATTCATTTTTAAAATACATTAAAACCGCGAATTTCTCAAATGCAAGCTAGTCGAATTATAGTAATTGAAAAGAGATTTTCCCTTCATTGGTGTCACCACAAAACGAAGTCCATGGAGATGAACTGCTCTGCGTTTAATATGTGTTTTGATATCAAAAATAGTTATTGCTTTAAAATCAAACAGAGAAAGAAGAGGGGAAAAGGCCAACTGCAGTATTTCAATTATTTCAAGAAATTAGAAGAGCAAAGAAAAGGAACCTGTGGAGCAGTATCAGGGTGGTTTTCCCAGGCAACGTTCATTTATGATTATTCCTTGTTGCTGTGTATTATTTGCTCCAGCCATATCTCCCAGGCATGAGATACAAAACCAGTGCCAACGTACCCTAAAAACGTGAATTATGAAGAACATGAACAGACCAATATTGCCATAATAGGAATAGTACAAAGCTATGAAGAATAGCAATCTTCAACATCACAAATTACAAGACAAAAAACAAATAATTTCAGACAAATAAAATCTTAGTGGCTGTCCCTATATCAAAGGGAATGAAACAAGTAACTAAAAAGCTTCGGCCATAATTTTGAGTATTTACTACCTACAACAGTTGCAACCTCTCTGATGCATTGGACCAGTCACCTGAAAGTCATTAAAAAAATAATGAGCACATGATGACTTTGACGACTTCTTCAAGGAAAAATAAAGAATATGAAAGCATACCTGTTTGAAGAATGGAAAATGCTCGGAGATTAATGTATAGGCTTCACTAAGCCAAACCCTGAACCAGAAAAAAAAAAAAAAAATTCAAATTAAAAAAAGAAGTGCTACCCTTGTCAAGATTATATTATATCCTACATTATTTGCTATAGAGTTGTTTTACAGCACCACAAAAAGAAAAAATATACCAGGCTTTTCATGCTTCATAAGTTGAAATCCCATAAAATCATGGCCTTGAATTCACTAGAACTTCAAAAAATACGGGGACAATAAAACTCCAAGGCATCCCATTGATCATCTTTACCCAAAATTAAATATGTGCTGAACTTTCAAGTATAACTTCAAAAAGTATACATATAGTTGTTTATTACTAAACAAATACCATGGCTGGATTTTTTCAAGTAACAACATGGTTTCATTAGCACCTTCATACAGTAATAAGTTTTTGGCCTTTAATTATATACCAGATTGTTACTTGTTCTAGTACTTGTTATTATATTTATTATTGCAATTTTAGTTTATATAAAGTTTATCGTGTCTTTTTAGAGATAATAAAGATCATAATAAGTCACTGAGGAGATAAATGCAAAAAAAATGCACAATATATCTCTTACCCCATTTTTAAGAACATTGCATTTTTTGATTATTAAGTCTGAGATTCAACTATTACTAGTTTCATATATAATATATATAATATATATATTATATATACTATATATATATATATATATATATTATATATTATATATGCATAACCTATTATTTATTTATTAGTTTTCAAAATATAAAAAAATTCATTTTTGAACCAGAATTTTGTTAAAATATTGATTATTATTATTTATTTTTTAAGTCAATTAGGATTTTAATTTAAATTAGGAAACAAGCGCATAAAACTAATCAAATTTGAAGATTGCATATTACCGAACTATTACAAAGTAATTACTTTATAACTATATTTATTTTATTATTTTCAAAAATATAAAAATTCATTTTTAACAGAATTTTGTTAAAATATTGATTTATTATTATTTATTTTTAAGTCAATAGGATTTTAATTTAAATAGGAAACAAGCATAACTAATCAAATTGAAGATCATATTACGAACTATTACAAATAATTACCTTTATTTTTTTTTTAACCAATGAAATTTAGTAGAGATATTTTTACCAATCCCAATGTTCTTTTTTCCCCATCTTACTTTTATATATATTATAATTTTTTTAAATAATGAATGACTCTGATGTGCCAATCACGTAACACTTGCTAGCTAGTATAGAGCATACCTCAGCCAATTGAACTTTCCCTGTTTCCACAAGATCCTTAGCTTCTGAACACACTGGAACTGAGTGCTTCACCACAGGTTGGAGATCTAAGATATCTGAAGTTTGGAAAGGTGTTGCAGCATTAAGATCGTATTTGCGAGCTGCAACAGAGACTCCCACCTATTGAGGAAACCACATAAAATCAAATTATTCCTTGCTTAGAAATATAAGCTCACTTCGAGGGCAAATTTTATTGTGAATTAGCAGTAATAAATATAATAAGCAGCCATGATGTTAAGGCAAGCTTTTCTCCAGTAGAAAACATTAGTAAGACTTTCTATGCATACCACATTTTGAAGATAAGCATTTCAACAAGCACAGGATGAAAATGCACACAATACAAATGTTCAAGATAACATTCCAACCAGAATTTTCATATTCACATATCAATTGATGAAGATAAGATCAAATTACCTTCAGGCAAAGATTACGTATGACTGAAACCTTCTTTACTCGTGACCTTGCATCCTCTGGCAATTCAAACTAGGCAAAGAAGGAAATTCAGTTTCAACATATTATGCTATTCGACAAAAACAATCACATGAAATGTTGTGCAGCATGAATGACTGCCTGACATAAAAGGAAATAGAATTCATAACTAACAGTACGATCCCAACTTTTCCCCAACTGTCCATTAAAATCAACCTTTACAATTATGTGAATGTTCATTGCTCAAGTAGAGGACCTACACTCAAGTTAATGGTAAACGATACCTGATATTTGAGTTTTGTGAACTCCCGAATGTCAGACCATACTGTCTCTGAATTAATATTTGTATATGAGGTTTGATTCTTTCTTGCAGATGCTCCTTTCCACCTTGTTTGGCCCCTAGATTTTCCTGAAGATTGATGGTTGCTTTCCTGCAAGTATTTAAACATAACCAACTTCAATCACTTAACTCTTCCAATAAGATATACGATCCAAGCGATTCATTTCTTTTTATTCCTTATTTCTTCATTATTATTAAATAAAAAAATCACATGGAACAAATCATAGGACCGCTGTTAGTTGAACTAGTTTTATCAGAATGCAAAATCACCTTGCAAATCAAGCATTAACTGATAAGAACTTAGAACTGAAAATCATTCCCTGATCAAACTAAAATAAATCATGAAACTATCTCGAACATACTTTCTTTTGTGTCCTTGGATGTGAACTATTAGCAGCCATTTTTACACCAACAGCTTGACAATTTCCAAACAAGCAGTTGAAAAAATGTGAGATTACTGGCCCAAGATCATGATCCTCTGTATCTCTCAATACATCCTGTGTCATCAGAAAATATTATAATCACAGTAAATCACTAGTCATCAGAAGCACAAAATTGAAGGCATGTGACTGGAATTACAAGACAGAGCTACAAGCTGCTGATAAAAATAATGAGATGTTGAAATGAGTAAGATAGAGATGATCACCTTGAGGATGTGCTTAGCAGATCTGACTACGATTTCGTTAGAACAAAGATCCCATAAATGAGGTAAATGTTTTGTCCCTTCAGCAACCTGAAGATATGATCTATTACCTTGAGTCAAAAGCTATAACTTGATAAAAAAGATGGATAGATAGGGAATGTATATGGCTCGATTCTAATTCCACCAAACACTCCTCATTAATCAGAATGCATGAAGCAGTGTTACCACATAGCCATTAATTAAAACTACAAGTTTACCCTTCCAATGTAGCGCACGTTAATTCCATGAGCATGTAGAGCTTCAGTAAGAGTCTGCCCATCCATAGGTGACACTTCAAGGGTGCAAAGATCTTGGATGAACTTAGGAAGCACAGTATCAGCTAGATATGAACTAGCTTTCCTCACATTCTCTTCATCCTTTGCTATCTCCTAGTGAATGACAAAGGAAAATAACAATATCATGATAATTTTAGTTTCAAAGGCCATTAAATAGGGAAAAAACTCCTGGCAAAAAACTCACCTCTGGACTCCCATCTAGCTTAAACTCGGTAAAAACGTTAGGATTGAAAAGTATTTCATCATTTGTTTCAGTTTTTACCGAAGGAACAGAAGCACATTCTTCAACAGTTTCAACCTTTCCCTCTTGTATCATCTCCTGTAGACCGATAAGGAAGTGAGAAACCAAAAAATTTCAGTAAATTGCTAGTATGAATTCACAGAAAGGATCTGTTCATCATTATATACTTTGAACAGATAAATATGCTTGTATCTTATCACACAACTTAGTTTCACACTACTTCAAGATGTACTTCAACATCTTAAGAAATAGGGAATAAGAACAGAACAAGTTTTTTCATAGATGCTTGTAAACTTGATTTTTTTTTTTTTTCCATTTTTACTTTTGCGCCTCGAATGTCCGCTGGCGAGCAACCTCACAGAAGCTATCACCTCTGGGTAGAGGTGCACAGTTTTTTTTCATAGATGCTTGTAAACTTGATTTTTTTTTTTTTCCATTTTTACTTTTGCGCCTCGAATGTCCGCTGGCGAGCAACCTCACAGAGGCTATCACCTCTGGGTAGAGGTGCACAGTTTTCTTGTGCGCCCTCTCTGTATCTTTTTTTTCTTGAACAGTCACCTACGATTTTCTTTCAATATAAACTTGTCTAGCTAGCATAAGAAACAGATTGCAACGCATAAACCAGTAATGTGTTCTACAATCCTCCATCACTCCTCCATCTTGCAGTCGCATCCTGCAAACCAGCCTCCAGCCAGTAGCCTCTCTTTCAATTTCTCTTCCTATATCTACTTTCTATTTCCTTTCTTCTATATTTTCCCCATGTTCTTAATTCTACTCCTTTCTCTCTTAACTACAATACCCTAAAATTACGCCGTTATAATGCTGACTTTTTTTTTTCTAATTTATGTGTCCTTTTTCCATGTGTTTCTGATTTTTTTTTCCCAATATCTTAAAATATAACTTTCAGATTTATGCATGTTTTTTGTTTGTGCCCCACCTCGCTTGGGCACCCGCATTCACCTACAGGCTAGCACCTAGGCTCCTGCAGCCATTCATTACTATAGGGAAGAAAAGTGGAAAACCCTAAATTACTATGGGTAAGAAAATTCTGAATTACTATTCAGGATTTTCAGCAGCCCATAGTGTGGCTTGAGCCTTATGCTATGGGTAAGAAAATGCACAAGATAGCTGCTGGACACCCTGAATAGCAAAAGCAGCAAAATTCTAGATTTTGGAAGGTGACCTTAGTAACACCAGACAGTTCCACAACAAGAATCAATCCAATCATATGCATCAATAAAACAACTTTGTAGTTTGAAATTACTGTTGCTTCAACTACCCTGGCAAATAGAATATCTTATTACAGTTAAATGCACGATCTATCACCACAAGAGACCGACTATCAGACCAAACATAACTTGGCAAAGTTAAGGGAGGTGCAATTTTGTGAGATGAGACGTACAACCACAATAAGTAAAAGGATACGACCAGTACTCTCTAGAGCATGCAACAGATGATGAGTTTTAAGGGGAAGCACCAAAAATACAAGATCAACATATGCATACTTACCTGACTGGCAGCAGAAGCTGAGGGAATGTTTGCATCAGGTTTCACCTGTTCATCAGCTCCAGTAACTTCTGAAGACTCTTCAGTTGCATGAGCCTCTCCTTCAGATTTAGACCTACCCTTTGATTTCTTTACAGCTTCAGCCTTCTCCACGAAGACAAAATAACATAAGCAATATAACATGGGAAATCAATCAACCAAACATTGACTCAATACAGGTAAATAGCAACACACCTGGCAAAAGGCAGCAATTAGTTCTGGTCTCAAGATGCAAAATCGGGATCCAGGTCCAGTGTAGTTTGAATCACGAGGAGTTACTCTCATCAAGTCCAGCAGATAATGCCTAGAATTCAAATAATGAGAAGCCCAAGAAGATGGGAACATTAGGCATAAGGCAATACAGACTTTAGAAGCAATCTAATCCAACAGATGCGTTACACCTGAGCCTAAACCCAAAGCACAACAGTTATGGATCCAGAAACTTGTTCACTCATTAAGAAGCTAAAATTTGAATTGAAAGCTACACAATAGACAGAAGACATTTCACACTTTATATATGCACATTCTGTAGTAAATTTCCCTCATATTTAGCTTTTTGCAAAAAATTGAACACAACTAAAGTCTACAGAAGAATGCTAGCACTCAAGTCAGGCAGTTGTTGAGTTCATGATACATATGCGAGTAGGATGAAGAGAAGCACGAAAAAAATCAGCAAACTGAAAGAGAAAAATAAAGATAACAGGATAAATCACCTGTCATCACTACCCACAATGCCCTTGCACTCTACTGGCGCAGCTAATTTGAAAACATTTCCAGATCCATCTACAACCTCATGTTCCTTTAGATGGAGGCGTTTGGCTGCTTCAAGCACCTAAAGACATATAAGTTCTTCCATAAGAAACAAATTTAATTGATATATGGTAACCAAGAACCTAGAAACAATAAAGCTACACCTTAAATGGAAAATATTTCAAGAGATTCATGTTCATGACTCGGAAAATAAAAATATACTCTCACAGGGATGATAAAGCAATTAATAAACCTAGCAGTTATGCTCAATTTATTGTTGCAATTTTAAATGCATAACATGATAATTAACTTCTATCTCACCTTGGAATGAAAATCTTCATTCCAGCATATTTTCTTGCCATTGTCAACAGAACCATACAGAAGGGAGTCTGATTTATCCCCTTGAAGAATGCCAGGTAAAACACTCTACAGCAGAATGCATAAAGAATTAAATGAGAACATGGATAGTAAAATCTTTGACAACTCTAAGCATGAAAATATATAAAAAACAAACTCAATTGGAGGCAAGAAAGATAGATATCAAAGGTTCCAAAGAGTAAACTTCAGTAGTAAATATGGTCTTATAATCCATATTGGCAAACAGTAGACAAGATTGATAAAACAATAATGACAATTTCATAAAAAATATAGTTATTTGTAATCATATTTCAATGAAAATATATGTAAAATATTTGATGCATATCTAGAAATTGGAATGTGCATGAGAGACAATAATGGGAGAAGTTTTCATCTTTAATGCAGACCTGAGCCACCACTCTATGACCTCTGTAATCGATTATAGCCATGGCAAGGTTATAAAGTCCAGGGACATCAGCTTCCTGGTAGGCCTTGGTGCCTTTCAGATCATTGTTTGCAGAAGCATATGTAGCCTGCTCACTCTCAGCTAGCTGGCTTTCAGAAGATAATTGACTTGATTCTAGAACACCATTACCTTCTCCTGTAGCTGATCCCTCACATTGCCCATTGGACAATCTACCAGCCCCATCTGTCAAATCAGTTGCAACCTTTTCTGATGGATTTAGTGAAGATGCAACATTCTGTGTCTTTGAATTAAAATCTACACTATGTTTCTTGGATAGCTGTTCAAGGTCAGCATCCACAGCAAAACTGAAGAATATATTGTTGTGAACGTACCTAGAAACAAAACGCACCAAGTCACTACAAGCAGTTATGAAGAAAAACTACTAAACAAAAAATGGTTAAACACAAATTCTATATAAATTCCAATTAGCATGGCTCATAATCATTCAAAAACAACAGTAGCAAAACATCTATTATAATGCCTAATCAAGGAGTATGAAGACAAGCGAGGTGAGGTTCTCAAAAAAAGTAAACAGAAATTCAAAACATATTCAAGGTCCCACTAACATGTGAAAGCACTCTGGATCAGTTGGATTAATTGGGGGGATACATCTACTGATGACTCCTATGGCACCGCTAATTGCTGCATCAACAAAATCAGAAGTGACTTTGTAGAGAGCCCTATCCCGCAAGATCCTGCAACAAATTTAACCTGATAACGATGGCCAAAGTGAAACCAAATAATAGAAAATGTATGTTCTCTGAACTGCAAAATATTTATCACTTTAAACACTATCTGAACTGAGATTAAAACAAAAAAAAAAAAAAAAAAAAAAAGAAAAAAAAAAAAAAAACTTTCTGAGGCGTCGTTATGGGAAACGTCGAAAATTGATGGACAATCCTCAGTTCCAATTTCTCTTGATGCCAATCCAACTCACTTACCTTACGAAAGGTCAGTGTATTCCGTCATGCTCTGGCTGCGATCACGTCAAAAAAAAAAAAAAAAAAGGAAAAGAAAGAAAAGAAAAAAAAAAACCTTTCTTGAGGCGTCGTATGGGGAAACTCTCGACATGATTGCAACTCCTCGTTCCAATCTCTTTGCATGCCAATCAACTCACTACCATACGAAAGAGTCAGTGATTCCTCTGCTCTGGCTGCATCACGTCTGTGATCTGACAAGAGAAGCTCCTTATGATCACTTGAGGCGAACATCAAATGGCAAATAAACATCTAGCACAACTGATTTGCTTTCGTAAAATAAACTAAAACATCTGAATGTATGAACAGTATTCATAATCTAATCCAATGAGATAACAATATAAAGTATGACGTAACTTCGAGTTTAAAGCCAGATATGGAAAGCAAGATCTTGGTTAAATCATTGAAGATGAATGAAAATTTATTAGTGTTCTAAAAAAAAAATGATATATTGGAAAGGAAACTCTAATGATAAGAAAATTCATGCTAAAACTAATAGCAAGTACCAATCATCTAAAGTGGCTCAAACACCAAAACATATATGACAATGACCAAGAACTTGGGAGTTCAATTTTTTAAGAAATCATCAGGAAGGAGACTCAAAAGCAACATGATTTCAACAACTCAGAAGCCTAATATCATTAATGTAGAGATTAAAGCTTGGGAAGTCAAGCTTACCAGGAACTGGGTATAATCCTAGCCATGAATTTGGTGGCAGAAGAGATTGAACATTTTCAAAAGGATGTGCAGAGGCCTTTTTCTCCAAAATTTCTCGAAAAGCTTCAAAATAATAACATTTGATATTAAGGGAAAAAAATAAACCAGTCAAACAAATGCTAAAAATATTTCAAGCTCCACAAACTGCAAAGCTTCTCAACTATTTTCCTTTACCTTTTTTGAACTTGGAGCTAATTTTTTGCAGGACTCCAATAAGAGTTGTTGCTTCAGAAGTAGCTTTATTCGGCCTTGGGTCAAGGACATTGCCGGTACTTGAATTGACATAGAAAGTTTTGGTTGTTCCAGTTATACAATATTTGTTACCTTCTAATGTCACTATATCCAAATATATTAGATCTCCAAGCAGCCTGAAGAGGCATAAAAAAAGCATGTTTTTTATCTTGCTTATGCATAAACTGCATATAACATAGTCAAAATAAATAAATGAAAAACAGAGATAGTGCCATGCAGACCTCCTATAGCTTGGGGGAGGATTAAATGATGAGTACACAATACTCTCCACGCACTTGATTTCTTTCGATGGAGATGATAGCAACTTTCCAAGCGAGCCAGTAACATCCTCCATGAATCCCAGCCCATCAAGATCAGGGACCTCAGTTTTTACAGTATCTAGATTATATTCAAATGTATACTTGTCATATGAATATCTTTGAGAACAAAAGGAGGATTGAATATATGCAAGAAAAAAAAAAGTGTTGCAGGATGAATATCAGAAGCCACCTGAGCCTGAAGCCTTGTTTTGTGTTGTCTCATACTCTAATGCAAGTGATGTTGACAGTGAAGCATGGAGCGTGGAAAGTGAAAGCAATTCTCTGGTGCGGTGAACGTGAGCCCTGATTGATCTATCATCATAAGGAGCTACCAAAAAGGTTTCCATGTTAGAATACACAAACGGATCTTTAGTACCTAAGATGAGAGAAAGTGGAGTTAACATACCAGCAACCATCTCCAAGGAACAACCACCAGTAGTGATATCAGCTACTTCAGAGATTTCATTATAATCTTCAAGCTGATGAGTTGAACCATCCTTCGTGCGCAGCAACAAGTCATAGCATGTGAAGAAACATGTTTCAGGAGCATCAAGGAGGAATTGTCTTATATCCATGACAGAATCTCCAGGGTTCAACTGCAATTTACATTATTCATGAATTCATTTTATTGTAAATAGAACAAGGACACCTGAAGCGCAGAGAATTATTTCCCTCCCCAACCCCCCAACCCCAAAAAAAAGAAAAATGTATCTGAATACAAATAAATTAAGAGATTGGGATGGCACAAAAGCATGACATAAAAAGAAATATATACATATCGAAATTGAGATTGCAACAAGATTGAGTTAGCTCACCTGTAACTCCAGCTTCTCACCACTTTGAGTTTTGACAGAGACAGGATAAAGATGAAGCTCACCTGCACTCATTGGGGGAAACACCAAATCAGACATATGGAAGAGCAGAATAAGTCTGCATACCAATATCTATAGCATTCGAGCCAAGTAATTTTAAAAAAAGTGAACAACATTGTGATGAGTTGCATTGGCTAACGAGAAGCAATATAGCTGAACTGCTGGTCACTACCTTATATTTAGAAGATAACAGAATGATATCTAGAAGAAATTTCTAGCGTTCTAATTACCTCTAATTTGGTAAATAAACTTATAAAAATGGAAATATACTCTTCATAGATTAAATTGGTTGAGAATGTTGCCTGGGTGGGAATCCCATTTGGATGGATTAGTGCCATTCAAAAATCAGGAAGTTCATTTATTTGCATTTTTAAGTTTCTTTTAATAAATACTAGGATTTCAAAGCCAGCGAAGGACAGGACCCCTCCATGGGAGACTGGACATAAAACAAACTGTCACAGCCAATAAATTACAAAACAATAAAGTACATTGCTAAGTTTGCAGCCTCTTCTAAAACTACATAACCGATGATTTCGGGGCCAAAAATTAAAAAAATATATATATTTAATCAAGTTCCAAGAAAGCATATAATAAAAAATAATGAAACCAAAATTACCTTGCTTTGGTTCATTTGCCAAATTTGCTCTTTCAGGCTCCTTGCCATCTGGTATGGCGTTAGTTGATTCACTAACAGCTGGTGCTCCATTTGAATCAACTTTGGCAGACTCAGAAGCAGCTAGGTTATCTTTCACAGGAGCACTGGCAGATACCACTGACTCTGAAGAATTAGTTGCGTTATTTGAACCCCTCCGGCTCTTCCCTTTATTAGATTTCCCCGCCATTTCACTCCCTAATTCCAAAACTTTTAAAAGATCATATTACATCCAAGGATAAACAAATTCTAAGACTGGGAAAACTAAACGACGGTAGCAAGATTTGTTCATTAAGATTTAACACAAAATCTAAGAGTTTACCCTATAATCTCAAAACACAGAAGCAGTTTAACTCGTAAAAGATTTAAATGATCAAGCACTAGGTCAAGGAGAAAGAAGAAAGAAAGAAAAAAACCAGCTAACAATTACATCACATTTATACACAATTGCATTCTTTCTATCAAATAAAATTCACATTCCGCTTTCATTCTAAGGTAGAACTGAACGCCAAACTGTAACCAATTAAGATTGATTTAAAAAGCTTACACCATTGTCAGCTTATGTGTAAAAGCATACATTATACATATGAGCACATGCAAATAATATGCCCACGACTCAAAATCCAAAACTTTACAAACCAACAACAAACGTAACCACTAACAAAGAATCGAGCTCCAAGGGCAAAAGTCAAACTTTCACCAGCAAACAGCGATACGAAACACCAAATGACAATACAAACAAGAATCCAAAAAATAAACCCGAACAGAAATTAACCTAGAACCCAAAATCCCAGAACTTCAATCACGTAAAGCTGAAAACAGCTACAACTTTATATCTTGAGCTTAATTCAATAGGTTTTAGAATTCTATTAAAGGCAAAACAAGCAGAAAATGAAAGAAATTTCATCTCAGAAAGCAAACAGAGGTATGACAGATAAGCAAGTAACACAATAATATAATTACCCAATAAGCTTCAATCCAATCGCAGCTCTTGTTGAATATTACAACAAGAAGCAAATACACATAAATAGACACATATATGGGCAGATAAATATATATGATTAGATGAATATATATGAAAAAGTGTAGAGAGAAAGGTTGCGGCTTTAAAGAGAGACACAGAGGGGCTGAGGTTTTAGGAGGGGAACAGAAGTGGCTGTGAGGCGGCGAACTTCTTATTTTGATTGCATACCATTTGTTTGAGAAAGAAGCAGAGAGTGAGACTGTCACAGCCTGCAATCATATAGTGGGTGAACGTTCAAGGTTGAAGCCCAATTTTGTTGGGCTTGGACCTTAGTTGTTTTAATATATTATTAAAAAATTTAAGTAAATATTGAAAAAATAAATAAAAATTTTACTTTTCCATGTCATAAAATAGGCGCCTTATCAATATTTAAATCATCCTTTGTACTTTTTTATAAATAAAAAAAAATTAATTTTAATATGATTCTATATTATTTTATATTAATTTCAATAAAACAAATTTAAATTACTCAATTATTTTCTCATGGAAAATGTAAATTTTGTATTTTGATAAATGATATAATATTATTTATACATAATATATAATTTTTTAACTAAAACCAAAATCCATATCGAAATTATCAGTATTGGTACCCTAATTTTAAAATTCAGAATCAAAATTAATCCTCATAATTTCAATTCTAGTCGGTTTTAATATATTTTCATTTGATTTTTGCCATTTTTTCTGATCAATTCGAAGTCATTTCCACCTAATTTAAAACTAAAATTCAAATTTATTTTCACTTGTAGAGGAATCAAAATCAATTTTATTTTCAATCCCAAATTTATTTTGGAATCAAACCTCTAATTAATTAAGATCTCGATGAAAGTTTTGCACTAGTGATAAAAAATTTTTAAAATTATATCAGCCTTTTTAAAATTTTTAACATTCAGATAAAATTTTCTAAATAGCAGTAATTTCAAATCTCGAATTCTTAACCTTACGAAAAAATTTCACTTGGAAATACTGAAACAACCCGAATTTTTATTTTCAAAGATTTTCCAATTAAATTTAATGAATCAACAGCCTGGAAATTAATATTAATATTTTAGTGCGAACCAATTAAATGAATAATTCAACAGCCTGGAAACTTAATTTAATATTAGTGCGATTACTGTGAGAAACCGGTATCGAAAAACCGATTGAGAAAAAAGCTGAAAAAAACCAGTTAAATCGATGATCTTGGGCCGAAAATCGAAATCGAACAGAATTGGTCAACCCAAACCATCTAGAAAATTATCTTTTTCTTTTTTTTTTGTTAATCCAGCGCTGCACCTTCATTTTCACCCACCTTTCTGCGCCACCTCCAGCCCACCTCTAGCCCACCACCGCACCACCACCACCTCCTCCTTTCTTCCTTTTCTTCTTTCTTTCTTTCTTTTCTTTTCTTTTCTTTTCTTTTTTTCTTCCCTGCGTCTATCTCTGTGTGACTGGCGAGAGACAGCAGATCCACTGCACGCCACCCAGCCCTCGCCGCCTCTCTCCACACTGCCAGTCGACCTCCGGCCACCAGCCCCATTTCCGGTTAATCGAATTCCGGCAACAATATATGATGTATAATTTAGTTTTAGTGAATGAAATTAATTGTTTGTAGGTAATTTATTTAGTTAAGTTAGTGTTCTTGAATTTATTTAGTTAATTGATTTAGTTTAGTAGTTAATTGATTTAGTTTTCAGTTGAGATTAATTTTCAATTAATTTTAGATCAGAATTTAGTTTAATGTTGTATATTAGATTAATTCAATTCAAGTTTATTATCTTGAGTTAATTAATTTAGAAATATTAGTTAATGAAATTATTTTAATTAATTTCGTAGTCAATAGTATTGAGTTAAGTTTAATGTTAGTAATGCTACGTTAATGTGACAATTAATCTTTATTAATTTTGTGTTAGTTAGTAATTTGGTTAATATAATTAATTAATGTATAGTAACCCAGTCTTTATCAATTTAGTATTGAATTTAATTAAGGTAGTTTAAATTATTATGTTCATCTGTATGATATTTGGATTGTGTGATGATTTGAGACTTGAAGGAGGATGGGAAAATGTGTTTGATAATTGCCCGACGATGGCCGTAGGATTGAATATTGATATAAATTGTTGATAATTTTAAGCAGGAGATAGTCCAACTTTTAGGGGAAGATGCTTGCCGAAAATTTCGTAGGAATAGAATTTTCTGAACCTAATAGATAGTAACGAATTACAATTATTATGTTATAATATTAAATTATCAATCATATTATTCCTTATTTAATACTATTATATTATTATATTAGTATTCGTTATTAAGTATTATTATAAAATATTACTAACCTTTTATTTAAAGTTGATAAATTAAGAATAAGTATATAGTTTAATTTAATAACGGTGATATTTAATGACTTGGTAATCAAAACTAATTAACGAATGTGAAAATATAAATTTTCCGAATTAGATTCATACTTAGAAGTTCTCTTGTTTACTTTCTAGAGGGATTTATAAAAATTAAAAAATGCTGAGGACAAAACGCTGGAGCATGTGGCAAAAAGGCAAAGTCCTTTTAAAGACAATTAAAAAGAAAACTGTGAGTTTATGTTTAGATAACTAGTAATCATCCGCCTGCATTCATTAGACATTCACGGCAAAATGTTATTCCATGCATGTGATTTTGTGATTCATCATACTGTGATTGGCACTAAGTTGTTGATATTAAAAATTGATATTTCATTATGTGTGCTGTTATTTAATACTTGTGCTTGTGCTCTGTGTGGAATTGGGATAAGTGGGTCCACCATGGTTTGTTGAGGACGTCGATAAAAATAATGGATCCTAGATTAGTGATGAGAATTGTGAAATGGACCGTCGGCCGGGTAAATGGGGAGGATCGCGCCTCCCGTGTGCAACCTATGATAATCGATATGGGAATGATATGGAAAAAGAAAACAAGAGATGTAAAAAAGATTACTGAGAGGACTGGAAGTGAAGGATTAGACCGTGTCGGCCAGATATGGTGGGGGGATTGCTCCCCGGTGTGCACCACGTTTGAGAGATGGGCTTTTTGAAGGACGCTGTCGGGGGTTTAGGTGACGCCACTGACTAATTTCCACGGTATGTGATTATATGAAGGTGATAAAATTGTGATAGCTGCTGTATTGCCATCTGTGTGATAACTGCCTGATCAATACTAAATCGTGTGTATCAGAATAACAAAAATATAAAAATATTTTTAGCATCTGTGTGATTGTGTGGGGTGAGAGGGTTATCTAACCCTACTCATTGAGTTTGGCGCTCACCCCTGCCTACTTATTTTTCCAGGTAATAGAAAGAAAGGAAAGCCTTATGGAGTTGAGACACTTATTGCAGAAGACTGTTAATGATAGAAACAACGATGTAAATATAAAGGTAGAGTTCCGTAATTGTATTCCAGTTGGGTTGTAAATAAATAATAAAAGTCCATCTTAAATATATGAACTGTATTTTGGATATATATATTTGAAATAAGTTAATGGGCCTGAATCCATAATTATGAATAGGATATGAGATTTAATAATTTCGGCTTACTACGGGCCTCGGGGGCCTTAAGCTTACCTGGGCCCTAGTACCGGTCCGGCCCACGAGAACGGGTCGTGACAAAGTTGGTATCAGAGCATTAAGTTGGGCCTTAAGAATCTATTGCGGAACATAGGAAATTGAATATAAAACTCCTACGTTAGGATCGGTCGTAACCAACAAAGGAGTGACATTAAATAAAAGACGGTCTTGGTGCAGGTGGACGCACTGTGCACTAAGACAGTTACAGAATCATAAATAACATAAATCATAATAAATAAATAAATAAATGGGGAAAGATAATGATATCTATAAATAATGGTATTTTAAAAGTTAATCAAAGCTTTGAAACACAGAAGAAATTAGAAGGAGGTGCAGTGGCCTGATCAACCAGTGTACTCTTTCTAATGGACACTGTGTCCTTAGCTTAAAATTTAAATTTTCTTCTATGGAATAAATAACATTTATATATAATTTATATAATTTAAGTATGTAAGAAGATAAGTGATATATGGTTAATAGGTTGAAGTTAAACGATAAAAGAATGCTAGTGTATTTAATATGTGTTGGATATGGAATACATATATAAAAATATAGGAATGTGTGTATACGTGTGCCTGCGGAGGGGTTATGTTGAGAATGAGTTGAGCTAGATGATCCGGATTTAAGTACATTAGAACCTATTTAATTAGAGTCTTGATTTTAGTATATGTATTTGATGAACTTTACATGATATGGTTGGTGGAATTTATTATAACTATGGAGATAATCATTTTTCTGGATGGGATATATATCTTGATTAGTACATTTACATAAATGATATTTATAAGGTTTAAATGATAAATGATTTGGTGTGATTTGCAATAATAATTGATGATGAGTATTTATTGTAAGAAATAATGTTGGTGGAATTATTATATCAAGTGATTTCTAATTATGAGAAGTAATTAGAAAAGTGTATTTTTAGCATTCATCAGCTAATTTCTGTCAAGTATGAATATAGGGAATAATATAAATTATTTGATTATAAGAAAAGTTTAAATTGTGATTCTTACGTAAAGATAACAGTACTCTAATCTTATGTAGCTTAGTAAAGGATATAGGTTGGATTGCAACTCTTATGGTTTAATATGGTACAAAGTAAGAATTAAATACTAATGGTATCTAGCCTTTGATATTTAAATAATTGTCACACACTCGATGGTATGTGAATTACAAATAATGATTTTTGTTTAATGGGAGATTCTATGATCTGAGGAGTTAATGACTCCATAAGGGAATTAAGGTACTTATGTTATGTAAACAGTGGGCTATGATGATTAAGTGTATTGATGAATGACATCGGACATGGAGAGATAATTGTCCAATTAATGAATTGATATAATACTAATGAATTAAATAAGTAAGGATGGATCTAGTCCTGTTATTGTATGGATATTAAGAGAATCGATTACAAAAACGTGAGGAGTATAAATTAGTATGATTTAAATGAGGATAATTATTATTTGGAGTTTGATAAATTTGGGTCATTGTTATTAAAATTGATAAAAAATAGGAGTGATGATGTATTAGGGGAATAATTTAAAAAAAAAAAAAAAAAAAAAAATTTTGGAAAAAGTTAAAATATGCTTTAGAATAAGTAAGTTAAAGAATATGTAGGCTAGACCAAAAAGAAGTGAAATATTTTAATGGAGAATGATGGACAACATGTATATTATTTGAAGGTAGGAAAATGGCTTTTGAAGGTTATAAATAGATTATCACTGTCGGTGATAATTTCTACTAGAATATTAAACAAATAAATTGAAATGTTATGACCAAAACTTTTGAGTTGAGTTAATCGGGTTTCTTTGCGAGGTGAGTTTCGAGACATTTTAGTGGTTCCATTAAATAGTAAATTTAGAAATCTAAAAAAGAAGGATCAAATATTAGGATAGCCTAATTAAATGTCTGGTGATAAACAACATAGATAAGATGGATTCAAGGATTGTATCCGCGATGAGGAAGAGAAAACTCAAGTTAACTTATAATTCAGGAAAAAAAAAGAATAGACTTTCTACTTGAGAGTAAGAAATTTTTTGACTTCCCTGTCAATTTGACAGCGTCTAGTTAGGATATAGTTTTATGAGTTATATGAATCGGGAATCCATATAATGAAGCTTATAAATGTAATTATGTACAAGTGATGAGTGTTATTTAATAGTAATAACTGGGTAAATAAGAGTTGAGATGAAGAATCATGAGGTTCAGCTTGAGGTGGCGATGAATAATGAATAAATGTTAATGTCTTTATTGGCAAAGTAGTTAGAATAAAGAAATTTCCTATTACTTAGTTGCATTTTTGTTAAAGTTACTTAGTTTCATTGGATGGAGAAGGGAAGATATAATTTATGCTCTCTTTAGGGGAACAGAAAAGGTATCTAGAGTATTTTATTATTTTATACGTCAATGAACTAATTAAGTTTTAATTTTACTATTCATTTGGAATATTGAGATTTGTATAAGAATAAATAAGTGGATTTGGACTAATTTTAACAAATTTAGTAAGGAGGATACACATAAGTATTCGAGGATTGAAAACATAAACTATAATATTATTGGATGGGTAACGAGATGGTTAAGATTACATTTTAATTATATTGGAACGCCAACTCATGTGTGTCAATTAGATAAATTATTAGTTTAAATTACCCATGGAATGATTGAGGTACTAATTAAGGTGAGAATTATTGAAATATAATTTGAAATATAATTAGAGTCAATGTAAAAACCTATTCCGAATTCTTCTTAGTAATTTGGTAGCAAATTATGAATTGAATGAATATAATTGTGTTATAAATGGCAGCTTGCGACATATCTTGTTTGGTTTTAAGGGAATACTTAATTAATTAGGTCCAATTGAGGATTGGTACATTGTAACTGGCCGTACTGTTGAAGGATTCAATGAGGTAATTAACCTTATTTGGAGTAAAAAGAATATAGAGATTAACATATTGAGGTTGAGGATATTCCTCGTCAGTGTTAGGGTATAAATTATTACAGATGATAGACATTTAAGATAGGACTTGGAGGAAAAATGAATAATACCAATGATATTATTATCTTGAATATTCATAGGCCCAAATTCAATGGGAATTAGACAAAGTGACATCGGTCTAAAAAAACAGGAGTTGATTAATGGGTTAACAATTCCTGTAATACTGCTTACTTTTAGTTAGAAGCAAAAGGCACTACTTGTTTTTTTTTATGGGATCTCAATTAGTAGGGGATTTGAAAAGAGATTGTGGTATCTATCTTCTAGTTGGAAATGGTTGAGTTGATAAATGGATGAGTTCATGTACATGTAGGTGTAAATTTGAATATGTGGATTCTTGTATCAGAAGACTTAATACTTGGTTTGTGTATGAGCGTCTTATTGAGTGATAATCATTGCCTATAATAGCTAGTGAAAGGTAAATGAGGCGATACATCAATGTAGATCACATGATATATAGCCAATGAGATTAATAACTCTTACTTGAGCAGATGTTATAAGGGACTTAAATTCTTACGTGTAAAGGTGAATATTAGTGTCGAATCTGTGCTTGGGGTTATGAATATTTGACTTGAGTTGTGTGTTTGGGGTTATGAATATTTTACTTGATTTGATGACTTGTAGATATAGTACAACTCAAGTTTAAATTAACTATAGTGATAAGGTAGATAACTTTGGGGATGGATTCATCTTATAATCATCCTACCCTCCCTATATATTAGATTTTCTTCCCAGGTCTGCTCATTGGTTTATCTTACTTAATAAATTTAATAAAGAAATTAGTCTCGCCGCTCTGACTAACGAACTCAAAAATATTTACCTCATCGTCTTGATTCACCCTTCTAGCTGCTTAGAAGGACAATTATTCTCCTGAATGTGAATGTCATATATTTTAGTGCGAATACTTGAGAACCCGGACGAAAACCCGATTGAAAAGCTGAAAACCCAGTTAAAAAATCGATGAATTCTGGGCGAATCGGAATCGAACCGAATTGGTTCGAACCTCAAACCCATCTAGAAAATTCTTTGTTTTTTTTTTTTATATCCAGGCGCTGCAACCTTTCATTTCTCGACCCAACGGCATGTTTCTGCGCCACCCACCTCTAGCCCACCACCGCACCACCACCACCTCCTCCTTTCTTCCTTTTCTTCTTTCTTTCTTTCTTTTCTTTTCTTTTCTTTTCTTTTTTTCTTCCCTGCGTCTATCTCTGTGTGACTGGCGAGAGACAGCAGATCCACTGCACGCCACCCAGCCCTCGCCGCCTCTCTCCACACTGCCAGTCGACCTCCGGCCACCAGCCCCATTTCCGGTTAATCGAATTCCGGCAACAATATATGATGTATAATTTAGTTTTAGTGAATGAAATTAATTGTTTGTAGGTAATTTATTTAGTTAAGTTAGTGTTCTTGAATTTATTTAGTTAACCAGCCTCCATTTTCGGTTAATCGAAATTCCGGCAACAATATATATATATTAGGTATAATTTAGTTTTAGTGAATGAAATTAATTGTTTGTAGGTAATTTATTTAGTTAAGTTAGCGTTCTTGAATTTATTTAGTTAATTTATTTAGTTAATTGATTTAGTTTAGTTAGTTTAATTTTAATAATTTTAGTCGATTTAGTTAATGTCAGTAATATTAGTTAATTAAATTAATTTTATTATTTGTAGTTAAGTAATTTGGTTAATTTAATTTGATAATTGTGAGTAGTTAACAGTTTTATAATTTTAAATTTTAGTATGTGATTTATTAAGGGTTAGTTTAAATATAATGTTATTGTAATGTATAATTGGATTGTGTGTTGATGTTGAGATTGAAGGGAGGAATGGGAAAAATTGTTTGTTTTTGATTAATTGCCCGACGGATGGGTGCCCGTTGGATGAATATTTGATAAATTGTTGATTATTTTAAACAGGAGGAATAGTCCCAAACTGTTTAGGGGGAGAATGCCCTGCCGAAATTCGTAGGAATTAAAGATTTATTTTTTTAGAAACTCTAATAGATAGTACGATTTAAATTATTAATTGTTAGTAATATTATATTATCAATCATATATTCTTAATTAAATACTATTATTACTTATTAATAATTAGTATTCTTATTAGTAAATTTATTATAAAATATTAAGCTTAACCTTTTATTTAAAGTTGATAAATTAGAATAAATATTATAGTTTAATTTAATAAAGTGAATTTAAAATGACTGGTAATCAAAATAATAAACGAAATGTGAAAATTATAATTTTTCCGAGAATTAGAATTCTTAACTTAGAATTTTCCTTGTTTATTTTTAGAGGATTTTTAATAATAAAATTAAAAAATGCGAAGGATCAAAAGCTGGAAGCATTGTGGGCCTAAAAAGGCCAGTCCCTTTAAAAGGACAAATAAAGAACTGTGAGTTAGTGTTAGATTAACTAGTATCATCCCGCCTTGCAATTCCATGCCATTCAGCGGCTTAAATGTTATCATGCATTAATTTTTGTTTGAAATTATCATACCTGTGATTGCACTAAGTTGTTTTGATATTAAAAATTGTTAATGTGATTATTGTGTGCTGTTATTATAACTGGCCATGTTTGTGTGGGATTGGGATGAAGTGGGTCACCATGGGTTTGTAAGGACGGTCGATAAAATATGGATCCTGATTATGATGAAATTGTGAAATTTGGACCGTCAGCCGGGTAAATGGGAGATTGGCGCCCCCGTGTGCACCTGTTGATATGATATGGATGATATGGAAAAGAAAAGAGAGAATGTAAAATAAATTATTGAGAGGACTGGTCAAGTGAGGATTAGACCAGTCAGCCAGATATGTGGAATTGGCTCCCTGGGTGCACATGTTTGAGAGGATGGGCTGTTTGAGAGGACGGCTCATCGGGGGATTCGGTGACGCCACTGACCAATTTTCACGTGATGTGATTATGTGAAGACGTGATGTGATTATATGAAGGTGATAATAAATTGTGATTGCCTGTTGTATTGCCATTTGTTGATAAACTGCAATGATCATATACCTAAAATCGGTGAAATCAGATAAAAATATTTTTAAGCATCTTGTGTGAATTGTGGTTTGGGGTGAAGGAGGTGTTATCTAACCCTACTCATTGAGTTTTGGCGCTTCACACCCTGCCTACTTATTTTTTGTTCAGGTAAATAGAAGAAAGTCTATGGAGTTGAAAACATTAATTATAGAAGACTGTTTATGGAGAAAAATAATGAAGTAATGTACAGGTTAGAGGTCGCAATTGTATTCCAATGGGTTGTAAATTGAATCAAAATAGAGTATAGACATTTATTATGTGGGTTGTAACTTTGGGATATATATTTGGTGAAATAAATTATTGGGCCTGAAATCCATAATTTATGATAGAATGTAAAGAATTTTAAATAAGTTAGGCTTACTACGTTTTTGGTGGCCTTAAGCCCCCCAGGTGCCTAGTGCCGGTCCCCGGCCCACGGAAACGGTGTCGTGAGCAAATACAAAATAGGTTTAGCACAAGTATTTAAATAAGTTAGGCTTACTACGGGCTTTGGGGGCCTTAAGCCCACCCAGGTCCTAGTGCCGGTCCGGCCCACGGAAACGGGTCGTGACAAATACAATAGGTTTAGCACAATAAACTTGCACATACTTCAGCTTTAGCATATAATTTTCTCATACTGTAAACGTGCTGTTGGGACACACATCAATGGATTTGCCATCAAAAGAGAGATCCCAGCAGCCTCACTCATATCTACATTATTATTATCATTAGTAACTTTCCAATCAAAGCATTGAACCAGACACCCTAATGTAGTTTGAATAACTTGTAATGCCAGAGAAGTTCCTGGGCAGCTTCTCCTTCCACTACCAAATGGCAAAAGATGGTAATTTTGACCTCTAACATCAATCAGACCATTCTTTTCATTGTCCATGAATCTTTCTGGTTCGAACTCAAGTGGATTTTCCCAATAATTAGGATCTCTTCCGATCGCCCACACGTTAACAAGAAGTCTTGTTTTAGCTGGAATGTGATAGCCTCCAATGTTGCAATCTTGGGTTGATTCTCTTGTGAACAATGGACCTGATGGGTGTAATCTTAGGGTTTCTTTAACAATGGCTTGAAGATAAGGTAGATTTTGAATATCTGATTCTTCGATCAACCTATTGTTTCCAACGACAAAATCAATCTCTTCTCTTGCTTTCTTGAATATGTTTTGATGGTTTATGAGTTCAGCTATTGCCCATTGTATTACACCTGCAGATGTACCTGTGCCTGTTGTAAACATTTCCTGTGAAATTTTTTTTGAAATTTAGTATGCATTTTCTTCATTTAGTATTCGACATATCATATAAAATGATATAATTATTGTTATATTTATATATATAGCGAGCATAAAAATAATGTTAATCAGGTGTGATCTAATTGGTCTTCTTAACTCTCGTAGATAAAAGATATGAAGAGTGAGAGATCTCGAGTTATCACCAATTTGGTGAATGATATTCAAAGAGAAGGATGTGCTAAGGTTAGTCTAACCTCTCTAGTTCAATTTTTTTTTTTAAAAAAAAAATCTCTAAAATATTGAAAATTTTCAGTTTTACTTCCATATATTTCGAAAATTTTTCTATCCAAACTTTTATTTTTTTTTTACTCTTTCACATTTATTCAATTTATAGCTAAATTCATAATAATATCAAAATGATAGATCTTTTTAGACTATTTTCTTTTATGTAGTTGTATATTTACGTTCTTCGCTATCATCACATTTATGAATAGGAGCACGTCAGGAGAAAATTATTTACCATAAATATATATATGTATTTTTTTGCAATTTTTGTAAAAGTAAATACTTAACAAATAGAATTAAAGAAATATGAAAAAATAAAAAACAAATATTATAATTTCTAATCAGTGAACCAAAACAAGAAAATTGAGGTAATGAAATGATCTGTCTTACCAAAATAAATGCTTTGACACTATCTCTGGACAGTCTCATTTCTGAACTCTCATCTTCCATAATATCCAGCAGTATATCAACAAAATCTTTCTTAATATGATCTTTATCACCCAATTCACCATTGTTGATCTTCTTCTTCTTTTTCATTCTTTCCTCTTCGTGTTCTTTCAAAATACCTTCCATCATTGAATCCAATTTCACTTGTAATCTTTTAAGCCTCTTCCCAAATCCTTGTACATCAATATTCTTACAAAACCAAATATAATCTTGAAAATTAAATTCTCCAGTAAGCACACCAACCTCTTCAATCAATTTCCTTACATCATTAGCCTCATCGTCGGTCGTCGAGCACCTTTTGCTCATCGTCATTCTTGATATTACATTATTTGAGAATGTCATTAACTCTTCTCCAAGATCAACTTCTTTACCTTCGTAACTCTTTCGTAATATTAATTTCAAGAAACTCTTTAGTTCTTCATGTCTAATATCAAGAAACCGATCAAGGATACGTCCACCAAGAAGTTCTGTCATGCATATTTGTTTCATAAACTTCCAATAAGGTCCATAAGGAGCAAAACTGAAATCGGATGCTCCATAAGTCAAGCACCGGACAGCGACCGTTGATGGCCGATTGCAAAACGACATTTCATGAGTTTTCAAGAATTCTTTTGCCATTTCAGGAGAAGATATAACAACACAAGGGACAGAACCGAATGATAGATGAAATAAAGAACCGTAACGTTTTGATAGCTTGTCAAGTGCTTGGTGAGGGATGGGACGAAGGAGGTGAAGGTGTCCTATAACTGGAAGTGCTATTGGACTTGGAGGAAGATGAAATCTAGATCGTCTTTTTAAAATAATGGCTCGAACAAGAATGGTTGAGATTAACCAAACAAGAAAGAGAACGGTGTAATCTTGAATGTCCATCATTGTAGTATAAGATCTAATCATAGAATGAAGAAATATATTGTTCAAAGCACTACGCGAAAGACTATTTATAAGACAAGGTTTCTTTTGATTGGATTGTGGAAAAACAAGAAAAGATTTATTGAAAGCAAGAAACATTGATTTTCACGGTTTATGTTTTTTTTTTTTTTTTTGGCCTTAGCCATTGTTACATATGGATATAAGTTTTGGTTTTCTCTAACCATTGGACATTACAAGGATAATTGATGTACGAAAAATAAATAAAGAGGTTACGTGTTACTAATTTTATCGATTGAAAAATAAAAAAAATTTATTTTAATTTATTATATTATACTATATAAGGTAAGTATCAAATGTGAAAAAAATATAACATGTTTAAAAACTCCCTTCGTCTTATAAATTTTATCTTACTTTGCTTTTTCATTGTTCTCAATTTTTTTTTATTTGTCTTTTAGAAGTAAATAATATTTAATTCTTTTTCATCCTTCTCAAATTGTTATCTTTTTGTTTTTCAAAAGTAAATAATATTTAAAGTTTCTTTGTCAACAAATATAGTAGTTAAATACTATATTATCATCAATTAAATATGGGTATAAATAAAATTAATATATCAACATTTGATCTTCCAATAGAATTCTATTTAATCCAATGTTTTGATTAATTTTAAGAATAATTTAATATAAATCATATGTGAGAACTCCAACATGAGATCTCTTACTCCACAGATCAATCAAACTATATTTGATCTTATATTTATAATAACATATCAAATTAAAAATATAAATTATGTTAATTTGAATCGAGATACAAGTTATTTAGATAACAAATTAATACAAGGACCACTATTTAAAAATAATATTAACTTTATTTCATATTTTTTTTTAAATTTATGCCACAGTAATAATTTTAATGAAAATAAAAATAAATATTAATAAATAAAATTTTTTAAATTTTTAATAAATTTATGCCTATTTCACATGTAAGGTTAAAAAGATGTTATTGTTAATGAAAAAATTTTACTTAGACTGAGTTAATAACTCTACTCATGAACCAAACCAATGAGAAAAAGATTTTTTATTGAAACGACGAGAGTATTTTTGACTATAAACTAGCAAAAAAAAAGAAGATAAAATCAGAATACTTTTTAAAGAATTTTTACTGTAATTGGCTTGGTCTATAAACTGTTAGGATTAATTCAAAATAATATTATGAAAAATCTGTTGAGATTTCAATTTTATTTAGTGCAGATTTTCTGCATAGAATTTGATATTTTCATATTAGAATTGATGATTTTTAGGAGTATTTTTAGATCTTATTTGATTCACTTGTAAGTCTATAAATAGGTACATTCTTTTGTTAATTCAAGGAAGTGCAAAACAAGAAGTGCTAAACATTGTTAATCATCTTGTATTAATTCAAAAATAATAATTAATGAAAAATCTGTTGAATTTCAATCTTATTTAGTGCAGATTTTCCTGCCAATAGAATTTGATAATTTTTCATATTGAAAATTTGATGATTTTTAGGAGTATTTTTAGATCTTATTTGATTCCACTTGTAAGTCTTATAAATAGGTACAATTCTTTTGTTAAATTCAAGGAAAAGTGGCAAAAACCAGAAGTGCTAACATTGTTAAATCATCCTTGTGCATTTCCATTCCTTTCTTCCAAAATTCCAACATAAACATATCATGGACCCGATCTAAATTAAGTAACTTCCATCCGTTAATTATCATTTTGGTTCTGATCGTGAAAACCACATGTTAAAACAAAATTAATTGAAATAAAACAAATATTAATTCCACAAAGTAAATAAAAGGCATTTCGCAATTTCCAATTTGATTCACTTGTAAGTCTATAAATAGGTACATTCTTTTGTTAATTCAAGGAAGTGCAAAACAAGAAGTGCTAAACATTGTTAATCATCTTGTGCATTTCCATTCTTTCTTCCAAAATTTCAACATAAACATATCATGGACCCGATCTAAATAAGTAACTTCCATCGTTAATTATCAATTTTGTCTGATCGTGAAAACACATGTAAAACAAAATAAAAAATTGAATAAAACAAAATATTAATTCACAAAGTAAATAAAGGATTTCGACATTTCCACGTGTCTAAATATTAGGATATGAAGTAAATTACTTCTCGTGTGATATTAAAACACGCAAGAGAATCTCCGCACGAATCTTAAGCCATTGCTAACGTACATCGCGGCCTATTTTAATAAGAATAAACCTGTGCTTCTTTCATCTCCCGCCACTATCCAACTTTCTCTTTTTACACAAACTCTCTTTCTCTCAAATCCGAAAAAGAAAAAGCAAGCAATGGATGTTCCGGTGATAGATCTAACGAGATACTTAGAGATCGCCGATAAACTCAGTACCGAACCGGCGGAATTGTCGGGTCAACTCGAAGAACTCGGTCCTTGGCTCGGCGATTTGTGTAAGGAGGTGAGTCGGATTCTCAGAGAAACCGGAGCTTTAGTAGTAAAGGACCCGAGATGTTCAGCAGAGGATAATGATCGATTTATAGATATGATGGAGAAGTACTTCGAGAGGCCACCAGAGTTCAAAAGAATGCAAGAGAGACCTCAATTGCATTACCAGGTACAAGTTCCATTTTATATATAGTATAATTTAAATTCTGTAATTTTATAGTTTTTGGTGTTTTTTCGGTTGTTTAAGAAGTGAGGGAAAGGAGAAGTAAAGCTGGGATTTTTTGATTCGAAAAGTTTGTATATTTTTTTTCTTGGTTCTAGTTTGGTGTACTGAGGATGCGAAAATTCTTTGGGATGCGAAAATTCTTTGAGTAATGCTTTTAACAATGGATTTTTGAAATTAGAGATTCTTATTGGCTGTGATTCGTCTTGGGTTTTTGCTTTGAAATTTCGTGTGGAGAGATGGCTTAGCTTTTTTGTTTTTCAAGTGTTTGGAATTGAGGGAAACGTTTGCTAAATGTCGCTTTAGTGAGGTATGTTTGGCTGCTGAGAGAATGTGGGAAAAGGACATTGTTTAGTTATTAAGACAGTTGAAGAACTGGAGGAAAATTAAATTCTGAAGTTTAGAAGGTTCAACTTTTCATTATTGTCTGTTTTGTGCATTGCATCAATGGTCAAGGAATTGTCTTTAGTGCTGGCAGTGAAGACCTGAAACTTTGAAACTTTTGTTGGTCTTTAGCCGGATGTTTGGTTTCGTGTTTAGAAACCTCAATGCATTACCAGTCTGGGAGTTAAATTTGCTTAATTGCTCGGGGAGTGGGAGAAACAGAAAGGAAGAGTAGTTGAAACTTTCTTTAGTTCCTTAGTGTATTTATTTGGATTTAGAAAATGCAAGGAAAAGGGGGAGTTTTAACCTCTCCCTGTTTCTTTCTTTCTTATTAATAATTTGAGTTTGAAAGTGCAAAATTTTTATTTCCTAAGGTTGAACGTGACAATGCCCATGTATTTCAAGGTAATCAAACTGTCCTTAGTTGGGTGGGTTTTTTTTGCCTTCTAACTCCTTTTTTCAAATCATTCTATATCATAGTAAAGTAGTAAATGTTTATTTAAGTGTCATGCTAATTAGATGGAAGCAAAACAATGATCAAATCAGTCTTCCTGTTTTTGTTCACTCGCTGAAATCTGCGTTTCGTTAAGTCTATGGGAGTGGTTTGTAGTGTCAACTACCAATGACCGGGGACTTTGAAAAATTGTGGAAATGCTGTTCTAATTTGTTTTAAAACAGTGAAAAGGAAAAAAAAAAAAAGGAGGGTATTTTTGAGGGGAACAGAAGGGAAGCATATGGGAAGTGGTGTAGTTGTTGCATAGTCTTCTTTCCTTTTATCATTTCCAGCAGTTTATGTCTTAGTTGATACTTGGAAACGACGAGGAAAAGAAAAGAAAAGAGTAACGTCAACAGTGCTGAAGCATCTATGTTTCTTGCTGTCATTAAGTTTTGAAACAAAGAAAATGCAAAAATTGTTTGAGAAAAAAAAAAAAGAAGGGATTGAAGGATGATTATGTTGTATAAGATTGTACTTTGTATCTTATTTATTTTGAGAGAAAAGAAGAATAACTATTTCTGCTGCAAATGGAGAGATCAGGTTGGAGTGACCCCTGAGGGAGTAGAAGTTCCAAGGAGCCTGGTTGATAAAGAGATGCAAGAGAAATTAGAATCAATGCCCAAAGAGTTCCAACCATCCACTCCAAGAGGACCAGATCCCAAGTGGCGATACATGTGGAGAGTAGGTCCTCGACCATTGGACACCCGCTTTAAGGTATTGGAGTTATCCATCTCTTTTGAATGTTTTCATCCGTCAATCTCTATTTGCTAATTTTGATCTGACATCTGTAGGAACTTAATTCAGAACCTGTAATACCTGAAGGTTTTCCAGAATGGAAAGAGACTATGGATTCATGGGGACACAAAATGATCTCTGCGATAGAGGCAAGGCACTAATGTGGTTTGTTTTGATCTTACTAGCTATTTAACACTTAACTAAATGTTACTTATTTATCTATTTCCAGGCTGTTGCTGAAATGGCTGCAATTGGTTTTGGTTTGTCCAAGGATGCATTTACTTCTCTTATGAAGCAGGTACAACTTTTTATTGATCAAAGTCTGTATTTTATCTTTATGCCTGTTTTCACCTCATGCCTGCTGATTATCTTTGTAACTAAAAGCAAGAAATGTTAAAAATTGAAAAAATTGATTGTGGCTGGTTAATCAGAACATTGACCTAAATGTTAATGGCAAATCTACCTATGTTTTCCTCTTCTGCAACTTACTAACTCTACTTTTCTTAATGTGGATGGATAAATCACACTAGGGCCCTCTCAATGACAAGTATTTTATCAATTGCTGTCTATATTATATTAAAGGCTTGTAGTGCCTTGTTAAATTCTTTTGCTTTGTTAGATTACTGAAGCTCCTTGATTCAATTGCTGTCTATATTATATTAAAGACTTGTATTGCCTTGTTAATTTCTTACCTTGTTATGTCTATGTTGGTTATGTGTTGACTAATCCTATAAGTTTCTGATTATGTAGTAACTTTTCTTTTCTACTTATTTGTTTATTGCTCAGTATTTTGTGAAACCTTGGTCCTATATATATCTCTCTCTCTCATTACCATACCCCAGCATTACTATTTTACCTGAGAACAAAGTCCTGATAATGTCATGATTCCCACAGACAAAGCTTACTTAGTCAAGACTAAAAGTAACTCTAGTATGCATAGTCTTCTAACAAGGATTTTATATTCACTTGCAGTTTTTTGCTCTCTCTTCAAATCACTTCTTTCTGTTGTTTGTTATTAAGGACAGCATATATTATATTCTTACCAATTCCTATTGCTAAATTCTTATATCCTTCTTTCACCCAATCTGCAGGGACCACATCTTCTTGCACCAACAGGAAGTGACCTTCGCTGCTATGGTCAAGAAGGCACTGTCTTTGCTGGATATCATTACGACCTTAACTTTCTAACAATTCATGGCAGAAGTAGATTTCCTGGTCTTAATATTTGGCTACGGAATGGGCAAAAAGTTGAAGTTAAGGTTCCTCTAGGATGTCTCCTCATTCAGACAGGAAAGCAGGTAAGAGCACAGTAATAGATGATGCTTTATTGATCACCAATGAGGATATCTGTATTTCTTTTGCCAGTTTAAGACCTAATAAGCCAGCAGATTAGGCTTCAATTAGGTGCAACGAAGAGGTATATCCAGTAGCTTGTTTGTGGAACATGTACATGATGGCTGGCATGGCCAGTTAATAGAGTTAGTTATCCATGATATACAACACGTAATGTTTAATCATCAATATCTTTTATTATTTTTTCTTTGTGTTTTTTTCCACAGATAGAGTGGTTGACTGCAGGAGACTGCATAGCTGGCCTGCATGAAGTTGTTGTCACAAAGAGAACGATTGATGCAATTAAATTAGCATCAGAACAACAGCGTAGCCTATGGAGAGTTTCCTCAACAGTAAGTGCAGCCAACTCTATTATGGACTGAATTATTATCCCTGAGGACTTTACTGCTTTCTTCTTTTTAGCCACTTATTTTGTATTTCATTGTAATTTCTGGAACGGGATTCTATTTTCTTGACAAGAAATCAAAAATTTCTATGGTACTTTTATGTTTCAATGCTTCAATCGACATGGGAATAAAATCATAACCATTTTAAGTGTAATCTTCACATGTATTGTTAACTTATAGTTTATTTTCTAAAAAAACAAAAAATGGAACGGCATTTTTGGAATCTAGATGAAATCCATTTTCATTCTCATTCCATTCCCAAGCCTAATTAAACATGCTTAAAATATTAACCGAGTAACTTTCATCAGAGAACCTTATCCTTATATGTTTCATCATCCTTTTCCTTTGTAGCTTTTTGCGCACATAGCATCAGATGCTGTACTGAGGCCTTTAGGCCACTTTGCGGAATTCCCACTGGCCAGCAAATATCCTCCAATCTGTGCAGGAGAGTTCGTCGAACAAGAACTTGCAGTTATCAACCTGAAAGGAAGTAAAGGAAGATCTTGATAACTTTGTAAGTTGTGATGATTATGCATTGCTTCTTCTACAGATGCAAATAACATCTAATGGTTGTCAGGATGATTCAATTTGGACTAAAAAGAAGGGGAGCTTCCAGAGCGGTTGGAAGGTATTACCGAGTCATATTTTAGAATACAATAACTACTGATGGTGTTTCTGCATGTTGTTCCAAGTTAATTGTGAAAATTATCAATATGCTCATATAATCTTGAGACCTTTCAGGTTTATTTACTTATATATATAATTTAATCAAAGGCTTAATTAACATCTTGATAAGTCAGTTAATATTCTTTTTTAGGTTAACATAAGTGATCTATTAGTTTCTTCAGACAATCAGATCAAAAGCAGGGTTAGCATAAAAATTGCATGATCATTTCATCTTTAGATTATGAATATTGTGCACATTGGCATGAAGAAATCTACTCTGTATAGAGTTATTAAAATAGAAAAGATTCAATAACCATTCTCTCTCCATTAATGACTATAAACATGCATTTTGCCGACATTATATAATAAACTAACCACATGTTAAAAGAGAGAAAATAACATCATACAATATGCCAAAATTCTAAGGTACACATGTGATAAAACGTGAATAATGTGGAGCTAAAATGGTATTTCCCATTTAGCCTAAAACTTATAACTCATGCATAAATTTCTCCTCAAACTTAAAAATTTCATCTTTGACAGTCATACAAATAATTGAACTCTACTACAGAATATCTTCCAACATAGATTTCTTTAGCTGCAAATTTATTGGAGCCAAACACAAAATGCTAACAAGTAAAAAAAACAAGGAAACAAGACAAGACTTGATATTACCTCTGTTGTCCCTTTCCATAACCATCCAACCAAACTACCAATAACCTCCCATCTTATGGAGGGTAATTATTGACTACACATTTCAGAGACTGTTCCTTTTCATGCCAATGAGCCAAAGTGTACTCTATGCTTCTGTGAAATATAATTACTGCAATCCCAAAATTATAGTCCATGTAAAGAGTACTGTTATTTTAGGATGGAGAAAGTATATTTTAATTTTAGAAATGAATTTTATTTTCTTACAGAATTTATATAAAACATTGGTTGAATTTAAGTATCTTTCTACTTAACCCCAGCCAATAATTTGGGCATTTGAAATCTAATTGGAGGAGATAAATTTCTATCTGGTGCTATGTACAGTACTGCTGTTTCTTTTAGTTTGATTGAAGGAACCTTCAATTGCTCCAGCAATGCAACGTGGCACCATTCTGTCCCTTGAAACGTTAAATCACATATTGCTTGTAGATTTTCAGTAAAAGAGAAACTATCCCAATCCGACTGAAAATGTGTCGGTGTCGTTTGGTTCTCAATTAGAAACCAAACATTGCTCCCTTCCATTCAAAAGGTCTAATACCCATTTATTTTTTGAGCTACTAATATTCATTATCTGTTATCTAATAACGGGCCGAATGTATAAATTTGATTATTTTAAATTTGTGACACTCTTAATTTTTACTTTAATACGTTTAATTTTTAAAAGTCATGCTACTTATATATATAGTCGATATTTTATAAATAAAATTCAAAAAATCATGAATATTATTAAAATTTATAAATTTAAATGCACGATGAATCATCGGTAAATTTTAAAATATCAGCAAATTAAAATTATAAAATTTAAAAGTAAATTTACGGCTTCTGTATACGTGCATTATTTACCCTGCTACACTGGTTTGTACTGAATATGCACATGGGTATGTCAATTTCAAGGACAGGTGTTGGGACAATAATAAACCCAATATTCATCAATTCAGACACAAAAAAAAAAAAAAAAAAAAAAAAAAAAAGCTACTTAATATTTATATAGTCCGATATTTTATAAAAATAAAATCAAAAAATCATGAATATAATTAAATTTATAAATTTAAATGCACGAGTTGAATCATCGGAAAATTTTAAATATTCAGCAATTAAAATTTATAAATTTAAAAGTAATTTTAACGGCTTCTGTATCGTGCATTATTTACCCCTGCCTACACTGGTTGTACTGAATATGGCCATTGGGTATGGTCAATTTCAAGACAGGTTTGGTTTGGGACAATAATAAACCCCAATATTCAATCAATTCACAGACACCAAAAAAAAAAAAAAAAAAAAAAAAAAAAAAGTCTCAGACTAACAATTGTGTGGTTTAAATCTCATTTATGCTGCTATTTTTACCTCCCTTTTTAATCATCACATGGTGTGGAACCCTTTCTCTATCACCTTTTCTCATTTCAAAAGTTTATATATATAAAAATAGTTACATATATATATGATTTTTTCTTTATGTATTGAAAAAATAAGAATGGTGATCAGTGGCGGAGCTAAAATAGTTTTTAATATGTATATATTTTCGTAAAATTACAAGATATGATTGATAAATAAATTAGAAAAGTGATTTTTGTAGCGAAGAAAATTTATGCTGGTAGCGCTTCCCTTTTATGAGCCTGTGGCTTGACACGCAATGAAAAAGATTAGGATAATTAGCTCAATAGACTAAGAGCATGTGTGGCATAAAGTAAAAGAAAAAAAGAATTGGATGACATCTAATTTTGCATAATAATTTCAAGATAAGAGTCAAAAAGGTTTATTCTTTATTAAATAAGCTATACAACACGACTTATCTCGATCTCACATAGATAATGACTTTTTTTTTGTTGAAAATTCTTAAAAAAAAAAAAAAAAAAAATTTCAAGACAAAAGTGCTCAAAAGAATTTTATTTTTTTTATTAAAGAAAATATAGAGGTGTCTACGGGTTATGGCTCGGTTGGCAAGCTGAGTATGTGTGAAGAGCTATTGGGTTCAATCTCTATTAAATACACCTGCATGAAGGGACAAAGAACGTTAGTTAACTGTGACTAAACCGTAAGCCGAATTAAGTGTTATGGGTACCGGTGATTTATGAAAAAAATAAAAAGAAAATTTAAATATGATTGAGCCTTGAGCCGGATTAAGTGGTTTCTAGTAATAGGGTTCGGAGGTGGTATAAATAAAAAAAGAAAAGAAAATTTACGGAACAATTTATCTCAACCTCACACCGACTATGATCCCTTTTTTTTATTTATTATCTAAAAAAATAATAACAAATTTCAAGAAAAAATTTAAAGGGTTTTTTTTTTTTTTTTTTGAAAAAAATATAGAAGACAATATCTCAACCTCTCTTATATTTGAAAAAAAAAAATATAACTCCTACAATATTTTTTTTGAATTAAATAAAGTTTTTTTTTACATCTTCTTCATAAAAATAGGGTCAATTATATGAAATTGGACCAATGATAACGTTATATAATTGCAACATATTATTAGGTATGATTATGAAAGTTGTCAAATTATAAAATTAATGATAGAATCTTGATTGTTTTTTGTTTGGATTATGACAAAATAATGCTTTTGATGAAACTATTTCCTAAAACAATACAAGATTAATGCTCCATTTCACATAGACGAATTTAAAATGTGAAAATTTTATTTGCCAGTGAATTTTTCATGTTTAGAATAAATTTAAAATTTAAAATTTATCTGCTTTAATTTTTTAAATTATTTTGGACTCAATAATTTTGGAAGACTAAGAATATAAATAATTTTATAATAAAACTTTGAATTGTTTAAGTTTGTGAAATTCATTAGAAAATTCTGTCTTTTTAAGTAGAATTTAGTATAATTATATTCAAATTTACAGAATTAAATTTATAGAATTTAAATTTCTATTTTTTTCATATCAAATACAAAGATTTAGATCTATAAATTATTTTCACAAAATTTTATGGAATTCATTTATTTCAAACAATAGGTAAAAATAATTTAAAAAATAATATGGTAGGGAAGGAGAGCAATTGATTGAAATTGAATATGTCATTTATATAAGTAAATGTAAAAAAAAAAAATTATTTACCTCATATCTAAATATAATCTTTAAAGTTATTAGCAATCTCAATAAAATTTATTTGCGATCAATTAAATATGATATGATTGTTTTTTTAAATAATGTAGAGAGTGAAAAGTATTGGATTCTAGATCTTTCCATTATAAAAATTTTCACTAATTTAATAAATAAAGGAAATGAGTAGTTGAATTTCACGATATTATTTCAGATTTTTTTTTTTTAGGAAAATTATTTCAGAATTTTGGTTGTATATAAAGAATAATAAGCATGTGAAGAAAATAGAATATTTTGCTTTCAGCATTTAAAAAGAAAAATTCAAAATCCAAATGAAAAGACAAACCTGTCATTTGCTACGTGTCCTGATACTACCGACCATGCTAACATGCGCCGCGACTCCAATTTAAAACCCACCTCACCTCCTCCTCTCCCGCCACGCCTTAACTTCCTCATTTTCTCCTCTTAAACAAAATTCAAAACCAACCAATCGAAAAAACAATTCCGAAATCCGAAATGGAGCTTCCGGTCATTGATCTGTCCCAATATTTAGAAATCCCCAACAAACTGAGCAATGACCTAGAGACATTATCGGGTCAGCTCAAAGAATACGGGCCCTGGCTCGGTGAGTTGTGTAAGGAAGTGAGTCGGATACTGAGAGAAACCGGAGCCTTGGTCGTGAAGGATCCGAGATGCTCCGCTGAGGATAATGACCGGTTCATAGATATGATGGAGAAGTACTTTGAGAGGCCTCCAGAGTACAAAAGGCTTCACGAGAGACCTCAATCACATTATCAGGCATACTTTTTTTTTCCCTCTTCATTTTTCAAAAATAAAAATTAGAAATTCGGCATTTTTTTTTGTCTTTATTATTTATTATAAGTGTTCTCGGTCTATCGTACTAAATTTCATCATGCTTTTCTAGTGGTATTTTTTTATTCGAAAGTATCAAACGTTCAATCTCTTAATTAAGGGATTTCGGTCATTTCTACTTAAATCAATTTTGCTAAAATTTAGCATTTTAATTGAATAGTTAAATGTTTTACGACTATTTTAAAATTATTCAATGATTAGCTTCCTAAAATGACACCACAATAGTTGAGCTTTTTAATTATTGAAAAAAACTTTTTCTTTCTTTTGGAAATTTATAATTGTTCCAAAATCTTTTAAAGTGGACTATTATGTAACCTTTGAAGATGCATGTGTTCTCTCAATAACTCTTGGAAGAAAAAGACAATATTTGTCGGGCCGTCCAGTCTTCAATGTGTGTTTCTAAATATATCTTGATCCAAAATTCTATCTTTACGGATGAAAAAAATATTCAATAGGAGTGCTTTATTTTTTAGTGGTTAACCAGGCACAAATACTATTTATGCCTAACCTAGTGAACTTAAGATACATGTGGTTGATAAAAAATTTATTAGTTTAAGTTTGTAATGACAGTAATCACAAGTAATATTTCTTAATTGATGGTATTTGATAATAATGATTATCAAATACTCAGTTAGTGTGTGGGAAATAAAAAGAATATATGAAGCAAATAAAAAAAAATTCCTGATGTAAAACAGATTGGATCCACCCCAGATGGATTAGAAGTTGCAAGGTGTGCGGTTGATGAAAAGATTCAAGAAAAGGTAAAAACAATGCCCATACATTACCAACCATTGATACCAAATGGACCTGATCTCAAAGAAAGATACATGTGGAGAGTAAATCCAACACCAGAAAACACTCGCTTCAAGGTATCATCATCATCATCATCCGATCTTTGAATGTCTTCTTTGTTTTCTTAATCTCAATATTTATTTATCTTTTTTCACATTTCAGCACTTTAATTTGGAACCTCCAATTCCTGAAGGTTTTCCTGAGTGGAAACAAGTCATGGACTCATGGGGATACAAAATGGTTAATGCAGTAGAGGCAAGTCTTTAAGGTGGTTTATAGTAGTTATTGTCATATTTCAGAAGGGTTTTTTACAGTATCCTTTAATTTCTCTCTTCAGGCTGTATCTGAATTGGCAGCAATTGGGTTTGGCTTGCCCAAGGATGCTTTTACCTCTCTTCTGAAGCAGGTTTGTTGCAAAATCACCACCCACACTTTAGCTTTGGACTTGTGTCTGCATAAACATGCATATTATGACCAGCAAGCGGTTGGAATTAGCCGGAAGTGCACTGTATTTTCATGCAAACTTTACCTGTAACGAATTGCCCACATTATCAGCTCGAGTGTGAATTAGTCCCATCTACGTAAATGACGTGGTCCTCCGGAAAAAAATGCATATCATGTGCTAATTTTAATGAAATATACATTTAAATTCGTCCATGTCGTGTCTTTATCAAGGTATTTAAGCAAGGATAAATATTTCCGATTCAAGATTATTCAAATTTTGATTGATAAAGTGAGACGTGGAAATGTCACTGTTTATATGTTTTGTAATTAATAGGGTATTACATATATGCACTAGATGACATTTGATTTCTTCTTCCATATGTCAACTTCAGGGACCACAGCTTCTAGGCCCAACAGGAAGTGACCTTAGCCATTATACTGAGGAAGGAACTGTGTTTGCTGGATATCATTATGATACTAACTTCTTAACCATTCATGGACGAAGTAGATTCCCTGGTCTAAACATTTGGCTCAGGAATGGAAAAAAGATGGAAGTGAAGGTTCCTCCAGGATGTCTTTTCATTCAGACAGGAAAGCAGGTAACCAAGAACTAGCATCACAAACGATTTTAACCAATTTCTTGAGCACTGATCTAGTTTAACGATCAGACAGACTTATGGATTTCAATAATACATTGCAGATAGAGTGGTTGACTGGTGGAGAATGCTTGGCTGGTATGCATGAAGTTGTTGTCACAGACAGAACAATTGATGCAATCAAAATGGCATCAAAGCAAAATCGCAGCCTATGGAGGGTGTCCTCAACTGTGAGTAACTATATCTTACATGTATCCACTTTTTCGTATCAACTCCTAGTTTTTTTTTTGTGTTACTTATGAGTTATTTTGTTGTTCTGCTTTTAATTTGCAGCTATTTTCAAACATTGCATCAGATGCAATGATGAAGCCTTTAGGCCATTTTGCAGAAAACCCACAAGCAAGCAAATACCCAGCAATGCTTGCAGGAGAGTTTATGGAAAAGGAGCTCTCAGCAATCAATCTGGGTGCCAATTAAATATGACCAATCTCGGTTTTAATGATAGCTTTTAATTAGTTAATAATAAGCAACATCTTGTAGGTTGCTGGTTAGTTTGGGTATGTATGTATGTAAATGAACATGTTGTGCAATAAAGAAGGAGCTTAGTATTAGGACATCAAACACTTGTATTTGTGACGTTCTAGCATTCCCTTCCAAGATGTAATCTTTTTATTCTAGGTAATGTAATTAATAAACTCATTCATGAGTTTCTCCTCTTTGAAATTTATGGTGATTGAGAATTTTAGATGTGAAAAGATTGTAGGTTTTCTTATTTGTGTTTGCTAGACCAATCTTCAAATCGCTAGTGCGAGCTCAAATTATTATTTATGTGTTTTCTGCTTCCATTGTTCGAGGAAAAAGTGGCAGCTACTACCAGAAACTGACAAAGAAATGTGAGTCTAAATTTAATTGGTTGGTGGTCCAAATCAAACCAAATTAAACCAGTTTTTGTAGTTACATGGAATAAGGCTTAATTTGACCCCTTAAACTTGGGAGTAATATACAATTTGTCCAAAAATCAACTTTCTGTACGATTTACTTCTTGAACTTGCATAAAAAAAACAACAAATTTCACTTTTTACCCAAAAAAAGTTGTTAAAATAAAGGAAAAGAAAAAGACAATTGCAAGGAGTCATGAAATTTGAGTTTATTAACTATTTCATAAGCACACTAAAAGTACTACAGGACTCTAGATATAACTCAGATAAAAAGCAGAGATGACACAGAAATGGCATGACCAACGTGTAGTTCGTGGGTTAGGAAAGGTATTCACAGTAGCATGAGCACCCATTTGCTATATATACAAGTACTATGTGTCTGTCTAATCAAAACCATTATATATGAGATCAATTATTTTTATTTTTCAAAATAACAAATAATTGAAGAGAGAAATAATTAAGCTGAAAGATGAAGCTTTTTGGAGCTAAGACAGTACCATTATTGATCTTGGTGGTAGTGATGACAGGTTTAGTGGGGCAAGGAGAAGCGCATGCTTGTGGCAGCACATTTTTCTCAGCACTTGTTCAATTAATCCCTTGTAGGGCAGCAGTGGCTCCTTTCAGTCCAATCCCACCAAGTGAAGTCTGTTGCAATGCTTTGAAAACACTAGGCCAACCTTGCTTGTGCGTGCTTGTAAATGGTCCTCCCATTTCTGGGGTTGATAGGAACATGGCCTTGCAGCTCCCTGACAAGTGCACTACTAACTTTGAACCATGTAAATCTCTTCTTTACCAGATAAAAAGTTCTGTTTTTTTTTTTCATTCCTTTTAGCTATGCTTTGTTTGTTACTTCTTTAGAATCCACTGAATTCTATTCTTTAATCCATTTTTTTAACGTGCAGGTGAAATTTCAAAGAAGTAGAAGCACAAGCATGTCTATGATTAGGGCTTGGTGGGTTCATTTTAGTAGTAATAAGAGAACACAAAATGTTAGAATTATGTGTTGGATTTTTAGCTCTAGATGTTTCTTTTTCCTTATATCTTATTGATTGTTGATCTATATGTAGTATGAAGTATGAACAATGGATGTTTCTTATTCCTTCTTGTTTGGATCAGTTTTTATTTTTTTTTCTCAATAATCAACTTTGGCTTGATGATAATGGAATTTGGAATGGTATTAAGAAGGTCATGAGTTCCAATCATAATTAAGGATTTGAAGCCAAAATTAACACTCTTTTCCCCTCAAAAAAATGTGTTCATGTCTAGGGTGTAAATGAACCGAGCCAAGCTCCAACCTGTCAAACTTGAAGCTCGGCTTGAAACTCAACGAATTTGAAAATTTTAGGCTCGAGCGGAGACTTTATTAGAGATTCGAGTTACTCTCAAAAAATTTTAAGTTTGAGCTCAATGCTCCAATAAGTTTAAAACATTATATATTTAAATATATATAAGGCTCGATCAGGCTCGACGAGCTTTCAAACTGAACATCATTAAGTTCGAGATTTGATCCGAACTTATTTGAACTTTTTTTGGGTCGAGTTCGAACAGCTTGTGAGCTAGTTCGGATCATTTACATCATTCCTTATGCTATTTAAGGATTTTTTTTTTTGGAGAAAATAAACATTAAAATTTCCTTCCTCAAATTCCAATTAATGCAAATAGCCAATAGAATTTCTCCTAGAATAAAAGACTTGAAATAGTTGTATCTTCAAAGTTGCTACCTATACCCAGTAGTAGACATTGAGACTATACCCAGTAGGACCTGCAATATTCAGACAAGGGTTTCAAGATTGTAAAATTGCAATATGCAGGTTCTGTGAAGTGTTTCCAATTCCTTTCCAGAATCCCAGAAGAATTACAAATGCAAGATAAGGAATATGCAGAGCTGTTAACACCATATATATTCACCACCGATCTCTCTCTGATGCTATAAAGAAAAAAAAAAAAATATTTAGTTTAATATTTTACCAAGATAAGGAAGAGATATGGGTAAGAGAAATGAATAAAGTCCATAATACCAGTAGCAATTAATGGGACAAATGCAGCGCCTAAGTGGGTTTTATATCATGCCACCAGAGCAATCCGGTCAAATATGATTTTCGGATTTTTTTTAAAGTATCATCTAAAACTTGAAAATAACTTGCTTATACCGGATTTACGGTCCCAACTATAAACCAAATCAATGAAAATTGTAATTATTTAAGCAACAAATGGATTGAAGTGAAGCACAGGAACACACAGAAGTGGATGAGCCAGGCACATTCGTGCCTGCTTTAGCTTCCATATTAACCTTATTATCTCCATTTAACAAAATTCCAATCAAAGCATTGAACCATTGATGCAATAGTAATATGAATTACACTCAAAGCTAAATTAGAACCAGGGCACGATCTCTTTCCCCCACCAAATGGGAGAAAATTTAAATTGTTTTGTATCTTAATTTCCTTTTCTTACAAGAATCTCTCGGGGTAGAATTTACTAGGGTTTTCCCAAATCTCTGGATCTCTCATTATTGAATATGCGTTGATTAGAACTGCAGTTTCTTTGGGTATATTAAAACCTCCAATTTTACAATCTTCACTGCATTCTCTTGGCATTAGAGGTGCGAGAGGGTATAGTCTTAGTGTTTCCTTTACGACTGCTTGCAAATAATGGAGATTTGGGATATCTGATTCATGCACTGATCTATTTGTTCCTGTAACTGATTCTATCTCCTCCCTCAGTTTCTTGAATACCTTAGGATGGTTGATCAGCTCAGCCATAATCCATTGCATGGTAGCTGCTGAAGTGACGGTCCCTCCTATGAAGAGATCCTGATACAACCAAAAATGAATCATTTCTTTTATATATATAGCTGCTGAAGTGACGGTCCCCTCCTATGAAGAGATCCTGATACAACCAAAAATGAATCATTTCTTTTTATATATATATATATATATATGATATATATATATAACAACTAAACATTTAAAAAAAACCTATTTTTTTTATTGGCTATGTGTAATGATACCACCTGTACACCTAATAAACAACTAACATTTAAAAAAAAAACTATTTTTTTTATTGGCTATGTGTATGATACCACCTGTACACTAATTGAAGGCAAGTATTTTCCTTCAGTATGAAGGCTCGAACTCAATACCTCTGATTAAGAGATAACCACATTAAAACTTTCGTTGCGGTACATAATTCTGATTTTTTTATAATTATTGACGCTTTTGTTTTAGGGGTGTATTTATATATGGATATTTCTTCAGATCAAATTTCTTCATCAATATATATATATTATTTTTTTTCTTCTAAATATATGGTCAGAAATACCTTTATTTGAACAAAAACATGATTTATCATTAGTTTGATGTATAGGTGGATCTATACACCAAATGTAGATAAGTCTTTGTCATTAGTTTAATATATAAGTGGATCCATACACTAAATGTAAGTAAGTCTTTTCCGTATAGATTCTTTTTAAAACACTCGAAGGAACCTTTTTGGGCTTGTCTTATCCATATTAGTCAAGTAGACTTTGAATACTATACGGTTAAAACTAATAAAAAAAAGATCAAGATTACGTGCCGTAACGAAGGCTTTAAAGTGGTTCTTGCTTATTTTGAATTCTGCATATTTATCTTGACACACTTGTAGTAGAATATCCATTAAATCTTTAACCTCTTTGTCATCACCATTATCTTAGCTCTGTCTTCATGCTCTTTCAAAATCTTATCCAACAACTCATCCTCCTTTCTAGGTATATCCTTTAACTGTTTCCTATTCAACCAAAAACCTAATTTTTTGAGAGGACCTAAGACAGTAGCAACAGCCAACTTTCCAACCAACTCAATTGACCCTAGAACAAGCTCTCTACACCACTCTGCTTCATCGTTTTCTTCCGAATACCTTGTGCTCATTACCATTCTGCAAATAGTATTATTCGTTAGCTTCATTAGCTCATTACCCAAATCAATATTCTCATTTCTATAAGCTTTCTCCAAGAATTTTTTCAAGAAACGTCTTTGTATTTCTTCGTTTCGAACTCCAATAGATCTTTCGACTTGGCGAGTTCCAAGTAATTCTGTTACGCATAGTTTCTTCATGAATCTCCAGTAGTCTCGATAGGGAGCAGCCATGATGCCGTAATCTCCAAATAGTAACCCATCAACAAATGGTGACTTCGGCCTACTTTCAAAAACAACATCGTTTCTTTTGAAAATCTCAGCGGCAAAAGAAGCTGATGAGACAAGAAGGAGAGGACGAGAGCCGAGTCGGAGATAGAGGAGAGGGCCATATTTAGATGAGAGAAATGGGAAGCATTTGGTTACCACTGGACTAAGAAGGTGAAGGTGGCCAATGAATAGAAGTGCCGGCGGACTTGGAGGAAGATGAAGGGTTGGTTGGGTTATCTTCTTGAACAAGTTTTGAAGAAGGGTTGAGATTAGCCAAAGAAAGAGGGGTATTATCCAATTGTATTGGATATCACCCATGCTTACCATTTTTCGACTATAGAGGCTACTCGGTGGAATGAGATTACTGCATATAAAATAAACTGCTAAACGCACATTTATAACTAGGAAAAACTTAACTATTCCACCAAACCATATACCAAATCTATAAAAAATACGTTATCGACGGTGACAAGAATATTTACTGATCATTCACTAAAATAATAATAATAATAATAAATTTTAAAAAAAATTTTCATTGATTGGTTTGGTGTCTGGGACAAGTCTTATCATTTATAACTTAGCAACAGATTCAAGTTCGAATTATTTTGTCCTAATATTAAAAAAAAAAAATCAAATTTAAAAATAAAACAAACCACTAAAGCTTGAGGTTAAAAAAAAAAAATAATCAAGTTTGAAGATGCTTAAAATTTTTAACTAAAAGTCTTAGATGACATGTTTAGAAAATTAAGATAGTATTAATTATTTTATTCTAATTTTATCTTTATCTATATATCTCTATGAAATTTTACCTCTCCTAATTATCAAGAATTATTTTAAAAGGTAATTTAATCAATTATATTTTTTTAGTATTAAGCCGATTTAATTATTTTCTTAATTTCTTTTAAAAAATTAAAAGGTACCAAACAGAGATAATATGTAGAAGCCAACAAAATTAATAATTAGCTAACTATAGCAAATAAATTATTAGGTATGTATTAACTTATCTTATTAATTTGTAGAAGTCAACAAAATTAGCTAACAGAAATAAATTCTTGTGAGTAATATTCTACGTATTAACTTATTTAAATACACAAGGCAAGACAAATAAATGATTAATAGACGAATTGGTGGATCCAACTATGGTAAAATTAGGAACCAGAGCTCTTTATTTTCTACCTACTTTTTAGTCTTAAGAACGTTAATTTTAAGAATGAGTGATTGTTCTTCTTTGATCCTTATTGCCTATCTTGAGAGCAGACGACTAATGTGTTCCACTTATTCATTGCAAAAGAGAATGAAAAATCTTAATTTGATCTTCAAAATCTTTTCTGTTGGAGAGTTAGTAACGAATGGAAGATATGCAAAGTATTCCAGAAATTTTTCATTTTTATTAATTGACAGAAACTCAAGTCATTTAGTAAAATGAAGAAGATAATACAAGTTCGATATTTGAAAAACGCATTTGCAAAAGGTTACTTTACGACCTGAGGGAATTACACGTCCTGATATAAAAAAGAAACTCTTAAATCTAATTACTTATTATTATTGGTTAAATACCAAAACACACAATGTGCACATACAGATTAGGAGCAAGACTTATTCCTCGCAAAATTAGGACAGATCTAATGACTTTGAATGACACTTGGTTCAATAGTACATCCTCATCAAATGTCATGGACTAAAAATAAAAGAAAAGGAACATAAAGCTATATGACACATAAAAGTCCTTCATATGTTGGATGCTTATGGGCTAAATCATATGAATAGTCACCTAATTTTGCACTAAATTAGTTCAGATAATTTCAATTTGTCATTTTTTCTAATTATAATAGTAATATGACAGTAAAAATTATATTTATTGAAAAAAAAAATCATGATTGCAAAGGAATATAAAAAAGAAAGGGAAACAATGCTAGAAAATATAAATGATAGAGTGAAATTTTTTTTTCTCTTTTATTTTTTTAAAACTTGTTTTAAAAAAATATTATTTATTAAATAAATTAATAGGCAGATTCCAAATTGATGTATTAGGAGAAAATATGAATTTTTAAAATAAAATATTTTATTTTTATTATCATGTTGAATATTTCAATGGTGGTACGCGAATGACCTCTCATTAAAACAAATGTTAAAATTTTGTGAGTAAAAATGACAAATTAAAATTATATAATCTTACGAAATTAAATATGAAGTTAGGTGACTATTAGTATCATTTATCCTCCTTAGTTGGTCTAAGCCCTATTTGACATCAATGTTTGAAGCAGTGTTTTAATTAGGTTAAAACACTATCTTCATTAATTATAAATTTTGGTGATTTAATATCTATTCTAGCGTTTAGAGTTTGAGGCAATGTTTCATGGAACGTTATCTTCGTTAACAATTAACGTTTTATGAACTTTTTATGACATCACTTATCTTTACTTTGTTCTCCACTTTCATACTTTTTTTATCATTTTTTATTAAACAACTAATGAAACAATTATTTTTATTGAATATTTTTATTCTAAACTACTATATAAACATAACTAACTACTGACAGTTAATATCTAACAAATAACCACTAGTAAAACAACTTACAATTGTTAAAACAACTAACAACTATCAGAACTGCTAGTAAAACAAATGATAATTATTAAAATAGCTATCAGCTATTAGAACAATTAAGATTGTCAAACAAACCCTAGTCTCTTATTGGCTCCTCCAAGATTCTACAAATATCGTTTATTCTGATTTATAACGTGCTTATAGTTGAGTTTTCCCTTATTTTACCAAAAAAAAAAAAAAAAAAAAACAAACAAACCCTAGTTCTCTTATTGGCTCCTCCAAGATTCTACAATATCGTTTATTCTGATTTATAACGTGCTTATAGTTTGAGTTTTCCCTTATTTTTACCAAAAAAAAAAAAAAAAAAAAATCAGTCGGCATCTACTTACACACATAATAAAAAAAAAAAAAAAAAAAAAATCAGTCGGCATCTACTTACACACATATACTTCTTAAAAAATTTATTTAACATTTAAAGTAAGATTTATATATAAATATAGAAAGAAAATTTCCACATGATTTAGTAAAAAAAATCTTGATAATTGCTAAGAAGACTAGAGACAAAGTTTGGAAGTCAGTGAGAATCATTCCACATGATTTAGGGTTTTTTTTTTTTGTTCTTCTTCTTTTGTCTGATATAGTTCAATTTTATGATAACATCAATCTTCACACCATATTCTAAGCTCTAAAGTATAAACAGTATGTTAATGACTAAAATAATATCATCGTTTTGTACTTAATCAAACTTAATAAGTATAATTTATTTCAGGAGTCAATTATTGAATCTTTTCTTCTTCTTCTTCTAATTGATTACACTCCGCCTTGGCTATCGCCCCTTTTTCATCGTGTCATCAGCATCATTTGGGCTGAGATCTTCAAAACTAACGATCTCAACTTCTCAGCCAGACCCCAAACTAGTACTTTTGAAAATGTGCTTGGAAACTCAAGCTTCGTTACAGCTCCTTATGGAGATTACTGGAGATTTATGAAGAAACTTTGCCTTACAGAATTGCTTGGAGCCCGACAGCTCGAAAGATCTTATGGTGTTCGACGCGAAGAACTCATGCGTTTTTTGCATGATCTAATACAGAAAGCTTATAAAAAGGAGAAATTTGATTTGGGTCATGAGCTATTGAGGCTAACAAACAATACCATATGCAGAATGTTAATGAGCACAAGGTGTTCAAAGGAAGACGATGAGGCTCGAAGATGTAGAGAGCTAGTGGTACGATCAGTTAATCTAGTAGGAAAATTAACTATAGCTACCATGTTGGGTCCTTTTAAAAAATTAGGTTTTTGGTTATTTAGAAAACAAGTAAAGGATATAACTGGAGGATATGATGAGTTGCTGGAGAAAATCTTGAAGGAGCATGAAGAGAGCTATGGTGGATGGTTTTGACAGAGAGGATAAAGATTTGATGGATAGTCTCTTACAAGTATATAAAGATAAAGATGCAGAATTTAAGATAAGCAGGAATCACATGAAGATCTTCTTTCACGTATGCTCTAAAGATAATTACCGAATTGGAAATTTTCCAATTTTTTACCTAATTAAGCTCTGATGGTTCATGGAGCAATCTCATTGCAGGAACTCTTCATTGCAGGGACTGACACTTCAGCACACACCATGGCTTGGGCAATGGCGGAGCTCATGAACCATCCTAATGTATTCAGGAAACTAAGAGAGGAAATAGAATCAGTTGTTGGAAAAAAGAGACTAGTGGAAGAGTCAGATATCCAAAATCTTCATTATTTACAAGCAGTAGTAAAGGAAACTTTGAGGTTATACGCCCAGTAGGACCTGCAATAATCAGACAAGGATTTGAAGATTGTAAAATTGGAGGATTTGACATACCCAAAAACACTACATTAGTAATCAATGTATATTCCATAATGAGGGATCCGAAACTGTGGGAAAATCCTAATGACTTCTACCCAGAAAGATTCTTGCAAGAAAAAGAAACTAAAAAGCAAAATAATTTCAGTTTTGTTCCATTTGGAGGGGGAAGAAGAACGTGCCCTGGTTCAAATTTAGCTTTAAGTATGGTTAGCATTAGCATAGCATCCATGGTTCAATGCTTTGATTGGAAGGTTGATGCTGGGAAGGTTAATTGGGAAGCTAAACCAGGCTTCATCATGTACTTGGCTCATCCACTTTTGTGTGTTCCTACTGTTCACTTCAATCCATTGTAGCCTATCTTTAGATCTTATAAATAAAAATTGAAAATTTAAATGTTCTATGCTCAATGAATATTTTTTTTGCTGGGAATTTTCAAAGAAAACATGTCGTAAGTCTCCATTTGTATTAAGCATTTGTCTATTTGAAGAACCGAAGCCGAATTGATCAAAGAAATTAATTTTTTTAGAAAAGAGAAATCAAGTTTTTTATATGAATATTTGGAAATTGAAATTAAAATTAAATTTTCATTTACCATAAAGTTGATGAACGTCTATCTCTTGAAAAGCTTTAGTAAATATTTATCCTTTGATGTGTTAAAAATTTTCCAAATGTAAATTTTGTGAAATTGTAACATTATAAGAACTTAAAAATAATCACTAAGCACTTAGGTTTTTTTACCTAACATTCATAGGATAGGTTGGGGATAAGTTCTATGCTCAATCACTAGATTATGTAGTGTTCGGCTCTTTGGGCAGTTAATCAAATTTAATTAATAGTTGTATTAATAATTTTGTCTTACAAAACTTACTTTTAACACGAAACGACCTAAGCTATTTTAGTTCGTTGCCTTTCCTCACATCCATTTATTTGCTAACTAATTTCGTTGACTTTTACAAATTTAATTAGATAAGTTACTATTCTTAGCCGATGATATCTCCACAGATCATTCCTTCTCCACAGATCATTCCTCTTGCAAACCGTGTGCCACCCCAGTCGATCTATCATCAAAACTGAGTGCTTCTGATGGACCTCTATTCCATGATCCAACATTATACCGCAGTCTTGCTGGCGCATTACAGTATCTCACATTCACACGCCCAGATACTTGCTGGGCGCATTACAGTATCTCACATTCACACGCCCGATATTATCATATGCCTGTTCAAGCAAATATGGCCTCTTCAATGCATGAAACCGCGGGATCCCCACTATGCCTTTCTCAAAAAGAATAATCCGATATTTACAAGGCACAGTTTTGACTAACGGTAATAAAGAATTGGCAAGAAACAAATACACATACCTTGGTAGCATAGTTAGACGCAGATTGGGGTGGGATGCCCAGACTCCAGAAGATCAACTAGTGGCTACTGTGTTTTTTGCTTGGTGAAAATTGATTTTCATGGTCTTCACTTCAAAACGGCAAGCCTACTTATCTCACATCTAGTGCGAGGCAGAATATAAGAGGAAGTAGCCAACAATGCTGTTGCAAGAGACCACCTGGCTTTTCGGCAAAAAAATTTACTTCTGAAAATTACACCTCCCCACTTCAGCAGGCCTCCGTCAATATACTTAATGACAATGTTTCCGCAGTATATATTCTGACAATCCTAATCCAGCATCAATTGCAACAAAACAAATTGAGATCGACAATACACTTTGTAAGGGAGAAAGTTCGAAAATAGGGCCACATTCCCTACACTTTGTAAGGGAGAAAGTTCGAATAGGCCACATTCGGGTCTCACATGTCCCATCTGCTTTTCAATATGCTGACATCTTCACCAAAGGCCTATCTCGACAGTTGTTCTAGTCATTTCGATCCAGTTTGAGCGTCTGTCCTCCGCCCGCTCAAACTGCGGGGGAGTCTTAGCCGATGATATCTCCACAGATCATTCCTCTGATTTAGGAATAGATTACAATTAATTTCCTATAATTAATCTCTGTAATTCCTTTCCATATTATGTTTGTATTCTCCCTATTTAAAGGGTCTTGTACATCAATACAAATCATCAAGAATTCCAAATCCTCAAACCCTTTCAATTATATCCTATTTCTGTTTTATAATACTTGTCATATTTAGAATTTCACATTTTTTAAGAAAACCATTTAATGCGTCTAAGTTACAATAAATTATTGAGTAAATTGACTATATTATTTTTAATTTAATATTAATTCTCCAAGGAAACTATTAAATTGAAGTAATAATTTTTGGTCATATGCAAAAGGTAAACATGAAAAAAACAGTTATTACTTCTTGAAACCACAAATGCGACAAGTATTTTAGAATAAGTTATTTTCTCAATTGTGACAAGTATTATGGAACAAAGGTAGTAAAATATTAATCGCAAGAATTTATTTCCGTTAGCCTAATTTTGTTGACTTCTACAAATTAATAAGGTAAGTTAATACATGCCTAATAATTTATTTGCTATAGTTAGATAATTACTAATTTTGACTTCTACATATATGGACATACCACCTTCGTCTTGTTAATTTTGGTACTATTTAACGTTTCATAGAAATTAAAAAAAAATTAAATCACCTTCATAAAAAAACAAATTGTAATCGATTAAATTATCACCTTTTAAAATAATTCTTTATAATTATGAGAGATAAAATTTAATAAAGATATCTAGACAAATTAAGATAAAATTAGAATAAAATAATTAATATTATCTTAATTTTTTAAAAGTGTCATCTAAAACTTTTAGTTAAAAATTTCAAGCATCTTCAAACTTTAAATTTTTGAATTGGTTTATTTTACTTTTTAATTTTATTTTTTAGCATTAGAAAAAATAATCCGAACTTGAATCTATTACTAAATTATAAATTATAAATGATAAGGCTTCTCTGGCGCGTCAAATCTATTAATGAAGGGTTCTTTTAAAATTTATTACTACTGTTGTTTTTTTTAACGAATAATAAAAAAGTTACAATCAAGAACGTATTTTTTCTAGTTATAAACGTGCGTTTAGTTTATTTTTTATATGTTCTAATCTCATTCCACTGAGTAGTATCCATAGTCGAAAAATGGCAAGCATTGGTGATATCCAATACTACTGGATGATACCCATTTTTCTTTGGCTAATCTCAATCCTTCTTCTAAACTTGCTCAAGAAGGTAACCCAACCAACCCTTGACCTTCCTCCAAGTCCGCCGGGACTTCCATTCATTGGCCACCTTCACTTTCTCAGTCCGGTGGTAACCAAATGCTTCTCATTTCTCTCATCTAAATATGGCCCTCTCCTCTATCTCCGATTCGGCTCTCGTCCTGCCCTTCTTTCTAAATATGGCCCTCTCCTCTATCTCCGATTCGGCTCTCGTCCTGCCCTTCTTGTCTCGTCGGCTTCTTTTGCAACTGAGATTTTCAAAAGAAACGATGTTATTTTTTCAAATAGGCCGAAGACACCATTTGATGATAGGTTAATATTTGGAGAATACGGCATTCTGAATTGTCCCTATGGAGACTACTGGAGATTCATGAGGAAACTATGCGTAACAGAATTAGTTGGAATTCGCCAAGTCGAAAGATTTATTGACGTTCGAAACGAAGAAATACAAAAACGTTTCTTGAAAAAACTGTTACAGAAAGCTCATAGAATTGAGTATCTTGATTTGGGTAAGGAGCTAATGAAGCTAACGAATAATATTATATGCAGAATGGTAATGGGCACAAGTTGTTCCAAGGAAGATGATGAAGCAGAAAGGTGTAGAGAGATTGTTCAAGGGGCAATTGATTTGGTTGGAAAGTTGACTGTTGCTACTACGTTAGGTCCTCTTAAAAAATTAGGTTTTTGGTTGAACAGGAAAGAATTAAACGTTATAACTAGAAAGTGCGATGAGTTGTTGGATAAGATTTTGGAAGAGCATGAAGACAGAGCTAAGAGAAATAATGGTGATGACAAAGAAGTTAAAGATTTAATGGATATTCTACTGCAAGTGTGTCAACATCAAGATACAAAATTCAAAATAAGCAAGAACCACATTAAGGCCTTCATTATGGTATATAATACTGATCTTTTTATAATTATTGACACCCAGATAAAATCTCTTCATCAGTTATAAATTTCTGAAATGTTCCATTTTTTATTGTGTCAGGATCTCTTCCTAGCAGGGACTGATACTTCAGCAGCTACCATGCAATGGATAATGGCTGAGCTGTGCAACCATCCTATGGTATTCAAGAAACTGAGGGAGGAGATAAAATCAGTTATAGGAACACATAGATTAGTGCAAGAATCAGATATCCCAAATCTCCATTATTTGCAAGCAGTGGTAACGGAAACACTAAGACTATACCCCCAAGTACCTATAATGCCAAGAGAATGCCGTGAAGATTGTGAAATTGGAGGTTTTGATATACCGAAAGACACTGCAGTTCTAATCAACGCATATTCAATAATGAGAGATCCAGAGATTTGGGAAAACCCTAATAAATTCTATCCTGAGAGATTCCTGCAAGAAAAGGAAATTAAGATGCAAAACAATTTAAATTTTCTCTCGTTTGGTGCGGGAAGGAGATCATGCCCTGGTTCTCATTTAGCTTTGAGTGTAATTCATATTACTATTGTTGGAGGAAATGGAGGTAATAAGGTTAATCATGGAGCTAAGAGGCTTGCTTTCTTGGCCTGGCGTGTTCCTGTGCTTCACTTCAACCCATTTCCTGCTTAATCTTTTCAGCCCAGTAGTAACCAAATGCCTCCATAATGTCTCATCTAAATATGGCCCTCTCCTCCATCTCCGCCTTGGCTGTCGCCCCTTTTTCATCGTGTCATCAGCATCATTTGCGGCTGAGATCTTCAAAACTAACGATCTCAACTTCTCAGCCAGACCCCAAACTAGTACTTTTGGAAATGTGCTTGGAAACTCAAGCTTCGTTACAGCTCCTTATGGAGATTACTGGAGATTTAGAATCAGTTGTTGGAAGAAAGAGACTAGTGGAAGAGTTAGATATCCAAAAACACTACATTAGTAATCAATGTATATTCGATAATGAGGGATCCGAAACTGTGGGAAAATCCTAATGACTTCTACCCAGAAAGATTCTTGCAAGAAAGAGAAACTAAAAAGCAAAATAATTTCAGTTTTGTTCCATTTGGAGGGGGAAGATGAATGTGCCCTGGTTCAAATTTAGCTTTAAATATGGTTAGCATTAGTATAGCATCCATGGTTCAATGCTTTGATTGGAAGGTTGATGCTGGAAAGGTTAATTTGGAAGCTAAACCAGGCTTCATCATGTACTTGGCTCATCCACTTTTGTGTGTTCCTACTGTTCACTTCAATCCATTGTAGCCTATCTTTAGATCTTGTAAATAAAAATGAATATTTTCTTTGCTGGGAATTTTCAAAGAAAACATGTCGTAAGTCTCCATTTGTATCAAGCATTTGTCTATTTGAAGAACCGACGCGGAATTGATCAAAGAAATTAAATTTTTTAGAAAAGAGAAATCAAGTTTTTTATATGGATATTTGGAAATTGAAATTAAAATTAAATTTTCATTTACCATAAAGTTGATGAACGTCTATCTCTTGAAAAGCTTTAGTAAATATTTATCCATTGATGTGTTAAAAAATTTCCAAAATGTAAATTTTGTGAAATTGTAACATTATAAGAAATTAAAAATAATCACTAAGCACTCTGGTTTTTTTCACTTAACATTCATAGGATAGGTTGGTGATGTTTTTTGGTAAGTCCAATGGCTTGGGTCTAGTTGCCTTTGAATGTTAAATTTTCCTTGGATATATTAAAAATTAATAAAATATATTATTTGCTATAAAAAAAAAAAACCAAACACTCATGTTTTGATTTTGCGTGACTCTATTGTTGTAGCTCGACCGTATTATTCTCTATAGCTTTTTGCTCTCTTTATTTGCCAAAAAAAATAATAAGCACTAAATAATATGTTTTGTAGTCGATAAAGCTATGTTCGGTATAATTTTTTAAGGTAGTTTTTAAAATTTTGACCAGTTAAAATATTAGTGTTCGGTAATATAATATTTGAACTAGATTGTATAGTGTTCGGCTCTTGTTCGGCTCTTAGGGCAGTTAATCAAATTTAATTAATAATTAGAGCTTTATTTATCATTCATTTGATGGTGAGAGGCGAATTGAAAGTTAAGCAGTGGTAATTCTAAAGATTCCCCGGGAGACTTCAGGTAAAGCTTAACGTAATAGATAAGAAGCGTTCTTCTTTCTTCTATAGCTTGGCAGGAGATTAATTAACCGAGATTCAGAAGCGAAAATTTCACCTCGACCGTCAATAGGTTTAGCCAAAGCATTTATAACACGACCCAAATAAGCCTTACTCACCGGTATCTGAGCAATTCTTCCTGTTGCTTTTACGGAGCATTAGCGAGCGGTATTGTATTAATAATTTTATCTTATAAAACTTATTTTTAACGTGAAATGACCTAAGCCATTTTGGTTCATTGACTTTCCTCATTATATGTCATTTACTCAATTTATATTTACCTAATCACGTACTTCTTGCACTTCCATTTATTTGCTAACTAATTTCGTTGACTTTTACAAATTTAATTAGATAAGTTAATACATACCATTTCTGTTCCATCGTACTTGTCACATTTGGAATTTCACATTTCTTAAGCAAATTATTTAATATGTCTAAGTTACAATAAATTATTAAGTGAATTGACTATATTATCTTTAATTTAATATTAATTCTCGAAGAAAACCATTAAATTGAAGTAATAATTATTGATCATATGCAAAGGTTAAACATGGAAAAAACATTTATTACTCCTTGAAATTACAAATGTGACAAGTATTTTGAAATAAGTTATTTTCTTAAATGTAGTAAGTATTATAAAACAGAGTTAGTAAAATATTACTCGCAAGAATTTATTTGCGTTAGCCTAATTTTGTTGACTTCTACAAATTAATAAGATAGGAGAATACATACCTAATAATTTATTTGTTTTAGTTAGATAATTACTAAGTTTGTTGACTTCTACATATATGTACATACCACTTTCGTTTCTTAACTTTGGTACTATTTAACTTTCATAAAAATTAAAAAAAATAATTAAATCACCTTAATAAAAAAAAACAAATTGTAATTGATTAAATTACCACCGTTTAAAATAATTCTTTATACTTATGAGAGATAAAATTTAATAAAAATATCTCGACAAATTAAGATAAAATTAGAATAAAATAATTAATATTATTTTAATTTTTTAAAAGTCTCATCTAAAAATTTTTGTTAAAAATTTCAAGCATCTTCAAACTTTAAATTTTTTAATCTCAATCTTTAGTGGTTTATTTTACTTTTTAATTTGATTTTTTTAGCATTAGGAAAAATAATCCGAACTTGAATTTATTACTAGATTATAAAGGATAAGATTTGTCTGGCGCATCAAATCCATCAACAAAGGTTCTTTTAAAATTTATTACTACTGTTATTTTTTTTAGCAAATGATAAAAAAGTTACAATCAAGAACGGATTTTTTCTAGTTATAAATGTGCGTTTGGTTTATTTTTTATATGCACTAATCTCATTACACTGAGTAGTCTCCATAGTCCAAAAATGGCAAGTATTGGTAATATCCAAAACTACTGGATCATACCCATTTTTCTTTGGCTAATCTCAATCCTTCTTCTAAACCTGCTCAAGAAGATAACCCAACCAACCCTTCACCTTCCTCCAAGTCCGCCGGGACTTCCATTCATTGGCCACCTTCACTTTCTCAGTCCAGTGGTAACCAAATGCTTCTCATTCCTCTCATCTAAATATGGCCCTCTCCTCTATCTCCGATTCGGCTCTCGTCCTGCCATTCTTGTCTCGTCGGCTTCTTTTGCAACTGAGATTTTCAAAAGAAACGATGTTATTTTTTCAAATAGGCCGAAGACACCATTTGATGATAGGTTAATATTTGGAGAATACGGCATTCTGAATTGTCCCTATGGAGACTACTGGAGATCCATGAGGAAACTATGCGTAACAGAATTACTTGGAATTCGCCAAGTCGAAAGATTTATTGACGTTCGAAACGAAGAAATACAAAAACGTTTCTTGAAAAAACTGTTAGAGAAAGCTCATAGAAATGAGAATCTTGATTTGGGTAAGGAGCTAATGAAGCTAACGAATAATATTATATGCAGAATGGTAATGGGAACAAGGTGTTCCGAGGAAGATGATGAAGCAGAAAGGTGTAGAGAGCTTGTTCATGGGGCATTTGATTTGGCTGGAAAGTTGGCTGTTGCTACTATGTTAGGTCCTCTTAAAAAATTAGGTTTTTGGTTGAACAGGAAAGAATTAAGCGATATAACTAGAAAGTGCGATGAGTTGTTGGATAAGATTTTGGAAGAGCATGAAGACAGAGCTAAGAGAAATAATGGTGATGACAAAGAAGTTAAAGATTTATTGGATATTCTACTGCAAGTGTGTCAAGATAAAGATACAAAATTCAAAATAAGCAAGAACCACATTAAGGCCTTCATTATGGTATATAATACTGATCTTTTTATAATTATTGACACCCAGATAAAATCTCTTCATCAGTTATAACTAAGCATATACTGCAGTTCTAATCAACGCATATTCAATAATGAGAGATCCAGAGATTTGGGAAAACCCTAATAAATTCTATCCTGAGAGATTCCTGCAAGAAAAGGAAATTAAGATGCAAAACAAATTAAATTTTCTCTCGTTTGGTGCGGGAAGGAGATCATGCCCTGGTTCTCATTTAGCTTCGAGTGTAATTCATATTACTATTGCATCAATGGTTCAATGCTTTGATTGGAAATTTGTTGGAGATGGAAATGGAGGTAATAAGGTTAATATGGAAGCTAAAGCAGGCATGACTTTGCCTGGCACATCCACTTCTGTGTGTTCCTGTGCTTCACTTCAACCCATTTCTTTCTTAAATAATATATGTATCTTAAGAAAAATAATCCACTAATGTTGCTGTTATAGCTGTTTTATGATAAATAAACTGAGGTTACAGAGTTTTGCTTCTTGTTTATCAGTTCATTTGAGACATAAAATGTGAATATATATATATCCATGGTAAGAAAAATAATCGACTAATGTTGCTGTTATAGTTGTTTTATGATAAATAAAACGAGGTTACAGAGTGTCGCTTCCTGTTTATCACTTCATTTAAGACAGAAAAAGGTGAAAACGCAGTGGAACAGAATGCCTTTGATAAAAAAAATTAATCATTAATTAAATTTTGTATACTAAGCAAAACATAATAATGATTTAATTTGATGTATCAAATTTATCATGACTTGCCTTGTAAAATAAATAATTTTTACATTCAAATAAATATAATCACCATCTAATCACTAATTTTAAAATTGCTTAATTAAAGATTAAAAAAAGTAAGATATGTGATCCATTAAAAACCATTCAATCTACTGACTTTCTATTATTATTCTTACTATTATTACTATTATTGATTAAATATACCGAAATCTACTTGAAAATGTTAAGTGATACCATCCTTTAATTATTCTGATATTTAAAGAAAATTAGACTTAAACATTACAAAGCGAAAGAAATCAATATATTTTTATTAATTTAACTTTATTATAATTCAAAATCGAAAACTCTAAATTGTGAATATGAATCTAATACCACTAAATTGATTATCACCAAGAGATAAGCACCCATAGAAGTGGTGGGAGTGCTTTAATAAGTTTGATTCTTTGATGCAATCTTACGAAAATATTTCTTTCACTCATGTTTTAAGTGAAAGAGAATTTTTTTGCAGATAGTTTGGCAAAAATGGGTGTGGATGCTACAATTTCTTTGGTAGCTTGGATATAATGGTTTGGATTAGAATGAATAATTCTATCTCTTAATTATCAATTTGAGATTCTTAATTATCAGTTTGATGCTAAGTTTTTCCTGAATTTAAATTAATAAAATAAATTCATTTTACGGATAAAAAAGAATTGATTGTCACGAACTAAATAGTAAGTTCTATAAGTTCTACAGTATTGCATTTACCAATAAAGTTGCAGCACCAAGTTTAGTCATAACGTGCAAGTTTTAATTCTATATATGCCTTTCTCACATTTTCTGATATGACACAAACAACCAAATCCCAACATCAACGATATTAGTTGTAAGCTTACAACATTATATAATTTTTTTTTATGAGCAACGAAAAAAATTTATTAGAATCGAACATACTAAGAAAAGTTCAGTATTCTCAGAATCTACCCCAAATTAATAGGCTTTCTCAATACACCTATAACTTGTCTGAAAATGTTAAACAAAAACCTGACAATGACCTCTCCTTCTCTTTAGCTAAGAAAAAGATATTTAAAATATCTCAAAAAAATTCACCTAAAATAATTAACAAACGAACGTCAACTTCCTCTAATTGGTTAATCGTAATAAAAAATCATATTAATCATATATAAAGATTATAACTCACGTAATAATCTCCATAAAATGTACTTTACGCAATATTAATATTGTCTTAATCATCTTATTTCTTAGTTAAAAGAATTTTCGAGCCAGTTTAGGTATAGGTTTGATATCTCATTACACAATAATTAATATTTTAAACTTGAATCTTTGGAGGTGTAATATATATAATATATTTAGATTCTTTTTTATTACCTACTGCGAAGTCTTAATGCAAAGCCAGTACGCTATTCTAATTGTTTAAGTTGCCCTAATTCCTCAACTTCTACAAATTGTTTTGCTGAATAATTAAGCATACATTAATATATAAATTTATGAAATTTGGCTTTTAAGAAGACTTTGGAAACTTATTTTTGTCCATTTAGGAACTACCACACCTTGTCACATGCCAAGAAGGTTACTTGTTGACTGGGAAAAAAGATTTAATTAAATAAGTTAATTTACAGTAATTATAAAGATAATTAGGTTACTTATTATCAAGGGATATTACCTACTGCCCAAACTAAAATTATACAATTTGGTACTACTCCAAAATAAAATTAAACATAGCATTAGACGTTAAGGTAGTGTGTTTATAAAAGGTTAACCCTTTTAACTTTTAGCATTTTAAGAAAAATTACTCAAACTGCTAAACGATAATAGAATAGCTAACAACCACCAAAATAATTAATTTTGCCGAACAGAAGATAGCTAACAGCTACCAAAACAGCTAATTTTGCCTAACAGGCGCTTTATGTTTTTGTAAATAATAATGAAATATATTGAAATAGAGTTAAATATATAGAATATGTATATTCTATAACTAGGATCGAATTAGTCTTTTAGAAAAAGAAAATCATGTGGCGAATATATACAAATGACTTGCTAGCTATAGTACAATCAAGAAATCAATTTTCTAGCTAGTTCGAGTATATTTCTCACTCATAAAAAACATAACATTTTCTTGATTGTCTTTTATTTTTATGCCTAACTTCAATTCAAGTAAATATTGACTTTTTTACAAGTTCACGGGTTCACCAAACTAAAATATAAAACCAAAAAAGGGGGAAAAAATAAAAAAAAATGCCCCCAAATCTGAAAAATGTAATTCTTTTTACTCTATATAATGCCCACAAGTAATGCTTAAACCTCTCCAACAAAAACAAAAATGGAGTTGTTCTTTCTTATTGCCTTAACCATTTTCATTGTCCTTGTTACTTTTCCAATTCTAGCTCTATTGTCTCATAAGCTACCCAATGTCTCTCTTCTCCCACCAGGCAAGACAGGCTTACCGTACGTCGGAGAAAGCTTGGAATTTCTCTCTACAGGCCGAAAAGGTCATCCTGAAAAGTTCATATTAGAGAGAATGACCAAATACTCCTGTCAAATTTTCAGAACTTCCATTCTTGGTGAACAAACTGCTATTCTCTGTGGTCCACAAGGCAATAAGTTCTTGTTTTCCAATGAAAACAAGCTTGTAACTGCCTGGTGGCCGAAATCAGTCCTGAAACTTTTCCCTTCGTCGCAACAAAGTACGATTTCAGCAGAAGGAATTAGGATTAGAAAAATGTTACCCATGTTTCTCAAACCCGAGGCGTTACAGAGATACATTGGTGTAATGGACTCTATAGCTCGAGAACACTTTCAGGATAAATGGGAAGGTAAGGAAAAATTGAAAGTATATCCACTTGTAAAATTATATACTTTTACAGTTGCTTGTAAAGTGTTTTTGAGTTTGGAGGACAAAGAACAGGTTGCCAAGTTCGCAACTCCTTTCAATGATATGGCGTCAGGTATCATTTCTATTCCAGTAGATCTTCCTGGAACGTCTTTCCATCGCGGAATGAAGGCCTCGAAGGTTATAAGGAAGGAAATGTTGGGTATGATTGAACGAAGAAGAAAGGAGATTGCGGAAAATAAAGCGTCTCCAATGCAAGATATTTTGTCACATATGTTAGTAGCTACTGATGAAGATGGAAAGCGTTTGGGAGATATTGGAATTGCTGATAAGATTATTTCTTTGCTTATTGGTGGCCATGACACTGCAAGTGCTTCCATTACTTTTGTGGTTAAGGTTCTTTCAGAGCTTCCTGAAATCTACAAGAAAGTTTTGAAAGGTACATATGACCTGAAATTATTAAAAAAAGATTCTAGTTTGGCCTCTTTAACTTTTCAAAAAGTTATATTGTATATGTATTTTCTTACCACATAATGTTCTATCATTCTCTAATTAACAGAGCAAATGGAGATTGCAAATTCAAAAGCACCAGGTGAGTTACTGAACTGGGAAGACATTCAGAAGATGAAATACTCCTGGAATGTAGCCTGTGAAGTAATGAGAATAGCCCCACCTCTACAAGGTTCTTTCAGAGAAGCCTTGTATGACTTCAATTATGCTGGTTTCTCTATTCCAAAGGGTTGGAAAGTAAGCTTAATTATCATAAATTGATCTCAAGTAACATTTTTTTTTTATTATAAATGTTTCTCTTTAAAAGAGAAATTTAACCCTTTCTTCCCTCCAATTTTGTAGCTATATTGGAGTACACATTCAACACATAAGAATCCAGAATATTTTCCAGAGCCTGAAAAGTTTGATCCTTCAAGATTTGAAGGGTCAGGGCCTGCACCTTACACATATGTTCCATTTGGAGGAGGACCAAGAATGTGCCCTGGGAAAGAATATGCAAGATTGGAAATTTTGGTTTTTATACACAACATTGTCAAAAGGTTCAAGTGGGAAAAAATGCTTCCTGATGAGAAAATTATTGTAGATCCCATACCTATGCCAGCAAAAGGGCTTCCAATATACCTTTATCCTCACAAGTTGGAGTGATTTGCCAAATAAAAAAAGAAAGGGAATAGCTTTTCATAATGTAATTTCTGTAAACAATAATTCTTGTAGACAAGCTACAAGGTCTTTTCTATATTTATATAATTATATATGCAAAAATGTTATTAATAATGCTAGATTTGCATTTTCTCCTTCATTCCAATGTAATTAAAAGTGAGTGAATTTTTAATATTAAAGAATGTGAAATTATGACATTTTGTTAGTTTATTACCAGTTAAGCTTACTGTCAGTCTGTCACCTACAATTTAATTTTATTGAATATAAAATTTTTATCAACTTTTCCCATTGGAAATGGAAAACTTATCTGTCTTAATTTTATTGGCTTTTTCCCAACTTGTTTGTTTCTTTTCTTTTGATTTCTCGATCAAACAATCAAAGATTACTTCTGACCATTGTTATTATCAATTTAATTGCATTTTTAAATAGAAAATTAAAATGGATGCATCATCTGGAAAAAAAAAAATGATAAGCTCAAACAATTAACTTTGTTCTTTAATCGTAATTAATTAAAAAACATCATTAAGAAGGTGACTAATTTTCTCTATATATCCGCAATTACATAAGCTTTATATTCAGTTCTTGGAATTTACTGCAACCGTAAGGCCTTCATCCACCAAGAACATCATCATATCCTCTTCAAGAAGTAACTAAGGATGTGGATAATTGGATTGTGTTTTGCATCTTTACTTGTAATATATTGTACCCATTTTTTCTACAAATGGAGAAACCCAAAATGCAAAGGTGTTCTTCCTCCTGGTTCTATGGGTTTGCCTATTATAGGAGAAACTCTTCAATTGATCATTCCAAGTTACTCTTTAGATCACCATCCATTCATCCAAAAAAGAATCCAAAGGTACTACCTTTCTACTTTTCTTTAATGAGTCAACTAAGATTTGGCCGGGTTCAAAAGCACAATCTGATTCATCTTTCTTTCAGATATGGACCCATTTTTCGAACCAATCTCGTCGGTAGACCGGTGATAGTATCAGCTGATCCTGAAGTTAATCAGTACATATTTCAACAAGAAGGGAACTCAGTTGAAATGTGGTATTTAGATGCATATGCAAAAATATTTCAGCTCGATGGTGAATCCAGGTTAAGTGCAGTAGGGAGAGTTCACAAGTACATAAGAAGCATAACTTTGAATAATTTTGGGATTGAAAACCTTAAAGAAAATTTGCTTCCTCAAATACAAGATTTGGTGAACCAAAGCTTACAAAAATGGTCAAATAAAGCTTCTGTTGATGTGAAACAAGCTGCTTCTGTTGTAATATATTTATCATTATATGCCATCATATAGTTATTAGCAAAAACATCCTATTCTGTTTTGTACTAACTATATCACATTTTTTGCAGATGGTTTTCAATCTTACAGCAAAGCAAATGTTTAGTTATGGTGTTGAGAAGAATTCATCAGAGGAGATGACAGAGAAATTCACTGGAATCTTTAACAGTCTTATGTCTTTACCATTGAATATTCCGGGCACAACATATCATAAATGTTTAAAAGTAATCAAAAGAATTAGTCTTTTATACCTTGAATTTCTCAGTATCATCAAATCGGTTTTTGTCTGTCAGGACCGAGAGGCAATGCTAAAAATGTTGAGGGATACACTGAAACAAAGACTTTCTTCACCAGATACGCATCGAGGAGATTTTCTTGATCAAGCCATTGATGATATGGATACCGAGAAGTTTTTGACAGGAGACTGTATTCCTCAACTGATATTTGGAATTCTTCTAGCTGGGTTCGAAACTACAGCAACAACACTAACACTAGCTTTCAAGTTTCTTGCAGAGCATCCTTTAGTGTTAGAGGAGTTGACAGTATGTGGATTGTTTGCTTCTATATTATCAAGTTTTCAATTTTTATGTTCAAATAATTTGATATTTTTATAACAGGCTGAGCATGAAAAAATTCTTAGCAAAAGAGAAAATTTGGAATCCCCACTCACATGGGATGAATACAAGTCCATGACTTTTACCCATCATGTTTGTTCCACAAATTTTCAAAATTTCTCTCCTGATTAACTTTGAATTATACCAATAAAGATATTGATTATGTTTTTTGACAGGTCATTAACGAAACACTTCGATTGGCTAATTTTCTGCCAGGGCTATTGCGAAAAGCATTGAAAGATATTCAAGTCAAAAGTACATAATTTCTTTGAAATGTTGGATATACAATCAAGAATAAGACGTTAAATCTCTGACGCACGGAAACTCCTAGCTATGGGTGTTTCCACATTTTGAAAATGTTTCCTGTATCGTTTTTCTATATAAAATACTGTTTCCCGTATCTGTTTTCTTATAAAAAGTACCGTTTCATGTGTAAAATTATATTTTAAATGTAGTTTCCCGGTATTATTTCTGCATTTTTGACAGATTATACAATTCCAGCTGGTTGGACAATAATGGTTGTCAAGTCTGCAATGCAACTAAACCCTGAAATATACAAGGATCCACTTGCATTCAATCCATGGCGATGGAAGGTGTGTAATTTCATGTTGCAGAACATTAGACCGGCCAAGAAAAGACAATTTATACATTTTTCTGAAAAAAAAATCTGCTGTTCTATTTGTTTTCAGAAGACAAACCTTACGTTTTTTTTTTCTTATGTTAAATGGGTGGTAGGACCTCGACTCTTACACTGTTTCGAAGAATTTCATGCCTTTCGGTGGAGGATCAAGGCAATGTGCAGGAGCAGATTACAGTAAACTATTCATGACCATCTTTCTCTTTTTTTTTTTTTTTTTTTTATTCATATCTTTTTTTTAAATATGAGATTAGTCTTGTTTCGAAATTTGTAATTGTAACTGTCCTTCTTTGTAATGTAACTGAATGTCCTCTGTTAATATAGCTTGTTATAAAACAATCAACAAAACCATTTTAGACACAAACATGGCAACACAATCAAATCTCTGAAATTTTCAGTTCCACCAGAATGACTTAGCCATGTGATCAATTCTAGCATAGAAAAGTAGAAAAGTCCAGGGAGTTGGGATTTAGGTAATCTGTCACATCTTCACAGAAGTACAATTGTCAGAGCACAACTCATTTACTCTATTTATAATATACCTACCTTACTATATAAAGGTGTTTTGTTGAACCTCCCTCTTCCAGTATTTTGTATGTAGAATATAAGTAGGGGAAGAGAAATCTCATACCTGCAATTCAAATTTTAGCTTCTACTTCAACTTTCAGCACCCCTAAAGCTCTGCATTTCACATGGCAAAGTGGCATTTTCTTCTCCTTATGGTTTTCATATCTTTCTCAGGTAACAAGAATCAAACCCATTTTTCACCTTCTTTTTCTACAATAATGTTATTTTTCTCACCATTTACTGAATTTTTTTTTTTTTTTTTTTTTTTTTTTTTTTCTACCATAAAAAAAATCAATTAATGAATATTTTTTTTTTTTTTTTAATTTTCTCTTATTAATTTCGCAGGCACAGAGAGAGAGAGAAGCAACACACGCGAGTCTCAATCTCACCACAACATACAAAAACACCAAATGTTCAGGAATAACACAACTACTTGAGCCGGCGCAGAACTCTTTCAGGCATTAAGGACCTTCTGCCTACATAAAGCGGCGTGGAACTATAATATGCGAACCGGAGTCGTATATGCAATAACAAAAATTGATGTAACACTCTATTTCATCAAGGTAGGTCAGGCCGCTTTTGGGCTCCGTAAACAAGGCTGACAAGTCTGATAGTCTTCACGGCAAAGGGAAAAAAAAATGTGCCACTAGGATGAACTGAGTGGTGGCTCCTGAACTCAATTGTGCTGGGGAAGGTGGTGTATCTCACCAGTTCATTCACCTATAGGCATAAGAAGTTCTACTTTTTTTTTTTTTTTTTTTTTTTTTTTTGCAGGCACTGAAGCCGCAGTCTTTACCCTACAAAACCAATGTAGGATAACCATATGGCCGGGGACTCTTTCAGGAAAAGGACCTTTGCTACTAGGCGGTGGAACTAAATTACGACCGGGTCTATCAATAACAATTGATGTACCTCATCAGTGGTCAGGCCGCTTTTGGGCTCGTACTGGCTGCAGGTTTGATAGTTCCGGCAAGGGAAAATGTGCCACTGGTGACTGTGGTGGCTTGACTCATTGTGCTGGGGCTGGTGGTGTACCACCAGTCACACTAGCTGAGTTCACATTGGATAACCAAAATTTCTATGATGTTAGCCTTGTTGATGGCTACAATATCCCTATTTCCATCTACCCCTACGGTGGCTCTGGTGACTGCAAAAAGGTCGAGTGTTTCTCCAACTTGAATCCCAGATGCCCCAAGGATCTACGTGTGATAACTAACGGTAGGATTGTAGCATGCAAGAGTGCCTGCACAGCATATAATACTCCTGAATACTGTTGCACTGGTGCTTATGGTAACCCTCAGACCTGCAAGCCTACAGGTTTTTCACAGATATTCAAGGCTGCATGTCCTACATATTATAGCTATGCCTATGATGATGCAACAAGCACATTCACATGCAGCAATGCTAATTATATAATTAGGTTTTGTTGAACTATTAAGGCGGTGATTGAGATTCCGATATAACAGGATACATGCATTATTCTTGTTGTTTGAGAACTTCAGTGAAGATGCAGATAAACTGCATTTGAGGCTTTGGCATATTCGGGGAACAACCAAATGCTACTAAATCAATACATTCCATAAACTGTCATGACATGGACAGTATCAGACTGATGTCTTTCTTTATTTTTCACATCGTCTTCTTCTATTCTTTTGGAATAAAACAGCAGTGGGCTTCTAAATTTATTAGTCTTCTATTTTATTAATGCAAGCTAGTTATCTTGTTTGGATGTTCTAATGTCTGCTTCTTCGTGCTGCTCAGACTGCCACTCCAAATCACATGTCTTACAACTACAAAAGGTTCTTTTTGTCAAACACCACAAGCAATCTTAGCCAAGATATCCCATGATTCAGGCTTAGATGTATCTTGGGTTAAAGTGTTAAACATGGGATATTTATTAAGTAGACCATTCGGTACTGTCTTGTGGTCTTCTCGAGTCTTTCTCTGTTCACAGCCCAAAGTAAATCAGATATGTCATATGTCATATATCATATATCCCTAACTATAAGGTCCCAATGACAGAGTAAACAGCAATCACCCATCTTGATGTGACACTAAGTTACTCTGTGTAAGCATGTCTCTTAACAACAACAACAAATAATATTTAGTACTAGCCTCCTTTTAATTTCATTGCTTTCAGCTTCTGCTCTGCTAAACAAACTTTTGCTGAGAGCATTGAAACATGAACAAAAAAAATCAACTAATCAATGCACTTCAAAGTATTCATCAGAAAGAAAAATTATTGAAATCAAAAGTCATTCAGGAGCCAAATTAATATTCTCAATTTTGTACAACGCATGTAATTTCATTTATAATCTAATCAAGAGAACCGTTTTTGTTTAGGCTGTCAACAACTGCTAACTAATTAATCATAAAAAAGAGTTGATTTTGGTTTACAACCATGTAGTTTCATATATATCACAACATTTCAAGTGTGAGCTCGACAAGCCTATGTGCAAATGAGCCAGTAAGTCCTCGCAGAAGAGTGAAAAGTCAATTATCTTATATACGAAACTCCAAAGGTCCCGTACAATTTTCTGCTGCCAAATGAAAAAGTTGAAGCCATGTTATAAGCATGCACAAGCAGGAAATTTTTATTTTTCAAATTAAGCAATTATAGTGTTATTAAAGATATAAACTGCCTATTACCTGACACTCAAACACAAACCCATGAGATGCAGCATGAAAGGATGAAAACTCTATGATCCACCACAACAACCTGAATTCCTTCCTCCCACTGCCATTTCTGGCTCCCGTCCAGGGACAACAATGTTAGTTCCCTTGAGAAGGGAAGCATTCCCTCCAGATTCGTGTTCATTTGCAATAAGGGTCCTCTTGCTGATTATTCGGTAAATCTCTGTCAGGATGGAAAGGAAAGCCGATTCAACATTAGTAGCCTCAAGGGCCGATGTCTCCATAAAGAAAAGGCTTTCCTTTTGGGCAAATTCTTTGGCGTCCTCGGTTGGTACAGCTCGAAGGGTTCCTAGGTCAGACTTGTTACCTACAAGCATGATGACGATGTTACTATCAGCATGCTCCCGTAGTTCCTCTAACCACCTGGCTATATGATCAAATGACTGACGCTTGGTTATGTCATAGACAAGCATTGCCCCAACTGCACCTCTGTAGTATGCACTTGTCACAGCTCGATATCTGCAATTGACACCACAATATAAACAATCAATAAATACATTCAAAATCAGGACGCAATCAAAAATGATCCAACATTGGTACTTGAATGCAGAAGCAAGAGTGACCATCTAAACCCAGATCAATATACAGAGATAAATGTTGGCATGTACAACTACATACATGCCATAGGTTACAGATTTATGAAACAATGGGGTAACAATTCAAACAACAAATAGTTATATAGCTTTTGCTCGCCTAACCATCCACATGCCGGACCAACTTTTTGTAGTAAGCAACAGATATTCTGTTGCTAGTTCAATCTATTAGAAACCAATTTCAACTAAGCAAAACATTAATATTTTATATAATGCCAATATACCCTATTTCCTTCTCAGTGTCCATTTTACTTCTTTTTTACCATCTTCAGTCTTCAGTTAATACTAGCTCACAAAGTCCCCGAGGTTTTTCAACCGTTCTTCTATCAATATATTATATAGCAGCCACTTCAGTCAGTAGAGTTTAATTCCAAAATTTCAATTTTGCTAAATATTGTAGGTTCTCATGTGTAATCATTACTAGAATCACAAAACGTGCTTACATAACAAAAATTGCGATAACTTCCTGTCCCAACAATTTACTTCAGAACTAAATGATTTCTTCACCAATTAACGACAAAATGATCATGGAACTTTAAAGAAGAAAAAAAGCACCTTGGTCTTTCTCAATTTCATTTCAACCATCATCACATATTAATTTCTTTTATTTGGAGCTTATGATTTTCCTTCTGCTCTTTTTAAAACATATAACTCGTTTAAATTCCAGGAAAATTCTATAGCATCAACTTATCGCCCATAAAAAAAATTTTAAAAAAAATTACTCTTTCTTTCAGCAAAAATCGATTAAACAAATAAAAAGCTAAATTAAACTAAATGATTACGCAAAATCGAATAGACGCAATGCAAAATAAACTTAATCCCAGCTTAATAACCCAAAACCTCTCGTTTTTTTTTTCTTGATCAAAATTATTCAAAAGAGAACGAGAGAGAAAGTACCGTTCTTGACCCGCGGTATCCCAAATTTGAGCTTTGACAGTTTTGTGATCAATAACAATGGTTTTAGTCTGAAACTCGACTCCGATCGTGGCTTTAGATTCTAAACTAAACTCGTTCCTCGTGAACCGAGCCAAAAGCTGCGATTTTCCAACCGCCGAGTCTCCGATCAGTACCACTTTAAAGACGTAGTCTATCTGCTGATTGAAATTTACTTGCCGATTAGCCATCTTTCAGCTAAAATTTTAAATTTTTTTTCTCAAATAAAAATGAAAAGCAAAATTGATTACAGATTGTTTTAGTATGAATTACTAAAGAGAAAGAAATTTAAATCCAGTTTCTTTGAACTGGATTAAAGAGAGTAAAAGAAAGATGAAAAGCTAGTAGTAGGTAAGATTAAAGAGAGTAAAAGAAAGAAACATGAAGAAAAGTGTGAGCTTTTTGGTTTAGTGGAAAAGTCAAAGGAAAAGGGCACAGAAATGGACTTTTTTTTTCTTTAATTAGAAAAGAAAATGGAAATTGAATCCAATTTATAACCCATCGTTTAATACAATTCAACTATGCTTAACTCGGTCATTTTGTCGTTTATGTTTTCCACCCGCTCTAAACGACCGGCCTTCTGTGAAGACGCATGGTATTTTTGGCAGCTGCTAAGGGAAGAATTCCAGAAATTATTTTAGCTTACGGGGGTGTTTGTTTGCCAGGATTTTATAAGAAAGTAATTTAGAAAAATAAGATTTCTAGAATTTTTAAACACTGATTATACTTTTGCAAGAAACTATTTTCAAAAACTGATGGAAAAGTCCAATTCATATGGAATTTCAATAACCAAATGCCTCCTATGAATAAGCTAAATGAATATTAAAAGGATAATAGCTTTAAATATTATGGACCATGTAAAAGAATACGCTCTTCAAATTTTTCTTGAATAGGTTTGATTCTTTGGTCTTCCTTTATCATAAGAAAGAAATTATTTTACCAACCAGGTCGATCTTCTCACTTATTTGGGAAGTAAGAAGTTTTCGAAATCTATCGAGTGCAAGTGTTTTCATCAATCACACGAAATAAGCACATATATCCCTCCACATAATTCAAATTTTAATCTCATATCACATTCTTGGATCTAATCAAAAGGAACTCTGGAATGCATAATTCACAACTGATACAACACATTTACGTACAGGAAAATATGACCTAAACTATTGTTAAGAACTCTACATTACAGGAACATCAAATTTCATTTTTCTTTCCACAAGAGATTTATCAATAAGATGGCTAACAAGAACACTGAAAAAATGTAGCAATAGATCACAACTTCCTATTCTCCTATGTTATTCTACATACTACATTACATCAAAAATTTTTCAATCTTTCCCATTTTCCTAGCTGCTATTTATATATGTACAGAAACAGAATCAAGCAGAAGCATTTGAATATTGTTTCTGTTTACTTGGACAGGTGCATTTCGCTCTAGTATCCGTGAGGGTCTGCAAGAAAAAGAACAAAGAAAGAAGAAAATTAGGTAGGGGAAGGTAAATTTAGTTGAAAGTTCATGAGATCTTGATTCAACATTAATATCTTTTTCCATATATTACCTTAACCTGTTTCTGTAAGTCTTTAATGTACTCAACTGCCAAATCTAACATATCTGCTGTGTTTGTTTGCTATCATTAAGAAAGACATCAACAATATTTTTAGTAACTAAATTAACACATCAATTTAGACCATGACGCCAGAAAGCCTGAAGTCAGAACTAATACCTTGTCCATGTTTGGAAAAAGATCTTGAAGTTTTCTCATTCTTTCACTAATTCGTGTTCTTCTTACCTGCAATATATACATATGAAATGGTTAGTTCATTGGTTTTGTGAATTAAAAGTAAAAGTTTATGTTTGTTGAATGAATGGAGTACTGATTGGGATGTACCCTCTCTGCAATGCTTCGGGGATGAGTTGCGCAGCCTCTTTTGGCTCGAACTTTACAAGGAACAGAACCTTGAAATTGCAGAAACTTCTCTATTGTAGCCATCTCTGCAGCTGTCTTAGGTAAGCTCAGGTGATGAGTCAAACCAGTCAGGCGGTTTCCAGAATTTCCATTCTGATAAAGAATGATAATACTATTAGCATTTCTATTACAAATTTTAGCAGAATGAATAGAAAGTTTCATATGCTCTGCAAAATTTACCTCATTTTCCAGTATGCTTAAACCAGAAAACATATTTCCTTCATTATTTCTTAAACGTTTAAAGTCATTGGAGGAACAATCATCCCACGAGTCATTTGCAAAGTTCATGTACTGTCTCTTGCCAGTATTACATTCGGGACTACTTGCACCAGGGTTTTCATCTCCAATTTCAGGAATCTGAGGCAAAAGATGCCCTGATGAGAAGTTTACATGATTGCTTAACCTACTAGTTGATGGACTAGCTTCTCTGTTCAAGCCATTGGAAACTTGAAAACTACCCACATCTTTTGTCACGGTGAAACCTGTTACAATTATTGCAAAAGTTTGAAGCTATTTATAGGTAATTTTAATGTGGCCGTTGGAAATTTATTCATATTAAAGAATCAATCTTGGAGGAACGAACAAGATAGGACTAATTAGTCTTAACACAATTAGGATCTAAATTAAGAAAAAGAAACTCAAATTTCCAACAAGTTTAAGATTTCAAAAATGATTGAAAGAAGAAAAAGGGAAACCTTAAAAGTCAACATACTTTGCATAAAGAAAACTTAGATTTCATCAATGCTTTTTGGTTCTACCAAGTGCAAGAACAATAATTCAACATGGTTGATTGCAGCGAAAGCGAAAGAAATGTAAAAATCATTTTCCTTTATTCTCAATTTAACCTTTTTTAATATTCGCCACGGGACAAATCAAATGTGCTTATATACCATCTAGTCAAAAATTCGAGGGCATCTTAAACAAATATTAACCAGAAGATTCCTCCTACTTTCTTGGAAAACAAACAGGAGCTAACATAAAAAAGCATACTATATTAATTTTTAAAACCTTTAAATATAAATTCAACTAAAAGCCAAAAAAAAATTAAATAAAACAAATAGCAATACCACTGTCAACGCCTAGATTGGAGAAAAATCCAGCTGGAGAGCTGCTTTGCCTAACAAGATTGGATCCATTGCCATTATTCCTCTTTGATGCCTGCGAAGAATTCTCCGGAGCCATGGAGTTCATAACACCGAAAGAGTTATCCATGGAATTATTGTTAACATTCACTGGATTAACATTATTAGCCAAATTATTGACCGGTAAACTTTGGTAAATCATCTGCGATGAATCCTCCATTTCTTGCTTCATGATTGGTCTTTCTCCGAATTCTTGCAAATTATGAGAATTGCAATTGCTTGAACCATTACACGTTGACATAAATCTTGCCAACATGGTGTCCATTTCAGGGCTTGAAGATCGAAAGTATCGATAATCTTCACCTTCAACACCGGCACCGCCATGACCAGCGTTGACACTGACAAGACTGTCAAGAAATGAGCTTGGAGCAGAACGATAACGAGTTAGGCCTGAACTATGTTGCTGTTGTTCTTGACGGTAATGATGGTGATTTAAATCCATGAGTTCTTGATTCCTTCTCAATTCTCCATCTTGGTACTTGAAACTAGGACTACTATACAAAAGACTCATATCTTCTTCTAAAGACAATGACTCCTGAAAATCACAAAGAATACCATACATCATTCAATCTACTAATCTTTGCTGTTCTTGCTAAATATAAATTTAATTAGAATAATACCTGAGCTGCTTCAAGCTATTCCAAATGTTGCTTAAACTTTAAATTTGCTTGTTTTTTCGTCAATGAAACAAAATACCCAATGAAGATTAGCTTTTGTTTCAAAGAAAATCCAATCCAATAAGTCTGCAAAAGAGAAACAAAAATCTTATATTTCAATGACAATGAGAACCCAAATCAAACAGCTTGCATTCACATAACAATTCAGATAGGAAAATTAGTTTAAAAATCTAATAATATAAAAGAAATGAAAAAAATGAATTCACCTAAACTGTTTGTTCTAAAGTAGAAGAGAAGAAAAGAAAGAAAACAGCATTGCTCCTACTCAGATTCTATGTCAACTTGTGACACTTCTGTGTTGCAAGTAGCTTCAAGACAAAAGAATCCACAAGAAAGCAAAGAAAGGCTGGTACAAAAACTAGAAATATATTACAGAACCTCCAAAACCCAAAATTAACACCATCTAAGCTTATCAAGAAAGTACCTTAAACAAGTTTCTCTTCTGGGTTTCAGCTTTTATCACTCTTTTTCCAAGCAGAACACTGAAATCAAGAAAAAAACAGAAAGAAAGAAAGAAAGAGAACAATCCTGTTCTTGCCTCGCCACATGTGTACATTTATGTACAACTATCGTTACAAAAGTACACTCAAGGATGAATATAATTACATATAGATGCCATTGATGTGATATGATGTGGTGAATCGGCATATAACTATGTATGTTGACAAAACTACCCTTAATAGATTTTTTTTTTTTTAAATTTGGGAAAGAAAAACCCCAAATAGATTATTAGATATTGTGGGGATTGAGTTTGGGATTAAGGATGTTGATTGGGTGTTTTAATGGCAACATGTTATTGTTTATGCATATGATGCATAATAAGGTATATGATGCTTTGCTTATGGGTCAAGCGACTCTAGTGTGATGTAGAGAGTTAGATGTTCACTTATTAGTGCATATGTATGAGGGGAGAAATTAAATATGGTATGGCTTCTCTTTTGGTTTTGGATAAGAGGCATTATATATATAGTAGAGAAGTTAGATGTTCAATTAATTATGCATATGTTATGAGGGGAGAAATTAAATAATGGTATGGGCTTCTCTTTTGGGTTTTGGGATAAGAGGCATTATTATATATATATTATATATATATATATATTATATATTTTACACGGGGTATCCAAACTCATTGCCCGTTAGTTCTTTTCTCTCTCAGAGGCAAGGGGACTGATCCGGAAAGTTTAACGTTGCGGAAGATCAAATCATATATATATTTTACACGGGGTATCCAAACTCATGCCCGTTAGTTCTTTCTCTCTCAGAGGCAAGGGGACTGATCCGGAAAGTTTACGTTGCGGAAGATCAAACTCATGACGTAAGTCATGGTGATCAATTCGGCAAGTGTATTTTGCTACTGAGCTACTTTATTTAAGTTAAGTAACTGGGTTAAGAGAAATTTTGACTTGGCCATAGGTATTTGGTTGATGATTTTTCGTAGAGTTTGGATTAACTATTGTAGATTATAAGGCTTAGTTTCTCAAAAATAAAATAGTAATTATAATAATTAAACGTGAGAGATTAAATAATAACGCAGGACTAATAAATAGTAAAATGTTATAAGGATATTCAACCTCTAAAATGACACTTTTTGAATAGAAAGACTAAATAGTTTAACAGGAATAAATCTTAAGAACTAATTAGTATATTTACTTAATAGGAGGGATGAAATTATAATTATAATTAAATTTGAAGAACTAAATAGTTATTTAGCTTGGAATAGTATAAAAACATATCATAAACCCTTTTGGAATAATATTTCAAACATAACTAAAAAACAAGATAATACCTTTATCTTCCAATGTTTAAGAATTCTAATTTAGAAATTTTAGTACAATTAAGGATGTGAGAGTTCTTGAAATGTAATCTTGATTATATAATTTGTATGCAAGTTAATTTAAAACCATTAAAAAAAAGCAAAAAAAATTTACTTTTTTCGGATGTAAATATGAATTTGTGTTTAAAAGGATGATGCAATAGAAACAAATTTTACAAGCACACATTCAAGAAAGACACGTAATAATTGAGTCTATCTTGTGGGAATTTTTTTTTTTTTTTTTGGACAATTTTCCTTTCCTTAAAAGTCGGTTCTTTTCATAAACATGTTCTCCTTTTCTTTTCTTTCTTTCACTTAATAATTTTTACTTTTGTTTTATACGGCACATGATGTTATATGCATATGAAATGGCTAAGAACCAACAACATCCTTAGCCAAACATAAACCAATGCTTACTTTCAAAAAAACATTCCCCTAATGTATAAATTTGATTATATATTTTCGACGAGTATTCTTGTGATTACTTGAATTTTACGGGATCATCGTAATTTTGCATTTAAATTTGATTATACATTACACTGATATATATATATATATGAAAGGTAGTATTGAACGTCATTTTCATTTTTCTCATTCAAAATATAATTTAATTACTGACTCTTCCTATAAATGAAACGACAGCTTAGCCCAAAACGGTGTCTGGTTTTGCAAAAGCATATCCCACGGTTTTCCTTACAGTTTTCTATAATGTCAACTGTCAACTAAACCCTAAAATATTAATCATAAAAAATATTAATGGAGCCTCTTTCGGGGGCTACAACTTCTAAGCAAAACTTTAGATTCACTGAAGAAAGGCAAAAACGACAAAGCAAGAAAGGTTCATCCAGTCAAGATCAAACTATTCAACCCTAATATATATATATATATATATAGCACACACATGTGAGGTTATTGATGTGCAATGAATGAGAAAACTTTGACCACGAAGGAGTTCATATTCAATTATTCACCATTTAGTACAATTATTAATGAATTAATTAATTAATAATTTAGCATTAATTAAATATTAATACCACGTTAATCTCATGTTGCTTGTCTAATTACTAACACTGTTTATTAGTTGACCTTTTTTTCTTTTTTCCTTTGTTTTTTAAATTGTGTTTCAGAGTGTATTAATTAGTTGACTTCCATGAAATGTCAACCCTTTTACGAGAAGAAAGTCATAACTATTTTAAGTAAGATGGTTTCCTTTCTTTATATGGTGGCAAAATTAGTTTTCAAACATTATATTTGGGTGGCTCATAAATACATTAAGTGAACTGTAATAAAATATACTTTGATGTAATAAAATGCGTTTCTAATATAAACATTATATTAAAAATGCATCTAATTATCAATCCGCTAAAGTCAGTGTAAAATCTCCACGAGCCAGCTCACATGCTTCTCAAAGAGAATAAGGGATATTCAGATTATGTGAACTATTAAATGAAATAGGTACGGACACTTGGTGGTTAAATAAAAAAAATGCATTTAATTATCGACAAGTATTGATTTGGACAGTAAATAAACTCAATTCTCAAAAAGATGGTAACTCAAGTTCAATATTTGGGAGACTAATAAAAATTAAATATTCTAATTACGTTACAGTTCTCAAAACAAAACCTGAGTATCTAATTTTTCTAAAATTGTATGTATATATATTCTGAGAATCGGTAAAGAACTGTTCCTTTGGATAACCGCAGACATTGGAATTATTCCTATTCTGTTGGGGGCATGGTCAAAGATTGAAGAAGCATCTCCAAGTCTTTTTAAAGTCAACTTTTCTTTTCCCACTTGACTTTTCTACTTCCTATTATTAATCTTAATCTCAAGCCATCCATAAAATTACTCAATCTCAAAATTCCTACATTTAGGCCATTATTTTAAGGTTTTCTTTTAGAAAATAAAACTTTATCGAGTATAATTAAGGTTGTATTCACAACAACTTTTTAAATAGCCAGTCAAAACGTTATATAACTTTTTAACATAATATTTCAACTAGCTTTTAGAGATTAAGGTAGCGTTACGTGAAAAGTTAACCTATATAACAGTAGCTTTTAATATTTTATAAAAAGCTAGTAGACAGTTAACGGTTAAATGCTACTAAAACAGTTAACAATTATCAGAACAGTCGATTTTGAGAATTAACTATTTGAGATGATAATAATTTGAGAATTCACTTAATCAAAAAATTCAAATTTGGCAATACTCAAAACAAGAACTTCAAATTTGGACCGGCTTAACTAGAAGGGTTGAGTTTGAAAATTACTTTAGATAGGAATGACTCCTTCCCTTACCTTCCTAGAACAAATATGTTACACTACACAATTGAACCAATCTTGACTTGGGAAATGGAAATTGTGAGGTAGAGTGGTGACCAATACACACCTAATAGTGGCACTTTGTGCCCTAGTTATTGGAGCACCTTCCCAGAACCCATCCTCTCACATATTAGATGAGGTAGGTAAAAAGATTCCTTTTTTATTTTTATTTTTATTTTTTGAATCTCTCTCTAAAAAAATAGAGAATAAAATAAATATATATATTTTATTCTCATATCATATGCCAGATGGATTCCATGCCAATCTCCTACATATTTTTAGATGGGATTAAAGAATATGTCAATGGTATTAATTCTCAAAGGGCATTTTCGGAAAAATATATTTATTTTATTATTCTTCTAGTGCTGAGCACACTTTTTCTTTTTAATTTGTAGATAAGCACAATTTGAGGCCACTAATTTGGAGATTGGATTAGCCATAAGAGGACAAATCTTTATTAATTATTTAGAAAAAAAAGTTTGGTTATGAATCTCATAAATAGATTCAAACAAGCTTTTATGACTTGTTTGGTAGGCAAAGTTCATCTATGACATAATGGACAACTGTAAAATGTGGATAACCCAACATTTTTTACTAACAAAAAATATTTTTTATAAGACAAAAATATATTTTATAACAAAAAAAAAAAAAATAAAAAATATCTGCCTTGTGTTACCTTATCTCCTAACAAAGCCCTTGATTGGTGTGGTTACATAGTTTGTCTTCATCTTTATTCACATTTGATTTGCTGTAATCCAAAGATTTATTGGTTTACATAACCATGCCCTAAAAGCATTTTTATATTTAAATAATTTAACTATTATAATCTCCAATCAGATGTTTTGAATTAAAGTCCTATCGACTATATAATTATAAACGGATATAGTATATTAATATTATTTTGGATATTTCCAAAAATCACCATGACATATTCTTACGCCATTTTCAAAGACAATAAACCTAATTGTGGATAGAGTGGAATTTTTGGACAATATGATTCTGTTTTCAAAAGCTACCTTACCCCATGAATTGAATTCATATCTATGAATTGACCATTTGAAAAGTCCCACAAAAAATGTACAACAAGGAGAAAAAATAGACTAATTACATGTCGGCCGATGGACAACAATTTAATTAATACTATACTTTTTCTAGATTTGGAAAATTATTTCTCTCGTGTGACTATTGCCTGCTTCTTGCAACTTTCATTTATATATTTTAGATGAAAATTAAAATGCATGTCCTGTTAGATTTTCTTTTGTTTACATTTCCTATATGCCAAATCTTGTTCTTCCAATCTAGATGCTCTATGTTGTATATTTTAGATCATATGCACGACTTCACCTATGAATCGAATCAATAAGAATATAAATTTTTATTGAAATAAGGATATTTTTACCTGTACACTAAAAAAAAAATGAAAATATGAAGGTTTTTTTTTTTTAACTTTTTTAATATACATGTCCCAATGATCGGGTTGGAATCATTCTAAGGAAAACTATTTTAAATTACGAACTCGTGATCTTGCAGTTAAAGTTGGCATGGAGAAATATGTAAAGATTTATTTGTGTACTGTGAACCTGAAAGAACCTGAGAACAAGGCAGCAGTATCTTAAAGGAATCTGATTCTGTAATGAGAGTGAGGGGAAGACAAGAAAATTCTGAAGCCTCAAAGGTCTAATAAGGTTGTAGCTGTTAATGTTCTGTTTGTGTGGAGGGAAACAGAGACACGTGAAGCTGAATTTAGCTTTACATTTTATGTTTCAGAATATCAGATTTATTCTTTCTTACTAAGTGCCAATTTATGATTTCCTTTAGCATCTGAAAACATTGGAAATTATAGAAAGGTACAAATGCTGAAAACATTTGAAATTATAGAAAGGTGGAATTTGTACCGGATGTGTCTATCAGCAAAAATATGCCGATAAGGATGCCAAGTAGTTTGATTAATCTTCTGATTTACACGAGAAGTGAAAGGTCTTGAATTCAACTTCTTTGACCACAGTTGTTTTCACAAAATTAAAAATATGCTGATAAGGGTTAAGGGTTAAAATCAGAGAGGAATTACATAATCAGAATTGACATACTAGCTACTAAGGGGTAATGATGAACTCCATAAGATGAATTGTAAAATGGAAACAAACGAATAATTTGTCATTGAACACCAATTCATAAGAGGTACAATTTAATATTCCAAGTCCAGCACAATAAGCAGTTCAAACCCTTGTTATTTTCCCAAAAACCGGTTTAAAAACAAATAGCTAGCATGAGAACTTCTTCAGTAGTATGCTTTTCGAGGGTTGTTCTGTAAAGAAGAAACCATAGACCATTTATTAGATAATGCATTTAAAAGAGATGATATTAATATTAATTGACAATAGAGGGTGATGTAAATAGTTGACAAAATGAAAATGAACAAGAAAAATAGAGATACCAGAGGATTTGGTCTGTAACGGTAACCAAGCATCATCCGCTTCTTGTACTGCTCATAAATATCATCCTCAGGAGTCACCTCCCCAGGATGATGAGCACCAACACCCAAGTTATTCATCTTTACATTACCAGCCATAATGGGATCTGCGATGCCGCCTTTGCCACTCCCCAGACCCTCACCTGAGCCAAATATCCATATTTAGACATCTGTTTCTCACATGATAAAGCACTAGGAAAATGTAACACTTCCACACAAGGACAAGTCCAAGTCCAAGAAGCTTTCAGAAAATCACACATGATGTAACTATAGGATTCCTGCCCTATTCAAGCTGAAAAGTTCTATTACTAATATTACAAGTGAAAACACAAGGACCTCAGACACAAATCAGATATAACTTGAATGTGAAGAGAGAGAGATAGAGAGAGGACCTTCTTTCCAACCCATTTTTGATAACAGTCTATGCCCGACGTTATCAGCCTGAATTTTTGACCTCTCTGCAGCCTCTTTAGCAGCTTTTCGTGCAGCTGCATCATTACAGGTAGCCAAGAATTTCTCAAGCTCTTCCTGTGGAATGTAGTCACCCATGTGATGACCTCTTTTTGAAGAACCTGTAACGCCAACTACACCATAGAGATGAGTCCATTTTAGAAAAATGTCATACAGAGACCAGAATTTCCTGCTCACAAAATAAATCATCTTAAACCTTGAAGAGAAGGAGGAGGGGGCATCTCATCCTTTGACTGTTTAGGCTGTCTCCTTCTCTCCTCTTGAGCAGCCTTCTTCATGTAGAACTCCATCATTGCTATGGGATCTGTACCTTCTGGAGCACTAGATTCACCTGCAGCATACAAAATAAATGCAACACTCAACAATTGGATAAAGATAGACGTATTAAATAATTAATATTCATCCCAACATGAGATTGACATCAACAAGTAAATAATAACACTATCAATGCAAGGTTATCACACAGGTTAAAAACCTTCAAGGACTCTGATTTAATGCAATGTACACGAGCAAAATCAGTTCAATTTCATTCAAGGACAAACTCAGCATGTTTGTACAGAATATGGAACATTTCTGTTGAGAAGGAACAGAAATAACGGTTGATTTTGTCCGAGGAAAAAAAAAATTAAAAGAAACTCGTATAAACCCATAAACCAAGGATGTTGCTACATGCTATTACCAGCTCTTCCTGCTGATTCTGTTTGTACTGAAACCATTGAATCCCCCTGCTCATCAGTGGCTTCATAAAGAGCTGAAGCAGGAATTTGGTAATTTGGTTGCTGCTGATGAGACCTGTGAGAACCACTTGTGCTTTTAGAGGCCGAAGTACTTGTAGTACCTATACAAAAAATGCGTTTAGCATTCAAATTTCACTCTTAAGGATCAATGAAATTGTAAGGAGAAAACTTTGAACAAAGCAAGTCAAACCCAGACTTCCAAAATGAAAACAAACCAACCAACTTTAATATTCTACCCACAAGGAAAAGAAACCACATTTCTTTTGCTTTACATGGGGAGAATAATGAAAACTACAAGGACAGTGATCAAGCACAAACCACTAGTAGAGATTTCAGGATCCCTAGCTTGTGAAAGAGCTCTCTCCTCTTCAGCAACGCGAAACTCATAGTATTTGTAGTCTGAGCATGTCTTGTCAAATAGAAATCTGCAGGTGATACAACACAATAAATAAAATAAGTTTACTGGGCACAGATTGAAGGTGGGAAAAACATAGGCTACAAGCTTTGAAAGAATTAATGCACAAGAAAATTGACGTTATACAAGACATACTTAAAAGGTGTGTCACCAGGATTCTTTTGGCGCGTGACATGCTCAAATTGCCTTCCATTTTTGGCAACAAAACTTGCAAGTTTGTCAGCAACTTTCTTCACTGTAGGATCACTCGGGGACAGTGGTGCTGCACATCACTTATAAAACTGATTAATACCGAGAGCATGAACAATGGAATTCAAATTACTCTTGTAGCAGGCGTGCCACACATGCCAAATCTTTCATTGAACATCTCTTTCCACCAATGTTCGTTGGTATTTAAGGTATAAGCTGCATTCATCAGACAAGAAACATTCAAGAATGTGCTGTCCTTTTCATTTGCCCGTTCAAGCTCAGAGTAGACATACTCAGATGATTGTTTGATCACACTTACCCAATGAAGGGGACAATATTAATTCTTTTAAAATTTTAAAAAGTTGGTTTTGTCAGAGATGCACACATTTAAAGGATGTGGACAACAGAATAAGATAAGATAGTTATTAAGAAGAAAAAGTTTGGATGCTTCAGACAAAGGAATATGAAGGCAAAAGGCATTTGATTTAGTATAGTCATTTATTTCACAGACGAGGACAAGAAAGAAAATAATTAAAAAAATCATGAATAGACACCATGAGTGCCAGCAAAACAATAATTCAGGACACAGCGCATGCATTTATGGCCTAAAATTTGCTATAAACAAGTATAAACCTAACTACATGTGGATGAAATCATAACTAAAGTCACACTGGACCCAATAGTGCACAGAGGACAACAAAATTGGAAGTATCTTCACCTATTATCCTGTAATTCAAAAAGTCAAAAGATCAAAAGGTACATACAAACTTCTGTTGCAACCCTACCACAGGATATAAAAAAAAAAAAGGATATGTATATAAGCAGTAATTACCAACATCCACTTGTCTTGATTGTTCAGAAGAATCCAAATGATTCAACTTCTGCCTTTTTCCAGATGCATCACCAGAAACATTCCCAGCATCTACTTCATCTTCATCCTCCTCATCTTCACCCAACTTAACCGCAGGAGCCACAATCTTTGACTTCTGTTTCAAGCTGAAAGCAAGTTTTCCACCTGAAGAAGGCTGTGGGGTCTTGCTTGCGCTATTAGCCTTAAATTGCATACTTATTTTACCAGTGGAAGTTTTAGGGACCAAAGTCCCTGAAACTATCGTTTTGGGTTTAGATTCCTTCTCTACAGCACCTTTATCCTTCTCCTGGTCCTTATCCTTCTCTTGCTGAAGTTGTTTGAACCTCTCCATGAATGAACCATCATTAACAAAAAGACTAGAAGCAGCTTTTTTATCCATTGCCAAGAAGCCAAATATGCTTAGGCTGTCTACAGGAAGCCACTGTTTGACAAATAAGCTTTCAAGCTATTTAGACGTAAGTCTTAATCTTTAGCCTTTAGGCTATGAGCTTACACATCTACTAATACTGCAATGATCATAAAATCCATAGAACACAAAGAAACATATTTAAAGAAAGAGAGCAACTATTCTGCAAATAACAGACCACAAACATAATCTTATTGCCACCAAACACCCAATACCTAAACTCAGAATAGCAACACCTTCTCCAGCATAAGAAAGACAAAATTCCCTTTTGAGCTATTTATACCTCCAAAGTCCCATATCTCCAAACCCATTTATGTTAAAGACACTAAACAAAAATTCAATTCAAAAACAGAGAAACATTGAAAACATTGACTTGAGGTATTAAAGCAAACATAAAGAAGAGTAACAAATACACCTCTAGAACCCCTCTCCACTGCAAGCAAACATCCCAGAATCTATTTTTACAATCATTCCTGCATTTCCTTTTCAACAGGAAAAGAAATATAAGGAATCATCAAATTCTCTCCGCTCAAATCGGGCTCTCAAAGGCGAAAAAGCCTTGTGGAATCCTCACATAGCACAATTTATAAAAAAGTTCCTAACCCTAGCTAAATTTCTATTCCTCTCTTTTCCTTGGTTACACAACTTCAATCAATTCCTCTACCAAGTTAAAAATAGATCCAATTCAAATCCAAATCGCACCTAACAAGAATTCATCAAAATAAAAACCTAAACAAAAACCAATTTCGACAGAAACAAAAAAGCAAAAACCACAAATCCCACAAAATCAAAAATTCCAATAGAAAGTACCTGATATTCGTGATTTTTAATTGTTGATCGTGATAAATATTGGAACGATTACGTATTAAACGGAGAGATTGAGCTAATCTCCGACCTCTATCTTTTTCCCGTCTCCGTTAAGGGCAGAGAGAGAGCGCGTGAGGACTTTGTGCAGAGGTTGCTTTGTTTATATCTCTTGTGAAATTTGCAGTTATACCTTTTTTGTTTCTGAAAATATAAACTTGGCCCCACATTCAACTTTTTTATTCAAATATTATGGACATAAGAGAACAATTATGTATTATTTATTTAGAAAAATTTAAAAAAGAAATTTTTACAAAGTAAATCATTTTTTGGTAACAATTATTCCATTCAAAACCCACTTTAACAATAATATTTCCTTTTTATTTTAATTAAAAATTTTAAACTCATACGAATTATCTAACTTAAAAAAGTAAAGGATTAAACATTAAAGTTCAATCGATATCGGTCGTTATAATTAAATTAACGATTAAATTAATAAGATAAATTGATACTTAATAAAATTATATTAAATAAATTTTAAAAATAAATCGGATAATTCTTATTATCATTTTGATTTTACTGGTTAAATTAACTATCCAAATCAAGTTTTAAAATAATGTTTTCCCATCCTTTCGGGGGAAAAAAAATCATAATAATAATATACTTGCGAAAAATAGCAAGGACTAAAATGCAACAAAACAATGAAACGATAATCAATTCTTCAATTATAGATATCTAAAGGAGCACTTGTCAATAAAGCTTATCGCGTCAATAGAAGGAAGAAGCTTACCCAGCACCAACACAAGAAGGGATTCTGAATGGAAACTACGAGCTTTAAAACCCTAAACGCCATAACCTCTTTATCCTTCCATTTCCGTTCAAGAGCTCTTCTGTTGCGTCCCCTTTATTTGGCCCAATTCAAGAAGAGACATTTTTGCTCTTCTCTTTCTATCTCCCAACGCTTCTCCGCACTTTGTTCTGTGTGTAATACTCAATTCTTTTAACCTGAATATGTATGTATATAAATGCATTAGTTTGATGTTTTTGTGGGGTTTTTATTAGTTTTATGTTGTGGATGTAGCTGAAAGAGGAAATGGGAATTCGTTGCCACATGGAATTGGTGAAGCTGTTAGTGAAGTCTCAAGAAATAAGCTTCTTCAAGTGGTATTAGTGTCTCCTCAGGTACTATGCGCTCTTTAGGCTTGAAATGGTTCAAATTTTGTGTTTCAGTTGCAAATTCAGTATTGATGGTGGGAGCTGCATATTGATTTTGCAGCTTGACCTGGTCTTTTTATTGTTCAAGTTGGTCTTTTGAAACTGGGATTTTTTTTTTTATGTGAAATCTTCTCTATTATAATCGGTTGGCAATGAATTTATGTTAAGCTTAATAAAATGCTTTTACTTGTTAGTGGCATATTTTTTACCTGTTTCAAAATTTAAATAGGCCAATGGAGCAGTTATTCCAACAATTGTCAATGCTCTCAACTCAACCTTTTCCAAAGCAGCAATCCATATCAATTACTGTGTATAAGAATTGTAGATAATAGTTATAGGCAATCTGCCTAATTAATGAAGAAAATACCCAAAAAAAAATCTTGAACCATTAATGTTCTGCAATTAGTGGATTTAAAACATGAATTCTGAGAGCCAATGACACTCTCCCAGGAGGCATACATCTTAAGCATATGAAGTATTCGAATTTTCAGGTTGAAGTAGTTTATTTGAGAGAACTGGCATGGATGTTAAACCATTAACCATGCATCATAGAATCATACAATGCCTTCCTGTTCCTTCACATGCCTGCTTGGGTTTTTTTTGGAAGTCAATAAAATTGTGCAGTTGGAGATAGAGTACAAAACCGGACAAGTCAATGTTCCCATTGCTTCCTGTGTTCAATGCAACTACAGCATATAAGATATTCTGAACGTACCTTTAGCTAGTTCCTGTAATACGTGCTTGAATGTCTATCTTTTGCAAGAATGGTAGGGGAAAAAAAAAAAGAAACAAACCAAGCAGAATGCTTAAGTTTCTATAAGTAACTTCTGTTCAAGTCAGTGATTAGTCTAAAATAAATTGCTAGCCAGTGTGAGTTAGTTTTAATTCTTCTTGCTCCGCAATGTAGAAATGGTTGTTTGAATCAAATTCCAGAATGTAGTTTGCTATTCGTTTCTTCATGTATGAACCAGTCATGCTAGTCAGTAGGAAGTGGTTATTAAAAGTTACTTGCAGTGGTTGGTAGTTCCTGTACAGTTAGAGTCTACATGTATTTATACTTGCTAACTACTAGTGGTGTCCGTGCTGAAAAGTAGAGAAATAGTCCTTTTTAAGTTTAATCATTTATTGGATATATGAAATGAGTTGCACAATATTGACACTTTTTTAACTTCTCCCTTGTTATTTTTTCGATTGATCATATGCAAAGCAGTATTTTTGTATCCTCAAATCTTATGTCAATAACAATGTGCTTTTGATGTTTTCTTTGGGCTTGCAGACAGCCTCAGTATGTCAAGCCTTGTTCTGAGAAAGATTTCTTTGGTCCTTGGCAGATTCCAGGAAACACAGGTTGCATTGCCAGAACATGTGCGGCTTCAGCTGTTGGACTACACTTAGTTGGGGTGGATATTGCAAACTTCCACTTCAGTTCTTTATTTTTCTGTCTGATTTATTTAGCTATAAGTTTGTACAAACAGAAAAATAAATAAGCTCTTCCACTATCTGTGAACCCCATCATGATAACTCTTCATAACTTTTTCCATTTGATTTGCATCTTTTCCTTTTTCAGCCCTTAGGATTCCAAGTTGATGACACAAAATTGAAGCGTGCTGGGCTGGATTACTGGCCGTATCCTTGCATATATTCTGTATGTTGTATGCAGCATTTTCTATGAGAATTCCTTTGTGAATTTTTGTTCCAATATTTGCTGACATGTATTTGGGTTTTCGAGAAACTGTAGCTCAATATGGCAATCAAATTGCCCTTTATTTTGTTCAGTAATATGTTTGATCCGATGCATGCTTACCTTCCATGATTTTCAGAAACTCAGCATATCAAATTTTCAATCTAAAGACTCGAACTTGCCATCTCTCCTCTTAGCCATTCTATTGTTTGATTTTCTAATATTCAGTTCTCATTATCATAGTAACTATATGGCTTTAGTTGCCTGTCTCAAAAATTAACTCTCGGTCTTAGATACGTTGTTGTGAAAGTTCATGACTCTTGGGCTGAGTTTCGAGACTACTTCAGGCAGCAGGTTTTTCCTGAACTATTGTAGTTTTTGCCTTTTTGAAAATCCAATTATCTTTCTTTGACTTGATGTATCTTTTATCATTGATGCAGGAAGGTGATAAGCGTTTACTAGCATTTACCAAGAGGGGAAAAGCCACTCATTCAGTATGTTTACCATCCTTTTAATCTATGCGGTGTTTGAGATTTCATCCTGCCTAAATTTTATATATGTTGCTAATATTTAATGAATCTCGTTAGTATCACAATCTGTGACTAGTCCAGCAAACATCTCCTGCAATAGAAATACAATTTCATAGGACTCTTCCCATTTTTTTCCACTCATCTGCATAGTATATTATGAAAAGGAGAGTCTGAGAAAACTGAAGTTAGAAAATTTCATTGAAATCCATTTATTCTAACTTCTAAGTGAACAAAACCTAGACAGTAGACTATAAAATGATTGCTCAAATCAACATCATATTCTTGGCTTTAAAACAGCCATCTTCGATCTTAATCAAGTTTATATTTTTTTACTAACCAATGTCATGCTATGGTTCTCCTTCATCTATAAGATCATAGAAACGTTGAAATTTGCAGGAGTTCTCTTATAGGAAAGGTGATTATCTCTTATTCGGCTCAGAAACACGCGGCCTACCACCTGAAGCTTTGCTGGACTGTGAAAATGAATCGATTGGTGGGGGTACCATTCGGATTCCGATGGTTGAAACCTATGTTAGATGTCTGAATCTCTCTGTGAGTGTTGGCATTGCTTTGTATGAAGCTTCAAGACAGTTGAACTATGAGCAGCTTAAATTTCCTTCAGAAACTTGTATAGATAATGAGAAATCATTTATTACTGAAGATATTTTTGCTTGACAAAAGTTGCATTTTTTTTATCATGCTATCATTTTCAATCTTCTACCATACACATTATTTATCATGTATTGATGTAATACAAGTAATTAATTAATAATTAATTAATTATGGTGAGGCAATATTATCCAAGCAAGCAACCACCGACATATTAACAGTTTAATTATTTATTTTATACTATTTTATAAAATCCAAAATCTCATGGAATTGTCTGCTTTAAATAATAAAGAGGTCTAACAGTGGTTGATCATATCACATGACAAGCTTTGAATGATGTTGTAATCAAGACAATACATCCCCATGTTCTCTCTCAGTAGTTAGTTTGCCCATTCAACGGTTTAGATTCATGCCATGTGTCTCATTACCATCCTTTAACTCATCTACTGCTAAACCAACCCAAGATTATTATTATTATTATTATTATTATTATTATTATTATTGTTTGGGAGGATCAAAAACAGGATAACTTTTTTTATTAGCTCGTCAAATCGGTGAAAACAACTCTCTTTTGTCCCATTTTATGTTGTAAAATTAAAGGATCAATCGAAGTATTTTATTTGTGAAAATCGAATGGAAATGTTCATTAAACTTTTCTTGAACTTAAATGATTAATAAGGTAGTCCACTAAAAAGATTAATGATGATCATAATAAATATTAAATCACATAAAATTAAATTTCTATTATAGGGTAGAGTAGATGTTATTAGTCATATGCTGTAATCATAGTTAAACACAAGGAATGATTTCTAACTAATTAGTGCTAAATATTTTATTAATGGAGTGTTTTTTTAGTAAAATACTATAAAAAAAAGTTTTAAGATTTAAACTCCTAATCTCTTAAAGTTTGGTTCTTTCTTACCTGAAGCAAACAGAAAGGATTGAGAGTTTAACTGGGGAAAAAAAAAATTAATGCCATTTCATTTTTTTTTTTTTCTTTCGAACCAAACGGAATTGACAACTTTAGAGGGAAAATGAAAGTGACTAGCTTCAACTACCATGTGTGCTTACAGATGTATTATGGTCCTTATGCGATATATACTGTTTTTTCAGTTTTAGACGTTACAGAGAAAGTGGAATTTTATGTGTTTGTATATCTTCACTTTTTGCTTTTATCACATGACACTCATGCAAGTTGTTTATTTGTAGGTCATACAGTCCCATATTCTTAAGGGATACCCTTTTAATTATTCTCTAACTTATCCAAATATTGATAATAAAGAAAAAAAAATATTGCTGATAAAAAAAAAAATACTAATCTTTATTTTACATAAGAAATTATTTTAAATATTGTTCTGTGAAACTCTTTAAAACCTTCTACATTTCCAAAAAGATAAGGCTCCATAAATTGTAGAAGTCATTGCAACGAGAAAGTTCACCAAATCTAACTAGACATGGCCTGTCTGTCTCCAGCTATTGTCAAGTACAGTGATAATCTGTTGGCCAAGACTTCTAAACAAGATTAAGTTTCTTGGAATTAACCTATAAATTTCATTCTAATTATGCTTATTTTGATTATAATTAGCAGTAATTATGCAGTTTTTAGAGTAAGAATTAAAGAAGAAGTCTTCCTTTTCAATTCATATAATTACAACCTACAAGGGAAGTGTCTTGTTAATCCTTGATTTCTATTTTAATACTCAGATTATGAAATTTGGCAGCGCCAACACCAACAAGAACAAATTTTTCGTTCCTTTTTTTTTTTTTATGGTATAGCTCAATCATTCTTGATTGATAAGAAATAAAAAATCTTGTCGTTACCAACTAGACTAACCAATAAGAATACATTAAAACTTTGATAATTGATGAAACTCAAATAATAATGATTAGTATAATGTATAAAGAGATTATTAAGATATTAGATTTGTCGGACAAAATTCATTGTTTTGGTAGCCGATAGCTTTTAACTATTTGAATAGCTTTTTATAGAACGCTAAAAGCTATATGTTATATGTTTTAACTTTTTATAAGACGTAGCCTTAATCTCTAAAAACTAGTTTAAACATTATCTTACCGAACACTATAAAAAATTAGCATTTAGTCAAAAGATTAAAAGCCACTTAAAAAGCTGCCGAACACAACCATCGAAGATTCAGGTAGAGAGGAAAGGAAAATTTGAAGAGGTGAGAAAATTTTCTGATATTGAAGAGCAACATTTAGCTGGCCAGATCTAACCACCTATAATTCACTTGCAATGTGTGTGTATATATATATATAAAATTAGTGTCAACAATGGCCACTAATTTAGTGAATTTGGTAATTTTGAAGATGTTGATGTAGGACACATGTATATGTTCCCTACTAAATAATCTCATTTATGCATACTTCTTCATCTTGTCTCCCTCTATATGGTCCCCTCACTTCCTTTCCCTTCCCCTTTCCTTTTCTCTTCCTTTTTTTTTTTTTTCATAAATTCTCATTTTTCTATATTTATTCCTCATACCATAATCCTCAACTCTAACTTATTTGAAATTAAAGTTTAACTACGTTTAATTAAATACATGCATCAACATAGATAGACATATAATTATATTTTTCGGTTGTATATTATACAGCGAATTAAAAGACATACATAATATTGAGAATGCTCGTTGAATCAGCAATTCAATCAGAGATCTCAGATCGAATCAATATAATCTTAACATTAATGGCATAATATTTTTTCTTCCAAAATAATTAAATAGATTCTTTTATGTTTGAAATGAACAATGGAAGGCACCCAAATGGTAGACATGGGCCTACCAACCATATGCCATGAACATTAGTTTTTGGTGGTGGGGTTGAAATTAAAATGTATTATTTCACTATGGGTTGGAAGAATTATCAAAATGGAGACATTTATGAACCTCTTTGGATACAAATAAGAAATTCCATTAATTAAATAGTTAAATAATAGTCTTGGAATAAATAATTATGCATGGATATCATATCAATTTCAAAATTTTGGGGAAAAAAACTTTGAGAAAGAGGAAAAATTTTGAATTCTAAAAATCTTTTGGGAAAATTCCAAGTGATTTTTGGAATAAAGAATGTGGATTAATTATCTATACTAGTAAGAAAATTTGAATAAAAAATTCTTAATTATTATTTACAATGATGGCTAATTATATATCTTCAAGAAAGTAAATAATTAGCTAGATACTGATTTAAATTAAAGAATAATTAGGTTGAAGAAAAAGAAAAATTCACTAATCAAAATCATTAGAGCTAAATGAGAGTAGTGATTATGTTTTTTGATTCTTGTTTTATTTGCTTTAGTCTTCACCATGAGTGAAACTTGGAAAAGAGGAACTTTTCAATAATTAAGACTGAGATTTTAATTTTTGAAATCATGATAGGATTGTAACACCCTTTCCGGACTAAAATAATACGAAGTTCCAGACTGATAATACTATTTACAAACCGATAAATCATTATTATCGACACTAAAAGAAAACAAAATCAGTCTGTTACAAGGATATTAATTTACAGAGAAAGCACATGCCTATTCTTGGGGTTGCCTCCTGCCTACAAGTGTTGCTTTCAAGTTTCAATGCATGTCCTTTTGCATTTGTAAACTTAACCCAACAAGCAAATAGGAAAAGGCCATTTTCAATTTTCCTTTTTCATGATTTAGCACTTTTACATAAATTAGTTGTTTAGTAGCGGGAACGTATTGTTGTAAACTGTTGTATCAGCACTTCACTAAATATTAAGAGTCTATTCAGAAAAATTAATTATTCTGATAACTGTTAAATGTTTTAATAATGTTTAAGTATTTGATTAGCTTTTCATGAAATACAAAAAGTTAAATGTTATATAGGTTAACTGTTTATAAAACGCTACATATCTCTAAAAGCTAATTCCAACGCTATTTTACTGAGTTATATAAATAACAGTGTTAAAAACCACTTAAAAAGTTATTGCTGAACACAACCTAAATGAAGTAATATTTCACAATCCACTTCCCTAATTTCTAAACACTAATATAGATGCCACGCAATTTAACATTACAATACAAATGATAGAAATAGTATTTTAACTCTAATCAAAACATTAAATACTACTACGTTAAAAGCTGCTGTGAAGAAAACTCTAACAAGAAAAGACAAAAATATTATAAAATTGCTCGAATCCACTATTATATCCTCTTTTTATATTAATTTCTTAATATCATTCTCGGTGGATTGAGTTCAAGTTTCATGATCTTTTAGGTCTTTGGATATAAATAGAAAATTAATTTTGAGAAAATGCTATAAAAGGAGTTTTTTGCATAATCTTTTTTCCATTTTGATTTTACATTTGGATGATGATATCATCATTTAATTAAGATATACATTCATTTCTTTAACCAATATAAGAAGGGGTGAAGCGCAAATTGACTTGTAGGAAGGGGTGGGTCATGTCCGACTACTTATAACCGCAAATATATTTATGTATTTTAAAGAAAAAATAAAATAAAAAAGAAACAAAGGGAACTAAGAACTTATCCTCAACCAATAAATAATATCGGGATGGGCTACATAAAATGTGGGTGTTTAAAGGGAACACATTAGTCGTATTAACTAAATAACTGATATAACAATCTATTTAAAATTTTATTTCGTTGTTCTAAATTTTGTTCGTTAAGTTTATTGAATCGAACTTATTAACCCGTGAATCGCTTCATAAGCAATTTTTATCAAGTTAAGCTTATGAGTAATTTTATCGAATCAAATTGAATTGTAATTTTGTTATAGATTTGGAGCTCGACTTATTTATGATTATAAAATTAAATTAAAATCAAACTCGAGTTTAATTATTTTTAAATGAGCGGAATTCGAATTTATTAAAGCTCGAGTTAGCCCAGTTCAATTACAACCCTAACTTATTGAAGATTTTTCCTATATCCTAATCAACGATTGGCTGCCATTTAAAAAAGAATTGTAACTTTTAATTATCATTCTTATCTAAAATTAGATTTTATTTAGTATATACATCGATACGATGTGGATAAAGTTTAAAAAAAATAAAAAAAATATAAACATAAACACATTTATGAGTTTGAGAGTTTGAGACAATAGATTAAGAAACCTTATTTTCTTTATAAAATGCTAGTTAAAACAATTAATTCTTATAAACTAGTATAACATGTGTAATTCCCCAAAATAACGATAATAATGATCCTCTCAAAAAAAAAAAAAAAGAAAAAAACAAGATCCTCTAAAAAAAAAAAGAAAAAAACAAATAATAATAAAAAAAAAAAAAAAGAAAAAAACAAAATAATAATGCAGTTAACAAGGGCATATTGGTCCAAAAATATGTATATATCAAGCCCCGACTCTCCCCTCCATCTCTACCCATTTCCCTCACTTCCTTATACAAACTCTGCAACTAAACTCCATTAACAGACATCCTTTCTTTCACATGCAAACCTCCTACATTCTACTGACCAGACAAAAGCAGAAACTTTTTCCATAGATTACAAATATATATATATATATAAACATATTAATTTAGAGAGAAATGGGTGTTTTATTTTTATCACTTGGTCTCTTTCTTGCCATTATCTCCGCCAGCGTCAGTTCTTCCTCGGAGGCTGACCGGGAAGCCTTACTAGCTTTCAAGTCTTCATTAAACGAGCCATATTTGGGCATCTTTAATACTTGGACAGGCACTAACTACTGCTCCGGCTGGTATGGCGTCAACTGCGACCCAACCACCGGCAGAGTCGCCGACATCAACCTACGCGGTGAATCGGAAGACCCCATTTTTGAAAAGGCCGGCAGGTCCGGTTACATGACCGGTTCCATCAACCCTTCAATATGTAAGCTTGATGGTCTTTCTACTCTAATTATTGCAGACTGGAAAGGTATATCCGGTGAGATTCCGGCTTGTGTAGCTACTTTGAGCTCACTTCGAATTCTTGATCTTGTCGGAAATAAAATCTCCGGCAAGATCCCGGCGGATATTGGGAACCTTCAAAGACTCACTGTGTTGAATCTTGCTGACAATGAGATCTGGGGAGCTATTCCTGCTTCCCTAACTAAGTTGGCTAATCTAAAGCATTTGGATTTAAGCAACAATAAAGTTTCCGGCAAGTTACCGGCCGATTTTGGTAACTTGAAAATGTTGAGTAGGGCATTGTTGAACCGGAACCAGCTTACCGGATCAATACCAAGTTCTATAGCCAATATGAATCTCCTTGCTGACCTGGACTTGTCCATGAACCAGATTTCAGGTTGGTTACCTTCATGGTTAGGAAACATGCGGGTTCTTTCTACACTCAACTTGGATAGTAACATGATTTCAGGCGAAATACCGGCATCTTTGTTGAGCAGTACCGGTTTGGGTATCTTAAATCTAAGCCGAAATTCTATTGAAGGCAATGTACCAAATGTTTTCGGGCCGAAATCTTATTTCATGGCTCTTGATTTATCGTATAACAATTTAAAAGGTCCGATACCCGGTTCCATATCGTCGGCAAAGTATATCGGGCACTTGGATTTTAGCCATAACCATCTATGTGGGCCCATTCCTGTTGGATCACCGTTTGATCGTCTTGAAGAGTCCTCTTTTAGCAACAATGATTGTCTTTGCGGTAACCCACTGAAGACCTGTTAATGTGCATCGGACGATGAATGTTAAAAAAGCAAGCGCCCGAAATACCGGGTGATTATTGTGTCTAAGAATTAATGTCATTAATTATCGTAAAAGTGAGTGATTTGTTGGATTTGTAGAGTTGATTAATGTAATGTTTAAGAAAAAAAATATATCTAATGAGTTTAATTACAAGTTGAAATGGACAAAGATAAGGCAGCTCCATGTCCATGCACGTGGAAAACAGCATAAGCTTTGACAGAGGTTGTGAAATAAGATAACGTAGCACATGCTTTGCAATTGTTGAAAATAATGCAAAAGATAAAAATTTTAAAAATATTAATATTATTATTTTTATTTTGCATGCTTGTTTTTATATATTATCCTTATAGATAAATTTTTTCCAGAAATATAATTCCAACCACTTATTGATTTAATATTAATTTTTTAGTGCATCAAAATTTTCATCAAATGAATAAATATCATTTTTTTTTCTTTCAAGAAAAAAATAGGAATGCAATTATGTTAAACTTTAAGAGTGATATGCCAATCAGCACTTTCTTTTGTTTTATAGGATTTGGATCTTGAAAAGCACAGACAAGGGATCACACCATGCATGTGATAAGCAACGCAAGGGTCATAAGGATATTGAATACAATTAACCGTGACTTCGCTCCAAAAGCTAGCTCATAGAGAAAAGATTAAACCAAACCTTATACACTAGTCAAGAATGTACTCCGCGGCCGATGTGGGATGCATTATAAACTTAATTATAGTTAAGACCCTTTGTCCTTCTCTATAAATGCATTTAGTGAATATTGAATCCGAGAACTCTTCTTACATACTCAATATGCGTTGTCAACTGAACCATAACCTGTAAATAAAATTGTTTTGTTTTTTTTAATGTATTGTTGATATTTTAAAGTTTTATTCAGTAAAATTAATTTAATAACAGCTAGTTGTTTTCATAATGAGATCAATTTTCTTGAACTCATATAAATACAAATATTATAAATAATAAATATAATATCAAAATATTAAATGATAATTAAAAAATTATTATTGAACAATGACCAAAAAATCTAATTGCGAATGGCAGATGAACAAAAATAAAAAGCAATTAACAAAATTATGCATTGGACAATCTATAATCCAATTCAATTAATTTCTTTTTCAAGTAAAAAATCTTAATTAAAAGAAGTATCAAAATTAAATATCAGATACTTGAAGCTACTAGCAGTCAACTTAATTAACACGTACAAACATGCAGCCACTTAGTATTATCACAGGGCTTTATTACATAAAACATACCTTTCCTCGTGCATTTATTAAATAGCATCATTTAAATCCACATTGTACGTAGGCCATAGTTGCAGCTGCTATCTACACAGCAATAGTAGCAGTTAGGGATATTTTTAGCATCGAGTCTTGAGCCAAACTCAATTAATTTTAAATCGAACTCGAACTGAATTTGAGTTTATATCGATTTAAACTCAATCTTAAAATTTTCAGGTTCGTCAAATTTTAAATCAAGCTTTGAATCTACCGAGCTACCGAGTTCAGTTCGGTACGTTATATTGCTCATCTATTAAAACATGTCAATCAACAACTTTTACAAATTAAAAATTCAATCCATGGAAAAAGAAAGCTTACGGAGACGGATACATGAAAAGATTCATGGAGAAAAAAAGAATTGTACTAGTAAATTAAATACTCATAACAGTACAGAGGTCAAAATCCCATAATAAGTGCACATTGAGCTACCACACTGACATCTACATTAACTCTTGTAAGACTCTTGCCCTTTCATTGATATCCCCACACACGTGATCCTGGAAAACCATAGGCTTGGATAATTATTTTCTCACAAATTGAAAACAGCGGTTTTGAATTAACCAGTCCCCAAAATGTGTTGGTTCGATTCAAAACCAGTCCTCACCACAACTAGTTGACTCTTATCTTGCCAAAAACTAGACTAGTCCACATCTTGTGAACCAGAACAGAATAGTTAATGGACTTTTAGCTATTCAGACCTGTACTACAAATAACCAATGGACCTCTAGATTAAGATAGCAATAAAGACAACTTTCAACTATACATGGCTATGTCTAATGATTATAAGAAACTTATTGAAAGTTCCTTTCAAATCCAGAAAAGGCAACCTAATTTTCTTTTCAGAGAAGTTTACTGAACTTGAAACGTGCTTCAAGCTAATACCTCTATGTGCAGATTAGCAAAGCAAAATAAATAGAATACATTTTGAAAGCAAATTAAACACACCATGATCTGAAACTAAATGTTAAACCATTATAGAAAAGCAACTGCAAGTTAGGTGCAGGAGGTCAAAGAAATGTGGACATTGCTGTATGTTTGGATCACAATATTGGGCATTAGTAGATAGCAAAGGGTAGTGTTGAATCTACACCAGCCACATTATAGGTAAACATTTTGATGATAAAAATGAGATTAGACAGAAGCAGATATAAAATAAAACCTCTAACTCTTCCAAGGTAGTTTATGTTGTAGTTTGAAAACAATCTTTTGGAAAAGCTTGCGAAGAAGCTCTGGTATGCCTATCAAGGGAAGAAGACTAACTTTCTAAAGGTTTCAAGGGTTATTATTAGTGAAAAAACATTATCTTTCACTCAAATAATAAAAATAAATCTCATGGTTAGTTGTTGTTCAGTAAAGAAGTTCCAAAGTCAAGAAAATCACATTTCAGACTCAAATCCAATATTCCAAAATCCTTCAGGAGTCAAAGGAGGGGCATACTTATACCGATGCCTAGAAACGCCATCATGATGCTCACAGCGAAGATTCTGCTTACCATCAGTGTCCTTACCTCCATTAGGAAGAACCGCATCATAGAATTTCTTGCACTGCTTGCATTCTACTCCTTTCAAATTATCCCTCTCAGCTTTCTTTCTAACTGGTTCAACATACTTGAACCCTTTTTGGCCACCTGTTGGTAGTGGTATCTGCCGCTTTTCTGAAGCGGGATCAACATTCATATCCTGTGTTTCATCATCTGAACAATTATCAGTACTAATATCTTTCTCGATGGGTGGAACATGAGGATCTTGTACTGTTCTATTCATGGCTCCATTCAATGCCCCTCTGAGGTTCTCAAGAGGGGTATCAAGGAAATCATCATGAGGGTCAGGTCCATCTTCATACTGACGAGACCTGGTATCTATCCAGCGAGATGCAGGCCTCTTTGTACCAGCGACTGGAGCAGATTTTGCAGTAGGAGGGCATTTCGGTGAATTATAAATGTTAGCAGGAGAGCAGAAGCTTGACATTGGAATTGATTTGACCACTTTATCATCCTCCAAATTATCCCCAATGTCATTTTCAAGTTTCACTTTTTTCATCTCAAAAACAACTGCAGGAGCACCTGGACCTTTGTTTCCAAAATCTAGAATACCAAGCAAATGGAGATTGTTTAGACTTTAGACTGAGGGACAGAAAGAATGAAGTTTACATCCAACAACAAGGCAGGCAATCAGAACACTGTTCTTTCGTGCGGGTTTCTAAATTAAATATAGATCCTTAGAAACTAATTCAGCAACACCAGGACAAACACAAAAAAGTAGGCTCCAACTTGGAGTGTCTACCAGAAAAATTTGCCGTTTTGTACTAGAACTACTAAATTATGATTACTAGCAAAAATGTCACTGAAGTTTTAACTTAATTCCTTTTTTTTTTTTTGTCTATTGGGATGCATCTTTGGTTGTTGAACACATGACTCATTTAAAATTTTCCTATTCTTCTCCCTTGAATTATAACGTGAAATAAAAGGCCAGTAAGATCTTACCAGGTGAAGTTGTTAGATTTTGTTCATGTGCTACAGAGCCACTTTCATCTTCTAATTTGATCTTGGAAAGCATATTCTCCTCAGTAAGGCCACACTTTGTGCACAGAAAATTGTATTGAGACTTCAATCTTTTGTACATATCAAAGAGATCTCTTCTCTTCTTCTTCTCAGCCAGTAACTGAGAGTCTTTGAACTTAATTTGCTGAAGTAACTCTTCATATGAATCCTTTCCGACAGCTTCCTTGCTGCTTCTGTTGAGATTTTCCTTGAGCTCATTGATTTTCCCCTCCAAATCGTTTACTTTCTCCAGAAGTTGTCTTTTCTCATTCTCAGACTCCTCAAACTGTTGTTTTTGCTTCAAGATCTCCAACTTATTCATATCAATTTGTTGAAGCAATTCTGCTTGCAATGTACGTCCCTCCTCAATTTCTTCAGTTTTTTCCAAAAGCTTCTTTTGGAGTTCACTAATATTCTCCTCCAGAAATTTCACTTTTCCTACAAGTTGTTCCTTCTCTTTTTGGAGCCTAATAATACTTTGTCTACAATCTGCTGCTAACTCATTCGACAATATGTCAGCTAGCTTTTCAGTCTTTTGTTTAAGCTCCCCTTGAAGCACTTCAACTTTTTTCTCTAAGCTTTTCACTTTGGCAAGCAACTCATTTGTCCTTTCTTCATACTCATGCACTTGTTTTACCTTATCCATTATGAGAGAGGATTTCGTTTGAACTAATTCAAGCAATTTATGCTGCAATTCCATGCCTTTATCAACTTCCTTAGACTTCCTCCCAACTTCCTCTTCTAGCTTATCAATTCTAGTTTGTTGTTTTCTTTCTTTCAAAAGGAATGACTTTGTCTTCTCATCAAGGTCCCCCAACGACTTATCTTGCTCAAGCTTAAGACACCGGTTTTCTTCAAGTACTTCTTGTTTTTCGAGTTGAAGTCTTTCAATCTGAAGCAAAAGATCTTTCTCTTTCTCTTTCCAAGACTCTTCTGCTTCCTTTTTGGCCTCCAAATAGATGTTCTGCAAGCTTTTGGATTTCGTTTGTAAATTAGAGTAAAGCTGACTACAAAATATGTACTCTATCTGAGAAATCCTATCCTTTGCTTCCTGAATTGTAGCAACCAATATAGTACTAAGCCTAGTCACATACTTCACATCCTCACTATCCACTGGACACCCTAATTTCGGAGAGTATTGAAGGCTTCCTTCCATATCTGTGAAGTAACAAGATAAGGACAGCCAATCAAGATCTATTGACATACCACATTTCCAAATTTCAATTTCAATTAGAAAAAAAAACAATAAATTCTACTAAATCCATTTCTAATTAAAGTGGGGAATTATGATTAGATCATAAACACGCGCACTAATTGAATTAACCAATTCAAGCGAGGAAATCAAAGATTAAGAAATCTATTAAGCATTTTAACGAAGAAAGATAATTAATCAGTGAAATGAAATCTGCAAAATGGAGCTAAACGAACATCGGTTTTTTTCTACTCATTTTTTCCCGATAAACAAACGGAAAATGAAATAGAATGAGAAATATGGAATTTACCTGGATTCTTCGATTGCTATTAGCAGATGTTCAAAGCATTAATATTACTTTCTATATCTTTCCGTGAAAGAGTGAATTTTTTGGGTTTTGAGCAGAGCTTGACGCTGGCGGGTTTTTAAAAATTGTTGAAGTAAGTGAAAATAAAAAGCTTGGCGGGGAAGCTTTGATCGAAGAGAAGTTAATGATGGTTGGGACTTTCAATGGGCTGGGGATACCTTTGGACTTTAGTGGTCATTCCAGCCCAAACAACTACTGGATTTGCCCTATTGCGGGTTCACTACCTTCAGAAAACGTCATGTCGTTTTGAAGTTCGCGTCTTTGCAGGGAAAAACTGGTTTATCTTCTGAGAAACTTGTAAATGTTTTTGTTAGTAAGAGAAGGTGTAATTTCCTTTTGGGCCAAAGCGTGCGTGTTTTACAAAGATTAAACTTGTATTCGGATCGAGAAAAACGTGTATTCGTATTCGGACAGAGATTGAACTTGTATTTGGATCAAGAAACTTATATTCGGATCGAGATTGAACTTGTACTCGGATCAAAACATTGGGATGGAGAAACTTGTATACTTACACTCGGATCAAAAACGCAACTTAGTTTCCAAAATATGTAAAGATATTAAATTTGTGTTTTCACCAATCAATATCCCAAAGACCACTGGACCAAATCGAGAAAATCGCTTTTACCTAAAAAAAAATCCATGCATGGTTTCATGATCTGGAGTATTTGATGAAGAAATTGCAACAAAAAAGTCCATGATCCTTAAATTATTTTTTAATTAATTGGGAAAAAAAATTAAAATTGATCCCTGAATAAATCAAATTAACATATAAAAACCTTTGATATCAAAAATTAACTATAAGACCCATAACTTATAATTTAAGCTATTCCAAAAACTAGCAAAAGTAGTGAATAAACTCTCAACTCAACAATATCTTACTCCAAATTAGATGGAGAAACCATGCAACCCTCTCCATACTGACATTCCAACAATAGCAAGATCCTTGAATTTGAGAAGAATGTTGTAACCTCAAAAATAAACACTCAGAGACCAGTTGTTATGATTGTTTGAGCTTACTGAATGAAGCTCTCTCCATATGGAATTTTTTTTTTTTTTTTTTTTTTTTTTTTCTGAATGAAGCTCTTTTTTTTTTTTTTTTTTTTTTTTTTTTTGAGCTCAATGCTAAAGTAAAAATAAGGATTTCTATAAAGGTACCATGAGACATTTAAAACAGATAGAGAATAAATGTTAAGGATTTGTCAAAGAGAATCCAAAACAAAACCAAAATCACAAGTAATGAGAAAGGCAAAACTGAAGTTTCTGAACTAATAACTAGAGTAAAAGGCTCTACTTCAATCCTCTTCGTCAATGACCTTGGTGTCCAAACCCTTGAATCCCTCAGGAGGAACCTCTGCAACAGTGACTAGTGAGAAAAACTCTTCCTTTGCATCCTCTTCGTCATTCCTCTTCCGTGCGATTCGAACGCGAACTCTCTTCGGCACGCTTCTGATTCCACGGCTCCACACATGCTTGTTTAGCTTGACATCCACTCTAACATCAGTTGTGCCCATGGCTTCTTGAGCAAACTTCCTAATTTCCTTTATGGCCTTGGGAGCCTTCTTCTTGAATGTGCTGTACACAAAGTTCAATGTAGTTTTGAGTTAACAAAGCATGTTTCAATATCCGACAGGTGAAGAACTGAAGCCAAAAAGCAATCCATGATTTTCAACACAACATAATCTTAAAGCACATATTGGCTGAGTAGCCCACTAGAATCATCAATTACCAGCAGGGGGAGCAAGAATAAACTAATATTTCGTCCAAAATGACAAGTAAAACTACAAATTTAAATGAGAAGACAGTTTCACAAACCTTGTAGCATTAAGAGAAATCTATTATACTTCAAAGACAATTTGAACTTCTATACTCTTAGGAATGCTATGCTTTATTTACAAACTTACATTCCTTTGTGTCACTGACAGCCCTAATGAGAACCGTTAATGATTTTATAATACATGTAGCAACAAAACTTTGTCAATGAACTCACTGATAAAAACATTGAATCGTAAAACCTCAAGAACTCTAGCCATGCTCTGCACTAAAGGTACAAGCAATCCTTCGAAACTGCAATTACAAGTAAAGCTTAAAAGCCCTTTACAAGTAGAGCTTAAAAGCCCTGAAGATAAACCCAACAGCTATTTCTTAAACATAGAAATGATTTTAAAATAAAAACTAAGAGCTTGAACAGCACAGCCAAATGACATTTATTATTAATTCTTAATTCCATAGCTTCCCTTTATTTCCTCATTTCAGTAACAGTCAACTATAACAAATCTTACAAACCAAACATCTTGAGCCTTTAATTTAGCCATATAAATATTACACTTTTGTATACTGCATCAACTAAGCTCTCTTCAAAGTTCCATAAACCAAACGACATAAATTCGACACAAAACTACAAAGCACAAACAGAAGCAAGATCAAACATTTATCATCATATAGATCAGATCTATATCTTCTGCAATCGAAAACAAGCTACGAAATTCAAATATTCAAGCAGATATATATGTTCAAATAAGTGTATACAGAGTGAGAGGAAGGTTTGATGTACCATCCGTGCAAGCGTTTATGAAGGTTAATGGTGTACTCTCTGGTAACAACCTCTTCTTTCCTTCCTTTGCCTGATTTTTCCACCATGGCTGCGGCTCTGTAACAGTCCCAAAACTCGCTACTCTTTTCCGGCCCGCTAAAGAAACCCTAGAATCATTCGTTGAATAGATATAGTAGCTTCCTTGACGCCAAATGTCCCCCGTTTTTGTTAAAACTGCGTAAATGCCCCTTCATTTGAGGGTATTATTGTCATAACATGGTTACAATTTTGGTTAATTAAATCCCTATTTTTGAAATTTAATTATATAATCTCTCGTTTTTATTTTCATTATACTACTATTTAATCTTTCTATACGTTTTTTATTAATTTATTTAATTATTATATTTATTTTTTATTAATTTCTAGTGAAATATATTTTTTCTCTTACACATACTACTTATATGTCATATAAAAGCACATAAAATAATGGAATATATTTAATTTATAAGTTACATGAAATACTTTATTTGGGATCATTATTTTTAAATTTTAATTATATATTATTTATGACTAATATAATAGAAATAAAATCGATGAATTACATTATTAATCTTAATTAATATATTAAAATATAATTGAGGAATTAAATAATAATTTACCTATTATAATATTATGCACTATGTGGGATGATAAAATAAAAGTTCTTTGATTAAAATTGTATATTAAAAAAATTAATAGCCACAAACCAAACTACCTAGTGAATTCAAATTCATTTGGACTTCAATCTAATTTTTAAATTAAATAATAAAATAAATTTTAAAAAATACCAATAGTTATAGACCGGAAAGAAAATAAGATCTTTGGGCCTCGGATCCACATGGTTCCTTTCCTCTTGGGCCGAATTATAGAGAAGGCAAGATAGTCCGAAAACCTCAACTACTCTGCGCAAGCGGGAAAAGTAAAGCGGACAAGGGAGGGAGAAACAATCTAGGGCACACTTCTCTTCTCTGCTCTCTGCTGCAAGAAGGTGGGTTCTTACTCTTTTTTTTTTTTTTCTTTTTTCATTTTTCTATTGTTCATTTCTTCGCATCAATTCACTTCTACAAGTAACTTATGCTTCTCTACTCAATTCAATTTCAGGGTTCATAGAGAGAATTCCGTGTAAAGATGGTAGGTTTCTTATTTATGCATTTTGATTTGAAAGATAAATTGAGTTTTATTTGATTTTTTGTGATTTCATATGGATTTTCCATTTAGCCTAAAATTTTTTCACTTTGTAATGTGTACTACTTGGGTTTCAGTCAGGGAGGAAAGAAACTGTGCTAGACTTGGCAAAGTTTGTCGACAAGGGCGTCCAAGTCAAGCTAACTGGGGGTAGACAAGGTAACTAATTCTACTATGTCTTGATCATTTCTTTTGTTAAAACAGAATGTGGATAATTAATAAATGGGTGTTATATTCTGATATGCTTATTTTCGTTGGAGTTTTTGTTAATTTGGGGTCAAAATGGTGCTCAATTCCAGAGAGAGAGAGAGAGATTTTTCAAATTTTGAACTACTGCATTTGTACTTTTTAACCACTAGCTGAGCTGATGAATTGCATGAATAATGAACAAAATTGGGTGTTGGAATCCCTTTAGATTGAAGAACATGTACATATGTCATGATTTGAAGTAAAGAACAGTAATTTCTGTTGATTGTACATTTGATAGCTTAGATCTGATGTCTTTAACCGGTGAATGTGTTTGATTTTGAACTATAACTTTTGGATATGGGTCAGAGGAAAAAAACACACATAGGCTACATTAGGTAAGCTATAATGTTTTGCAATGTAATCAAATGCATTTCTTGCGTAGTGTTTGTACTAAAAATTTGATTACATTACAGTATATTTCATTACAAGTTAGCAAACTTATCATTAGCATACTATATAAGAATGTGTACTTAAAATTATGAATGGGAATAAAGCTAAATAATTATCAGAATGCTTAGGTCAAAATAGGCATAACAAGGGTGTAGCAGTCTTGGTCCTCCTAGGGGACCAACAACTGTGCCAAGACACCCACCAAATGACAAGTAAATTATTTGTATCTTGAAATTGCAGAAAAGATTTTGTTGGATGTTGAAAATTTGAGAGGAACATGATCATGTAAAAATTATGTGTAATATGTTGGATGAAATCAAATCTGTATATCCAGGCTTGTACTGTGAAGTTTTCTTCACTTCAGCAACAAATTTGAAGTTTGAACTTTGTCAAGGTGGGTCAAAGGATCTTCTTGTTTGAAGAGTTGGTGGTTGACCTCCAAAATAGAACTTATCTAGAAAAGTGCAAATTGCGTTCTTGAGATGATAAGAAAATATAACTTAGAAGCCGATTCACAAGGTTGCACTTGCTAAACTCCAAAATCAAATGACCCAATGAGGGCTTAAGATGCAAGATTTTATCATCCTCTTCTGATAATGAAATGTTGACACAAGCTTGTTCTTATTTTGTGTTAGTTTTATGTATTATTCAATGGACATGCAGTGAGGTATGGCATAAGAGGGGTTTCTAGGTCTTTAATGAAATGAAATATTCTCATCATATGTCATATGTTGTTTTTTTCCCCTAATTGCATGACCTTTTGGCTCTTCTTGATTCAGTGACAGGGACTCTGAAAGGGTATGATCAATTGCTGAATCTTGTCCTGGATGAAGCTGTAGAATATCTAAGAGGTATTAACTTCAATGATAGTTTTTTGGAATGTTCAATACTTTAATGTATGTGTTATTTTATGTATCTTTTAGACTGTATGTTGCTCTTTATGTAGCAGGAACTTTTGTTAAGATGACATCTGTTTGATAAAATGTGCTTAGCTATTTATCTGTCAGGTTAAAAACTGTCATATTGATGCTCTTTCTGCATGAGAATGGCTTTGAACATTTTTTTTTTCTATGTTTCACATCAATGGTTCCATCTTGTTGGAATATGTTGCCAACAAGACTGAGAGATATGAATCCTAGAAAGGCAGGGAGAAAGAGATGGAGGGAGAGAAATGTATAATATTTTAAATGTATATCACTTTCCATTTAGAAATTAGTTCTTAGTCTGCAATTCATTGGTTGGAGCATAGAATTGCATCATTGCATGGATGTTGAGGGGGCAATGAATTGGACTACGATTTATCAACTAGTTCTATTATTCGCATATAGTATTTTGAAGTATCTATCAGCTTAGCATGAATTTCCAGAGACCATTATGAATTTGGCTTAAATCTGCTGCCTATATTCTCATATTCCCATATTTATGTTAAAAATTTACAACTGAAGTCAAAATCTTTAACGCATTGTTTGGGGAGGTGGAAACATGAGGGTAAATGTAATTTGACTCTATTGACTACGTACATTTCCCTTCAGTTTCCCCTTCTGATAAACAAAGCCTGAGTGGTGAATCTTGCTCTAATAATGATTTTTATGTTGATTTTTTCTGTTGTGTTGCAGATTCTGATGATCCTCTGAAGACCACTGATCAAACCAGGCGCCTTGGCCTAATAGTATGTTTTCAGTTATCTTTGAGGTTTTACCTTCCATTTATGCATTGAGAAGGGCAATTTGCATGTGGGTCTGAATATACTATGGCCCACTGGCAGAGAGTTAGTGGTGAATTTCCATGAAGCTTGTATATCTCTGTACAGTGTGCATAAAACTGCTCGTATTTTTCTGCTACTAGCTTCCTTTTCATGGTGCATTTTTGATTATATCTTGTCATGTTATCACTAATGAATGCTTGCACTATTTTAGGATGTAATTGAGCATTTGTTTCATTGTACTGCAGGTATGCAGGGGAACTGCTGTAATGCTTGTCTCACCAACCGATGGTACAGATGAAATTGCTAACCCGTTCATCCAGCCAGATGGGGCCTAACAATATCTTTTCTTGTATATTCAAAGCCGCTAACTTTGAATCTCTATGATATTTTGGCTTGTCCTCGTTTTGATTTAGATAGCTTCCTCATTGCAGAATAGGGAATTTGTAATGAGCTTCGGTTTGGAGTTTGGACTATTTTTTTGCACTAGAAGTTTTATTAAAGTGAATTGCAATTGTAAAATTTTTATCATACCCTCTCTCTTCTTATAGACGTCTGAGATGGATTAGAGCACTATTATATCATGTGATGTTGAGTTCTAATCATTGTCAACAAAAGCAATATATATATATATGTATATATATAGGAGAAGCCAGTGAAATGCCAATTGGCTTTTGGGTGCTGAACGTGTGCTCATTGTTTGATTGCTTGCTTCTATTGGTATGTATTTGGTACACCTTCATTTGATAAAATCACCATTATCATTACCTACCTAATGCATTTAGGTATGAAGCTTTCAAAAGAAAGGCACTTTTGATATTATTGGAAATGTCTCATTTAAAGAAAGAAAATCTTGTAGGAAAAAGTAAAAAATAAAAAAGAAAAAAAGAAAAAAAGAAAGAAGAAGGATGTGACAAGGTTAAGATCATAGCTGTTAATTGTTCAAGTGAATTAACGTTTTATAATTTGCTTTTTCAAACTTTTTCAGCTGCTCCAGTGTATTAATGTATTATAATTCACTTTTTCAAACTTTTTCAGTTGCTCCTGTGTATTAATATATTATAATTCGCATTTTAAACTCTAAAAAGTTTCTCAAACATGGCCTAATAATAATAAACCTAAAGCTAGAACAAAACAGAGAATTTGAAGTTTTGTGATGTTGTATTTATCATCTCGTGATGCTATAATTATCCAGTATTAAAAAAAAAGAGGTCACAAAGTAAGCTTATGGTGGGGGTTAGTCACCATACACTTTCGGTCGATCCTTTTGACAGCTATTTCTACAATTGAAAATTGGTAGTTGCATTTGTATGCAATATCATACTTTTTTTTTTACCTTGATTTTTCTTTTTCAGTGCATTTTGTCACGATCAAACAATTATTTTTTTCGAACAAATCTTTTCAACTCTTACCACTTTCTTCTTTTGCCCCAATTCCCAATTGGTTGATTTACAAATTGGGCATGTTTCAAATTCCCAATTAATTCAAATATTTATCAAGTATTCTTGCCTGATTTTTTTTCAAATGTGAACGTATATTCTTAAATAGTAAGAACTACTAGAACATTTTAGCTGCCAAAATTGAAAATTTCCATACAAATCAATGCCTTCCTTTGTCTGGTTTTTCTAACAAAGCTTGTGGAACATGTTGAGAAAATATTGGGTAAGCTTATTTTGTTTTTTTTTTTTTTTCTTTTTTAACTGACCAATAGAAAGTTTAGAATCAATATATAATATATAAATCTCACTAATATGTATTTATATATTCATCATTTAGAGTCAAAGAATTTTTTTAATAAAGATAGCAAAGCAGGTGAGTGGACTATATAATAAAAATAAATTTTTTCTTAATTCTCTGAATTATTGAAAATTTTTGTGATTGAGACGATAAGTCTTACATAGATAAATTTTGGTAAAATTAAGGAAATATAAAATTTTATCCAAAATTTTAATAGATAAATATTTTTAAAAAATAAAATATAAAAAAGATGTTGATAGTGCCACCTTGGATTCAAAGATAGAAGAATATAGATAGTGACATGATTTTTATCTTCCACATTAGGTCCCTAGAGATTATACTATTAGTATCCAATAAGACAGGAACAGGTGGCTATACCAAACAAGCAAAATACTATACAGGTAGAATATTATTGGCCTCCATCTATCTACATTGGTGGTCCCCTTACCCAATCACCAACCCTCCTCTTCAGGCTCCACCTACATCACATTGCAATTTATCTTATTATTATTATTATTATTATTAACATATCCAATTTGAAGGGTTGACATTGTATTTATACTTATCTTTATATTTCATAACTATGTTGAAATTATATGTATGTTTTATATTTGAAAGCCTAGAGAGGTTTGCATGTGTTAGCTAATCCTTTTTAAGTTGCTTCTTGATTTGTTAGAAGCTGGTAGAATTGAGGCCATTTGACCTAGACAAATTTTGTAATAAGTTTTTTAAATTGGATTGTCATAGGCTTTTCAAAAAAAATATCCACGAGTATTTCCGATTTTTTGGATACAATACTAATCTCGTTATAATATTCGTAATTGCTTCTCCTATAAATATTTTCGTACGGATGGAATTTGAAATCCTTTCTTTTGGATATGAGACTACTTTTCGTTTTGAGATTCACGATGGCTCCTGTTTATCAGTATTTTTGTACGAATATTTGAACTTAAACATATCTTGCCACTTGAATCATTACTCATAGATGATTGTGGTTGAATTTTAATGCTCTAATTAAATAGCGGTTTTCTTCTTATTAACTTCAAAGTATAATTAAACATATATTTCTACGTTAGTTAGTTAAAAAACAATATAAATCTTCAGTTTTCTTTTCTTTTCTCGGGCTAATGTATAAATTTGTCTTATACTTTAGGTGATTATCCTTATGCCTTTCTAAATTTTAAAGAAAATTTATCATGACCATGCATTTTGACATTTCAATAATAACTATGTCCTTATCAATTTGAAACGTGAAATTATAAGATAATGATTAAACCCAAACAAAGATATTTCATTTTAGCGAGAAACATAACTATTACTGAAATGTAAAAGTATAGGATTGAAATTAGACTATCGCAAAATTTAAAAGGTCAAAAGAATAATCGATTAAAGTTTAAGATCAAATTTATGCATCAGTTTGTCTTTCTAATGAAAAAATTATTGCTATTTTTGTCATAGGTTGCTCCAAAAGTGAGAACAAATCATAAAAATGGTTAAAATCCTCCATCATTTGGCAACCAAGTCACACTTTTATTGGAAAAAAGGAACCATTAGATTTTGATAGTTGGTCCCCAAAATAGCTACCAACAAGCATAAGTGGAAATGGCAAATTTTATTTATTCTTAATTATATAATGCTATGATTTATCAAAATTTTGTGTATTGGTCTTTGTCAGAATTGTTGCTATTTAACATTCGATCGGGCACCAGTGCTAACAGAGATTAAATAATTGCTTTCTCAAATACCATTTAGTGAATTGGTCTGGATTAGGAGGCAAGTTAACAAGCCTGCACATGCTCTTGCTCGTATGACATGTTTACATCATTGTTTCCGTCTTTGGGACTCGACTCCCCACTATATTGCAAATTTTATTTCTCAGGATTCATTATAAATATATGCTCTTATTTGCTTTCAAAAAAAAAAAAAAGTGATTTTTGTAAGAAGTCTTTTTTTTTTTTAAAAAAAAAAAAATTAGATTAGTGCATGAAACCATTCATATACAAAAATCTGATACAATTAAAAAAAAAATACTCAATTAATTTTTAATAATACCAAAATACCCTCCTCCTCTCTTTGTATCCCTCCCTCCCTCTCCCCCCATTTTTGAGGTGGAAAAGTTTTCCAACATTAACATAAAATCGCCCACAATATTTCTTTTGAAACAAAAATAGCCCACAATATTATTATAAGTAAAAAGCCAACTCACTTCCACATCAGCCAGCTCCAGATGTACAGTTCTCATTGGTCTAAATCTCCCCACAGCTTCTCAAGCCATTGAAAGGACACAGCAGTCTCTTTCAGAACTGGGCCCCAAATTTCTAATTCCCATCTCAATGCTCCTTGTACACGCGCCACTATCAAGGTTCCTTACACAGTATCTAATCACAGCCGTTGGATCATAACACTGTCTCTCGAGATCTCAACCCCCAACTTTACCATTATTACCATTATTTTTTTATTAATAAAAGTTAAAACCCACAACCTATTATCTCACGCATATGTTCCCGTCACGCCCAGCTTTACAGCCTGCCTTTTGCTACTACCTTCAAACCAGCATACGTGGCGGCATTCTATTGGACTATTTTCTATGCCAATCATATCAAGCAAAAAGTAAACTTGTCGCGATATTTTGCTTTCCCCACTCAGTTAAATATCACGATAAAAGCATAAAAAAGAACATCAGGAAAAAACATCACATGTCACACTCCATGTGGACCCACAACTTTCTAAACCTTCCAACCGAAATTTCCAGTTGCAAATGATTTATAACCGAATTGACATAAAAGCCACACAATTTCCTTCTAATTTACATTCCCATGCCATTACCATTTCTAAAATCTCTTAAGAAAAAAAAAACCTCAAAAGTAAACATGAACAAACAGTCAAGCACGATTAGGCCACAACAATAACATTAATAATCATATTTAATAATAATAATAATAATAATAATAATAATAATCTTTCATTTAAAAAAGGAAAAAAAAGTAAAAAAGAAAATAAAATTTTATAGAAGAATTTTGATCTTGATCTCTGGATTATCTTCAAGCCATAATTGATTCTTGTTCATCGACCGATCTCTTCTTTCCTCTCCCTAAAATCTATCTCAAGCCATTCTCTATAGAGGAAAAAGGAGGAATGATCAGATCGAGAGCATCGATCATCGTGAAGTTTTGAAGTTCTCTGTTCAAATTTTGACGTTCTTTCCCATTTATCAAACTCTAACAATCTTCGCCGCTTTGACCACGGGGTTTTCTCTAGTGATCGCCTCCCTGCCAGCGGCTTTATAGTCGTAACTGCAGTCGTGACGGTCAGAATACCGGTGTTCCCAACAGAAAAGCTCTCCACACCGGCATCGGAATCCGGTCAACCCAACCTTCCTTCTACATCCCGAGCATCGGTTCACCTCCCTCCTAGCCACCGCTGCGTCTGATTTTTCCCGATCTGTCGACGTCTGCACCTTTTGATTCGTCTGGCGTAACGGATCTCGAATAGGAGATCTAGACAAGCTAGATCTCGGTGATTTACGCAAGATCTCGCTACCAGATGAGACGACAGCCGCTGATGATGTCGTCGTCGTTGTCGAGGTTGTATTTGCAGGTACAGCCGCCGTCACCGTTGCTGAATTTGAGGTGCTGGTGGTAGCGTTGAAACATTTCTGACACATATTGTTGGTCGCCGGATTACCGGTGAATCCACAATTATTAACGCATAAGGTAAGCGTTTCTGGAACCTTGAATTCCGTCTCTTCTTTCTCCGTTTTCTGAGCCATTTTCCTGATAAATTTCTTTTGATTATTGGATTCTAAAATTCTATTCGTATTTTTTAAAATTTTAGAAATGAAACCTCTGAATAATTTCTAGGGAGAGAGAAGAGAGAGAGGATGGAGAGGAGGAAAGGTGGAATTTGGGGGTGGAGAGGTAGGGGAAGGATGGGGATATGAAGGAAAGGAGAGGTCGGTAATGGCGATGGAATATGGGCCTCATAGAGACGCGTATCAAACATTTCTTTTACGACTTTGGTTTGAGGAATTACAAGAATGACCTTGTAAGTTAGGTGGAATTACCTGGGATTTGGCCTCTTTGGTTTTGGTTCTAGATTTGGGTTCTGACGTGTTAATCGTCATTATCGAGAAAATTATAAAATAAGGTTTGCTTATTTTATGGAAGAGTGGGTCCGATATTTTAACCACTAGATTCTCCATGCTGAATTAAAGCTTTGCTTCTGTCATTCCTTTGATATTTTTGAAAAGAAAATAATACTTTTTTTTTTCTTCTGAATATTACATTTTACAAAAGTTTACGAGACTTTCCTTGTTTTTAAGGATTCCAAGTCCATGCAAAATAAATATATTTAAAAGATAAAATAATGGTTAATTATATTTCAAAAATACTTGTTGTTTTGTTAAAAAAGAAAAAATTAATGGAGTCTTGAAATTACGAAAACGAAATTTATTTTAAAATTTATAAATTTTTTTACTATAAAAATTAAAATATTTTTTGTTATTTTAAATTTAAATTTCAAATGATAATCCGTCTCGGGGTGAGAATTTTGACAAAAGAGCATAACTATTTGTCAATTTTTTTTACTAGTTTTTAATTGTTCCGTAAGCTATCAAAATTTTGAAATACACGTTTATTTAATGATAATAATAATTTGTCAAACTTGCTGTTTTGGGATATATGTCTCCTCTTTTCTTTCTTCCTTAGTTGTTAACAATACTTTGGTTCATTGGAATTATTGCATTTTACTTTGAATAACACGCATGCATAATTTCAATTTTATCCTTTTTTGCTACTAAATAAATAAATATAACACTTTTATATCATGCATAAAAATTAAAAGTAAAAATATTAATAAGCGATTGAATCAATGGAATTAATAAATTTTACTTTCACATATAAAGTTACGCGTGTAAATTAAAAAAAAAATAAAACCTTATTGATTAAAAAAATACATATTTATGAGTTAAAATTGAAAAGTAACCATTAAATATATTTACTTATTAAACAATTACTCTATGAAAATGTAAAACAAAAACACAAGTAATAGGACAAAGGCAATTGGGTGAGGAAGAACACTGTGCATGGCAGCTTGGAAAGTTGGAAATCTAGTTAGCTTAGATATGAAGCGATCTTGTCCCGGTTATAATAGTTTTGCACTTTCATGCCAAATCCTAAATGCCAAAATGCATTTCTAAATCATTTTTTTAGGTAAAACCTTGTAAAATTGTATAATATAGAAATATATACATATATAGGTTCTTACTCTTTTCAAAAAATATATTCAAAAATAATATATATATATATATAATTTGTTTTACAATTGAAAATTATTTAAAATAATTTAAAATTTATTATAAATATGAGAAATAAAAAATATAAATTGTTACAATTGAAAATTAGTTTAAAATAATTTAAATTTTATTATTAAATATGAGAAATAAAATATAAATAAATAATAGATTGTGATAATTATCGGTGACTGATGGTTATAGTAAATAATTATATTGATCGGTGATTTAATCAATAATTAGTATTGATTAAAATTAATTAACAATAATGACTATACTCATAAATAGAACAATATATATAGTTATAAAATTTTATAGTAAGTTTTTCAATATTCAAAATAAATTTTTATCCTTAAAAATGGGAAGCCATAATGTTATTTTGAAGACAATATTCTCGATTAAAGCTTTTCTCCTTGCAAAGGAAAATGTTTCATACATATGCTAGGAAATGATATGCATGTATCTAAGTTTTAATGTGATTTTAATTAACAACTATATATATCTATATTATGTCGTGTAACTATATAGTAAAACAAAGATATCACGTTATAATTTTAAAATTGAAAAAAAAATTATTAAAATAAAAAGCAATTCGGTTCATTGAATGGAGTCTAAATTCAGTGATAACTATTATATATATATGTCAATTTTTGATGTGAAATACAAAAATTTTAATTCATGACAATATAATTTTTAACATTTCAAATGCGAAACCGTGCATTTTTATTTCTAAAAAATATTATATTATGCATTACAAGCAAAAACGCTTATTAGTACATTACTGGGTAGCAATTTAAATCATTAATAATTTATTTCATATTTTTTATTAAATTACAATAATATTTTAATTCTATAATTAATCATCATATAATTCAAAACCTTTAAACTATATAATAAAATAAAGTTCATAGAATGATGAGTGGTAATATGATAATATCACATGCCAAAGAAATAATATTCTTCATGAAAATTATCACATACCAATTAAAATAAAAATTATTTTATCTCCATTACAAATATTTAATTTAAAATAATAACCTAATAGTAGACATCTTGTACAAATCTCCACCAACAAGCACCCACTATGTTGAGACTTGGTCCGTCCTAACTTTTTAGTCCCTTTTCAGGGGTAGATTGGTAATTCTATAATCACCGCGGTCCACTTGCGGTGTAATGGTGACAAGGGGGGGTTTGAGCCGCCCAGTCTGACCGCCCCCACTACCTATCCTTTTCACCAAAGCTGCCTCTCTCTCTGTCTCTCTCTCTCTCTCTTACTGGCGTGGCGTACACGTGTGCTTTTACATGCATACGTGTCACCTAGGCTTCGGTGATACCTGTCCCTCTCAGCGCGTGCTGTTTACTTGCTTTACCAACATGCAAAACATGTGGTTACTATGGGTTTGATAATTTGATTCGTGCATAATTTTACTGTTCCTTAGCTTTGAAAAATGTTTTGTTTAAATAATGTGTTCAATGGTACATTTGAATTAATTTTTTTGGATTTTATGAAAACCAAACCGAACTAAAATATATCGATCTTCTCTATTAAAAATGAAATAAAACTCAAGCCAAATGTAACTAAATCAACTCAATCCACTACAATTAGAGGTGCGCATTCAGTTAGCCAAAACTGGATTAGTTCGATTCAGTTTATTCGAATATATTTTAACAGTATACGAATTCAAAACCAAATGGTGTAATAACTATCTAAACTGAACCGATTTGGTTCAGGTTGACACTAAATAAGCTATCATCTAATTATAGAATTAAAAACAAACTTGATTAATTGTATATGATAACCAAATAAAAATTAGAAAATCAAATGGTTTATATACTCAAACCAATTCGCAACAAAATTTTTAAAACAACTATGCGAATCCAACTCAAAATGAGTCGATTTAATTTGATTTTCGATTAAAAATCGAGAATTACTTATGTTTAACCGCATGAATTTAGTTTAACCCTGTCACTATTTATTAATTAACATTCTTGAAATAATTGAGATGATTTTGATCCTTATATAGAGGGGTTTTTTAAAATTGTTATATAAGAACAGAAATTATCTTTTTAATCATAATTTTGTTTTCTCATGACATTTTATTTATTTTTAATTATAAGTGATGAAATAATTTACGTAAATATCACCCTATCCGAAAGTGAAAATACATATGAAAATAAAATGAAATAATCAAATAATTTTAATTATCAAAAATTATTTTGATTTAGTTCTTTTTTTCTCCCAATTGCTCGAGTTGGTAGGCAATTAGGCAAATTGCAATCCCTTTCTTCTCATCCATCCTTGTACATAAATAAATATGCACACTTAAATAAAAGCTTGTCTGGCAATTAGCAGAATCTACGCGGCTAACCAACGCTACATATAAAATGGTTTCGGCAGTAATTGGTGGGTCCTCCACTTGACCTGGTCTCCTGATGTGACTTGACATCAGAAGGTCAAACAGGATGGCAATCTTGAAATGTTTAACGGCTCTGATTCATTTGCATGCTATTATACAAAAACGTGGCAACTTTTTAATGAAGCATGCAAACTGGCACATTGAAGCCACCCACACGTGACTATAGCACCACTCAGGCTCTCTTTCATTAGATAAGGACGGTTATGTGGGTCCGGTCCAAGGTTGGTCCCACCTACCTGCAAATAGTATCTACTTGCTTCTTCATCGCTGGATTCTTGGACTATAGGATAAATCCTGGTATTAAGAGTCCAAAAACCGAAATAACACAATACACCGTATGATATGATATGGATAATTATAGTTATTGTTTTACTATATTAAATTTATAAAAATTCATATAACAGGAGGATTCGAATTCGAGATCTTTTTCTCATACTAGTGAGAAAACTAACAGACTACTAATTTTAAAGCAACATTTCTTTTTTAATTTAATTTTAGAGGAATAAAGCCTTAGTATAATAACATGAATTAGTAGTAATATAACATGGAATTTTCGCATGTTCAAGTTATTTATGAAAAAAAAATCTATGGACTGTGACTCAATTAACAACGCAAGATGTATATGTGGAAAAATCTCTCGTGTTTGATCCCCCATTAAATGCATCTTCAAAGAGATATATGTAAAAAAAACTCTTGTGTTCGATCCCCACTAAATGCATCTTCAGGGAGGGACAAGGAACCATAACTGTTACTAAACTCCAAATCAGATAGACGGTCTCTGGTAATAGGGATAGGGTCTAAAAACCAATAGTTTAGATCAAGTCATTACAAAAAAATTAAAAATAATTAGGAAAAGCCCAAACAATTGATCTGCTGGAGCTGGAACCTTGGCCCGATTGTAGGCCCAACCCAACACCACCCAACCCCATAGTCCTCTCTATCTGTAGAAGCAACTAGAAACTGCCTAACAATTCCTCTCCACCATACAATGATGGTCAAGGGGAAAGCACAAGAGAAGACAGAGAAGCAAATGACAAGATTTAAACCCTTAAACTAATATTTACTACAAGATATTGCATAATACTTCGCCTAGATTTAAGAACTGGAAAGAAACTACTGGACAATATCATCACCAGCTCACCAACACTAACAAAGAAAAGGAAACCTGTCCACTATTATTTAACTTTGCCCTTGACATATCAATTTGGTCATCCAGGAAAATTCAATTCTCTTTACTTAGCATTCAATTACTTAAAAGAAAGTGAAGGTAAAAACTAACCTACAACTGGAGCATTGAACAAAGAATGTCTCAGACTTTTAATGACACAAAATTAGTCAAAATAGAAATGCCATGAAGAAATCAAACAACTGGTGCTGGCACCATTCATTAAGCTAGCGTAACAACTGCTGCTGCTGCCATACTTAGACCAAACACATTTCGACATTTAACATTTAGAACAAAGGAGACAAGCTAGTAACTGGAAAGATGCCAGTTCACATGTTATTTCAACCTTTTGAGCAACACGACATCTAAATAACAAGAACAACGAGATAAAAGCCTTGCATGTGGCATCCCAGAACATAGATGTGATACCTTCAGCAGAAGTTTGATGAGGGTCAGATGTTATCAAGCTTTTTAGCTTTCACAATGGGGTTGGCCTTGGCAATAGCATTTTGTCCAGCAGTTCGATAATCATAGGTGCAACCATGTTTGTCTGAGTAGCGATGAACTGAACAGAAAAGATTCCCGCAACGACAACTGAATCCTGTTAGACCAACGCGTTTCCTGCAAGTGGCGCACCTATTTTGACTTGCTTTCACCACCGTGTCACCATTTGTGCTGAGAGCTGAATCAGAGGACGCTGAAGCAGAACTGACCATAGTCTCTGCTGAATAAGTTTGCAGATCAATAGCAACAGCAGGCTCATTCCTGATGTTGCTTGAGCTACCGTTCACAATACTCTCAAGGGACGATGAAGCAAGTTTGGTTTGTTCTTGCTTCATTATGAAGTCTTTGTGGCACTTAGAGCACAAGTTCATGGTCGCTGCAGTTCCAAAGAATCCACAACCATTGGCACAAAGTTTAGGAGCCCCAAGTGGAACTTGGCATCCTGTCTCATTGTGCTCCATTATTTAAATAAGTTGAATTTCCTGCGACAGAATTCCCTTCTTCAGAGAAGACAGAAGAAAGAGGAAGGAAGGAAATGGAAAAGGAGCAAACATCAAAAGACAATTATCCCTCAACATCCCCATCTTACATACTAAACTTCACCCGAGTGAATAGAACCAAAAAGATGTTCTGCCCTCTTGAGCCTCCCATTATATCCAACTAAAAAAATGCATATACAAAGAAACACAATTTTAATCAAACTAAAATATCACATGGTAGGCCAAAATTGACATTGTCTCTCTTCTAGAGTTAAGAAATGCACCCATTGACAAAAATGTATTCAACTCTAAACCTTTGAAATGAAAAGTGTTTGTATATCACACCGACTTAAGTATACATAAACTGACGAAATTTATTGCCTGAACATGAGAAATTATAAATAGTAATTAGTCTAGCAGAGGAAAACAAAATGAAAATAACAAAAATTTCCAAAATCTATGCCTGTCACTGGAAATTCCAATCCAAAAACTCACCATGGTGGAGTAAAAGACCATTGAAAATCAACAACACCAAGGGTAAGTATGGTCCTAAATCCTAACTACACCTCAAGTTATGATTAGCAAAACCTTTCAAACAATAGTTTACAATGTCAAACAGAAAGTAAAACTATATGGAAATGGAGAACAAATTCAATCCAAATATAAACCCATAAATTAACTGAAAAATCATTCAAAGAATTCCCTGTAATCCATCACAAAGTTCAAAAAAATAAAATTCCATCAGATACTCTCCCAGGAAAAGGCCAATGGTATCAATAAATAAATATTGCTATGAGTAAGCAACATCATGTAAATCGAAACGACTTTTCCCCTACATTTAACCAAATATATAGTATAGAGCCTTATTAAGAGTGACTACAAGAAAGCTCTTACTGATACCTGCTTTCAGAGGAGATAATCTTTAAAAACCGGTGACTCGTGGCGATTGAAAAGGTCTTTAAAGGGCTGTCACTCAGAAATTACTCCCCTGCGTTAACAAAAACCAACCCAGAAACAGAAACTCATTAAATGTTGTGTACACGTCTATATTCAAATGGCACTCGGCTGAAATATTAGAGACAAATAACCATTTATATGCGAATAAGATGGAGAAGAGAATATACAGAGAGAGACAGAGACCTCTGAAGCAAACAGGAAAGCGTGGCAGAGACAGGAGAAGCGAAAGGCTGAGTGAATCGAGATGGGAGATATATATAGTGTAAGCTGTGAAGCACATAGAATGGGGAAGAAACTGGAGATGGAGTCAGTGATCCAAAGTGTTCGGTCCTAGCTGTGAATATACGTGGCATGTCTTTATTAGTCCAAGACTAAGACAAGTCAAACTCAAACGATGGAATTATTTATTATTTATTATTTATTATTTTTTGAATGAAATTTTCGTAAATAAGGGCAGCGAGTTCAGCTAGGACTGAGAGTGTGTGATCGAGGCTATCAGGGAGGAGGTGTTGAATTTACGTGTTGTAATAGGTTAGGGTGTGTCAAGATTCGGTTTGTTATAAGCGAGTGGCAACACGTGGCAAGCGAGTGTAGGTTTCATATCTTCTTCTGATCTGTCTCCCTTCCCCCAAATCTTACCTTCCACTCTAGGTATTCTACTACTTTCTTTACTTTCCTTATTTTCTTTTTTTTTTATTCTACTTTTTTTCTAATCGATTTTGGAAAATTGCAAAAATAATTAAAAAAAAAATTGTATGTATTTAATTAAATAGATGATAAATATTAATTAGAATTAGGTTTGATATTATTATTCCGTTTATTACTTTGAAATAGTACCATTTACATTATATGCATTATTTTTTATTTTTCATTAAATCCGAATATAAAAAGTAGTATTGTTTAAAATCCATTATATTTTAATCAAATGATAATGGGCTTCATAAATGTATTTAGGACAAGTACATGTATCACTAGTTACTTATTATATTAAATAAATTGATTTTTATTGGTAAAAAGTATATTTAAAAAATAAATAAAAGTCAATTTGGTCCCTAAATTTGTTTAGCATGATAAAAAATATCAAATTTAATTTTTTTGGCCAATTTAGTCATTGAATTTGTATAAAATGATTAAATGATCTGATTTTAATTTTTAGGCCAATTTAATCATTGAACTTATTTTGATTTTATAAATTAATAATTGATTTAAATTAACATGATTAACATTTTATCATTTTTTGTCCTACACTATGAATACTCAGATTAAAATTTTTCAACACTTATGAATATTAATTTAAAATTCATAAAAAAATCATTTCTTGGAATATAATAAATTTATAAACATGCACTATAACTTACTTTATTCAACACAAAAAATGTATAGATTTTATAAGCAATAATATAGTAATAGAAGTTAATTTTAAAATGTTCAAATTAATACATATTTATAAATTTAAAATCATCAATTAAGGTAAAAAAAGATACAATATATTTTATATATCATTTTTTCATATTTTATAATTAATTAATTTTTTAATAAATTAGTCAGCTCGATCCTAATTGGAGTTTTAATAAATATCTATATAATGAGTTTCACAATTTAAGTACAAAGAAAAATTAAAGATTAAAATTAATTCAAAATATCAAATATAATTTTTTTTAATCATTTCAAATAAGTTAAGGAATTAAATTGATATAAAAAGTGAAATCGGATCTTTTTAATTATTTTATACAAATTCAAAAGTTAAAATAACCCAAGAGGTCAAATTTAATTTTCTTATCTGCTAAATAAGTTCAAAGACCAACTTGTTTATTCCTTAAAAAAAATTAAGTTCTAATAATTTAAATTTACGGATAACTTATCAATTTAAGTGATATTTAAATAGATTTATGAATATTAAAATTATAGGTTGGTAAGGATCCGAGTTGGATAATAAAATTATAAACGGATTTGGATTCAATGACATTAAATTTTCTTTTTATTCAAATTAATAAATGATAACTCACCCTTAATTTTAACGGATCATCTTGCAATATTAGGGTTACCGCATTTCCATTTCGGAATTTGTTTTGGGCTTTCCGTTTGTCAGTCGGTGTCCATGTGTATAAATGTCTTTTTTTTTTTTTTTGGGTTTTCGATTTTCGGTTTTTTTTTTTTTGTTCAAAACATATAATCCATTCCCATTCTCTCTCCTGAATTAAAATCCCGGGGTTTTCCATGAAACCCCAAAGCCAAAAATCGCTCTCTCAAACCTCTTTCCATCATTTTCCCGAGAAAATCAATCCAAACCCTCTCACATTTGTCTACTCACTTTATCTTTGATTTGAAAATTTACCTCTACCTTAATTGTCTCAATCCAAAGACTACTCTCTATTAGGTTTTATTTCAAGGATCCAGGGTTCGACAAGTTTTTAGACAAGACAAGTAATTAGGGTTGTCGATTGAACGAAAGGGAGCGAGATATGGGGAGCGTGGATCGAGTTGAGGATCGGACATTTAGGGTTAATTGCACAGGAGAAGGAGGGGCTAAGTTGAGAGAGAAAGTGAGGGATAAGCTCAAGGAGTTTATGGGCGATTATACTGATGATACTCTTGTGGTAATGTTCATTTTTATATTGGAGACTTTGATATCTTTGCTTATTGTAGAATTTTGTTTTTAGTGAAGAACTATTGAATACAGTTTCTTCATTGGTTTCATATGTTGCCAATTTTGTATGTCATGTAATGGTTAGATTTTGGACTTGGTTTTAAGTTTGGGCGGGCAAGGATGACAATGCTTTATCATTGTTTTATTTGTTTATATCTTTTTTCAAATGTTGCTGTTTATTTTAGGACTGCTTTAAGAGAAGTACTTGGAAATTCTTTAGGGATGTTTATGTGTGGATTTAGCTACCAGCAAGAACAAATGTAGGTGTGAATGAGATAATGATATTGAACTTGCATTGGAAACGTGGTCTGAAGTCTTCTATTTTAGGCAGAAATGTCCAATTACAAGCTTGTCGTGAATGGGAAATGCACAGAAAGATTTGAGTGCAGAGTCTTTTGTTTCTATCTTATCACCTCAAAGTTTTAAGGATTTCATGGAAGACTAAGGTTTTCAATAGCTAATATTAATAGACTGCATGTTGATGCGTGTTAATTCTATTTAATGGGACAGGTTTTGGTTGGATTTTGGTACTGGAGACAATGTAATAGTTGGGTTATCTAATATGCTGTTTCACCTTATCTTCTTGTGTGATTGATTATTTTGAAATGGGCTCCATAGACTGAGCTTAGTCAACTAAAGAGTAGAATCTAATGAATTGGTTTGGTCTGTTATGGGCTAGATTTTCTCTGGAATTTTTCAGTAGTCTTTGATTGACCTCAGATTGGACGTCTGCTTCTGTTGTTGATTTATCTGGTCGCTGTAGTGTATAGGATTTTGGTTTTTTAAATTTGGGTGGGTAAATGAATAGTTTGATTAGTACAATGACTGGATCAGGATGCCAATATATTTATTGTTATGCATATGGTCAATTATGTTTACAAGTTGTGTTCTAGAAGATTAGTGTTGTTCTACTTTTTAAGCGGGTTTAGATGACATATCAGCAAGGAATCTAGGAATTCATGTGCCCTGAATTAGGTAGGTTCATAAGCAGATATGATATGCGAAGTTGGATGTGGAGAGAGACAGTTAGGGCATAGTTGGGAGAAGAAATGATTTGTGAGAGAATTGTTCCTAAAGTTGAAACCAAAAGCTTAACAGGCTTACTTTGGTGTGACCTATGAGCATTGATGGTTGGATGATTAAACTGTTATGATGAGTTCCATATACAAACTGCAGGACATCTTGTTTTCTAATATGGATGATGCTTACTGTAGTTGCATAAAGGAAATGAGATTTTTCATTCTTTGGCTTTTACTTTTTTTTTTTTATTTTATTTTTATTTTATTTTTTTATTTTTTTGAGTATGTATGTTTGGGGCTTTAAAGATGATATAACATACATTTTCCCCTATTTTTAATAAGGCCAGTGTGGTTAATGGTGCTTGTTACATAAGCTTTATATCCCCACTGGCTTCCTTTAATGGATAAGTAGTCTTCAACGAATTAAATGCATATCATGTAGCCTTTTAATCTGATAATTACTTATTTATTGGCTCTAGTTACCACCTCTAAGCTTTTAGTACTGCATTGTACTATTCTTTTACTACATGTATTGAGTAATTCTTTAAGTTATTAATGGTTTCTGAAATTTTTTTTCATATAATTTGCCTTTAACCTTTGTGATGGTCCTTGTTCAACATAATGGGTTTTCTTTTGCATGTGATATATAAATGTTTTTGAGTTTTAGTGATTTGGCACCATAATTTAACTTTAGTTTGCATTGGCAGGAATATGTGATTGTCCTGCTAAGAAATGGCAGGCGGAAAGAAGAAGCTAGAAATGAATTGAATGTCTTTTTGGGGGATGACAGCGATTCTTTTGTATCTTGGTAATTTGATTCTTATTCAATGAGAGATTTGAGGTCCTTAAAGAATGCGATTGGCAACTTTGGTTTGAGTTGTCCTCATCGATGATGATGGTCTTAATTTATCTTTGAACAGGCTGTGGGATCACTTGGCTTCAAATTTGGAGTTGTATGTGCAGCCTCAGGAGGCTCATACAAGTGATGTGCTCAAAACAAAACCTACATTGGGAGACCAGGCTGGGCAAAATGAATCTCATAATATTGATTCTGAATCTGGAAAAGGGAAATCTAACAACTTACCTAGAAGTCGACAAAAAAGAGAATGGAAAGGTTTAATGCGGGATGCAGCTGAACCGCCTCCTCTTCGAAGCTCGGAGGTTGAAGTTACACGTTTTGAGGAAAGAAGTCATCACAAAGCAAGCCATACAAGACGATCTTCACCTCCGCAATCTCCACAGCAGAAGAAAAGAAGTAGGCAGGATGAGCGACAAAACATGAAGGTTTGGGTTTTTGAATATTCCTTTTCTCCCCTTCGCCTGTATTAAGACAGAAATGAGGCTTTCAAATTGTCAAATAAAATACTGTTCTATCATAATGGTTAGGTATTGCATATTACAAAGTTGCTCCAAACTCAAGTTGAATTCAACTTTAGATGAAAAGATAAATTGGTCATCTACTGTTAGTTTTTGTCCCTTTCAAGATAAATATTTGAGTTTTGTTGGTGAAATTGTTATATGGAACCGTTACAGTTGCAGAAAAGACTGCATGGCATTTGTTTTCTCTCACTGAACTTGTTGCAAATAATGGAGATACTATGGTCTGAGTTGGACTTCTATAGTGTTTCCTCTGTGCATAGTTGTAATGAACATTCAATGTGTAGGGTTAATTGGTGATGTTAATGAATCAGATGTAAAGGCATGTTTTAATAAGATTTTTGTGTTTCTACATGATAATACTAAGATTTTGTATGTTTTATTCGATGTGGGGTATATCACTTTTTGCTTCTCCACAGTGCCCTTTATGATTTATTTGTTTTGTCTTTTACCCAAATGATGATCATTGTATATTGACATCAAAATTTGTAGTGTCATAAAGAACTTGCGCCAGCTATATAAGCATTGCCATTTCCAAATTTTTCCATAATTTGTAATCTATTCATATTTTGAACAACAAAGCCATTGATTTGGTAGGACATAATGTTTAAGTTTATCTGTATTCTTTTATCGGTTTTAAACTTATAATGTTCATAAAACTCCTGGAAAAATATTCGATGAATCAAATTGCTACAAATGTCATTATTTCATGGAAAATGGGAAATTGCAATTGTCCTCTGGCTTACAAATTCATACAATAAAACCCAAATGATAGACTATTTTAACTTTTCAATAATACTGGTTAAACCTTTTGGAGCCTTATGTCTATTGGTATTCTACAAGGCTTTGACATAGTGGAATCTATGCTACTGTAAATGAAATCATGCATGTCATAGCATGAAAACTTAAATTACCAAAGATCAGTTATCTCACAGCATCTAACCTCCTTTCCCATGGCACATCATCATAAAGAATTGCAATTTTTGCTTAAAATCGTAATATGCCTATCATGTGATATTAGATGGGTCTAGCCAACTAATTCTCATTATCTGATGACATTTTTCCAAGATCATTCAAATGTTATGATTCCAAAATTCCAGGCATAATGAAAGCATACAGTAGCACTCTATCTTTCTCTTTGACTTGCATTCTGTCTTGGATATATTTGCATATACGCTACTTTTTCAACTTACATGAATTAAATTCTTGTGAGGATTTTTCTTGGCATGACTTGTCACTAGTACCAGAGAGCTACATCATGGCCATACTGGATGGAAAATTGGCCTAACAATTAAGATTTTATTCTTAGCTGCATTAGCTTGAGAATGACATGGCACCATTTGGAATGGGTGGGAACTTTCAGTTGCTTTTGAGTATGGCAATCATTTCATATTGGTTTAGTTTCTAGCATGCTTGATTTTATTTCTTGTGAGAGTTATGATGTGCATATCACAGTATAATAATAGAAAAATAAAAGCTGGGGTTCAATGGTGGACCTGCTCACCTTCATGTTTTCTTTTCCCTTAATCTGGGGGTCAAGTGTATGTGTGTCTTGTTTTTCCTCTGCTGTTGGAGGATTGATAATATTCTAAATTGTGAACTTGAGAAATTGTAGTTGGCTTATGTTGTTGTCTATATGTTGTATGTACCGGTACTATATTGAAGTATTTTCATGAGCGTTGCTAAATATCTTTTGCATAAAGCACGTTCTATGCATATGATGTGAATAACTGATCCATTTTGTGGGAGATGGCTGATGGTTGTATCCAGTTATTTTGAGGAATTTATGTTGTAGTGTCTAAATTATATCGTGGTTCAGAACCCCTTTTCTTTTCTTTCTTTTATGATTTCTACCTTGCTCATTGTTTTCCTGATATCTTACATATTGACAAACTTCTTTGGCAGAGGGAGGCAGTTTCTCAAACAACCATTGATGCCCCTCGGCGACTACTTCAATTTGCAGTGCGAGACGCTGTAGGAACTTCGAGGCCATCTAGTCTGGTAAAAGAACCCTCTCTAAAGCGGCTTCGTTCTGTGGTGTCTACAGCTGCAGGAGAATCATCAATGGTTGATCGACCTAGGAGGATTCAATCGATTGCTAGAGTTCCAAATCCGATGGCTACTGTAATTAAAGCTGTGCAAGAAGCAGCCGAAGATGTAAAAGTCAAGTCTGCAAGAAGTGTGTTTGACCGACTTGGTGTCGAAATGCCGGTATCAGATACCATTGAACAAGCCAGAGACATTGGAGATGCAGCTGCTGAAGATGAGGAATATGAAGAATTTAACCAAATTCCGGAGCAGACCCACTCAATCAACCTTCACAGACATGATTATGCTGGACATAGAGCGAATGTTGGTATGCTGGAGAGTGAAACCATGTTGGCTGATGACTATATGCCTGATAATGAAGGCTATGATGATGTTGATGTTATGAGTGACAGAGTTATGGATGTTTCTGAAACTGGCACGTCTGGTGGAAATAAGAGGGAGGATTCACTAATGTTACAGTACAGTGTAGCAAAGAATGCAGATGATGTGATGCGAATAACTCGAAGTAAGGATCAGGATCAACCTGTTGCAGCTGCAAAACCTTCAGCAAATATTTCTACGAATCTAAATACCTGGAAGCAACATCATTATCAGGAATCAAGAGGGTTTGCAGAAATGGATAATTGGAAATCTGTCAAGGGGAATGAAGCAGATGCAGGGAAGTCTGTTGTAAGAGTAATGAAGGAGAATAGCAATCCTGTCATGGTTGGTAATGGAAATGTAAGATACTCTTATTTTTACATGTAGACTTTATGTTTCGTTTTCAAATTTTTGTGGTGTCATTTGCCACATTTATTCATTCTGAGTATCATTGCCATCTTTGGGATGATGTTAAACAGGCAAAACCAGTTACTGATGCACAGAAAGAATCTCAGAAGACACTGCAATCTGTGCCCGGTGAGTTCCAAAAACTCTTCGAAGTGCTTTTGGTGATAGTTTTTAAGAGTTTATATATATATATATATATAAAATTAAAAGTAATTCCGCTTGTTTATTGCAAATTCTGTAGTTATTTTCTGATCATTTTAAATTCCAGCTTTTGTTTTTTTTCCCAGTTTCTGCTCGTGCTTCTGATGTCTTGAAAGTATTAATGGGATCGATTTGGATTATTTTTTTGTAGGTTCTTATACTACTGGTCGTCCATTAGAGGATGCTGATTCACGGACCATTTTTGTTAGCAATGTACTTTTTTGCACACATTAAGCTATACTTCTGGAGTTGCATTTCTTCTATCTTTCTTATGTTAGTTTATCAATTTTTATTGTAATTTTCTTTAGGTTCATTTTGCTGCCACTAAGGACAGCCTTTCTCGGCATTTTAATAAGTTTGGGGAAGTGCTCAAGGTTGTTATTGTTACTGATGCAGCAACAGGGCAACTGAAGGGGTAAGTTAGTCTGATGCTGTTGTGCACTTCTCATCTATTTGGTCTTTTCCCCCAACTTATTATCTTTCAACAGGTCAGCTTATGTAGAATTTATGCGAAAGGAGGCAGCAGACAATGCATTATCTCTTGATGGTACATCTTTTATGTCGCGGATTCTTAAGGTAGTGTGTTATTTTGGTGTCTCAATTTGCTACAAGTAGTGATCTCTTTATTTATTTTATTGTCCAATTTTTTGCTTGTTCATTGAAGTAGAGGCTGTAAGACAATTTTATGATTTGTTGCTGATTGGATTATTTCTGTGGTGTAGTACAGATTTGTTACTTTCAGATTGCTCTCCACTAGTCGTGGCTTCTTAATGCTTTTTCCTCTTGCAGGTTGTGAAGAGAAGCCCTGCTCACCAAGAAGCTACTCCTATCATGACATGGCCTCATATTGCGCGTGCCTCTCCATATGCTACTGCTCGGTTCTCCAGAGCTCCTTTTCCTAGAGGTATTCCAAGTTCATTTAGGCCCCGTCTTCCTATGAAACCTGGTGCTAGAAGTTTGCAGTGGAAGCGAGATGCTCAAGGCAACAACCCAGCTGAGAGTGGTGCTCCAGTCTCAGGGAACAACAGTCTTGTGTCCCCTACTGCACGCAGCCTCACCTATATCCGAACTGAGCCTAAGCCTGATGGGAATTTAGGTACCAGCTAATCAAACAATTCAAATTTTCCTTCGCTGGGGTTATATATTGCATCAGACTGCATCGAAATGTCAAAGTCATGACTGCAGCAAATGTTTTGATAATGCGGCAGATATGAACCCTGTAGATTCTCTTGCCCTTGAGAGAATCATTCTTCTGTATATGGAGGACATTTTCCAGAATTGGTGAATATCCTAAGGAATAGATTGATTCAGAAGAGTTCCTGTTTTAGCAAATATATTTGGGTTCTTTTTTTGGGGCTGGTGGTAAGAAACAAGGGACTCTTGGCTGCCTGGTTGTCTGGCCCCTGAGTTATTTTATACCATCAGATGGAAATTTGTGAATAGGATGGATGGGTAGTTCATTTCTTTTTGTTTGAGGGATTTTTTTCCAGCTCGTTCTTTCTTTTTTTCTTTTTTTTTTTTTTTTTTAAAATGTTTTGAGGGATTGTTTTTCGCGCTCGTTCCTTTCTTTGTTTTCTTTTTGTTTTTTTTTTTTTAAATATAAGAAAGAAGAGGTAATATAAAATGACAAATTGAAGAAAAAAAAAAAAAAAAAGGAGAAACGAACTTATAAGTTGCTTGAACATAGATGGCAGAAGCTGACATTGGCAGTAAGCTGTTAGTATAGATTTTTTGCGTAGGGTAAATGTGCCTCCTTACGCGGTTTTGGTTGCGGCTTATCGCGTATGGTGGCTGATATATAAGCTGTATTTGAAGATATGAAGATAATCTAAGAGAAATTGGTACATCTTTAGAATTGGAAATTGGATCCCCCGGTACGAATATGTATTATGGGGCCGTGTGCGTCTAATCGTGCTAGTTTGAGTCATTTATCTATCGATGAAGTATTTGTTCGGTCCTCTACGAATGTGTTCTATTAATTCACGAAGTTGTTGATACCCTGGGGAGTTCATGTTGAGGCGTTGAAGCCAGCTCGTCTTTTAGGTATCAAAAGATAAAAATTAAGTCCAAATTACGTTCTATTGCCAAAATGGTAATAGATTTTTTTAATCACCATCGAAATGATCAAATAAATGGATAAATAGAGGTTACCTTAAGCAAGTCGTTAAACTTTCAAATGAGAAAAGATCTCTAAGGTTATAAACGATTAACAATCAAGGTGATTCTCAATTAAAAAAAAAAAAAAAAAGAAAAAAAAAGTGATCTTGCCCTGAATTTTTTTTTTTTTTTTTTTTTTTTTTAAATATAAGAGAAGGAGAATATAAAATGAAAATTGAAAAAAAAAAAAAAAAAGAGAAAAGAACTTATAAGTTGCTTGACATATGCAGAAGCTGACATTGCAGTAGCTGTTATATAATTTTTTGCGTGTAAATTTGCTCTTACCGTTTTGTTGCGCGTTACGCGTTTGGTGATATATAGCTGTTATGAGATATGAGATATCTAAAGATTGTACATTTTAGAATTGGGAATTGGATCCCCCGTACGATATGTATTCATCCGTTGCGTCTAATGTGCTATTTGTATCATTTATCTATCCGATGAGTATTTGTTCGGCTCTACGAATATCTGTTCTATTTATTCACGAAGTTTGAACTCTTGATCTCATTTGAGGGCGTTGAACCACTCGTTTTTAGTATCAGATAAAAATAAGTCAAATTACTTCTATGCAAAATGTATAATTTTTTAATCACCATGAAAATGATCAAATAAGGATAAATAGAGTTTACTTAACAGTGTTTAAACTTTTCAAATAAAATCTCTAAGTTATTAAACCATTAACAATCAAGTGATTCTCATTAAAAAAAAAAAAAAAAAGAAAAAAAAAGTGTATCTTGCTGAAATGCTCTCTTAGACTAAGGCATCAAAATCACTACTCTACACTTCCTAATACTGCTTAAGCAGAGAAATAGTACCAAGTTGCTATTTTAATGTATTTTGTTCTTGATTCAGTTGAGTTCAGCAAAATTAATTTTGTATATGCTTTTTCCTTCTCCAGCTTCAGAATCATTAATGTTCTTAAATGGTGCTAATGTTGCCCATGGTTTTAGGATTGCATCTTTTCAGAGAAACTGGGATTTAAGAAAACAAATTATTTATTTATTTTTTATACCACTAGACAGAAACTCCTATAAAAGAAGACGTTAAACATTTAGCATCTCGTAGGATACGAGTAACTTGCCTTGCTCATAGGAGTATATTAGTTCTCCGAGCTCTAACTTAGAAAATAAGGAATTCCTGAAGCAACACCTTTTGTAATGCCTGTGGTCTCAAAAGAATATATTAGTTTCAAACAAAAGTCCAAGTATATAATTTATTGGATACAAACTTTTTTTCGTTGAAGATCCACTGTAATAATAAGAAAGATTTCTATACATACACACAAAATCGTCAGTAATATTAGAATCCGATGAATCAGTCTGGACAAGTTTATTAATGGGATGTCTTATTCCATTACAAAATTTCAATTTTGACAATAATCCAATCAAAGGAATAATTGAAACCATTTTATCGAGTTTCTTCATAGTGTTATCTTTCTTTATTAGAAACAAATTTTTTGGCCTTCCGCTTCGTACGACCGAATTCTATTCCATTTAACGTAATCGCTCCTAGAATCAGAAATAGCCACGGGGATTAAATGTCCTATCCAAGCTAAGTAGCTTACTCCGAATGTTGCCTCAAAAAAAGGAACAGGTATAGATAATCCCAAAAGCCCAATTTATTAGGAATTGATACCACTGATTGGATCTCTTGTGCTAATATCAGAAATAAAAGCTTGAAGCCTAAGTTGAACAAATCCAATTCGAGCTGCAACTTTGCAAATACCACATGCGTTCTTCATCATCTTTTCTATTTGCTCCCTGGTCTCATTGGCCAAAGCTGATAGGTCTCTTTTTTTCAGGATCAGCAGATGTATCTGAGCTTGAAAATTTTCTGGGTTTTTGCCTCTTTAACAGGGTATTCGGTAAAGTTATCTTCTTTAGCTCCAAATCGAGGATACAGGACTTCTCTCTATCAAATATTGACTATGAAAAAAAGTCTGGGCTTTTCTATTGTTGATGTAATACTGGATTTCTGTCGATTGATTTGATTTTGATTTACTAAAAACAATACAATACAACATGTTACTGTAATTGTATTAAAACATTAAGACAGAACATTATGGAAGTTCTGAAAAGAAGAAAAAACACATGAGAAAAACACAAAACGATCCTGCCAAACTTATAATACGCAACAGAAGAGCATTACGTTCTCTTACAAATGTGACTTCATTAAAATTCCTAAGCTTTTGCAGGATATGAATAAGAACCTCTAATCTGCCTTGCTCCTCCATCATCGTAAAGTAGTAAGAAGCACATCTTCTCCACCAATTAACGAAAGCAGAAATAGTGCCATAACCCAAAACGCTTATAATAGCATAAAAAACATTGCTATAATAGAAAATCAAATTTCCAAGCATAATCATATCAATACATTTGATGTGTTAACTTTGTGAGCACCTTGCATGTTCTTCATCCAATTTCTTAATTCCACTCTCGTCCCATTGGCCAAAGCTTATAAAGTGGGTTCCTCTGTTTCTTGGTGCTTCAAATTGAGGATCCTGACTGGATTTTGGGGGTTTTCAGGATCAGGAGATGAATCTGAGCTTGAAAAATTTCTGGGTTTTTGATTCTTTAAAAGGGTACTTGTTAAAGTTATCTCCTTTATCTTCAAATCAGGGATTTGGGATTTCTCTCTGGCAAACTTTGATGATAAAAATATTTGTGCTTTTCTACTGTTGATCTAATAAAGTTGTAGTTTTTGTAGCAAAACTTGAGTACGACTGAACAAAATTATGATTGAAATTTGTGGTTTTTGGATCTAGAGCTTGGGAATCAAAATTGGAGATGTGATTGGGAGGGGTAAAGTAAATATGGAGAAATCAAACTTATTGTGGTTTACAGGTTTAATTTGGTGAGTGTAAACGGATGAGCCATGAACAAATGATTCAAATTTGGTGGTTTCGGTGTCAAATTGAAAGGAAATATAAGAAGACTAAGAGGATATCGAGAGTTAGAAAAAAAAAAAAAAAGTCTAATTGCCATGGTTACTAATAATGAGTGGAAACACATAATGACATAATAAATTTGTCAAAGATTCATAAAATATTCGTGATTTAACCAGAAGTTTATATAAATAAATTTATAATTTTTCTATTCGCCTAAAAGTTGTGACTTACTCTTACCACTCTATCCAAACTACTTATCTACTGGGAAAAGTTGTGACCTACCTTCTCAGTGATCTATCTATTTGCTGTCAAAGTTGTGACTTACTTTTATCATCTTACTAAACTACCAATTGCAAGGTAGATTTTGTGATTAGTATCTAATGCTTCCTCACAGAATTTCTGGCTCAAGCAGGTTCATCTTGGTCCTATTATTTTGGAGGTTGATGCAAAGAAGTCTGTGATGCTCTTTGCTTATCAGTTGATGATATGTCTGAGTTTGGTTGAGGTCCTATACAAGCTAATCGAGCTGCCCATGTATTGGCACAGGAGGTATGCTCTCTTGAGGGTTGTCGTATTTTGTTACAGCACTAAGGTTATGATTAAAGTACTAAATGTATAGGACAACTTATAAATAATATAAAATCCACTTTATCCTCTGCTATTACCGATTTAAAAAAACTGCGCAAAATATTATAAACTTTATTTTAAATTTCAGGTTTGGTAGAAATAAAAATATATAATTTGCTGGTCATGTATTTAATTCTATGAAATTTAACATAATTTCATAATTGAACATTATATTTCAATTAACTCTCCATTATCCTTAAATTGAGCTTGCTATTTTACTTATAAGAAATTGGTTTCAATTCAATTGATTTCAAACCTGCCTTTTCCTTCCCCTTGTCTGGCTCATTAGCTCTTACTTTTTCTTAAATGATGCTCATTTTGTTGTCCCATTACTGGCCATTGTTTGAGAAATTAGGAAACAAATTAGAAAAAAAAAAAGTAGTTCTGGTTAATTTATCATAAAAGAAACAAATTGAACATTAGGAAGAAGAAAGATTCATAGTGATAGCAACAAATCCAACAAACAAACCTACAGTACCTATAAAGACACTGCGAGCCCTCACAACGCGGAGATTAAATTCTTTTACAGATCGCCACAAACCGATAAGAATCTCCAAGCTGCCGTGCTCTTCTATCATCTTGAATTGCTTCTCCACCTTCTTAAAGGAATAGATCCAGTTCTTCGAATGAATACCAAGTGCAGAAAGAAACCCAAAACCCAAAACGTTTGCAACAACCCAAATATTTTGCATTGATGCCTGTATTGGATTTCCATTGAAAAGTTGAATTGATACCTCCGTCAAACTTCCTTCGAGAATATAATAAATCCAGTTCCCAAGCCCAAGTAGAACAATTACAATTGAAGCTACAAGTTTGATAAAACCATATACGTTCTTCTTGATCTTTTCCAATTCCTTTCTGTTCTCATTGGCCAAAGCAGATATTTGTCTTTCAACGGTGGTTCCCTCAATTTCTTTGTGCTTGAAATTGAGGTTCTTGCTTGGATCTTCAGTTGGATTTTGGGGGATTTCAGTATCAGAAGATGAATCTGAGGTTGAAAAGTTTCTGGGATTTTGATTCTTTAACAGGGCGTTTGTCAAAGTTATCTCCTTTAGCTTCAAATCAGAGACTCGGGATTTCTCTCTATAAAATGTTGTTGATGGAAAAAGTCTTGGCTTTTCTGCTGTTGACCTAATAAAGTTATGGTTTTTGGATTTTGTAGCAAAACTTGAGTACGGTTGAAGAAAAATGTTATTGGAAGTTGTGGGTTTTGGCTGTGTTAGACCTTGGGATTCAAAAAAGGAGATGTGATTGGGAGGGGTTGAAGTAGATATGGAGAAGTGAAAATTGTGGTTTACCGGTTTTGCTTGGTGAGCGAAAATGGAGAAGTCATGAGCAAAGGATTCAAATTTGGAGTTTTCAGCGGCAGAAACGGAGGAAATATAGGAAAAATAAGAGGATTTCAAGAACTTATAAGAAAGTCTACGGCAAATCATAATAGAAGCCATAAGCTGTGCCTTCTAATTAAGAGGAGAAATAAAGATTGAATTAGGGTTTATACTTTATATACAAGGGTCAAGGGTAAGAGTCATTCTTATGTTGTGTTTTACACTGCTACTATTGTCCTGCTCAACTGCCAATTTGCTGCCAAAGATTGTGACCCGTCACCCTACTAACCTGTACCTATTTGCTATGCTACCAAAAGTTGATTAAGAGCTTCATTTGAAGTTAGATAGGATTCTTTTGCATTAATGCCATGCCATCTCTATCATTTTAGTTCCTTTTCCCGAAGAAATAAAGATCTTCTTCAACTTTTCGAGTTCCTTGCTTGCCTCATTGGCCAAAGCTGATGGGTGTCTTTCTACAGTGGATTCCTCTATTTCATGTTGCTTAATATTGGAGATGTTGCTTGGATCTTCAATTGGACTTTGGGGTTGTTCAGTATCTGAAGATGAATCTAAGCTTGAAGTCTCATTGCCCAAAGCTTGATGCTTGACATTGGGGATATTCCTTGGATTTTTGGTTTTTCAGGAAAAGAAGATGAATCAAAGCTTGAAAAATTCCTGGATGATGAAAACAAGAGTCTGAAATTATAGTATAAACTTAGGGTTATGCCGATAGGTTTTTTAAGTCCTTAGCATTATGTAATGGATTATCAATTTTTAGGTTAAAAGGTATTTTTGAGTTTTGAACTAAGTTGTTGCGGATCCATTTTGATCCATCTATTTTACATCTTACATTAAAATGCAAATACATAGCCGGTCACTAAACTTCTGTACAAGCTTATCTAGTTGGATAGAATTTATTTGGTTCATTATCTTATTGTAATTGATCTTATAATATGAAATTATTTTTCAAAAGAAAAATAACGACTTTCAATTTTTAAAATTAAAACAAAATATAGGTTTATTATTGGAATTGTATTAAAACTAACACTGAAAAATAGTAGAGAAAAGAAGAATCATCTTCATAGCAAAAACAATAATCCAGTCAAACACAAGAAACAAAGACTGCGAATGCCTGCGAAGAAGACATTCAACCTTTTAGCATCTCGCAGGGTACGAGGAAACCTGCCTTGCTCAAAGGAGTTCATTAGTTCCAAACATTGGCTGAACAAAAATGGAAATCCATAAGCAATCCCAACACCCACAAAATCTGGAATTAATCCCTCTGATATTGGATTTCCTTTAGTGTAACAAATCCAAGCTGCAACCCCAACTTGAACAATTGCCATTATCACTTTTACTCTGCCAAGACCATATACATTCTTCATCTTTTCTAAGGCCTCTCTGGTCTTAAAGAAGCACATTAGTTTCAAACATTGCCTCAACAAAAACACAATTGTAGAAGTAATCCCAAAACCCAAAACATTTAGAATTAATACTGCTGATATTGGACTTCCTGTAGTAATATCAGAAATAAAAGCTTGAAGCCCAAGTTGAATAACTCCAAATAGAGCCGCAACTTTGCAAAGACAATGTACGTTCTTGATCAGCTTTTTTAATTCCTCTCCGGTCTCATTGGCCAAACCTGGTAGTTCTCCTTTTTCAGGATCAGAAGATGAATCTGAGCTTGAAAATTTTCTGGGTTTTTGCTTCTTTAACAGGTATTTGGTAAAGTTATCTTCTTTAGCTTCAAATCAAGGGTTCGGGACTTCTCTCTATCAAATATTGACGATGAAAAAAATCTGGGCTTTTCTATTGTTGATGTAATAAAGCCATGGTTTTTGGATTTTGTAGCAAAATTTAAGTAGGATTGAAGCAAATTGTGGTTGAAATTTGTGGGTTTTGGCTGTTTTATAGCTTGGGGTTCAAAAATGTAGATCTGATCAGGAAAGGATGAAGTAAATCTGGACAAATAAAGATTGAGGTATACAGGTTCCGTTTGTTGAGTAAAAATGGAACTGGAGTAAAGAGAGAAGGATCCAAATTTGGTGTTTTTGCCAAGAAAATGAGAGGAAATACAAGAAGAATAAAAGGATTTCAAGAGTTTAGAGGAAAGTCTCACCATAGCGTGTTCTTACTGAAAAGAAAATAAATACGAGAAAATTAGGGTTTATATACAAGGTTTAAGTTTATGGCTTACAAGTGAGGTCGATAGTATTTTTGGCCCTTCTATTCATATTAAAACAAAGTTCTAAATTCTAAACAATTAGTCATCCTTAGTTTTTCCTCTTGTTTTCTCATAATGTCTTTCCCATTGGACCATGTAATTTGTATATGAAACAAAAATGATTGAAATGTCAAAACTTTTTATCAAATTCAAAAAATTATCTATGAAACAAAATGATTAAATATAATTTATTGGAATTTGTATTTTTAATTGAAATTGTACATAAAAGTATTGAAAAAAAAAAGGAAAGGAATAGGTTTTTGAGAAGATGATGGCAATATAATAAGTCGTATTAAAATTAGTTTGATCCGATCCCAATGATTTTCAAAGTGTCCTATGCAAGTAGTAGATAAATTGTTATAATAAGTAATGATTCTCTATCAATATGAATATCCAAGATTAATCTTTTGGACTTGACTTTATTTTAGCATTTTTTTATTCTAATAAATATTGATTTTAATCGAACTTTTTTAAACTTTATTTGATTTGAGCTGGAACAGCTCACGAGTCGGTTTGGCTCATTTACATTTAAATGTGGTTATTTATTTATTTTTATTTTTTGTGATGGCAAGAAAATAGTTCAAGTGATTAGAGATATTAAGGACTTTTTAATTTTCAAGAAATCCCTCAATCAATTTTTTCATTTAAAAAAAAAAAAAAAAAAAAAAAAAAAAATTGGAACCCATTGTTAAGATTTGTATTTGCATTAGAAACAAAGAAAATGAATTGAAATGTCAAGAAACATTTTTATCTCAGAATTCAAAAAAATGATATCTTAGGAAAACAAAATGATGAAATATAATTTATTGGGAATCTCGTTGTATTTTAAGTATGAAATTGTACATAAAAGGTATTAGAAAAAAAAAGGAAAGGAATAGGTTTTTGAGGAAGATGAATGGCAAATATAATAAAGTCCGTATTACAAATTAGTTTTGAGATCCCGGATCCAATGATTGTTCAGATCAAAGGTTCTAATCCCAAGTAGTAGATATATTAGTACTAGTATAATGAAAAGTTTAAATGATTCCTCCTATCAATGAGTAATATCCATAGATTTAAGCTTTAGGACTTCAGACTTATTTTAGCAATTGTTTTTATATTCTAATGTAAATATTGAATTTTAATCGAACTTTTTCTATAAACTTTATTTGATTTGGAAGCTGGAACAGCTCACCTGAGTCGGTTTGGCCTCATTTACCATGTAATATAGTGGATTATTGTTAATTTATTTTTTATTTGTTGTGTGGATGAGGCAAGAAAATAGTTCAAATGTGATTTAAGAGCCATATAAAGTGACTTCTAATCTTTCAAGAAAATCCCTGCAAATCAATTTTTTCATCTTAAAAAAAAAAAAAGAAAAAAAAAAAAAAAAACCCGCTTTGGATCAATCCATTATACCAAGTTGACCATTTAACTGGCAAGGGGTTGTAAACCACAACCTCCTACCATCACTAATGTACCAATTTCTATGCGCACGCAAATTTGTGAATCTATCATCCTCCGTCAACTAGCATTTCCTTTGGTTCAAAATTGTGAGGGTGAAATGGCGTCAGGAGAATTAGGAGTACTTTTCGTCTGGAAAAATCTTGTCTACAAAAAAAAAAAAAAAAAAAAAAAAAAAAACCCTTTGATCATCATTTACCAAGTTGATCCATTTTACTGCCAAGGGTTGTAACCCACTCCTACCATCCTAATGTACCAATTCATCACGCCAAATTTGTGATCTATCATCCTCTCAACTACCATTTCTTGTGTCAAAAGTTGTGAGGGTAAATGGCTCAGAGATTAGAGTACTTTCTCCTGGAAAAATCTTGTCTACTCTCTCGTATATGTTTCTTTAAAGGAAAGTGGCGATCAAGAAACCTAATATCCCTGTCAAAATATTTTCTGATAGATTAAAAAGATAATGTATTGAATGGCAATTTGCAAATCAATGGCTGGCTATGTCAAGTTATGTTTATGATGTTTGAGAAACAGTGGTATAACCATAATCTATGTCAGTCTTGAGCAAATCCATGCAAAATCAAAAGTAATTACGAAAATCAAGTAACTAAATAAGCACTATCAACTGAAAGAAGTACAACTTAACTTACCATAACTTAAACAAACTGACCCAATTTCAACATTAAGACAAAACATATTTAAATGCACCAACAACACAAGACAAAAGCACAATCCGAGCTAAACAACGCATACCAATCCAGACAAAATCTCTACTATTAAGAGCCCTCGCAAACTGGGCATTCGTTCTTTTATCCATTTGTAGCCAAAAAGTGAGCATCTTTAAGCCGTCTAAGTCGCCTTTCTCTTTTATCCGCTTGATTTCCTCCTCCATACACTTCAAGAAGTTGTAACGATACCTCATAATAAGGACAAGTGAACCGATAGTCCAAAAACTAATATATGCTGTTAAATCCCAAACATTTTGAATCAATGATACAATTTTGTAATTCTCTAGTGGACTTCCTTTGATGGAATAAGAAATTAAACATCCAAGCCCAAGTAGAATAATGACAACTGGAACTACCTCTTTGCTAAGCTCATATGAAAGATTCATCATCTTTCTTGTTTCCTCCATGCACTCATTTGCCAAAGCTGATAACTTTCTGTCCCGATCAGAAGATGAACTTGAGAAATTTCTGGGTTTTGGATTCTTTAAAAGGGTATCTGTTGAGGTTATCTCCTTTAGCTTCAAATCAGAGATTTGAGATTTCTCTCTATAAAATGTTGTTGATGGAAAAAGTCTGGGCTTTTCTGTTGTTAAACTAATAAAGTTTTGGTTTTTGGACTTTGTAGCAAAACTCGAGTACGACTGAAGAAAAATGTGATTGAAATTTGTGGGTTTTGGCTGTGTTGGAGCTTGGGATTCAGAAATGGCGATGTGATTAGGAGGGGCTGAAGTAAATCTCCAGAAATGAAAATTGGGGTTTTGTTGAGTGAAAATGCAGCTAGGGCCATGGGCAAAGGATTCAAATTTAGTGTTATTAGTAGCAAAGCAAGAGGAAATATGGTAAGAATAAGAAGATTTTAGGTGTTGAGAGGAAAGTCTACGGGTTACCATAGTAGAAGCCATGTGAGGCACAAAGGAAGAATAAAGAATGAATTAGGGTTCATGCTTTATATGCAAGGATAAATACTCTTTCTTATGAGTGATGTTAGGGCTATTGCAGGCTTAATTTCACATACGGTCCCTCGGTTTAAAGGGTAATTACTAATGTTCCGCATCTTACAATTGTATTTTAAAACTTTTGAGTTTTGGTGTTTGTAACACAAAAGTGATTCGGATAAGTATCCGGCCAAAATTCTAACTCAGCTGCATCAGTGGATTCTAGATAGACACATATACAAATTTCATATTTTATCCTTAAAAACACCCAAATCTCCCATCCCTTTCTCTCTCTTCATCCAACGCCATTGCCACCATGCCTCCTTCAACCCCCGTTTTTTCTCAAAAGAAACAGTTGCCCAAATCAGATCATGCTAAAAAAAAAAAATACCCAAGCTCAACGCGGGTCGGGGAGATCCATTAACGGGCCTAGTTATTGTCTTCCTGCAGCAACAAGATTGCATCTAAAATTGTCGTTGAAGATTCGTTTAAGGGAATCGAGGGTGTTTGATGAACTCATGTTGTTAGTTTCAACATGAGTTCATCAAACACCCTCGCTTCCCTTTCTTGCTTCGTTTAACATAATCATTGTCGAGGATTAGAACTTTGCCAAACCAGACCAAAGGTAATATCAAGAAGCTACTTGGAGAAGCATATACGCTACTGTGATAAAAAATTTTCTCCATTTTCCAAAAACCTCATTTTCTTTTTCTTTTGACAAAATTCTAAAATTTTCTTTCTTTTTCCATTGATTTATCAGATAGCAAACGCTCCTTACCATAGGTACCTATATATTTTCAATCTATTTCTTTTTTTTTTTTTTATAGAAAACCCAAACCCATTTTGTTAATTTGATTTCAGTGGATATGGTTAGGTGAAGAGAGAGGAGGTTGGCACGTTTGGGTTAAGAGAGAGAAGGAGGTGGATATGTTTGGGTGAAGACAGAGATGGACGTGGTGGTGATTTTGCATTTTGATTTTCAATGGATATTGTTGGGCGAAGAGAGAGAAGGAGGCGGTGGTGATTTTGGATTTTGATTTCCAGTGGATATGGTTGGGTGAAGAGAGAGAGAAGGAAGTGGTGGTGATGGCGTTGGGTGGAGAGAGAGGAGATGAGAGATTTGAGTGTTTTTAAGGATAAAATATGAAAGTTATATATATGTCTGTATAATCCGTTGATTTAGCTGAGTTGGAGGTTTTTTTACCATGTCAGATGCCACTTGAAATGCCACTTGAAAAAATGCGGGTCCCATAATAATATTCTGTTATATTTCCGGTACGTTTTCACTAAAAATTCAATTGAGTCAATTTTGGGTTACAAACACTAAAATTTAGTGAGTTTTAAAATACAATTTTAAAATGTGGAATTTTAAAGTGATTGTCCCTAAATTGGAGATCGGTGGGTAAAATTAAGCGGGCTATTGCCCATGCCCTTAGAAATTCATAGTATCTAGACTCATGGTTATATCAATAAGACTTTTAAGTCTTTAGCATAATATAATGAATCATCAATTTTCGTATTATAAAATATCTTTGAAAATTGAAATAAGTTCTTGCAAATCCATCTTAAATTTTAAATTAAAACGTAACTACATAATCACGAAATACTGTTATAAGTTCATTTAGTTAGATAGCATTACATGTTATGATCAACTCCGACAAAATATTTCACCAGTGAATTGGTAAGAAACACTAACTAATAGACAATTAAATAAAAGCAATTTCCTAAATAATTACACGAGGAAATAACACAGTAGCCTAGTAGTTATTGATGCATAGAAATCCCACACACATGAACAAGAAGAAAGAGCTCCAAAACCAGAAGCTGAACAAGCAAAAGCTCATCCAGCAGCCATTGCAGGTGAAGGAGCCAACTCTACCTCATTAGCAAGAACAGCCACTCAAAAACCCGCCATTACAAGCAACAAGAGACACATTGCATCATAAAAGCCGTATCCAAGATATTGTCAATGTCAATAATGTAGGTTTTTAGGTAACCAAAGGAATAGACCTTGCAATTTTTACTGAAAATCTTGAATTATGGATTTGGGTCTCCTTGCTTCTCCCAGTGTTCACATGTGCTGCTAAAATTTGTTCACGGGGTTGCAGATTGTCATTCATCCACAGAGCCAGTTTTGCCACGTTTTGCTATAAATGTATAAAAGAAATATTTGGGTTAAGAAATGAGGATAAGAGGTTTCTTGTTTTCTTGACCGTAAGACTTTAACCTAAAGAGGGAAAAAGCATATATATCTTCTGCACCAATGGATTGGCCCATACCTGGAGCCCTTTCAGAAATTTATATCAAAGGACACGCATTTAAATGTTATAGAATTAATTGGGAATTTGGGGTCTCCTTTGCTCTCCCCAAGGTAAGTTCACCGATGTGCTGCCTACACACAATTTGTTCATCTGGGTTGCCAGATTGGTCATTCATTGCCACAAGCCAGTTTGTGCCCAAAACGTTTGCCTATAAATGTATAAAAGAAAATATTTGGGATAAGAAATGAGGATAAAGAAGGTTTCTTGTTTTTCTTGAACCCCGTAAAGATCTTTAACCCGTAAGAGGGAAAAAATAGCATGACTATAACATCAATTCTGCATCGGCAAACTGGATTAGGCCCGCATATCTGGGGGCCTTCAGGAAAGAAATCATTGGATATCAAAGGGACAACTGAGCAAGAGACGCATTTATAGGGTTATATATAATATATATATATATATATAACATATATCAAGCTAAACTATAACCCTCAAAAACCAAATTAAAGGTTGTCATTATTTTCTTTGGATAGATACATTTGAACATACAAATGAAGAAGAAAAAGAGTTTAATCTCCACAGAAATTAACAATTTAAAATAAAAAATAAAATAGAAGGTATAAGTAGCTGAATGCTTAGTTTTTCTTTTTTCTTGTTTTCAATGAAGCCGGTTACTTTTTAACTCTCACTTCTCTTTGTCTTTCTTTTCTTTTTTCCCTTTTTCCTTTTTTTTTTTTTTATTTATTTTACAACCTTTATTGGAAAGGTGAGTGCTGAAAGAGGGCAAAGGGAAGGCAACCCGATGCGAGGCGGCGAGAAAAACGGCTGAGTCCAAGAACGCGGCTATATATATATAAAGCTAACTATTAACCTCAAAAACAATTAAGGTTGTCTTATTTCTTTGTAGAACATTTGAAACATACAAATGAGAAGAAAAGAGTTTAATCTCCCAGAATTAACAATTTAAAATAAAATAAAAATAGAAGGTATATAGTGAATGCTTTCTTTTTTCTTTTTTCTTTTTCAAGAAGCTTTCTTTTTTAACTCTCCTTCTCTTTTGTCTTTCTTTTTCTTTTTTCTTTTTCTTTTTTTTTTTTTTTATTTTACAACTTATTGAAGGTAGAGTGCAATGAAAGAGGCAAGGAAGGCACCGAGCAACGATCCAAGAACCGGCAAGCTAGCAACGGCAGCGCTTGCTGGTGGATTGGCAGCTGCCGGCGAAGCAGCTGGCTCCTCAATATCAGCCATCACTGCACTCATGGAGGCAACAGCAAAGAAGACAGCACAGGCAATCTTCTTCTTCATTTCCATTTTTGGATTAGGCAGAGAACAGCAAATAGCTCCAAAATAATTTATCGAAACGTTTTGCTGAATCTGCCTTTCCTTTGAATACAGATTTTAATGGAAGCCTGAAAAGTAATGGCTGCATGGTAGGATATATATATATGAGTATTTGTTCCGTACATTATGGGTCTTTTTCTTTTTTTTCCTTTTTTCTATTTTTAGGTTAAAAGGTAATATATTTAGTTTTCATATATTTTTGTCGTTTGATTAATTAATAATTAACTAGCTGCTGTAATGATTTTTGACTTCTAAAATAGGGTTTTATTTGTGAAGTTTTCCATCGTCTTTGACCGAGTCGTGGGAGAGTTATTGGTCAAAAGAAATGACAAATAAATATTTTATATTATAGGTAAATATTTTGAATTAAATTACAATATAATCTTTTTAATACTTCCAAATAGTATATTTATAAATGAATTTATTAATAAAATCTTTTTATAAATTCCTCTCAAAGAAATTAAAATCTATTCGTAAATAAAGTAATTTTATCATTATGGTGTTCCATAATCTCCAAGAAGAAACGATCTCCATGGGACAAAGCTACAATGTAGAAATAGTAATATTTGTATTAACAAAGAATGTATTTTCTACCGTCAAATTTCAACCCGTTAGTAATAAACCGTTGTATTCAGTTATGAGTAGTTAACCTGTTAACCGCAAAACATGTGAATAAAAAATGTTATCCATAATTTGAAAGAACAAAAATATCTATTAATTATTTCCTTGTAATTATTTGAATTAAGTGTATTTGCAAAAAATCATAAAATTGATAACTAAAGATAAGATATTAAGAATTATTAGGAGAGACAAAATTTAAGAAAGTAAAGCAGAGTTGAAAGCTTTAAATAATGGACATTTCATAAAAGAAAAGTCTGAATATACAGTAATATGTACACCACAAATACAAAAGAAGACATCTTTTTCCAGATTTGGACCACCCGACAATACAAACACGCATTTCACATGATGCATCAAATTTCATAACCATGACAAATATATTTCTTTCTTGTCTAATCAATCAACCACTAATTCTTTCTCCCACTCTCATGGCAAAATCCTCCATGATCAAAGTTCTAGAGAATTGGAAAGTTTCTCCACCACCCAATTCAGCTCCATCAACAACACTGCCTCTGACTTTTTTTGACATACCTTGGCTTTTTTTCTCTCCAAGCCAACCTCTCTTCTTTTACGAATACCCTCACTCCACCTCTCATTTTCTCTCCTTTGCTCTCCCTAACCTCAAACTCTCTCTCTCCTTAGCTCTCAAGCATTTCTTTCCTTTTCTTGGAAATCTTGTTCTTTCTTCTTGTGATTCCAAGAAACCCAAGATTCTTTACAATGCAGGTGATTATGTCTCATTCACCATTCAAGAATCTAGTGGTGATTTCAGCTACTTTGTTAGTAATCATGCAAGAGATGTTCATGAATTTTACCCTCTTGTGCCTGATTTAGCTATTACTAGCTCAGAACCAGTATTAATTCATTTATTTGCAGTGAAAGTTACTATCTTTTCCCAAATGGGATTCTGTCTTGGGCTTGCTTATCAACACGTGGCAGCTGATGGGAGGACATTCAACAATTTCATCAAGGCATGGGCCTCATTATGCGCAAATTCTAGTTTCTTGACCGATTCCTTTCCTTCTTTTGACAGGTCAGTGATAAAAGACACAGATGGGCTTGAGGAGATTTTCTTGAAAGAATTATGGAAGAGAAAATCTTCTCACGAAGTGATTATAGGTACTGCAAAAACCCACGTAGATTTGTCAAACATGGTTAGAGAAACTTTTCTTGTGAGTCCTTCAGATATGGAAAGGATCAAGAAATGGATAATTGGCAAATGCAAGAAAAAGAATCAGCCAATACCTATACATTTATCTCCATATGTATTAACTTGTTCTTTTATATGGGTTTGTTTAGTTAAAACCCAAACTCAAATAGTTCAAGGAGAAAATTACCACTATTCAAGTGAGGATCCGAATTACTTGGGGTTTATTGTCGGTGGTTTAACCCGATTGGACTATCCGGTACCCGCCACTTATTTTGGCAATTGTGTAGGGTTTGGTCGGCCAATGGCAATTAGGGGTGAATTAATGGGAAAAGATGGGATTGTTGTTGCTGCAAATGTGATTGGAAACATGATAAGAAAGTTGGATAAAGAATTTCTTTATGGAGCAGAAAATTGGATTTCGGATTGGGAGGTGTTATTTGGGTCGGAGGTCCATTTATTGATTTCCGGGTCACCAAAATTGGATCTTTATGAAACAGATTTTGGATGGGGAAGGCCAAAGAAAATAGAGGACATTTCAATTGATAGTAACAGAGCCATTTCACTGATTGAGAGTAGAGATGTAAAGGGTGGAATTGAAGTTGGATTAGCTCTCAGTAGGCCTCAAATGGAAGTTTTTAGTTCACTCTTTGTCGGAAACTTGAAGATGATATTCAGCGAATTGTAATAGACGTAACGTAATGTAACCTAGTTAATAGTATTTGATTTGATCATATATTAGACTCTTTTTTTTTTTTTTAATATTATGAAATTAAAATTAACAAAAGAGCTTTCAATTATTTTATTTTTTTTTTCTCCCTTTCAAGTGTACAATATTCAATTCCTAAATTTCTTGAATACAATCATGTGATTTTGTTTATAGTAAAAAAAAATTAAATTGAAAAATATAATAACTATAATTTTTTTTTTTTTTTTTTTTTTTTTTGTTTTATAGTAAAAAAATCTAAATTGAAAAAAATTAATAATAAACTATAATTTTTTTTTTTTTTTTTTTTTTTTTTTTTTAGCATTAGATACTTGCATACTATAATATATTAAAATCTCCATATATAATTACTAATTTCAAGTATAAATTACTAATCTATACCCATAACAGGCCACAGGATAGACATTGATGGAGACATGGAAACTTCCTGAATAGGTGGCCCAATATTTAATGGGTGAAGGCCCATTCTTGAATGAAGCCCAATAATTTCGTTGACCGTAACGAAGCAAGCAGAGATTGGAAAAAGTCTTGAGGTTGAAGTTGAACCAGTAGGAGCAGAGTGGGTTAACGGTCGCATTCCGTAATAGGAAAAAGTTAAACATTGACACCTGCCTGGTAACGTCCATATTTTTAAATCAACCAGCCGTTTTCTTGCTGGACTTGATCTGTTCTTTTATTTTATTTTAATTTAATTTTTTTACGTTTCTTTCTTCTTTGCCACCCAGCTGTCCACGTTCTTTGGTGGCCTACACGGTTTCTTTAGCTATATATACCCTCTTAGGTCTCTCCCCATTTCATCACTTCTCATTTTCAAGAAAATCTAACATTTCTGTACTTTCTTGATAGTCTTTCTTTCATATAATCTTGTTATAATGGCTTCTTCTACATTCAATTCCTTGGCTGTTGTTTTCTTGGTAGCAGTTCTTGCTGCTGCTACTTCTGTTTCAGCTCAAGATTTGGCTCCAGCACCACCTCCTGCTAGTGCAGCTTACTCTCTGGGAATGCCTGGAGCTGTGATTTGCTCTTCTCTGCTCTTCTCTGTGTTTGCTCTTTTGAAGCACTAAAGATGATTCCATTTTTGCTCAGAGATCTGACATTCTTATTTATAAATATGGGTTTTTGATTGTTTATACATATATGTATTATGTGGAGAGAGAGAGAGAGAGAGAGAGAGAGAGATTCAGGTTCATGTATGCATTGGATTGAGGGGCTTTGGCCATTAGATTCATTCATTTGTTTAGTCATAGAATGGAATAAAAAATTCATATTACTATCCTTATGAGGATTTTATGTATACATTTTATTTTGTATTATTGTTATCTATATATGAATTTTTTTTTTTATTATATATTTGAGTATTTCTTTTTTTTTTTTTTTTTGAGTATTTCTTTTCTTTTTTTTTTTTTTTAAACAGATGTTGATTGAGTTTTATGTTTTTTGCCAAAATTTTCTTGAATTAAAAAGCCTACAAATAGTTGGCAAATATGAAAGATTTTCACTCACCCATACTGATAATATATTGATTGGTTATATTAAATTTCGTGAAATTGAAGTGATAAAAATAAAATAAGTTACTTTTAAATAAATATTCATGATAATTTATTTAAATAATTTTTTTGAATTTTAAAATATTTCATTATTATTATATTATCATCAATAAAAAATATAAATTATATTATGATAAAAATATTGAAACTAAAAAATATATATGATAAAATATTGAAAACTAAAAAATTAAAAAAACGAAATAAATAAATGAATATAAATAAAAACCATAATGAAAATAAGACAAGTTTATGCTTTCATTTCAAAATAAGAAAATAAAAGGAAAAAAAGTTAAAAATCAAAAAATAAATAATCATAATCCATGTATTTTTATAACTATTCATGAAGAGAATTATTTATTAAGGTGTTGTCCTTCTTTATGGGATTCTAGAGAACTAAACTGTCATGAACTAATTTTATTAGAAACGATCAAACTAATTATTTGAAACATGAAATTAATAAAAATAGCCAAAATAATAAGAAAATTCCGAAAATATTGAACAATTAAGAGAAATTAGTTACAAGCCCAATTTCTATCCTTGCATTCAATGTCTAAAGAAAACTTTTTATTTCAATATAAATATGAATCATAATTACGTAAAATATTCATATTCTAATTTTGACTTTGCGATTTAATTTCTTTCTTATTATAGTTTAATTACTTATTATTTTTAACAATTTAATATATATAAGCAATTTAAATTAATAAATTTAAAAACAATAATTGAATAAGTGTGATATGTTCATGTAGATAGGCATGGCCACGGTTCCGGAACCGGCGGTTCCGGTTCCGGAACCGGCGGTTAGAAAAGCTGGAACCGGACCGAACCGAAATTTATGGCGCGGTTCCGGTTCCGGTTTGGAACACGTCCGGTTCCGGTCCGATCGATTACAAACCGACGGTTACCGATTGGTTTATCCAGGCGAATCGCAATATTTTGAAAATTTTAAAATTTTAATACCGTTAAAAAAAAATTATATTAACATAAAAAATTAAAAATACTGGTTAAAAAATTTTAGAAATATTCAAGACCAACTAAAAAAAAATTATATTGAACATAAAATTTAAAAATACACCTAAAAAAAAATTTCAAATTTTTCTAAGACCGGCTTTAAAAAAAATTGAAGCTGATTTTTTTTTTTTTTTAAGTCTTGAAATATATTGATTTTTTTTAAAAAAAAATTTGAAATGTTTTTTTTTTTTTCTAAGTTTGAACATCAATGATTTTTTTTTAAAAAAAAATTTGAACTGAATTTTCTTATTTTTTTAATGTTATGAACCATTAATCTTGAAAAAAAGATGGCGGCTTGAACTTATTTTTTAAAATAAAAAAAAAAAATTAGTTGCCTACGTATCGCCTCTCTGGGGTTTTAGAGAATCAAGAAGCCCACGTATTCTTACTTACCTTTACTATCATGTCACTCCCTTTTTACACGTTAATCGCTATTTGCACCACCGGTTGATGTTCCGTTGCAGGGAGCCCATCGTATAAATCAAATAATCTTCCATTTTCGTTTTGGAATATTTTCTTGGGCTTTAGTTCCGGGCTTTGGTCCAATCATCCACGCTACGCTTGTGCTATCTAATGAATCGGGGTGTCATACGGGATGTGTTTCATTCAAGTATGTTACCTCCTTGACTAAAAGCTTGTTCAACGCAACAGTGGTGACCGGAGCTGCTAAAATTTGTTTGCAAGTAAGAAAGAATTGGAAAAAGTATTTGCCTTGCGATACTCCACTCAATCTAAAATTTGGGACAATCCTGCATGTCCTTGCATATAATCATCACCAAACTCAAAGAAGTTGTTAGATAATATCAATTCTGAAAAGAATTGGATTCCCTTGTTCTTTTTCTGTCTTTGCAATAAAACTTGTTGGGTCAACCAACAACACCCTTCTACCCTTTGTGCTCTTGATAAATTGTGGAATATGTAAATTGAGAAGTAAGTATAAATAGAAGTAGATGTAGTATTGAACTAGAAACTGAAAATTATTATATAATTGCATAATAATTTGTTTTAACTTCATGCATTACTACTTTATATTAACATTATCTGTCTACATCAATATTTAATACATCATAATAATTAGTCAAATTAATCAACATACTACATCCATTCTAATCTATAGGATCAAATTACAGAATAGCTAACAGATAAAGAGTGTATATTTTTAAAATAAGACTAACCATTTTTTTCTCAGTTGAAAAATTTACCAATTTTTAAATAAATCATCATTTTGAATTTTGTGAGTGCTAGTAACATATTTAATACGATATTAGGTAAAAATAAATTTAGATGTGGCGATTAATAAACCCCACTAATTATACGGTAGCAATCATTAAAAATTTTTTTAAAAATATCTAAAATTTTTTTGCACAAATGTCCCAATTTTTGTGGATATAAATTTTAATATCCTCAAATATTATTAGTAACAAAAAACAATAATAATTCTTTTAAGAAAAAAGACTCGTTTAGAATTCATATGTTGATTATTCCAACGATTTAGGACATTCCTGGGAAACGTTTTAGCGTTCTTTATTATTTTCTTTACAAAATTTTAGCCCAACTTTTCATTACTTTGGGGATGTGTCCCATAAATATGAAATGCTTTTTTAATTGTCAGAAATAAAACAATCAAGAATTTTTAACCTCTTGTACAAGCATAAATTAAAAACATTGCATGGCACAATCTTATATGAAAAAATTTACCACCAATTTGGTTCACAATCTTTTAAGTTCAATAATAGATCTAGTATTGCAGAAGCATTATCAAATGAAATTGAAAAAATTTTTTTTTTTTTTCAACTTATATTCACTAAATTGAAAACAAATTACTCTATAAATTATTATGCAGTGTATGTTTATCATCAAAAACACGAAAACCAATAATTTTTTTTTGAAATTTTCAATCAGTCATTCAATCCAAATGACATGTAGCATACCCATATAAGAATGCATTTTGCCAATGATCACTTCCAAACAGTTGCACAACAAATTAAACACTCGAATTTTCAATTGAGAAATAGAAAGAGGCTTAATTCTTTTTTTCCGTTTATTATACAAAGAAATAATAGTTTCGTTTTACTGTTATTTTTGGTTAACTCTTATTAGCACAAGATTGAAAGCTTTTTGACAATAATTATTAAACCTCTTTTTCACAAACTAACAATAAATGTTCACTAGAAATCATTTTGCTATTCTTCTTTTTTGTTTATTTTTTCAGAAATATTTAAATAAAGGGAAAGGTAGAAGTGTACCCAGGAATATTTGTTGTTGAGAGCGATCCAATCCTATTTTTGTTGGATGTTTTGCCTCCAATGCTTTCCAAAATGATCCATAGCCGCGCCGCTGTTTAAAATTTAATAGATTTTTCCACAATTAAATTTGCAAATTACCTCATACATAATTGCAAATTATATCGTACATTTTCTCACCTTTGAATTTTTTTGTGAAATGAATGGAGAATATGTCGGAACTTTATCTTGCTCTTGTAACAATTTTTGCTCGT